ACCAGAATACACCATAGAGTTTTAATTAATTTTAAAATATTTCTCGTGTCATTTTTCAAATACAGAAGCGCGAGAAAATATTGAAATTTAAAATAGTAATTAAGAAGATTCACACCTGATCCTTATCTCGAAATAAATATTAACACTGTCTGTTCGTGTAAGAAATAATAACGAACCGATCCGAATCGTTCAAAGACACAAAAGAGGAGTTAGACCTAGTTCAGATTGTTTTCTGGTTAATCAGAACTAATTAACTGAATCGAGGCTAGGATATGAAGCTTAGGTGGATATCGTGGAGCATGATGCAACGGTTTACATATAATGCTTCCAGCGGATAGCTACATGCGTGGATCTGGAACAGGAATGTTTCCGTACGATTGCCGAGCAATTTATCTGGAATTTTTCCCAAGCAAAGAACACGTCGATGGATAACAATTACCGCGGGCTGACAGAAGAGAAACGTTTCCTGTGTCGCGGAGAATTTTTGTTGCTTTGTTAACGGTGGAACAACTGGTGCTGCTTACAAAATAGTGTGCACATGAAATTTTCCATTAACATATTAATACTTGAATTTACCGTGCCTTCTGTTTCTACAAATTTTCTTTATCTTTTCCAAACAAAGAGAATTTTATTGTTCTTCGAATGGTTTGTTTTGCCCAACTTGGAAACACTCCATAAAATTTCTTTCCAGCCATAAAGGAAATTGTTCTAGTACTAAAACTAGGAAGGTACCAGCACACAATTCACCATCGTCGACTCGTAATAAATATTCCTTGGTGAATAACTGATTTCTTTGCCTGGCACAGCAGCGAACGACAGTGGAAGAGCATGAATAGCCCCGGTGCAATCGGGTGTTAAATATACGCCTATAGAATATTTTTAGGCGTAGCTTTGCCTGAAATCGTTTATTCTATTCTAAGGAATATAACGCGAAGTGTAGTCGTCCGTGAAGCAAGTATTCAGTACTCGATAATCATTTATTTCAATCACCAAATTCATGACTCTGATTATTTTGTTGATAATTCTGAATTAATAGAAGAGAACCAACTCCAAATACGGTAATTTCGTATTTTGAATGCAGCGATGGGAAAGCTGCATCCGAGGAGTGCACCGACATGCAAATCGATTTTTCCAAACTACGATGAAATTGTTTACGATAATTGAAGCAAACTATCCGGAGGAATTATAATTAGCAAAACTGCTTTCGCGATCTGATATTCGCGGGGAAATTTCAGGTATATTACCTGGGAAATTGAGTTGCAGCTTTTCCAGCGGCAACGCTGATCAGTAAACGGATATTGAATTTTCGAAGCATTACGTCGGGATTGTGGGATGTAATCATTGATTAATTGCTAATCAGAACCAAAATTAAATCATAATTAAACTATGAAAATGGCGGCTAGTAACATCCTAGGATTCTAACATTCTATTGATTAGCAAACAACATTTCTACCGATTTTTTTTCAATTTTTTTTTTTAAGCCAGACTCAAATTACTCTATGGTTTCTTGTTGATGTTACAGGTGCAATCAGTGTCCAGCACGGAAATCACTATTTCTTAGTGGTCGATCGAAACGCGACCTTTGTGAAAGGAAAAGTTTCCCGTAAAAGAACGAAGCCCTTGAAATTCTTTCTCTATACCGACGTTGATCCCTGGCGATCGTTTTTTCACGGGAAGATGGATTATCCTGAAGGCGAGTAGGCGTTCGAACGTTTTGTGAAAGGAGGCGGACGCGTAACATACGAACGGTTATCCTGTCCTTTCAAAACGAACGTTCTAGATACAAATATTATTCGAAGTGAATCGATACCAATAATAAAATGGTTGTGTCTTTATTGGTTCTACTTTGATCAATACCGCTGGACAATTGCTCCCTCACGATTGATTGTTAGAAATTTTCATTGATTATAAAACATGATATTAATTTTAATAATTTATCGCAACGTATAAGCATTATATTGTAACACTTTTGTGTCACGAAATCGGGTTATAATCTATCTACATGTTTCCCAATCGGCCATTTGATATGCAACAAGGCGAGATCCTGGAGGGAAGTTAACAATGAGAATTTTGAAGAAGTCAATCTCATTACTTTCTTTACATACCACGTATGACAATCTACTATCCTCAATTTTTCAACACGAGAACCAGGTCAAATTCTCGCTATCTCTGAAACACAACGAGGCCATGTTTGCATCGTCATCATACTGATACACTGATTAATTTGTATCGTTCAGCAATCGTTGAAAGCTTCGAGAAGCCATGCTTATGAAACGAGAATTATTTTCTAATAATATTGACAAAGTTTCGTTTTGTCGAGACAACTTTAGTTTTGATATTTTTTTTTTTTTTTTGATTAAATATTGCAATCAGTCAATTAACAATTGTTACTTCTGCGAAAGCGACGTCGTACGACCATCAAACTGAGCGTTAAAAAAATAAGAGCTACGTCTAATTTTCTCGAGCATAACGGCCTGTCGTGAAAGTCATCGCAAATACAATGACAATGGCGGTATTTCGAGCTTGACTCGATTAATGCTGACCACGCACCACACTGGAATTAGCTTAGTCGTTTCTTCTATTCCCTTTCATAAATACCGCGAACCTTTATACAGTATGTACAGCGCCGAGCAATGTAGCCTTCTCCCTTGGGAATATGGCGGAAAGAAAGAATTTTCAAAATCCTAATTCTGAAGATATTAATTTAGAAAAAGTTAACATAATTTTGTAATTTTAAATATTATAACATTTATACTTATTATTATTAGTAGGATTTTTCCCTAGGGAAGGCTACATTGCTCGGTGCTGTACAATATCAATCATAGTGTCCGTTCGTCTAGTGTATTTTGTAATTTCAAATAAATTATTGAATATTCTAAAGCTTTTATCAGATGATTATGTTAATTATTTTGACGCTTTTATTACATAATTAGATTTATCCAAGTCAGTGCTTTTTCACTAAACGAACGGACACTATGATTGATATTGTACATATATCACAAAGAGAAAAATTCCCAAGTCTGCTTTATTAGCTTGGCGAAACAAGTGTCTCTGCACACTCTTTACGAAAATACATTACATAATGAAGAAATACACGACACGATAATGAAAGAATTGTTCAGGCATAGGTATACGTGACTTTCAGTTTCAATGGTGTCAGAGACGTCGAAAGTTTCGACGAGTTTGATTGCTAAATCGCAAACCGAGGCGACGTCTTCCCACAATGCACGTACACCGTGGAATTAATAGAAGTTTCTGATAAATTTTCTCAGACCTAAAATCGCAATTTTTCTTTCTAAATTATATTTTGTTACCGACCGATTCGCGCCAATATGTAGTAGCGACCGCTTACTATTCGCCGGAAACGGAAGAACTTGACCTTCTCCCTTTTCCGTGTTACTAGAACCATGACGGACCGTTGCGAATAAAATCTCCCTGCATTTCATCTACAGGATTCGTGAGCTGACGCACCGTGAAACCTGAACCTCAACCTTGCACGTTGAACGGACACGCGTTTTTAACGACAGGTTACTGGTATCGTATCGAATGATAACAGCTGGCTGCTGAAAATTTACCTCTCGAAAAAGAACGCGACATCCTTTGTTACCTTCCCATATGCGAAGGGGCACTGCACTTTGTCGCAGCGTGGCCGACGGAAGACGCCGTTATCCTACCGTTAATTACAAAAAATACATTGAAAAACCTCAGTAACATTGAAAATGTATAGAATATGACGCTACAACTCTTCTAATTTAGAAAAACTCTTCTAATTTAATAATAACACTGGCACTGAGGATACACGTTTCCCGCGAAATTTGAATTTTGAGGTTAGAATCCGGAAATTCTAGATTATTCTATACCGATTCATACATACCTATAGAAAAACTTGGTTTTTTCTCTATGTTTCATCTCCCTTGAATGATATTAAAAAAATTGGGATAGGTAAATTGTAAAATTGTGAAGCACGACAAAGAGAAAAGATGGCTCGCGTTTTTAACAATAGCAGGACGCAACGGTTAACCGGCCTGGTACTAGTCAACTAATTAAGCCGCCACACCGAGTTGTCAGTTCGTTAATTGGTAGACCGATTAAAAGCACCGTTGAACGCTTTGGATATCGTTTCGCATAGGGCAAGGTCAGAGTCCTAAGGACTGTACCAGACGACCGACGATACAGCCGGATTCCTCTTACCCGGTAATCCGCCGCGGTGACAGAGAACGGAGCGGATGTAAAAATAGTCTTACAGACGCCGAGGTTCAAGACCTCGATGTATAGATAACGACAGTACTACGATAATCTTATCCATGTGGAATTACAGCACAGCTGTGTTTTTGCGTGTAAACAACAGGAGAGAGGCGAACGAGATACCGTTGACGTGCGAAAACATTCGAATTTTGTGAACATAGGTATACCTCTCTCTTGTCTCGAGGATGGCTGTGACATGGGAGAGTTTCCGTTCCCTGTGTTTACCACAAATACGTGCAAACGCACACACTGCGTAAAGAAGATATAAATCTAAGGGAGAACCGTGCGCGAGATAACAAAACGCGGTTCACTCGAGTTCGAGGGGTTTCGTATGCAGGAGGAGACAACAAAAGATAACGAACGATAAGAATCTCTTTCTCAACAGGCGATACCTGTACGGAATCTCGCAACCGGATTACGAAAAGTTTCTTCTGACCTATTTCTGAAGATGCTGCACAACACACTTCCGGGGAGTTTTTCTTTTCTTCGCTTGAAAAATATACGCCGTGTACGCGAATAGCATGAAACATTCGTCGCTCGGAGAAGCGTCTAGAGATTCGTGTTTTTCGTTTTGAATTCTGATCTTGAAAAGTAGAAGTGTAGGTAATTTCACGGACACGAAATGTAGACGTTTGTTTCAGGAAGATTCGAAAAAGGTCACTTGACTTTGCGAATAAGTTGAATGTTTTCTAACGTACACGATACGAGAGAGCGAGATGCAACGAATGCTTAAATAGATGCTGTCGTAAACTTACCGAAAGGACGCTTGAAGCACCTCACGAAACTCCTTTGTATCCAGGGCAGTGAAAAATCCTCGTGGTGACACCGCGATTAACGAGTTTTGCATACATCTAAACACACTCACTAACACTAAGAGCAGAGCACTAAACGAATTTTCGCACACGTCCGCCTTGACCTCACGATCTGACCGGTAGATCGGCAAGAATTTCACGAAAATCACATTGATAACGTTCGACCGTCAGCTTGCTTCGGAGATCATAGACCAGCTGTGTTTTTGCCCGACCATTGAGGAACTCGTGCATGCGCACTAGGCTCACCGACGCCATCTTAACTTTCTCGGGAGTAGGAAAATATACCGCGCGTAATTTGAACTGGGTTGCTTAGAACAGCCGATTAGTTTATCAGTACTACTTTGTTAACATACGTTATTAATTTTTTTAAATTGATTATCCGAATTCTTAAGGACAATACTACTGTTATATTTGTATTTATTATTACGCGAGAAGGTTTTTGATATTTTTAACACATTTCATTCTGTAAACGTAATGAATGCTTTAGGTTATTAATAAATGTGTAACATTAAAATAGCATCGGGCAAATTAATGCTTCAGGAACTATAAATTTAAATATCAATATTACTATGTATATGAAAGCACATTCCTTTAAAAATAATAAGCTATTTATACTTTGATTACGTATTGTCGACATTTTAGCAAATTCGTTTTGAATGAAAAAGTTGAATGAGATGAAATAGATGTAAGTAACAAAATGTTCTATATGTAATAGAAAAAATGTGAGAATGTGTTTAATAACTAAAAAAATCGGGCCCCTCCGGGATTTGAACCCGGGACCTCCTGCACCCAAAGCAGGAATCATACCCCTAGACCAAGAGGCCTCGTTGGTAAGTGCTGTAATAGCAGTGTTGATAACGAACAAACTCATGTACTTTTATTTATATATATAAATTATCTCTATAATCTCAATTTGAAAATCCACCTTATAATAATACTATTGTGTTGAAAATATTTATAAAAACATACGATAAATCATTAGCGTCACACATTTTTGAGTTACATATTTGAAAGTCCTCATATGTATACGTACCTCTAATAAAATGCACATACCCATACTAGCACAAAGCTCAGTTATTTAAATTAAACACTTATACATTGAGTTTTCAACACTTAATTTTCATTTTTAAACTTAGAAATGTGCAATTTGCAAACAGTACCTGTTCCGTTATCTAACGGGGAACGGAGAAACTAACGAAACTAACGAATCAAAAAACTTCTTTTTTTCCAAGCAATTAAAAATGCTCATACGCTATTGAAATAAATAAAATATCCTACAATCTGCATATAGTTAAAATAATACCACCACACTATAATTAAAACGTTAAATTTGACAATTAGAACACGTGCACTTACCGGAAACAAGAATTCCGCAGCCATCTAGTGGCAACCTACAGGTACTAACCATGTTGCTCACTAGTTTTTTAATTTTGTCATAAACATTACTTCCAATTTTATGGATAAAGGCATAATTGTAACAGGTATGATTAATGTACTTACATTATTTATTCTTTATTAGGGATACTTCATTAAAAATGATACAAGGATTATTAATTCGTGTATTTTTTATAAATGTATATTCACAATAATAATTAATTGATATTTTCGTGATATTAATCTTTTTGTAAGCGATAACATTATACAAGGAGTGATATAAATTTTATAAAAAGGAATTTCTTTCAGACTTATCCCTGTGGAACAACAATTTACAATTTAATTGTTGAAAGTAACAATTACACCTTACAAATAAGAGGAATACCGAGATGTGTGACCATTTTCTTTATCTCAGACATCAACTGCTACCATCTGTGGTAAATATCTTTCCTTCGGATTTAATTGACAATCGTTAAATACCACATTTATAATTATAGGATATTGGCATAATAAAAATCACATTCAGAACAGACAATAGTATAATTGTAGACAATTTTGTAAGTCTTTTTCGATTCGCATATAATTGCTGCTATTAATTTCTATATCATATTACAAACAGCATAATGATATACATCTTAAGTTAATACTTGTCAGTACATTTTTATTGATATCAAAATCTAACGAATAATTATATCAAGTTAAGAAATACCGTTCAATAAACATCGAAAAAGGACTACAAAGTGCACTTGCCAATTGTTTCTCACACTTGGTACTTATAGTTTTCACATGTAGAACAGGATATATATTTCTTATCGAATTTCGATAATAAAAACAATTATCTGCGCTTTTTTACAATAGTTCTGGCAGTGAACAGCTCTTACAACACACCCTATATATTGCTATTTATATAAATGTATCTGTACAATCCTAAACAGTTGTCGAACTAAATCGTCTCACTTGAGTAGCGTAGTTTAGTTCGCTACCACCATGTTTTTATATTTTAAATTTCCCGTTAATATGCAAATTTTATTTGCACTTCCCTTATAGTAAGAATAAATAAGTGTACCTGTTACAAATCCTTTATAAAATACTTACGAGTGAAATAGCGTTTTCCCCGGTAATCGTAAACGATGACTACTAAAGAATAATAACATTAAATAAATACCCGTCTACTTAATTTACATCGTACATCTGCTTACTTACACCGTAGCGAAATATAAACACAGTTATCAAACACGTTCATATGTATATACATACATTACATTGATTAGTCAATATATCCACATATGAAATTTAAGTTTTTGCTATTAAAAGTACACAGCTGCGCACTTGATTAAAAATGCATTAATTCAAATTGAAACACTTTCGCGCGCAACTCCACCCGCCCCTACGTAATCTATAAATGTGGCGCAGTTACATTGATTATAAAATGTAAATGTTTATTGAAATTATACTTTTACTGTGTATATACGCTAAATTGTTTCAAATACCGTTCCATTACGAAAATATTTATGGTATCGTCTTGGCGTCCTTGCTTAACTACATCTGAGAAAACCAGATGTCGCACCATTGACATTTATCGTTAGTGATCTCTGAGCAGTCTAGGTTGCAAACGGTGTTACCCTCCATTTTCGAATAAGTCAAGAACAAACACGTTGTCTTGAAACAGCAGTTATTTTCTTCGGTAAGCTGTATCAATATTAAAAATCTTTCATTAATACAAGATTATTTACTATATCGAATTCAATGGAATGCGGTATTGCGTTTTACGCGTCAATTATAGGATTTATTGTCGCCGGCGTGGTCGGTGTTTCGTGTGATGTATCGTTTAACATTAACGTCGTCGTTGGTTCTTCCCTTGAATTTTGATCAGCTTGTCTGCTTCCAGGTGGAATATACGTCCACCAGGCTAAGAAAAAGAAAAGAAGGGACGCTGCCTTGCCGATAAAAGCTAACGCCAGCATGTACCTGAAAAGAAGTTCAACAATGGTGAGTGCTTTATACGTATTTGCATACAACATTTACCCTGCTTTTAAAAATCATCCGGTGCAAACCTGCTCATATATAAATTGTCATAAACGAGGCAAGCTCCTCTGCCCTCGCATGTCTCGTTCCACAAGATACAAGTATCGTCTATAAGAGCACCAAAAACCATGGGTGCTGGTATGGTGCCCAGTATCCTAACTTTAATCCACTGAATACCCAAAGCGAACGACCTTTGGTCGTCTCGTACGACCCGAAGGGTCGCCGATAGTGCTGGCATGGTGCAGAGAAATGTAATAAGCATATTGCAAAAGGCTAGGGCTATAAAGGGCCACAGATAGGAACACGACGTGTTGCAAGTTGTATTTATCGCCTCGTAGGTTATAACATCGCTTCCGGTAGTTAAGTTAATAGGTGGTGCGCGTATGCAGGCGCAGTCCGAGTATACCTGTGAAATAAAAAATTCAATTTCCTTGAATCCACCTTGATTTTTAATTTATATTCAAAGCGAGATTTCGCAACAAAATCCTCGGCAATGTTTTACCAACATAATATACGATTCCAACGAGCAAAGTGTATATTTGTATGCATACTAAATAAGATAAGGAATGTTACTGACTTTGACATCGTTTATCCGCGTTTCCTGATAACATCCTGCATGGCACGGGGAATAGTACGTGATTCCATCCACACCGCATATTGGACTAAATTCTGATCTTGAACAACCGCAGTTGTTATTGCACGCGTCATCCAACGAGAAAGATTTTCTGAAAAATTATTCGATTATTATTTAATACCTATATTCGAATATTATGAGTTAGACGTATTAAACCCTTAAGCGACGTACTTGGTCTGGCCTGAATAGGGTACCGTAACTCCAGCAAAGTTCAAATTCGGGCAATTTAAAACGAAACACAAAGTGAAAGCGATACAGGAAGCGGTGGCCAGTAGACAGAACTTCAAAATGCCCGAACAGGGCAGATTAAAGCGTTTTATGAGATAACCACCGAGAAAGGTACCCCCGCCGCCTGCAGGCACGGTCACCAAACCTAAAAACAAAAAATCAAACGCTTTCATTTACGCGAGTCGCGTACAGGAGCTTTTGAAATTTCATGGAATCGCGTTCAAATACTGCTGGATCGTAAATATCCCTGGGGATCGGGTATGCAAAAACACGTATAACACCGGTCAAAACTACTGCTCAAAAGCCATTCAGGATTTACAGGTATTTAATATTTAAGCTGTTTTCAAATTGTCATCAAAAGAGACAGAAAATACGAACATTTCAATGGAATTTCTAAAGCTTCTGAGAGACAATATATGTATGTTCGATCGATAAAAATGAAAAAACGTTTAGCTATTTAGCGTAAAATATGGTCGATCGTAGGTGTAACCAGGGGTGGGAACGATTTTGATTGATTATAACAGAAAGTTTCAATATTATTCACCCATTAGTAACGCGGCTGAGCTAGCGCTGACGTTGAATTGATTTTCGATCAGCTTCGGTAGAAACGCAGCGAAACCAGCTATAAGTAATCCTTCACTTGCACCTGCCAGGTTCAACATGAAAAAGCCCGGATTACCGAGCAGATCGGTCAGTGCTCGTGGCAGTTCGCGTATTTTTGAAAATGCCTCCCCGCTTTCGCTCGAGGGCGATTGTTTCGATTGCTTCTCGTGCGCTTCCGATACTCTTTCCTTGGCTAATTCCTCGGAACCTAGAAAAGTGAAAAGTCTAATTTTCCTAGCATTTCATCAAAATGCTCTGTTTTCAATAAAAAAAAAAAATAATGTTCCGGTACCTGGCAACGCGGGAGGAAACGCCAAGATCGGTATAGCAATGACGAAACACAAAACCGCAGCCCCTAGAAAACCTATCCACCATGCTCCGACCCACACGTTACTGTCCGGTGTTAAACCAATTCTGAAATGATCGCAGAGTTCGTTAGAAAAGAAACGCATTAGTGTAACTAGACGTTACGAAGCAAAGGGTTAAACGTTTTAAAGCGCGGCCGATATTAAGGGAAACCCGGTGAAAAAGTAGGACGCGGTGTGCGTAAATAAAAGAACGGCGAATGTTTCCCCGTGAAAAATGTAATTATCCTGAAACAGTAGCAACGGTTTCGTTCCAACGCTTGGATAGAACGGAATTACTTCTCCGGCATAGAAGTTCCGGCTTAACCGACCGATTTCCTCGCGCTTTTTTAATTGCGCCCGCTCAGAAATTCCCAACCGACCACCAGGCTTCCTTCTGCAACTTTTCCGACAAATTGCCGGTCCACGAGTATGTACAGTCGAAAGCTATTTCCTTTTTTGCACGCGTTCCTGGACCGCAACTACCCCTATCTCTCTCTGTTTGCCTCGATAATTTTCCCTCCGGGTAAAAGTACGGTAATATCCGGCCGACCATACGTTCCTGACAATCATAATCTTCGAGACTAAACGAGGATATCTCTTTTGTTCCTCGATCGCGTCAATTTTCGGCTAAATTTTTCATTAGACCCTCGTTAGATCATTTTCTTAATTATGGGGTTGAAATTGACTCGAATCCATTACTACTGACGATCACAAGAGATTCCTTGGAAATCTCGACGACAAATACATATAGGATACGCTATCTCGGCAAGGAAAGCGAAAAGTGAGAAGGCGGAAAACTGTGAAAAGTAGTTGGGAACGAGCTTTGAGCAAGTTGTGCTCGATGCAGCATCTGCCGTCTCAGGGAAAACTCTTTTCATTTGCCTGCGAAATTAAACGCGCCGCATATACGATCTACTCTCAGACGTAAGCTTGCACAGCCGGAAGTGGCCGTAACGCAAGCAGTTACCCTTTCCTTTTTCTTCCTTTTCGTACCATTTCGAACAGACGTCGTCGCGTTGGAAGGAAAATGTAATTGCACTCGTCAAGAAATGCTATTAATTTTTTTATCATATCAAAAGCGTTCGTTCTTTGATCCTGGAAAGTAATCGATGAGAAACGAGACGATTTATTTGCTAATTATTAAATTGCATCTCCCTCTGTTTCCAATAAAATCAATCATCTTTACTTCGAAGTTCTACGAAACTTGGAATCTTTACGGATAATATTATTATATTTTATTATTATTTCTCGATTCATTTATGCTCTAATGTTCTACCGATAAACGAAGCAGATATTAGCTTCTTCGGATGAAAGTTCCGTTTACTTCCGACAGGCTGGACTCGTTTTTTAACAGCAAAACCCGAACCAAGAGGTGATTGATTGCCCGGAAATGGCTGACTAACCGTGCGCGATCATCCCTTAGCAAACTTAACCGCATTTCCTACACTGACACCAAGATCATCCTACTTTTCTATCCATAAGCTTCAAAAAAGAATAAAAGGATAAGAATAGTAGCACTTCTGATAAATTAAGCAATTTTACTTGTAATCAAGACACAAAACCGTTGTACATATATCCACCTCTGGAAAAAGATTCCTACCGAAATACATCCCAGTTTATCTGTAACACGGTACACAAGAGAAATGACGGAAAAAAGCATACGGGAAGCGAAATCGATAGTCGAGCCATTTTAAAGTAAGATTCGAAAGGATGGAAACCGTTGTTGGAAATACTTTACACGGTCGACAATTCGATTTACCATGGTATGCGCGACGGTGGTATACGTCTGAGCGATAAAATAGGCAAAAAATCAAATGGGGGCGGTGGAGGAAAGAAAAGAGAGAGGGAAGGATGGTGGGTACAGGAACGACGATTAATTCGATTCTCACGTGCATCACGGTGGTTGGAGTGACTCAACGAAAGGGCTCGGGACGTTCCGTAGGGAGCCGAGTAGACAAATGGAACTTGATTGTCCTCTAAGTGTCGGGGGATGAAGTGACAGTTTTGAAGGGTAACATCGGCGTCATCGTCAAACATTGGTTCACCGCTTGACATTTTCCCCATGGGGTGTGCGTGTACCACGGGGTTACATGCACTATTAATCGCGGCCCATTATACGCTCTAATGGGCTGCCGGGATTATTTTCAACGGGGTAGATCCTCCATCTTTTAAGACGTGCCCCCCCCCCCCCCCCCCCCCCCCGACATTCATAATCGAACCCTTTCTATTAAGGAATTTTGGAAATTACGAAAATTTCACGGACGCCTTTCCCGGATGGTCTAACGAATTGAAACAAATTAATTGGTACTGCGAGACGCGACGATAAAGAGGGGAAAAAAGAACATCGAAACGGGCATCCTCATTATCGTCTAAAGGACAAGAATCCAGTAATTAAACGTCGCAAACACGTCTAACGATGTTTCCTCCTCGCTCCGGGGAAACGTCCTTTCAAGGCAGAGATGGATTATAAAAAAATTCGATACACACCGGGTTCTGTTTGCAGAGCGTTGCAAAAAGATTAATCAAATTTTTGAATAATTTTAGCTGATTTATCTGAAATTGCTCTTTTTGTTCCAATTTTTTGATCACTAAAAATGTCCCGAGTCTGGTAACCCGTCACGAGGATCAGGAACAGGATATACTTGCGTTCCACCGGATGTCAGTTATTCCATAGAGCACACACGTTTCTCGTGTAACCGGAACACGAGTGCATACCCGCACACCTATCTGTCGGACAGATCGGAGCAAACAGCCGATAAATCCTAGCGAGAATTTAATAAAGTTGCCGTGACGCGCGGCTAAACTCTCCCCTCGGAGAGGAGGGGAAAAAAAAAGCGGGAAACGTGTTGAACGTGGCAACGAGAGGCGACAAATTCCGATGGTGCAACCCATTACGCGTCATTCCCTATCGGCATTCGACCGCTATGAACCCCTTTACATCGTGAAACGCATAATGAACGCGGACAACCTTCCAGTCATTGTTCGTCCGCTGTAATTCTTTTTACTTGCTCCGCGAAGGCGTAGCAATTAAAATTTCCTGATGACAGAGAAAATATTTCGAAGAAATATGAATTCACACTCACTCGGACGGGTCCACCGTGAGGAAATCCGTGTACAGCTTCAACAGTTCGCCTCCAATTACGTAGCCTAACGCGGGTCCTATTATGGCCATCGTGTAGAAAATTCCTAAACAGAAGACACGTTTCTTGAAAAATTCAGATCTCAATAATGTAGGCGTTTAATGGAAGGGGAAGGCGGTGAGTCTCCCCGGGCGCCCTTAGCTTGGATCGGCGACCGCCAGGTGGCAGCGGGATTTGGATCCTTTCTCGCTGGCGGTCACCCGGCATGAGTTCCAAAAAGCGGAGTTATAGGCGTCCGGGGCAGGGATCGTCTGGCAATTTCAATTTTTTGAGTGTTTTGGAGATCTAAAAAATTCCTTACCCACGTATACAGAGGACATTTTCTTCGACACGTTCTCGTCTATGTAGGTGACACCTAGAGTGTAAAAAGGAGCGGAACCCGCACCGTGAAGAAGTTGGGCCATTAAGAAGATAATTAAGTACAATCCACTGTACGGCTCCTGGTCTGTTTGACCCATGGATCCATTACAGGATATCTGAATAATGGGAACGCAAATACGAGTTTATAGTTTATTAATAAATTGAAAATTATTTGAGATGCTCACTGAACGTGACGACGAGGTGTTATTCACCCTCTGGCACATGTTTTCTGATTGCTGGCCACCTCTGTAGGGTCCGGCAAGGTAATGGGGTGACGCGAATAGCAGACTTCCTATGCCTAAGACTAGAACTCCTATACCTATATACCTGAAAAATAAATTAATCTGTAAAATTTTTTCTCGATCGGAGGGTATCGATCTCTACGAGGGTTATCGATTATCGATTAAGGATCGAACCGTCGAGGATACACGGGCGAGGGTAGAAAGTGTCGAGGCAAAGGAACGAAATGGAGATTAACGTCGACACTGTCGGCCCGGCTGACGTTAAGATTAATATTTATGAGAACTGCCGGGTTGAACTGATATCAGTATTAATATTAATAGGCAGGACAATGGCCTGTACACGGGCATACGTATATTTCATTATATAATCAGTCCCTTGTTATTTCACCATTCTGAAATAATGTAACTTTTTAACATAATGTTTATGAGAATACTTTTTATCTATCCTGGCATTTTATAGAAAATTTTCATCAATAATTTATCATTCATTCGTTTTTGTCTTATTGTTAGTATTCTTCGTGTTTCAAGGGGTTGGTGTTGCAGATACATGTTTCAAAACTAAGGGATTTAATTATTCATATTGCAAGTGTAGAATTTCTTGGTACCTTGGTTTCGATGCTTTCGAACGTCCACCCAGATAGCTGACTGGGACAAGGATCAGAAAACTAGCTATGTCGTATCCTCCTGCTATCAGACCAGTTTGCGACGACCTCAAACCGAATCTCCTCTCTATCGTGGTGATAACGACGTTTACAAAACCGTTCACCACCATTCCTGTAAAATAATATTTTGAAAAATATCAAAGCGGATATCTGGAAAATATTCCATTTCCATGACGCAATAGAATGATCTGTTAATTATGTAATAAATTTCTTAGACACGATCAACCGGTTAGACGAGAGGAATTAATGATTATGCAATTCAGTTCTTAGACTATCAACTGAAAAATATTATTTCTAACAAGAAAATAAAGGTTAGAAATAGCTGATTTCATTTTCAATCTGTCAATCACCAACACATGGTGACTTCTTTTTGATTTATTTTATTTATTTCACAAATGAATGATCCTTTGTTCAATTGATAAGAGTTCGATTTCAAATTCAAAATCAATTACTCCAAGGCTATTTTCAAATCCAGTTCAAACTATCAATTATTTAAATCTCTAATTATATTCAATCGTACACGTAAAAGTGAATACTCCAGGTCATACGTTCGCTTCATTGATTTCGTTGCAGTTCGAAAATAGCCGTTCAATCGATACTCGAGGATTTTAATAATATCCTCGATCCGTGTCCTCGTTCTCAGCCAGCGATAACGTCGGTCCAGGATAAAAGCTGTCCTCTCCCGTTTTGATCCTCTGTATTCGGCAAAGCAAATCCGCGTGCCGCGTGTAAACGAATCAGAAAGGGTAAACTAATTGAATTACGTCTCCCCTCTGCGACCCGGTATCCGCTCACCCTTCAAGAAATCGTTCTCTCGTACGTAAATCTATTAAACACTTCTTTCTCACGAATATACAGCGCTAATCGACCCCCCCCCCCCCCCCCCCCTTCAACCCTCGATCGAACTCGTTCGATATAATTCGAAGCTGCAAACAAACCATAGACGAGGCGTCGAATTACAAATAGAGAGGCAGGACACACGGTGTGCCATCGTATCGACTGACAAAAGCATTCATCTGTTTTTGATAAAAATCATTTTTGTTCGTGGAATTCTACCGAAGGACCCTCGTTCTCCTTTCGAAATTTAACAATTTTAGTGATAATCTATTGCAATATTGCAAAATAATAAATTTTCTAGGGGATCAATTGATATCTTCTTAATAATGATCGATAATATCGTTAAGACGAGCGAAGCAGAATGTAACGCGACATCCGGTCCTCGTCATGCCGGAAAATTAACCAGCTTCGTTTCCCATTGTCCGGTTAATAGGAGAATTTTAATTAAACTCGGCCCGCCGAGCAGTGGACAATTTGTTTCTCCAGCTGCGCGAGCACCAGGATCTCGATACGTGTACGTGCGTGCACTTAGGCCTGGCGAACTTACAATTCTCGACTTATACAGACTATTGCCGGCTGCCTATTGTCCAGCAATTTGTTCAATCCCGTTCGCAGCAGAGAAGGCACGAACCTCCACAGGACGATTTCTTTTGTCGTGCCCCGAAGAAGGCAGAAGGGGCACGAACAAACTTGTTTAAACTAAGTACCTCTACGCTCTGCACTGTTGTTCGCCCTTTTCTTTAACTTCCCCCCCCCCCCCCCCCCCCCCCCCCTCTTCATCTTCACTGTAACATCACCCTACCTCGACCTTCGTTTCCTATACGAGTTCGTCTGTCTCCCTTCGGTCGACGTTCACCACCCTCGAACGTGCGTCAACCTCCTGCCAGCGTGCCGGAAAACTCGATTTCCGGTTATCGTCAGTCACCGTCGACTCGCCCTGCCATCCCTTTCGGATCTCCCCGTGAAAGCCTCGAAATTGCATTCGAATGCACGGCTATTAGTAACGCCAAACGGCGATATCGAGTCAATCAGCATACGCTTTCGATGGAGAGAGAAACCGGTTGGATTATGTGGGAAAAAATCAGCGTAGATTTGTTCCCGGTATCGGAGATATTCCGTTTGACGAATGTGACAGAGAGTTTCAGGACAGAGTGGTCTTTCGATGCGCTCGTCGTCGATGGATTTTTAATTGATCGAGATTTTAATTTATGACAGAGTGCTTCATTTTCAATAAAATTTGGATATAACGTGATACTGGAAAAAGTATTAGATATGTGTTTTTTTTTTAAGTAAATAGCCAAATTTTTTCTAAGGGGTGGAAATAGTCGTTACTTGTTTTTCTTATGACTTCCTGTAATTATTAAATCAAATTTATATTTCATACCTTGTATTGCACCTGTCCAACACAGCCAGAATAACGCCCATTTCGCGGTTCGAAATTTCTGCAAGGAGATGGGCCTGAACCATAACCAGCCACACTTTGGATTATCCGTCGACCTGTCCGATTCCTTCGGCGCGTCCGGCTTTATTTCCGGTTTCCTCGGACCGTCTCCGAACTGTTCCGGAAAACTAGACAGTGTCTCGTGCATGTCCGGCACCGCCGACTGTAAATCATATTATTCAAATGATACATTCACCGCCCAATTGTGTCGATTAATCTTGAGACTAATAAATGATTATTAAGGATAATTAATCGAAGCTTATGCGGGTAGATTCTGATATTGAATTACAAGGGAATTATTTAAATTATTAATTGATTAAAGAAATTCATTTATACCTATGTTTGCGATCGTTTTCAAACAGGTTAGAATTGCAAATACACTCGAGGTAATTAATTATTGGAAATTATCTGGAGGATAGCAAACAACTCGAACTAATGCATTCCTAGTTTCCAGTTTAATATCTCATATTTTATCGTCGTATCTCCGACGTGAACTCGTCGGAGCTTAACATGTTGAAATGATAAAGTCATATAAATACGATGTTTAACAGGTTATATTTAGTGAATTAATCTATGACTCATTCGATATAATTAGGTAATTACAAATGAAATTAGCAATTTAACTAGAAAGCTGTCAACAAATAAGTAAATTCAAATTTTCCCGCGTAAACGTGACAGGGCCCACTCCCCTCCACAGTCAGTTCTCCCCGGGATGTCGACGGGGAAGGTTGGGAAACAGGGAGATCACTGTTTTTCCCGAGGAAAATTAATTTAATCGCAAGCGAGATAAAAAAACAACGTTATTTATGGAATGACCCGATATCTCGCCTCCTAATTTTCTAATCAGGTCATCGAACAGTTTCCAATCACGTTCCCTTCTAAAATAAACATCGATTCAATTCAGAGCACTTACGCTGAATGAAAATTTATCCCTCATGATTGTTGCTCGCTTTTCTCTCTTTAAGAACAACACGAAGAACCACCTTCTTCAATCTATCGGTCCGATCGCGACATTTTTACCTCTCCTCTTCGACCGCTAATTAATTCTTCTTATCAAAAACGATGAAAGTCTTCTAAATGGTCCCAAAGGAAAGTTCCCTCGTGACGATGAAAAATCCATCGAGCGTGTCTCGTTTCACGAGGTTGTTTCTCATCGCGAGAGAAAGTGATCGCGTGGCGTATTGAAAACGGAACTTCCGGTCGTTGGTCACGCTCCGTTGTCCGTGAAGCTGAGAGTAACCGCGAGAAAACTCTCCATAATTATCCTCGGATCAAATGAATTCGTTTTTTCGCGAGGATGAAAAGCTTGCTTTATCGATGCTCTGTCATTTGTCAAACTTCCTGATAGCAGAGTGCATCCGTTTCCGATACAACGCGTCTTACAGCAAAAAAGGCTGGAAAAGTTACTAGGAACGATTTTTCTCTCTCATCGAGTGGCATCGTTTATAAATCCTTCGGAAAGGTAGATAAGCGAACAACCACCTACTGTTTCACCTTATCTCGCATGAAATATTCACGAGGAAAAATTTATAATTCTCCTCGGATCGCACTGAATTTTAATCCCCTCTGTTTTCTTTTTCATTGATCACAGGAACGATCTTAATTGAACCGTCACCTTCTGAGACGCTTTTCACACTTGCACTGAATTTTCTATTTTATTATCTCTGACACTAATTTTCCATTTTTATTTGCAAGTTTCACTATTCTATCATACCAATTTCAATTTTCACCCTTTAATGATTTTCTACTAGTTACCGAAACCTAATCACCGCCAGATTCATCGGTAAGTTCAACAGGCGATCGAGCACGACGTTGTTTCGTTCGAAACGGTTCGGAGTGCAATTTTGACCCGTACCGGCTAAGGCCGCGTGTCGCACGCGACTGAGGATCGCGAGCTCGTGCACTCAGAGTTTTCCTCGCGAGTTAAAACGCCGTATATGCTACTACTACCGCTACTCCGATACGACAGACACCTTCTGTCCTTCTCTTTCCTTTCCCTCTCCAACCTTTCCTATACATCTTTCTCTCTTCGATGCTATCTACCTCCTCCGTTACACTTTGTCCGTGTTTCTCCCACCTTTTCATCCCCCTCCCTATATATTTCTCTCCCTCTCACGCTTGCTCGCTCTTTTTCATCTTCATCTACCCTTCGCGCACCCTACAGACTACCTTTCCACCCCTGTTGAACCACCCCTACTAGCTGTTGCTTCGGTCAAGAAGCGAAAAAAAACAGCTCGCGCGCAGCGATCTGATAAGACTCATTAATTCGCGTTAATTGCAGCGATAAGGCGACCGGGTGGTATTCTGAGAACTGTAAGTTGTTTAATCGCATGGTCGGATTTGATCTTCTTTCTTCTTTATTCTTTGAATAATTTTATTTTATATTTCATATTATTCAAGTAAAATTGTCAAACTGCACCAAAAATAATCAATGTAGAATGAATTGCACAACAAGTAACAGGGTGGAGGAGATTAAAACCACGATAGAATGAAACGAAACAGATATCGTCGTTGCGTAAATTGCTTTCCTCGACTTTTGACCGCAGTAAAACGAACAATCGGTAAACGAACTAAATAGATAGGACGCAACATCGCCGTCGGATGAGACCGATAACCAGAGTTCAAACTTTACCATTACTATTTTCCTAGCTTGCCCGCGTAACGAGTCTCTTAATGTGCTGTTGTATCGAGAAACGCATTTGTCTTCCGGCGTTCCATTAACGAACCAAGCCGGTTGCTGGTCGATTTCAGACACCAGCACCGGTGAAACGAGCGAAAAGGTGAACGCGATAAGGGTCACGGGAGGACAGTAGCTACTTACACTAGGTTCGAGGAAAAGCATGAGCGAGAAAAACGGTAGAGAAGCGAAGGGAATATTTTATAGAGACTTCCGTACGCCACGAACTTTCTCATATTTCAAGACGAGGTAGGTCAGGCATGGTATCAACCTTCGGGGACGTGTTTCGAATTTATGACGGTAATAACCCAAGTATGCAGACTCGAAAAGTTCCGAATAAATCATGCCTGATAATATTGGTCATCTTCGAGGGCCACCTAGCTTTGAGATTTTGTAATTATTAGGAAAACGTAAGTCGATGGAGAATCCTGTTCCGAGTCCTTAAACGAAAGTCACTACAGTGGCTTAATTATAATTAAGCTGTCTGATAAGGTGGTCCAAAGATAATTAATCTCTGTTATAAAAAAGATTGTTTAAATTTCTTAGGAAAGGGAATTTTTTTTAATAAAAATAGACGCGGCTATTCTGTGACCCGCTGAATCTTGGTTGCTTTTTGTCGGATGGAATCTTCTTGTAAAAACGCGATCAGAGCCGCGTGGGCGTCAACCCGGGAAGTAGATATTTGAGAAAACACAGGGGGATAAATTACTGTTGTATAGCTGGCGCAGGAAGTGGCTCTGAGGATGACTTTAATTATGCGGCTGGAATTACCATCGTTTATATGAATAATTTTTGTTGCATTTTAAGTCGGTGGTTCCATGACCCTAACGCTCTAAATTTCCACAGTTCCAAAATTCCAAAAAGCAAAGTTTCTCCATCAAACTTTCACGAAAGCCCCTAATTTACCAACGTGCAAATAACACGAAAGAGACATTTGAAAAAGCAGCGTTCGAACGATGTTTCTGCCACGTTCCATGGAATACGGGAAATCTAAACAGCGTGATCGCCGAAGGCGACCAATCGAATATGTCGCGTTCATTAAATGGACATTCGTGGACGACTTGTTTGACCAACGGGCAGACATTAACGTGTGCTCGAAGAAAAAAAACGCAATATACGAGCCGCATCGGCTTGTACCGGTTTCACAATGGGAACGGCGTGTGTCCAGATTCGTTTGCTCAACGCAAACGTGGATCGTGCGCGTTTGAAAAGCGGAGAGGGATAAATACCCTTTCGGACAGAGCAACCGGGGCACACGTTATGCCACGCGACCTTCTCGACATAAATTTCATGGATTTAATAAAGATCCATGGCTTCCGTTTTCGGGGGGGGGAGGGCCAGTTCACCGCCATCGTTCCGCCTCCACTGATGCAGCATTGCTGTTTCAAGCATGGAATCGACGATGCGAAAATATTATACAATTCTACTTCTCCGTTTTTTAAATTTATCATAGAATTTGGAGGATTATAATATACAAAAAAGGGAAGAAATTTCAACCCCTTGTGATATATCAATCTTGATACAATACCTGTATTCAGAAATTTTTAATTTTATTATAATATATTTTAATTAAATTATATTAATAGCAAAAGTTAGCTTGATACATCGTATGTTTACGGCGCGTGTCACGTCTCTACACCCGTGGGTGGCCCTCAGCTTTTAAAGGAAGTTTTCAATAATTTCCTATTGAATTTATTAACGCCTACGCGTTAGGTTTCAGGGGCACGCGTTAAATGATATGTCCCCTATATTATGTTGCTCTTCTGACAATTTACTTATTTAAAGTTTAGAAAACAAGAAACGGTAAAAGCATTTATTTCAGTTTGACAAGTTTCTTGAAATCAGGTCGATCTGTTCTGTACCAATCCGATAAATAGAATATTTTATAAGATCATGATGGATCGTAGTAGATGGTTTTTTAAAAATCGAACATTATCGATTTTACCGTGCAACAAATAATAGACGACCATTCCATTTAATCTCTAAATTAAAATCGAATGATATAAATTTCAGGAGAAAAATTCTTTTCTCCTTTCCCTAAAAACAACAAACAGCTGGTTCATTATCTCACCCTCGTTACGTTCACCAAAAAAGAATAAAAGAAACACTAGTTGCAATAAAGCGTTTGTTCCCCTCCACCCATGGTTTTAATTAATCGATAGCAATACCCAAGGTACCGACACGGTTTCTCTTCTTCCCTCCGGTAACAGATAAGACCGCGAAAGAAAAAAGGGGTGCACGTTCCGGTGTAAAATATTTCTTCGTTCAAGTCGCGACGATCGTCGAGTGGCGAGCGACTCTGCGAGAGAAAAGCGGCAACGATATTCTTACACGGCTGGGTGTAATGGAATACATTTCTGCACTTCTCTGCTCTCCGTTTTCCTCCGGTTCCGCCGCTTCTCGTCCCTCGTTTCGCCGCTCTTTCGGCCGCACTCAACGGCTCGCTCGGTTCGAAATGAAAACGAGCCTCAAAAGAGCTTTGTACGCGTTTCCGTCACGTTCGATATTCGTGCGTTCTTTTACGCCGTCACGTTTCCCGTCCTGCAAGGATTTCTCGCCGCGGAGAAAGAAACAGAGAGAGCCCTGCTTTCTTTCTTTTTTTTTTTTTTCTTCAGCAACATCTACCGACTGACGTTTGTCGCCTAAATTTCTTTTCTTCCGATCCCTTTCTCCTTTTGTCCCGGGCTTTCTTTTCGAATCGAAGCTCGCGAGGGTGGCATCGTAATTAATATTCGCCGAGAAAGCTCGCGAGTAATGAGCGACCCTTTCTGTCCTTCGTTCTCCTTGAAAATTGGGCTCCAGGGTTGCAGCCTCCCTTGATCCACCGGATGGATTTTCTGAAATTTTCTAAAATATTCTGGTATGTATTTATTTAAAAAAAAAAAAGGTTTTTAGTTTCTTGGTAGGGGAACCACTGTGCCTTTTCAACCCCCTCGTTGCGCTTTTGTATTACAACACCTAGCGGAAAGTTTCCGCGGATGTTTGCCCGCGTAACGGGTGACTGTGGCCCACACCGGTGCATTCCTAACGACTCCATTCAGAAGTAACTCGATTCGTGGGCGAGTATAAAGTGAGCACGTCAAACAGCTTGTTAATCCAGATTAAATGGCGACCGAGCGGCAAGCAGCGTTTCTCGCAAAACCCGCTGCCAATTATTTTGTCGGCCGTTTCTCTTGAATCGTTCGTTCGCCACTCTGTCCCCGGCTTTTTCCCATCCTCTGTCGTTTTCATCGACTAACGAATGCTGCAACGAGCCTCTCTCTCTTTCTCTCTCTCTCTCCCCCAGATTCTCATTTTCCATTTCACACGGGACAATGGCGCGCTCGCTACTTGTCGTTGCTCCTTTCAAAGAAAAATCCAACGTGGAAAAAAAAAAGAGAAAAAAAAATAGATACCCGGACGATTGATTGAAATTTTGCGGTCGATCGTGATTAATAAGCGCCACCGTGGACTTCTTCTATTTCTTTCATTCCCTTTTGATTTTCTAGTCTTCTCTGCTTTCGAGTACACAGTTTGTTTCCCGCTTTCGCGTGCACGGGACCGGTTCACCGGTGAGCCGATCAACGCGCTTGTTTCTCGGAATTCAAAGGGTTTTCGATTCGCCGCGTTGATATCGAGTGGAAAATGAAGCTTCGTTTTCCCAGAGAATTCGGTGACTTTTCCAATCGGATCGAAGAGAAAGCTCGTGCTGTGTGTTTGGTCACTTGGACTATATTGGATTGAAAGGTCGTGCTTCCCAGAAATCATTTATTCAATCGCTTTCATCCTCTAATTATTCATTTGTAAATACTACCATCAAAATTATGGAACGTTATTTTTTGGAAAAAGATCCAGAATGGAACAGGTTCGAAAGTTTAATCCGTTCTGATCCTAGCGTTCTTTGAAAACGCACCTGTGCACCCTTTGTCACGATATCGTCAATCCTAATCCTACTTTCGTAATCGTCGCCCCGTCGTTCCCACGGATCTTTTATTTTTTTTTTTTTTTTATTTTTTTTTTTTTGGCCGCGGCCCATTAATTTCGACGATGCTCGTCCTCCATCCGCCCATCCAGCTTCCTTTCTAACCATTATTTTTCTCTTCGACATCTTCGTGATGGCGTACCGCTACTCCTCGTAATTGCAGCACAATCGTGGCCCGCAGGCATTAACCGCGCACGACTACTATCACGGGAACAAACGGCTCGGCGAAACCGTCTCGTTCGCCACTGATAATACCGAAGGCAACGATAACAATGGCCGAGCGATGGGAAAAAATGGCTGGGTAGAGGAGGTGACGCTGTCTAAAGTATGTGGACCGCTTGAAATTTTCGTCCTATATTCCGTCGACAGATTAGACGAACAATCGTGTTGGAGAAAATTGGAATCTTCGTCGAGCGAGAACGAATAATGTCATTTTTTTCCGGCGTTTTCGAAGTAAAATGGTTGAAAAGTTAATTTATCAGATTCTAAGAAGAGATTCCTAATTTTTGGGGAGTGCTACGTCCCTGAGGGATAAAATTATTTTAGAATTTTAGAACAATAAGGGTTCCATTTTTTTTTTTGGAAGGGGGTAGATTCAAAAATTTTTCAAATCACCCAACACCATCGCAATTAGAATCTGGAAATTGCAGTTCGATCGAATCAGTCTCCATCAACCGCACCTCCCTCAACCACGGAAATGAACAATTACTCTGTTCATCTTCTCCCATAAAACACTCATAAATAGAACAACAACATGATTCTTTCATCAACAATTTTATCGTAAAAGAAAGGAAACATTTTCTCGTTTTTCTTTTGTGCGGGTGATGTATCGAGGACGGCGCGAACTGCTTTCACAGGCTCCTCTTAAATGAAAACTAACATCGAGATCCCAGAGCTGAATAAAAGAGGGCTTCGTAAGCTTGGAACGAGTTTACGTTGCACCGTATTGTGCTAGCCATTCAAGCTGTTCCCTTGCAATACACGTCGCCAAAGAATTCGGCTTGACTTTTATCCGTAACCGCTTTCAGCTAAGAAATATTTTTTGGTCAAACATCCTGCTTGATTCTTCTTATCTTTTGGATTTTTCAATAGCCTCATTGTTCATTTACTGTTACCGAAATCTTTGGAAACTTGGAGAAACACGTGGTCTGTTATTTAATAAAGAAATTATGACTTTTTAATGGAGTAGCTTTACGATTCAGGGGGAGAAATTAAATAATTCATAAGGTTAACTTCTTTTTTTCAAACTCCACCGTCAGGGACTTTTCAGATGATTACTTTGAAAATGATTCGAGTAAAATGTTGGCTTGGGAAACACTGTTTCGCTCTATCTCTCCAAGGTGTTTTTCGCAGATTTTTTCCCGAGCAAACAAAGTTCCTCCTAATCTCGCGGTTGATAAGCCAACAGTTTTGCCAAGCTGGCGTCTTTTCACGGGATATCCCATGGGTATAAACAACTGCAATATCTTGCTACGTTTTACCTATCCCAGTGGCTTCTGGCTTCGTGAAAATTTGCATTAGACTTGCCTGAAATTTGCATAAACGCATAGACACTGTTTTCAAACTTCCCTCTATTCTCTCGTGAAAAGAAATACTAATATTTGTTTCTATTTAACTTTCCATAAGTGTTATGTCTTTCTTAAAATTTGCAATAATATTTATTCAATTAATAATCTTGCAATTTACCTGTGTTTTAGGAGCATCGTAGGCAAGATTATCGACCCCAGCCATGATTCTTCTGAAAAATAAGAAAACATCGAAGTAAGTAAATATATTTATTCGTACAATGTTCATACTGCAAAGAGAAATTCAGTGCATTCTCGAACGGTAAGACAATTGTTGAGAAGTGCGAATGAACCGTAATGGAGCCAGTAACAATCGAAGTAACAAGGTAATAGATGCTCTGGTTAAATTATTATGCAGACCATATGGAATGTCTTCGGTCAAAGTCTCGAAGGGTTTAGCTTATCTCAAGGACGAAATTATTACTCGAAATTAACAATTAAAGTATACTTTGACCCCCGTTAGTTGTTCAACATACGCCAAGTTTTAAATTAAATATCGGAAATTTATGCCTCATTATCTTGCTCGATGTACATAAACAAAAATATCTCTCAGGCGATCAATAGGTTGTTCTTATACTGACAACGATGCTATACGACAGTAACACACAGACGAGCAGCGTGTTTATCGAGAAACTCACTTTCCCCAAGAACATCGTGAGCAAAGCCGTATTTCCGTCTTTAGTACGTTCTCTCGTAACGGGATATAATCACGAAGGTATTGAAGAGCAGACGTTCTGTTTCTGCATTACTAACCTAATTGTTACTTCCGGATGTATAAACATTTATTTACAAATTTAGATCATCGACAGATGATCGTACAACGAAATTTTCAGCTAGAAATGTAGGAGTACACAAGTGGTAATATATTTCTAGTAGAATACACGAAACCACGAAAGATTAATGTTTCTTTCTCCTGCCATTTTACAATAATTAACGAGAGAGACTGGAAATTTGTAGACGTAGTATCGCATATATTCAGGGAGAATCTGCTTTATCTGTCGACATTAATTTTAAATGTTTAAACTTTACGGTTCTAAAACAAAAATTGAAGAACGGATTGCAAAGTAAAAAAAAAAAAAAAAAAAAAAAAAAACAGCCTTGCTTCTTCGAAGTCCAACAGCAGACTGACTGACCTCCGCGCGATGCAAGCAGCTTTATCAGATGCATCTGGCCCATTTACCTAGAGCTGGAGTAACGAGCTCTCTGATTGGCGGAGTACGGACGATAAGACAAGCGCAGCTATCTGATTGGTTCAAGCGTTTATTCGGTAGCACTATTGTAGGAGTAGCGTATCGTAATATGACAGGCGCGAGTTTATAATTCTACGCGGAATTTATACCATCGAAATGATTGTACATCAAAAGATATTTCCTTCCTTAATCTCGTTATACCACACAGCCATTCACCATTCTAATCCGTTGTTTCGTGCTTTTTATCATCGAAAGAAGCGTCCCAGGGATTCGTGCTTTATCGCGAAAGAGAAACTGCATTCGAATCGAGCCTTGCTGACAGCACATTTTATTTATCGCTACCCATTGCACGACCTTCTTGTTGCTTTCATTTCGTTTCGTACACAACGTGACAGGAAGACTGAAAAATATTGCACGGGTACGAAAGAATTTTCAAAGTAAACAGATAATAATGTGCACTGTAGAGAAATGAAAAATTCTAAGAAAATAACACTGTTAATAAAACTAGGGAACTTGAAATAGACTTGGCTCACCCTCAAAAAGCCCTAATTATATCAATGACTAATTAAAGGGTTAAAAATTATTTATCTCTTACCTGAGACTCGATCACCTTTTCACGATCTTCTATCAGTTTATATCAATTCCATGAATGAACAGATCACGAATAAGTAAAATTACAGCACATGTATCACGATATCATGAAACAAGGTACACCGTGTTCCTTGACGATGTTTTCAGCTTGCTCGTTAAGGTGACAAGCAAATGTGACTGGAATTTCCGGGACGATGCTTAATTGTATCACACTGCTGGGACGGATCGACACGTTAATTAATTCGCGTCCGCTCGTCGCGTTTCTTCTTCTTTTTCTCGGTGATGTCGCTAATTAGCGAGCTGACAACCACCACGAAGACATGTACGTCTATTCCGACCGTTGTTCTGCTTATAGATCCAAGTTTGTTGCCCCGTGCTCTCTGATGAAAATAGATCTGCTAATCGCGATAGCGACATTAATGTCACGGTCTACCTTCTCTTCTATCATCACTAGTTCGAATTAAATCATTGCACTTATCGTTAGGTCTCGGTCAAATCGAACTCGACACTGTATTTTTAGAGTAGTAGAATCTTTTTAGAACGAACTGTTAATTTTATAACAGAGATCGCTAGTTTCGTGCCAGTTGGCTGTACATCTTGACCATGGTAAAGTAGAATCGATCTGCTACGTCCTTTTACTATTCTATAGAATTATACTAAGAGAGAATTAATTTATCATCAAAAATCAATTCCTTCGCTCTCGAAAATTAAATAACTTTACTGTAGGCCTTTCAAACCTCATCAAACTCCAATAATCCTTCTCAAACTTCTTATTGAAATCACTTCATTTTAGAAAATGCACAGTGCTCTATTTCTTTATATAAAGAAGACCTTTATGGAGGTAAACAATTCTCAAGTTATTGTCGATAACTCTTCGCATTGTTTTGGATCGATGTCACACCGTCGTATCTCGTCTCGATCTTTTCTTCTTCTCACGATTTCTGTTGTGAACCGAGCACATCGACGGTGTCTTACTGACTGACTAAAGTCAGCGAATACACGACGAGCAGGGCTGTTTGCATAAGTATACAATCGTTGAACGACATTTTCAAGGTAGCTAGAATGTGTTCCTAGATATTTAGGTTTCACCAGGCTCGATAATGACCGGTTATGATGACGAAATTCTTGCTGAATCCTCGTATTCTAATTAACATTTCTGCCTTTTCAACCATTCGCAACTATCACTTTCAGGTTCACAACTTTCTTTTCGTAGGTTTTACAATTTGGAATATTTTTCAGATTTAATTTCAACGTCGAATATTTATCTTTATTTTAATCGCATATTCATATAAGAGAAAACAAATTACCGCCTCTAAGAATGATTTACAAAACGTGAGACTATCTTACGTAGATAGAAATGATTAATTAACGTTCGTTAAGGAGACTTCTAATTTTACAGATATCGCGGAACGTTCAAGAAGGAGGTAATTACGGTAGATTAAATTGTCGTGCAATTCTAAGCTTTCAGAGGCGAATTTTAATTAAACATTCCAGCAGATATTCACGTGTATACTGTGTTACGCTGGTGGTTGCATTTCGATGAATGCTACAGTATTTTATTAATTACAACACTCGAATGTTATTATTAACAATTTGTTTATCGCGTAGCGAATTTCGAAACGTAAGATATAACATTGCTAAACGAAACTTGTTTGAAGCTTATCATATCACAAATTAGCTTACGTTATATTATTTGATAATAATTGATAATTAAAGAATCATATAATATGAAGATATTTCAACATTGAATAACCAGAGATCTGATTTAACGCCAGAATGAAATTGTCTATTTAAATTTCTCCTATATTATACGTTTACGATATTCCATTATTCGTCCAAGCTTCTTTATGCATTATTCAAGCAAGTTTCACGAGCAAATTAATTGCCATCATTTTTCAGGCTTGATTTAAAGCTGATCATTTTTAAAGTAATTTCATTAAAAATTATTAAACAATCCTCTCGCGTAATTCACGTTGTACGATGATTATAACAAGTTTGTACTGTATCGTAAAGTAGGCAAAATCTAGATTCGTTTAAATGGCATAAAAATAAACAACGTAAACCACGAATAGGATAACGATTAGGAGCTAAGGGCACACCTGAAACCAATCGAGTCACCTCCAAATAGTACAAGTATTGTCCTTGCTAGCTGTGATAATGGTATCACCATTGTACGAGAATGCACAGCTGAAAACATCGTCTGTATGGCCTTCCAAGGTTTGCACGCAACGATTGTTATCTAAAGACCATAATTTCGATGTTCTATCCGAGGATGAGGTCAGCAAATGTTGCCCGTTTGGACTGAAACACACTGATTTCGAATTTTTAGATGTAATCAAATGTGTATCGCATTAATTTTCTAGGATAATTAAAAATTATCTTTTCATCAGTTATTGATATAATAGAAAGGGTTAAAGGGTTTTACCTTTCGAGACTTCATCGCGATGACCTTTCATGGAAGCCAATTCCTGAAAAGAAGCGACCACGTCCCAGACCCGGGACGTGGTATCACTGCTCGCAGTCGCCAGCTTTTTCCCTTTGTTATCGAAGGTCAAGTCCAGGACCTCGTCGTCGTGACCTCGGAGAGTCGCCAAGCACGAGTTCATCCTGGTATCCCAGACTTTTGCTGTTTTGTCCATCGACGAAGATGCAATTAACGAGCAGTCGAAATTGTAGATGCAATTTGATAACTCTGAACGGTGTCCTATTAGTACACTCGTTCTCCTGAAGATATAATAAAATTTCAGGACTTCGAAATTTCTAACAATCCTTATTACACCCAGGGTAAATGACCTTATAAGCGTAACTAAATTGAATCTACCTTAGAGTTCTTACGTCCCAGATGCTGACAGTACCGTCAAAAGAACCAGTTATTATTTGATTTCCGTCGTTGTTAAAGTGCAGAGCGATCACTTCCGCCGTATGACCCTTTAACGTTCCAACTTCGTCGCCTATGAAAAATATGAAATATTAATTCTCTGCTTTCTCGCGGATGAAAGGAATTGTACCTGTTGCCAATTGGAAAATTTTCGACGTCATATCCAGAGATGCTGTCGCGATTTTGTTGTGGGAGGGTGAAAATTTTGCGACCACTACTTCACCCTCGTGACCCCACATTGTCGTTAAACAATGACCCGTTCGAGAGCACCAAATCCTCGCTGTTCTATCGAAAGAACCTGTTACGATTTTGTCGCTGAAAAATAAATGAAATATTTGTTTTTAACGTTGAAAACTATCGAGCCGAAACGATGAACGATCAATGAATTTTTGTCCGTCTTATTATTTACTTAAAGAAGTCAATGCCTTCTTTTATTACGAATTAAACGAAGTGTCGGATAAAGGGTATATGTTCGTTTCCGGTCGACGATGGTACAAATGAACGGTAAGAGGAATACTTAAATTAGACGTACGAAGTCGGGTTGTTGAAGGACACGGCGTAGACCACATTCTTATGGCCTTCGAGAGTAAGAAGCTCTTTTCCACTCTCAATGTCCCAAACTTTACACGTTCTGTCGTAGCTGCCTGTCAGGCATCTGTAAAAATAAAAACGATAGTTAGTGTTTCAAAGAAATAACGATTTCCGATTATAATCTAGGAAAAAAGAATTTATTTCTAGAGATACACCGTGTAACAAATAGGCTATCCTCTTCGTAGAAACTTCTCCGAGAATGTACAGAGTAATTCTGAAATGGATGGTCAAACTTTGGGTACTTGTTTCACTCATATTAAGGATGAAAAACGGTCCATGAAGCTGGTGGTAAAAGTACTTCTTACTCGCAGCGAGCGGAATTCCGTGACAAATTTTTTTCAAAAAGTTATCTTAGATGAATAGCGGGAAGAAACTCTTTATCATTTGTAATATTTCAATTCTATAAAATTAAAATTATTGCAAAATTTGACCATTTATTTTCAAACAACCCTGTAGACGTGAGACGTATTTGAAATAGCGATAGAGAGTGTAATTAACATTTCGAGGTGGCCATTTTTATTTTTTAACAAACTCTTTTTTAAAATTTCATAATTTTACACCGTCAAGGTGTTGAAACTTTGAATCAATGCTGAAACAATGTTAACCGAGAGTACCTTTTACCTAGTTTATCGAACGCGATATTCGTAAGGGGTAGAAGATGGGTCTGCAAGGTTCTGTATTTGTAGTAGCGTTTCGCGTTTGTGTCGCAAACTTTGGCTTGTAGCTTCTGCAGGGTCTCCACTAACTGCTCCATTACACTTTCGGTTATTACGGGCTCCGTCGCTTTTATGCTCTCCGCTAATGCTCTTATGTCCGTTCTGCAAAACGACACGTATACAGCTTCTATTACTTCCCTTCCCAGTAATTATACAACAGTGATTTTATTTTTTATATCTTGTTAAATAATTTTATGTTTAAACACGAGGTTCTAATATAATTAAAAGTATTTAATTACTCTGTTGATAGATCCAGAAGATCGATCATCTTCGTCTTGACGTCACCGCCCTGTACGTACTCCAAGGCGAGACCTAAAACGGCACCAAGAAATAGGAAAAACAGATTGCGATTCAAAAATTGGCGCTGTTGGATTGGTGTATACCTGGGGGGAAATAACGAAGCAAAAATTTCAACAGCTTCATGTGGACATCCCAATTAAGCGTCGCGTCCGGTGTTTTAGACAGCAGCAGGATTGCCACCGCCGGGTTTTAATTATAAAACGTAATCGGTATAGCGCGACTGCGAGTCGCACGAAACTGTGGAGGTTTCTTTTTTCTGCGGTTGACAGTGTAGTGATCCGCATCCGTCGGTCGCTAACTGCCGACTGCCTTTGTCCTATCAAGTAATCGCAAAAATAGACGAATTTCAGTGCTAAGCGTTGCCAAGGCACGCTTGATCGATTCTACTCCTTTATCGTGTCGGAATATCGTGACTAATTACCAGCACGGGATCCTGAACAACGCGGGAAGTATCTGTGAATGATCGTATACAGTCACGATTACGATGTTAGAAATTTTGATGGATTTTTTGTTTGACAGAAGGTCGTACACTGACAATGAGTTGCATGTATCTTTTGTTTTAATGAACGTGATAATAAGTGTTTTGTTATTGATTTGGATTTTATTTTGTGCATTTTCTAATTTCGTATCGATGCGCATTTTGAAAAGAATACCCCTACCGCCATCGGTGGCGAGTGGCGGAACTGATAGTTCAAAATGGACATGTCGATATGTTAGCGACTGTCGGCTAATAGGATGTCTTTTAAAAATATTTTTTTATTTTCACACAGTTATTCACATTTATATAAAATAATTATTCTTATTTCGTGATTATTTGAAAAGGAATTGAAATAGAAAGAAAAACAGTATCGTATTATATAATCGTTGATTGCACATTGGTAAATTATCCTTTTAATTATAAACAGCTATACATTATATAATAGTATGTAAGTATTTTTTCTATCTTTTACCAATTTCAATTCATACATCAAGTTTCATTTATGTAATGAAATATAATGCTTCCTCGAGCGGTAGCCCCTGCTCGAGGGTTTCACAGGTTCGCAGCTGCGCAGGTGTATCGCCGGCACCTTCTCATTAACATCTTGGCCAAAAAGCCAGTCACGCCAGTAGAAGGATCTGGTACGGTCAAGTCATCCTATTGATCTTCATTCGCTAATACGTTTCGAACTTACGATAAGCTGTTTGATATCGGATACCCTTTGTAATCTGACGAACCAAGGAAGTGATCGTTGAACAGGACGATGCAATGGGCGAGGGCAAAAGCGACCGTTCCAGCAAAAGGTAACGTCTTATCCTACTTACTTACTTCGAATAGCTTCGGCGGGAAACGAATTGCAGGCTATCGAACTCCTAAGGTTTAACGAACTTCTGAGGAAGAGACTTCCTCAAAAGCTATTTATAGAACTCGCTACTCTGTCTGCTTTTATGACCTCCTTACTCTTACTTGTTCAATGAAATTTTCTGGATTTATTAAGTGATCCATGACAAGAATAATAGTATCCCTCATTTATGCCTAATTGCTTCCCAAGAATGTGAAAAATATCCTTGAAATCCAATGGACACCCTTTATTCTTATAAGCATAAAAAAAAAAAAATATTTTTCTTTGCTAATAATAATTTGATGTTACCCGAAGATTGAAGAATATTGATCCTGAGGGGAATTCGGTGAAAGTAGATGTTAAATATGGAAATTGAGGGTTTCTAGAGGTTCGCTCGAATTATCATGTAAATTTATGGTGGATTCGTGTTTTCGTGGCGATCGAACAACGAAAGTAAATTCGAAATCATTTCTAATATTAGAGGATTCGTGTGGCTGACACAGATATCTTTAATCGCTATGGAAATATTTTCACGATTATTTAGGATTACTTAAATGTATCAATTGTACTGAATCGCTTAAAAAGATTTCAAACAATAGATCAAATGAATACCGATAACGATAGTAGTGTCTGTAATCTATACGTTCGAATCGAAGTTTAATTTCCTGTCCTCGGTAAAAGCATCCCCCACTTCAGCTATTCATCATTCAAATAAGCGTTAAGTGCTTCCATGAGGTCTTCAAGTTATATCACACTCTAGATGGGTGTTCAATTAACGATAAATTAAATTTTACATTTTCTAATTTTCAATTCTTTTGAGGAGGTCCTGTCCTCTTTCCTGAAAAATGAAAACTGGTCTCCCAATATTCCAAACAAGCAACAACGATGTTCGATTGTCTCAATACGATTAGCGGAAAGCTTTCTAAAGCACGTGGCCTCCTTACTTCTTTAAAGTATACTCGCGTGCAAACATTGCCAACGAAATGCATTGGGAGATCAAATCACGCAAACCGGTAAAATTACTGACCATACCAGCTGGAAGAGCTGCGTGTGCGTGTGTCAACGCGCCAGTGACTATTATTTGTCCGTTCGAGCCAGAATGAACGAAAATCGGGGTCACCGGGCCATCACGTTGGACCCCACGTCGCGTTCTCCACCCTCGTGGCTAATAATTCGGCACACGAAACGGATACCGATGTAAAGAAGATAAGTCAAATTCGGATAGTAGTTATTTCTAAAAATATAAAAAATAATAGAGGCTCAGTTGCTCGATGTTTCTTCATCGCAATGTGTCCAAAAGTAATGGCAGCGATGGGATTCGAACCCATGCCTCCGAAGAGACTGGTGCCTTAAACCAGCGCCTTAGACCGCTCGGCCACGCTACCTTTTTCCAACCCTCTTTTGTTTATTGCAAATTACATATAATCAATTTTTTTTTATTAAATTAAGGACGAAATTAAAATTGTTCGAAAGGAGCTGATTAAGATAAAGAACGGGTAGACGATTAAGAGAGACACGTTCAGAATTTCAGTGTAAAGCACGCTTTCGTTTAAAGTCTGGATAGAATCCAAATCCGTATCAATAATGAACAAATGTCTGGTATCGGGGCCAATTTGTAAGAGCACCGTAATTGTGTGCCAATCACGAAGGAACGTTAGTCAATTACACTCGATTCCTTATTTTGTAGGTCATGTTAGGTTATTGATTATTGAATGGGCATTTCTTTCAATTAATTACTCTAAAAAATTCTCATTTTTTTTTTTTTTTTCAATCTTATAGCATTTTAAAAAAGCACAGTAGGATGAAAGATAATAAGAAATATGTTTTGCATATTTTATCTTTTATAGATGATGCTGACTGACCTGGGAATTAAAATAAATATGTTTCTTATCTACTGAAACGATAACTTCTTGGAGAAGTAGTCTGAAATCAAAAGCAAAAATAGCAGTAGATAAAATATTAATATTTTTATTACCCTCGATACCACCTGAAAAGTTATTTAATTTTGTTTAAATAAAATTTAATTCGTTAGAGAATAATTTAGAATACCCCCTATGTGATAGCTGAGACTGTACTTGAATTTTGATAAGGTAGACCAATTTAATAATACTTTAGCTATCATCGATGATGTCCGGGGTACATACCTAAACGCTTCCGTGCACTTCAGTCGTTACGTTACAACGAAATTTCTTTTTCAGACCGCTCTTCGTAGATCGATGCGTCGTGTCTAGGAGGCTTGCTGTGTAAAGGCATTTAGCTTCGTACCACCCTTTTCCTGTCCCTCGTTTCACCCTCTTCGCGCAGCCCCGCCGCCCTCTTCATCATTCCACAGCTTCAGTCGAAAACCACTGAAAGATTTCAGTCCGTTCCGGGCATCCACCCGGGTCGGTGCTCCATCATTTCACGTTTACTTCGTATCAGACTGACGACAAAACATTATTTTTACCAGCAAGTTGAAAATATGATCAGACACGTTATTAAATCTATTTGGGAATTATTTTACTTAATTAGATATTTTACTTAATATCATTTTGTATTGAATTGAAATGAAACTGAAAGCAAAAAGCCGGCTCTTAAAGTCACACGTGCATACGTGCAAAGTATAAACAAGTAGAGATTATTTTTTTGATCCACGGCAAAGTCGACGTAAAATGAAATAATGCTCCAAAGGGGTGTGAAATTATTTATTTTTAATATCGTTTTTTAATATCTTCCCAGGCAAAGGTCCTCCCAGAGAGCCAACAAGTCATCCTCGGACAGTGAGCTAGCGCAGGGTAAAAACAAAGGGCGGAAAAGCAAATCGAAGGAAAAATGGCCCTTACTCGAAGGGCTGACGGTCGATGAATTGGTTCGTTATCGAAGAAGACGCGTCGAAGGACAACCGAAAGACAACCTTGGAGTTTGTCCTGAAACGGAAGGCAATGATCTCGTCTCCGAATATGGTGAGGCGTTTCGTGCGAAAGGCGAGGAATCTCTAAAGGTTAGCGTTGTCCAGATATTTTTTCAAAGATTTTTGTGAAATTATCGAAAAATGAAATATGTAATCTAGTTTGGATCATTGGCGTAATTGGGTAGGGACCAAGGTGGACCATAAATGTCGACTAGCCCCCTCGCTATTCCCCAATTCCAAAACTCCTAATTACGCCATTGATTAACGTATACAATGTACTTCTAAATTCATTAAGCAACAATTTTCCAATTCATAGATGTACCCCTTACCGTAGGAAAGTATCTGGTTGGAAAGAAGCGAACGATTCGAGGATCTTCCGTTAAAGGATTTCGAAGAAGGTGGAAACAACACGGATGAAGAAGATCTTGATGAACAAGATATAGAAAATATTGAGCTTCCAAGTGAATATAAAGTAACAGAAACTGCTGGGGTACAGAACAACGATAATACAATGGAGACTGATAATGCAAATTCTAAAATTATAAGCCATACCAATCAACCGTCTTTAACTAGAAGGTAAACTTGACATTCGTTGCTGTCTATAAGCATTAGGATACTTGCAACTACTGTTAGTAATTTAGAATTCCTGTTATTTTATATTGGATCGATTGGATAAGATAATTGGATAAATTTAAAAATCTATAATTCTATAGTTTTAAGACTCTAAAGTTCTAGTTATGCCAATGGCGATAATACTATTCCTTCCTCTACCATGTTAGTCTCTAATAATTTCTTATATAAATTAACAGTTTAATAGGTTGAATTAATTTGAATTATAAAATAACAGGAGAGGTGCATTAAAACGAAACGGAGAACCCTACCCCGATACGGAAACGTATTCGTCGTACGTGGCTTACGAAGGTCAGCATAGACCCGAACTCGCCCGTAGACCTACCTCGTTAAAGATGGAAGGTGATATGGACACGATGACTGAAAAATGTGAAAAATTCATCGAATGGTTAAACGTCAGTCGACCGGAACTTTTGCGTGTACCGACGCACCTGAAACTCGAGGGTAATTTTGAAAGCTCCACGGAAAATCATGATAAGTATGTGCCGTTTGTAGGGGTACGAAGACCGGAATTATTGAGACGGAATACGAATTTGAAATTAGAAGGGGAATTTAATTTCGTAAAGGAGTATGCTGATGAATTCAAGAGACACGATAATAAAGGTAACTCTTGCAAATTACGCCAACGTATATGCCATAAATTTATTTTGTATTATTATTCTGTGTTACAGAACGTTTGCCACCAAAGAAATCCGATAATCACTTAAAGGCTGAAAAGAATCTTCACAAAGAGAACAATACTGATAAGATGAATAACAATTCTCGTGGTAAAGAAGTGCAATTAACCATCGAGTCGAAGAAACATATAGTAGAAGAAGAAGATAAAAAACAGAAAAAAGAAATGGAGATGAATATGTTGATTTCAAAGTTAGAAGATCTGAAGAGTGAACCGCTGGAAATTCCAGAATACAAGGACGCGTACAAGGCAAATTTACAATTTCTTTTTATGCCATATTAATTTTACTATTAGAATTATAAAAAAATGAGAAATGTTTTACACGCAGGATTTCCCTAGAGAGAGACCTAAGATCGTAAAACCTGAAGATGAAATAGGACGAGCAGATGGCTCTAAAATATCCTCGTCTCCTACGCACAAATTTTCGGCGAAAATTGATCAGGATCCGGAATATAAATCTAAATACTTGGATTATCAAAGAGATTATCCTGTCTACCGGAAACCACCACCATCCGTGAGATCGACGCTGATTCCTACGGAACATAGCCCTCGTTTTGTTAGACAAGGATCTAGGAGACACGATTATGAGCTTACCAGCGAGGTACAATCTCAGTACGTTCCTTACGGTCGTATACCAAGAGTTGAAACTCTAAAAATGCCAGCCAACTTACGTCTAGAAGGGAATATAGACCTTGAGCCAGAATATAGAACAGCTTATTGCACAAAACGTGATTATCAGTTATGCACCGAACCGAGAATGCATCGTAGACGAGACCGTAGTTTAAGTGCTTCCAGACATAAAGAGAATTATTGGATAAATAGTAACGTAGAACAATTTGGTTATAAGAATGCAGCCCAAGATCAAAACGCGTTTCAAATAGTAAACACTCGAGTACACGAGGATACCATTTGCGAAAAACCACCGCCACCAACCAGTCGAAGGTTTGTATATAAATCTAAATTAATTGATATAGAAATAATTGAAATAAGAATAATTGTTATATAGAGGTTCAAGATCTTCCCACAACCAAGTTCAAAGAACAATGCAATCAGGTATGGTGGAGTGTAATACAAAAGATCGATCAACCAGCCCGACTTATCGACTTCACGTGTGTAATGTTGACGATGAACAGGGAGGTTTCCGACGCAGACGATCGCCACTTCAGTCTTCCGGAAGGATGTATAATCCTTCACCTAACCATGTACTTCAAAGTGATACTACCAGACCATATTCTCCTAGTTTTGGAAAATCCGCTAAGCAACACAGTAATGATCAATCATTTGTTATTTTGGATAATCGAATTTTCGACAGGAACAAAAATGAAATTCGTAGAAGACGAGCAGATAGGAATTATAATATCGATAGTATACTTTCTCATTCTAAAGGGAAAACTAGGACATCAACAAATTGGATGCCACCGTGGTACGATAGTACAAATACTATTTAAAGCATTATAAACAATCTTTGTTTGCAACAATTAAAGAATAAAAAATAGCATCGTAGCTTTCTTCTAGTATAGATTTTTGAGCCTCCTGTAAGTTCGACCCGATAATTATGTGTAGGCACTTCATTAATATTCTTAGTAAAAAATGGCTGAATGCCAATTACAATAAAACAATAAATATAACTTGCAATTTTCAGTCTCTTTTATGAATATTTTAAACATTTGCGATTGTAAATTGAAGAATTTGTAGTTTACTTATATTTTAAGATTTTATTTATTTAAGGCTTTAAATTTGTAAATCGTCGCTCTTTTACGATTAATCCCAATTTACCCCAAAAGAGTAAATTATTAAATTATTATTAGAGGACCATTTTCCCTAAAGAGCCGCCAAATTCGAATACGAATTTCAACCTTAACTGAGCATGCGCAGATTAATTCGATTTGTATACTTTTGCCTACCTTCACGTTCCTTACCGCAAAACTATAATAGGAGTTTCGTTGGAATTGTGTGCGAGTTTTTACGACTAGAAAAACATTAAATTTCAAAGGTTTCTCAAAAATCGAATAGTTAACAACAAATACTTAAAAAAATGTCAGACCCAGAACTTGAAGCAATAAGGCAGCATCGATTAGCTCAGTTGCAATCTCAATATAAGGTAAATCAAGTATATGATTTCTGTCAAATACAGATTATTTTTAAATATTATAAATAACAAATTATATAACTATAGAGATAAATCAAAATAATAATTTATCGTATGTAAGATCATTAGAATATCAATTTGACACTCTAGTATAGTTTCAGTTCTGTGTGATTAAACTTATCTTGTTGATGTTATTTCATTAAAATTAACCTGTTTATAATTGTTATTTAATTTTACTTCATTTAGCCTGGCAATGCAGAGAATAAACAAGCAATGGAAGAGAAAGTGCAACAGATGCAAGAGATGAGAAATTCAATTCTAACCCAAGTATTAGATCAGTCAGCCAGAGCAAGATGTATGTTAATATGGTATCATTTTATATATTCAGTTATATGCAATACATATTTCTGTTTTAGTAAATACATTATCTCTTGGAAAACCTGAAAAGGGTAAAATGGTAGAAGATATGTTATTAAGCATGGCACAGCGAGGTCAGTTACCTGGTAAACTTGGAGAGAAAGAACTTATTAATTTGCTTGAAAGTATAAATCAGCAAACACAACAGAGAACTGTTGTTAAGGTAGTCATGATATTTAACATATTTGCTTTGTCTTTTGGAAAGAAGTGAAATTAATGATAAAAACTAAATTTCAGTTTGACAGGAGAAGAGCAGCATTGGATTCTGATGATGAAGATTTATAACACTTATAATTGTTACGTGGTTTATGAAGCAGTGACAAAGCTTTTCTGATTTACTTTTTTGAATAACAATTGAGGTAACAATACACAACTATACGCTTAATTAGCTGTACATTTTTATTTTTTACAATATATTGAAATAAAAAGGAAAAAATTATGTATTGAATTAATGTTAATATTAATTTAGGTGTCATTTTCAATTATGTATATTATAACTTGTTAGTTATTTCCATTTATTTAATTTTATTCGTTTTATTTGAGATTATTATTTAAAAAAAAGATTTAAAGTATCACCTTTCTTTATTTAATATAAATAAATACATATTCAAATCACACAATAGTTTTCTGTTTTTAAGAAAAATCGTTTTTAGATGCTTTAAATCGAGCATCTAAAAAAATTTATATGTGGCAACTTACATAAACATTTCGTAGTATTTCAATATATTTATACAAACAAATATACATTTTTGGTTTCAAATACAATTTCACGGAACATTATTTACCATTCATATTCTTTACATAATTTTTTAATACGTTTTATATTTCATTTACTTACAATACAAGACAAATCCTCGGAGAGATTTAAAAAAGCTTGTTTAATTGTATAATTAGTATTGTCTTGCGAAAGTTCCGTTTACCCAAGATAATTTATTTTTAATATTATTCTATCTAACGTATAGAATATTTTCACTTTGTCAACTACGTAAACAATTGATATTACATTTTTTTACACCGAAAAATAATATCAGAAATTCAGATTTTTTTATAAATTCAAACTAAATAAAATTACGAAATGTAAAAAGCTAAATAAAATATACATCCTCTTTTCTTTAAAAAATTTCTTAAGTCTAATACAACAATACAAGAACCAATTAGTTTTATTGTTAGTCTTTTTTCATATGATTTGCTCCTGGATGATCTACAAAATCACGTAATTAAGATACATGTACAATTTAAATATATGTACATACCAATTTTAAAAGAAAAAGGTTTACCTTCTTCATCATCGTCTGCGTCTAAAATATCTGGACAACAGATACCATAACATATTAACGATAAAAATCCAGCTGGTAAACCAAATAAAACCATTGTCAAGATGGGATTACCCATCCACATCGCTGTAAGAGTTGTTTTTAGTTCGAACCATGATCTATAAATACGTATTAACCAACTGTTTCCGCCATATCGCTAAAAATTGAAATTTTATTATTAATCTTCTATAATAGCACTTCAGTATACAAAGATAATTCTTTATCTACCGGAGCACTTTCATTCCGAATCTGCTCTAGAAACAACTCTATCACGTGAGGTGTCAGTTTTTCTGTTTCGTCCTCTGGAATGTGATGGTGGTTTGTTGTAGTGTTAATAACAATTAAACTTGGTAATGGCAAAACCATCATTGCTATACTATTGACTAAATCAGGACTAGCTATCCAACCAAACTGAAAATGACTGTACAAAAAACGGAATTACAGTTAGTACTTGCAATGAAAATTTAATAAAAATATAACTATAATGGCACTTACTCGTGATATTTTTCTCGTTTACTTTTAATTATAGATTCTACCATATCTTTGAACTGTGTCATATGGGGAGGTACTTCTTCTAACTGATTTTCCTCTACCACTGCCAAGACCAGATTTTTATTTGTTAGAAATAATTGATTTATATTTCCTCGTGTAACTTTCGGAAATGTAGGGAAACGTTCTGCGTTTATCCATTTGTATACTGTTTCATTTAATTTTTCTATATCAACTATATCATGACCTATATCGTGAAGTCTTAACATTAGTTAGTTGATATATATTTTGTAAATCACAAATCTTTTATATGTATTACCAGTAAAATTATAATGCAAATTTTCTTTGTAAACGAACAATGCCGGAGTCTTTTTTACAGGAGCATGCTGACTGACAACATTTGGATGAGACTGATAGAAAAATGCATGTGGCTGAAACACATCTGCAGTCTTATGGTAAAATTCCTAAACATATAAATTTTTATAATTCATATTTTATATTAATTGACTAGTGAGGTATAAATTAAATTACCCATAATAATCCAGATCTTTCTCCAACGTACAAGAAATATAAATCGCGTTCGTTTTTTATTGTTTCAAAACTTTGAGTTTTTGTTATTTCTTGAACAGGTGGACCACTTACTCTCAATGCAAATTTTACTATTTCATCTCGCGTTCTATCCCCGTGATATACAAATTCTTGCTCACCTTTTAAACTGAATATAAATAAATGAATAAATGTATATTGTTATAGATACTGAATTTATAATATAGTAATGAATTTAACTTTTCTTCTTACAACAGAATTGTTGGAAATCCTTTAACTTTAAATGCATGAGCTACACTTGTAAATCTAGTACAATCAACCCGGCCTACTCTTATAGATGTTGCATGTAAATGTTGTGCAACATGAGCCCAAATTGGTTCCAAACGTTTACAGTGTGCACACCATGGTGCATACATCTAGAAAACAATACATGAAGTTTATAAATAATAATTTTACATTTATATGTAACTTATGTGTTTATACCATTACTAGCCATTGTCCATCTTTATGGATGTCCAAGAACCTACAAGATAAAAGCTTCAGTAAGAACATCAAGGTGCTTCGCATTAATAACAGTAGTACTTTGGTACTGAGTTTTACAAAATTTTTAAAGTAGAGTTAATCATTTTGTACCTGTCACTTAACTCCAGTACACGTGATGCTGTTATCTCAGTGAAAATACCTGGAAAATTTGTTTACATTTCAATAATATAAATTATACTTCTACTATATTGGATGTGCTGAACATTAAACAGCACTGAATTATCGATCGATCACGTTTGAAGGTTATAAAATGTACTTTATAATAAATTTTTTATCATCGAAGGGAATTGCAGTTGACAAATAGTTAATGTAAAGAAATGTATATTCACCATAGAGGGTTGCGACGAGCACGAATTTCGTTATTGTTACCATTGCAGCAACAGGACTCTTAATCGGAGAAAACCTGCTCTTTTACCGTGTAAGGTCCAAAATATTACGTTTAAACGATTTATTTTCATATAATCATAATGATTAACATTTTTAGTTGTGTAAATTGCAACGAGAATAAAATTCAGCACATCTTTAACATGTTTTCGTTTTACAACGCCACACGATCCTCATGCCGGCTCCTTCTGAACCATCCTGAATGCTGACTTTTGTATTTTAAATCCGATGTACGAGGTCTTTATCCACGTATGAAATGCATAGAGAGGGGTATAAAAAATGCACTAATTGCAAATTTAAAATAGGTGTATACCTTTCACAGAGATTATCGAAAACTACGAAACTGAAAGGCGATCAAGTGAAGAAGCAGCCACAGAAATTTTTATCATATTTGTTTTAATATGTTATTTAAAACAGTGTGGTGAAATTCAATTACAAAATATTATTAATTGAATCACTCTGCGTAATTGTGTTACCATACCAATTATTAATCTTCAGGGAATTATCCACGCTGCAAAATAAATTAATTGGTAAGTTGAATGCTAATGAAAAATGATATTTATAGAAACAGGAATTTATTTATACATTTTATAAATAAACATTGTGCACCTCGATCGAATATATGCAAATAAAATTATAAATCTTTGTCGGTTGCAAATATGAGCGTATAAAAATGTTACGAGTTATCAGATTTGATTCGTATCTTCGGTTTCCGGATTGGATTCATCATCATCAAAATCCTGAAAGATTTTTAATTTATCTCTTTCGCTAAAAATAATTGAAAGTCATATATTTTTTGTTTATAAATTTTGAACAACTCACGTATCAATTTAATCGATAATTGAACTATCAGTAAGATCGTTAAGTAACATTATTAGAAAAATATAAAACGAATGGACGATATTGAAGAAGAGCATAATGAAGAATATGTATACATAGCAAAAAAATAAGAAAGGTATGAAAATAATGGTAACACCAATAGTTGCCAATGTTGTCAATATACTACCCATATTATCTTTTCTTTCACGAAATTCAATTTTTGATTGTAACGAATTTAGTATTAGATCGAATTTTCTAACTTCTTATTTTTTACATACTTAATGGAACATATTTTGTAATCAAAAAATTGCATACCTCTTCTTCGTTTATCGTACCTATTGTATTGATATCGATCAAGTTAAATAAGAGTATAAAATAAATTGTGAGTGCTGCGTTAGCTAAATTCGTTAGGTATAAAGAATATAAATATGTTATATATAAGAATGGAAGAACAACTAATTTCAAGTAAATTATAATTATTCCTCGTAAAAAGTGTCCCATATCCGAGATGTAAAGATTCTGTGTAGACATCGGGTTATTTAACTAGCTTCACTTATTTTTCAATCGGTACCGATTCATGTTCGCCGGAAATAAAAAAATTTTTTATTTTGAAATGTTTTATTTTGAAATGTATAAAAAAATATACACATAAATAGATATAACAAATAATAAGAACACACATCTCGCAAATTATTAATTTATGTAAATATAATATACTGAATAATGTAAAGGTACTGTATACTGAATAAAATATTCAATACGAGCCGTGGTACCCAAGGTAGACTTCGAAAAATCATCGCGAACTCAGTGTTTTAATAAATTATTTTAAATCTATCTTCTTTCTAGGCTTTGGTATAGGGACTTCATTCTCTATAGTAAAAGTTGCATTGCTAGCCACTGAACTATCACTGTCAGAACGTTTTGCAACATTTGATTCATTTTCTGTATCACTTAAATCTCTATCCTCAATTATTTTTATTGATTCTTTATCGATTCTTTCTACAACATAAGTCCCAGTACTACCAGATGAATTCGAATCATCATTCTTAAAACGATTATTCTTATGAAAAACTAATGACTTAAAATTATGTTCTTTAGGTTGAATAATGAAACTGGATTCCATATTTTCATGTGGTTTAGTTTTCACACTTTCACAGTGAACTTTAGACTTCTGATAGTTTGTTGCACTATCAGAGAAAGTCTTTGCATGATCGTCTTTAGATAGACCATGGCTTCCTATTTCTTTAGCGCTTTTTGATCTCTTCTTCCATTTTGTATCTTCCAACGTTTTGAGTTCTATTATTTCCTGTTTATCACTGCTCGTCGCAGTTGATTCCATATAAGAATTCTCATTATTTAAATATGCTGATTTGTTTTTCTTTGATTTAGTTCTATTATTCTCTACGTTTTCGCTTAAACTCGTTAAGGGTTTACTTATATTTGTTTCTTGAATGAGATTCCATCCAGACTCCACATCACCCGGTGATCTTGATGTATTCGATAAAATTCTATCAATCTTCTCAATGATATTATACAAACGACTAGCACTTTTACTTTTTAACGTTTGTCCAGCTTCGTTTAATCGCTGAAGTTTTATTCTTGCATTGCTGTACTTATCACCTTTCTCTGAAGAAGCACCATCAGGTGATTTATAAAGACTAGAATTGTAACTATGACTAGACTGTAAGCTTCTTTCTTTTGAAGCATTCTCTGGTATTTCATCTTTATCCTTCAATCGTGCTTGCTCTCTAGATCTTACAGAAGTATTTAAAAATCTTACTGAAATATCGTTGTTGTTTATAGTACTCTCAGTCTCTCCAAATATTTTTAAACCTACATCTTCTCCAGTGGCGTCTCTATTAAATCGTAAAACTTTCACTGGCGCAGCATTGCCGAAAGTTGAAAAGGCTAATACATGATCGTAAGGATGATAGTCCACACAAGTAACAGCTCGACAGTTTCTGTCAAAGGTATATTCAGCGAGCAAGTTTCCAGTTTCTAAATTCCATACGTTCAACGAGGAGTCTTCACCACCGCAAAGTATCAGACCGCCACAAGGAGAAATACAAGCTGTTGATTGTATCCTATAAGTAATATTTGAAATAAACACAATACAGTTTTTAATACAGACTTTAAGTAATAATTAAGAAGACGTAATGCTTAAATACCTCTGATTATTTAATTCATTGTACTTTTGTAATACTACACCAGTTGCAAGATCCAACATCCTCAATCCATTGTTTCTCGAATGAACAAGAAGCCTGGATTCTAAAGGGTGTAAAACAATGGTATTGATTATGATTCCATCAATATCTCTAACTCGTATCTTTCTTGATATGTGCCATTCTTTTCTAGACGAAATTTTCCGACTTTTCTTTACTGTCCATACTATTATTATCCCAACGCTATCTGCGGTTAATAAGTTACTGTTCTTCTGAAAGCACATAGAATTTACAAAACCCTCGTGGCCTTCTAATTCTTGGCTGAGGTGACGATTTTTTAACTTTTTATCTTGTATCCAAATACGTGCTATCTGATCGTAACATCCTGTTGCTACTATAGAAGGATTTTCAGGATCAAATTTACCACAGTACACGTACAACGGATGAGGCATCATCTAGGACAAAGGAAATCCAGTTTTAATTTAACTTCTGCTTCTTCTAAACGTGGATATTTAACCAAGTACTTGCTAACTTCTATATGTTGTACAATTTGATTTTCTACATCCCAGATACGAGCTGTTTGATCAGATGAAACAGAAAGTAGATATTTGTCGTCGTTAGACCAGTTTAGAGAATAAACGAAAGTGTTGTGTCCTGAAAATCGAACATGGATCTTCTTCGTTTCCACCTAACAACAATTATTATTATTATTATTGTTACAATTACAATCATAGTGTTTTGTAGCTGCATTTACCTCGTAGACAATGATAGGATAATCGTGTTCCTCGGAGAAACTACAAGCCAAATATTTACCCTCGTTGCTGAAAGCAACGTAGAAACACCCATTCTCACTAGTATCGGTTTCAAAAATAGTTTCATTTGGTATTTTGCAAGATTGCGCTGCTAATCTTGTCCATTTTGGTAAATTTATTAAGTCTGAAGAACGTACGGATGTCTTTTGTGTTTCGTTTGACGCTTTTGATAAATCATGTAAAGATAACTGCTGGTAGAAAACAGGTTCTAATTTAGGTGGTTCGATGGATGCTAGAGTAATAAATAAGCTGCTGGGATATTTATCTCTGGTGTTTGATTTCCACCATGTGTACACCTGTGAACGATAAATTATTATTAGAAACTGAAATTCCAAGTCATGTAGGGCATGTTAATTTTACTTACTTCACACGTATGAAGATTTTCGAATTTTCTCAAGTTTTGTCGTGGTTTATACAGCTGTAATCGAACTTTTTTATTAATATGTAATACATTATTTCGTCCGACGGGTTTCAGAAAAGCCCATGCAACTTTGCACCAGCAACCTTCGTGTCCTATGAAAATAATTCAAATAACATTCGATTTTATACATAGAAAAGAATTTTAAAACATATAAAACCTACCAAATTTATCGTAATTAAAGCTTGCTTCGGCGAAACTCAAAAGATCAACGATTTCAAAAAGAATTACCACTTGTTCGTTGTCCACCTTCAAAAGTGCATCGAAATCATGTTCAAAGACCAGCTCCTCCTCCCACACTGGTATCATAGATTTATTCTCTTTAAAATCAAATTTACCAGTTATCATAGGCTGTAAATATGTAGCAGTACCATGTTCGCATTTCAAATATTTCCCATTCTCAGCATTTACAATGTGAACCTTTACCATAGGATGTTTTGTTATATAATCAACCTCTAACATATCCGCTCTATGGATCGTTACAGATATATACTTTGTATCAGTCTTTTTCTTCTTCTTTTTCTTTTTTGTGTCCTCCTCGACACGAATGGACGGAGTATGCGAAGAAGAAGAAACATTTTTACTAACACTTTTCTTCTTATCCTTTCTGCTTTGTGATCTAGAGTGATGCTCCCTTCTTCTCCTATTAGATTTTAATTTATTCTCATAACAAGCTTCTGTTGAACGATTCTCATCAAGATCCTCGTTTTCAGTGGAGGATATTATACATTCGCTAGAATTTCTTAGACGATCCTTATCGTATCTTAAACGATCCTTCTTAAAGTCATCCTCAGACTCAAACACCGAATGCTGTTTACGGTTCCTTTTACTTTTTCCCTTTATAAATTCTTCTGAAGAATAATTATCATCAACTTCTTCCGAGCTCTGTGAACTATTTGAATTATCTGAGGCATCATTTTTATTGGAATGTTTCTTCTTATTTCTTCCAATAAAATTATTGAACCGCTTGTTATCTACTGCTACATTGTTCATGGAGTCGTTTAAATTTTCTACTTCATTTGAAGGATTTTTATCGCTAGAGGAATCTTGAGAACTTGGATTGTCAACTACAAGAAGCTCATCTTCCAACTGATCAACTTCTTTAATTTCAATCTTTGGGTCTTCGCGATTGTGATCGGTTTCTATTCTAAGAATTTCCTCGTTCTCTGAAAGAAACGCTTTATTATCGTAAACGGAGAATGATTTTTGAGTCGATGGTTGTCGTATCGCTGGCAATGATCTCTTTCTTCTGTTCCAGGGAACATTTCTCGCTTCCGGTAAACGGATCACACTGTTGTCTTTCGACCAACGCTTTCTTGCCGGCTTCTTCAACTCCTCCACAGGACTTTTTATCGTAGCCCATTGCTTTCTGCTATAAGATTTTTCCTCGACGTTTTGTTTATCCTTTTTATAAGTTGAAGACTCTTGAAATTCTTCGATTATATCTAACGAATCGATAATTTTTATATCATCCTGTTCTTCTTCAAAGCTTTCACGTTTAGACGGACTAATATTTGATCTTCTATTTCTTTTATTCGTTTTGGAAAATAATTTTAAATTATTCAAAGATATGTCTGCAGCTTTTTTATGTGACTCAATATTTTCAATATGTCTCTCTTCTTTATATTCTCTATGAATATCTACAATAATATCCACTGACTTTGATGCCAGTTTTGATAAATCTGAAGAATCCGCATTACTTAATTTCTTTGTTTTATTTGTGTTGAATTTTTGCATTTCATGATTGGATTTGTTTATAAATGATGTTAAATTCATGTTGTCTAAATGCTGCTTTATCTTCTCCTACTTTACTCCAAAGTGAATCTTGTAAGTCAAGTTGCCATGATAAGTTGTTTTCTTGAGATAAGAAGAAAGTTCTAAGGAATCATTATATCTTGTACAGAATCTGCTTCCACTGTTAAAGGAAAATAAACATGAATTTACAAATAATTTATATTTTATTGCATTTTTTGAAAAGCACATTTACAACATAAAGATTTTGTATGATACAAAAGAAATTGAAGCAACTGAAATACCGCTTACTTGTTTTTCCTTTATCCAAGTAGTGCAGTAAGAAATTAATTCAACATCTTCTTTTCTGCTAGTACTTACATTGAAATTATTTTATTGATACATAGTTTCCCAGTCAATACTGAGTTTTATATACAGAGGTATTGTAATTATCTGTCTTCATTTTCGTGAAAATTCCTTCTGCTGATACATAAATTAATATGATTGATTAGCTCTTTTACATCAATAAGCTTCATCATTTAAAGTTGTTGCCATACCTAAAACAGTAACTACAGATAAGTAGTAGAAGACTGTGCCAGGGACCCCGAAGTACCAGTGACCATCTCTGCATACTGACCTGATATCATATTGGGGTATTAAGGACCCCAAAACGCCGATAAGTATCTTTGCATACCAATAATATAGCATCCGGGGTGCCAGGGACCCCGGAGTACCAGTGACCATCTCTGCATACCGACCTGATATCATATTGGGGTATTAAGGACCCCATAACGCCGGTAAGTATCTTTGCATACCAATAATATAGCATGCGGGGTGCCAGGGACCCCGAAGCACCGGTGACTATCTCTGCATACCGACATGATATCATCTTGGGGTGTCAGGAACCCCGAAGCACCAGTAACACTCTTTGCTTACCGACCCTATGGCATTCGGGGTATCTGAGACCCCGAGGTACCCGGTGACGCTGCATACTGATAATATGCCACCGGGGTGTCAGGGACCCCGAAGCAAGTAGCGAAATATAAGACCTAAAAACGAACAAATCGTGAAACTCGCTTGTTCGGGATAGTGATGGGTACGACCGGATCTAGCGAAATATAAGACCTAAAAACGATCAAATCGTGAAATTCACTTGTTCGGGATAGTGATGGGTACGACCGGATCTGTAGCGCATGCGCACTACAATTATTTATTATAAAACAAACTTGGAAATAATTAGGAAATTATTCACTCACAAACAATTATAGATATATATACATATTTATTTACAGTTCAATATTATTACATTCAAAATTAGTTTTGGACAAAGCTTTATGTTTAATTTATCAATATAAATCTATTTAAAGGCGTCATGATCAGTGATAATTTGATACTATAATTATAATTACAAAACAAATCATTCATAACAGTTTTTTAACTGATTACTTCATTTGTTTCTTCTTTTAGCATTTCCTAATAAAGAATAATAAATTTGTTAATCAAAATAAGGTCTTAATACTTGATTTGATGTAAAACTATATGTTTTAATGGCAATTTATTTATACTTACTGCTTTAATAGCTGTTTCATAGTCTTCTTCACAATGCTTTAATATATTATTTACATTTGAATTAAGGCATTGGGAACTTACTTTTTCTTCTGTTCTTGTATTTATTGTTGAAGAATCAATTTCAACATTGGTATTTCGAAGGGATTTCATTTTTAATCTTAATTCTCTGTTCTTAGCTTCTATTACTTTTTCCCTGCGTGTCTCTCTGTCGAGAAGCTATAAATTTTAATAAGATTAGTTTTATAATAGTAGTATTTAGTACAGCACTACAATTTTGACGACACTTACTGCTGTAAATAGAAGCTTATCATTTTTTTGATTAGTTGTCAATGCTTCTGAGAATTCGAGTAAAAATACTGTTCCTTTTTTATTAGCAACTGCAGCTAATTGTCCTTCTTCGTGCGGTTTTATGTAAGTTAAAACTTCATCACAAACCTAATATGTATTATTTTAAAGATATTAATAACGAATATAAATAGTAATTAAAGAAACATACTTTCATGCTAAGAATTGGAGAATCTTGTTGAATCAGTAGATCCCATACATCCAGAGTTCCATCCATTTTTATTAAAAAAAATACAGAAAATCGGGTTACACTCCATGCTCCACCTGTTAAGAAATCTCTGTGACCACTAAAAAATAATTTTAATAACGTTTTAATAGATAGTTTTCATGAACGTTAATAAGACAAAATAAAAAATTTTAAACACATTTACGATGTCCAAGCAATACAAGATTCCTTGCAATCTTCAGACCATATTCTCGTTGTCCAATCGCCAACAGTCAGAAAATTTTTAACAAAAGTTGGATTTCTTTCTAGACTTATCACAGGTCCATATTGTGCTTTGAATTTAGTTGCAATTTTCTCAGCTGGAGTTTTACCTTTACGATTTCCTGATATTACTATTCCTAAAAATATAAAATATTTTTATATGCAACAAACTTGAAAATACTAAATTAGACTTAAAATTATTTTACCATTTTCAAGACCACACATAAAACGTGTACCCATAGATGGTTCGAACTGCAATGCTGAAATTCCAATTGCTTTATCAACATTTTGATTATCAGGCTTGCATAAATCTATTACCAATGTTTCTGTAGGTGCTTGTAATTTTCTTATATCCCACCACATTATCTAAAATTCATACTCACTGTTATATACTTATAATATTGTATATTTCTTTTAAGTACTTTATTTTACCTGTCCATCTTTTGAAGCGCTAAAAAATTCAGTATTAGTTTTAGAATTTATCCATAGGACTTCATTACACACATCTCTGTGACTAGACTGAATTAAACTTGTTTCAACTGGTTCTGATCCTTTCCTGATATCCCAACAAGCTACTTGTCCAGTCGTTAATCCGCTGATCAATAGATTGCTATCTTTGGGATTGTATTCAACTGTTAAACTTGGACAACATGATTTCAGTACTATATAAGGTGTATTTGGATTTTCTACAAATTCAGGATATAGTCATTTGAGCTCTTTGATTCACGTATTTTCAAAGTATCTAACTTACCCACATCCCAAATGTATGATAAGGGTTTGTCATTGACTCCAGTTCTAAAATTATTAGTACAATAACTAGCTGCAAAACGATTTCCTTGATCTGGTGACCAGGAAAGATGTGTTACTCGTCTCTTTATTGGTAACACATCACGATATACATTAACTGTCCGTGAGTATGCTCTTTGTACTAAGGAAGTTGGTTTCATATAACTAAAATACTGTTCATAGATGTTACAAGCATTATTTTGTAATACACATTGTTCCATTGGCTAGAACGAATATATTATTAGTATTAAGCTGTAATAAAGTATTAAATATAATGGAAAATGTAATTACAGGTAACAATTGAAGCATTGTGTGAATGTACAATTCATCTTTTTCTATTTTACGCTTATATCTCACTGTCTGTTCTGTATCCTTCACATTTAAATCCTTTGGCCAGCCACCTTCAGAATGATACATTCCACTAGATTTAAATTTTGCAGTGTTTGTGTTTACCTAAAAAATATTAATGACAATAGAATTATGTGACATAATAGCATCTATACATATACATATATCATGTAACTTTAATCTGTACCTCATGAAGAGAATATATTTTGCCACATTGAGTTCCTTGCGTTGAGGGATCTACTCGAATATAATTATTCATGTACTCCGAATGTGGTTTGATATCAGCTTCTACTTTCTGATAATTTGAAAAGTTACATTGCTTTCCAAACTGCTGTCGCTTTTTTGTATAAGTATAATTTACATTCATGTTCTTATATTTTAATATAATAAACGCGAGGTTTTAATAATTTATTACAAAACACTTTATTGAAATTAACTGTATTTCTTTTTTTTTTTTCAAAAGCTTTGATATAATTTTTAACTTAATATCATAATTATGTTACTTATTTAATATTAAAGAATTACACTGAGATACTGTATTAAAAATCTGCATATAATATCTATTAAAACTTGTGTGATTGAGACCAATACACTCAATGACTGTATATATCTATGCTTCTTAGTTACTATAGTAACGTCTAGATTAATTTATAGACTTCTCAATCAAATTTCTTGAAATCTTTATTTATTTGTGCTTACTAATACTGGAATCTTTGGATTTAAACCCTGATACAGAATATAAATCATTTTATACATTTTAATATATTCTGATTGTGTAGAATCAGAAAACATTTTCATATTAGGAAGTACTTCTTTTAAAAGCATGTCAATTAAACTTTTAGAATAATGTATATGTTGTAACTGTTGTAGTAATTCAAAGAAAGATAATAAGTAATTTTTATCTGTATAACATATACAACACATCATTGACAATCCTAAAAGAAAATAACGGAATGTATATAATATTTATACTTAAAAAGAAAAAAGAAACTATACCTTTAAAATTTCTAATGTAGGAAAGATCCCATATTCCATTTGACATCCATTCTTTTAAATTAAGAACAGGACATAGTGGTATTTTTTGCACATTTGATTTCAAAATATGCGCATTATCAAACTCTTTCATTCCAAACGTTTTCCATGTAGATTGTAATTCAGTATGAATTTTTTTAATAGCACTAGAGTTTAATATTTCTTCTCCGTCTTTGGAAAAAAGAATTTGAAAGAAAGACATGTATTTAGTAAGTAAAATTATATCATGAGATTTTTGTACTGAAGTTTTTTGTATAACTTTGTCCTGCAACAAACATATATGTACACATATCTATATACGTCGATATATAAATTTTATTTTTATAATAGTATGGAATTCGTCGCTTACCGTTTCATTAAATTTCATTAAAAATTTATTGACCATCTTTTGGCGTTTTTCATTATTAACTGACTTTTTTGAAAATTCAGTGTTTAAGTATGTATGATAAATTTTTAACGGTTTAATTATTTCTCCGGGAATATTAGATGCATTAATACTGTCTACAACATCAACAGTTACAAAATTTCGTTCATATTTAGATTGTGAAATTACATCTTCATGTGATGGACATTTTGTACTATGCATATCAGAAAATGAATTATTAGAGTTAGATGAAACTTTTTGTATTAAATATTTCAATTCACTGGTTGATGTTGCAGAAAATCTATCATCAGATTTAGTACATCTTAACTGCACAGAGAAAATCACATATTCCAAAATTATTAATTAGGAATATACAATATACTGATATAGGAAGCAATTCATGTATGTTCATCCATAAAATTACCTTTGACATGGAATTAATGGATTTAGTATTCTCTCCCACCTTACAATTATTATTATTATGCTTGTTTATTTCACTCTTATTTTTAATATTGCTTTTGTTTATTACAAGAAAGTTTTTAGTTGACATTAATTTTCCTGAGCGAGCTATCAATTGTTTATCATAACTTTTTATCTCCTCACTATTTTTTATATCTTCCCTTGCTACTTTACTTGTTGATCCTTTACTTAAATTTATTTTTAGGGTATCTTGCTTCACAGCATTAGTATCTTTGTTAAAAAGTAATTTTTTATTGGTAGTGTTTAAAGTTTTTTTCCGTTTTTGTTCTCTGTTATCTAAATTGAGCAACAGATATAATAATTAATCTTCTATTTAATGAGAGCAATGTTTAAAAAAATGTTACCAGCTGTTTGGGGATTATAAATTTTAGACACACTAAGACATTTCGAATTTTTTCCTTTCGTTACATTAAAATATAGTTTTTCTCGTAATTCCTGTGTTTGTAGTAATGTTCTACCAATTCCTGCAGCTATTTCTTCAACTTCAGTTTCAGCCTTTTATATAAAAATAAAATTAGTAGATATAATTTTATAATAATGGATCACATAAAATAATTATTTATGATAGTCTTACGTTAGAACAAGTGCAAATGTTTTTACTAAGCTCTTGTTGATTATTAACTTCCTTGCGCCATGGTTTTAAAACGAAGATAGCTTCATTACAGTTTGACTTTAACACATGTTTTACATCTTCTGTAAATACAAATGCTTGATGCAAGAATCCAATTAATTCTGAAAGGTCGAATGTTTGTTTCGTTTTCATCGTCAAATCTTCTTGTTCCTAATGAAGAAAAAAAAAATGAGTAAAGAAGAGATAATTAATCATTTAATAATATACAGTAAATTATCATTAAAACATTGCATATCGCTCAAAGTGTTAACTGCACTCCTTTTACTATCGTACTACATATAATATTATATATATATATATATATATATATATATGAGTACAAAGTATTTATATTTTACGGTTTCTCTTAATATATATGTTAAATTGTTAACCATTAAATTATTATCAACTGAACTATGTATTATTTATTGAAATCTGTTTATGGGAATGGTATAACTATAAATATCGTACATATTTATATATTAATAAAATTTCTTTTACAAAATTTTTACTTATTTGAACTAAAGAAACCATCAAAATCGCTTCTATTTTAAATGTTTACAAAATTATGAAATGATAGAGAATTTTAAATGCTGTAAATGGAAATGTATTTGTGAATCATAAATTTTAGTAAAACAACTCTTTAGAGTTCCTACTTTATCATAATCGAGACAATAATTTTTATTATATATATGTTGTATGAGCGCATACGTGTATATATTTAATAAAAAACGAAATTTTCTTATAAAAATAAAATACGATTCACAACTTTACAAGAATCTTAGCTTAATAATTTTTCACGAGTTCACCTTCATACATTCAACATCACAAGATACAGATATTGTATCTGATATTAGATTCCAAAAAGTAAAAATAAAAATTCACACAAAAGAAAGATAAGAATGATACGAGTGGCACAATCGCCTTACTCCTAAATTGTATTTTGATATAGACGTTACGTTTGTATTACATGTATATGTAAAATACATTTGAAGTATAACACATATAAAATAAATTGTTTTATCCAACTATGTGCAATTTATCACATCAGATACTCAGTCATATGGAGCACACATCGGAATAGAATTTGCCAATCGTATGCACATTTGTTCTCATATACATGTATATATATTTCATACATACATACATACAAGATGATTTTAATAGCAAGTCATGCTCTGGTGAAAGTGAAAACAGAAAAAAAGATTGTTTTTTCTACCATCACTTTAACAGAGTTATAGCTCAGCCAAATTATTAAAATCATCCTATACCAACAAACCGTATGTAAAACTGCAAAGAAATACTTAATAAGTACTTGTACACTGAATAACCAATCAACTGAAGTCTGAAATAACAAAATGATGATGAATGATTAAAAAGTTTCCTATAAATTAATATCTTTCAAGCAGAAATACAAAGTTTATAAACAGCAAGTACAAGTTAAGTCTCTTTATGATGATGTATGTTTTATAATTCATCTTTTCTTGGCACATCATCATCTTCATCTTCCTCTTGAGCCTGCAAAAAACAAATGTTACAATTTTGTAATAAATATAAAAACTGGATTGATATTGATTAAATGCGTATACGAACTTCTTCAGCAGCCTGACCGTAAGTTCCGCCAGATTCAATAAACTTAGAAAGTCCTTCAAGTGTTCTCTCACCATTGTATTCTACAGCCTATAAGTTAATATTATTTGTAATCATATTCATATCGCTAAAAGTTGATGAAAAAGAAAGCAAAATCCTTACTTCATTAGTTTCCTTTTTGAAGAGAGTAATCGTAGGGTAATTAATAATCGTTATATTTTCTAATTCATTTTCAGTAGCATCCATTTTTGCTATGACTAAATCTTCACTATCTTTGTATTTTTCTCCAAGCTAAAAATATATTAAACTTATTCCTTTTGAAGATTTCTATTTACTATGAAAATAAAATATATTGTAGTATAACATACTGCTTCATATATAGGAGCTAATTGCTGGCAGTGTCCACACCATGGAGCATAAAATTCAACTAAAACGTCCTTGTTTTTATCAAATGCAACTTCGTGGAAGTTAGTACTAACAAGAACTTTTACGGGGTTCTTATCCCAATCCTCAGGTAATTGTTGTGTAAGCAAATCTCTTGTTAATTTATCCTCAACAAAATCAGTTACAAATTGCATAACACTTTCACTAGTTAATTCAGGTTTCTCAGGTTTATACTTGATCATATCTCTTTCCAGTTTGATGATCCTCATGGTGGGTGCTGCATCTTTCTTCATACCAAAGAATTCCAAGATTCTCGAGTGATCATCCTCATCAGTATTAATTGTTACAAACAAAACCTGGATAGATGTATTTCAATAACGTATTAATATTACCGTTATCAATATTAAAATTTATATATGTTAAATTTTCACGTATTTACCTCTCCACGGAATTTCTTAGCTGGTTCCTTAACATGTTCTATGTATTCTTCAAAATGACCAGCTTCTTTACTAAGGAAGAGAAGACAGTGACTCTTGACATCACCATTGAATATTTTTTGTGCAGTCTCTTGATTAAAATCAACAACTATAGGCAATGAATGTACAGAAATAAAGCTTTGTAATTTTTTAACATCAAGTTCGTCGTTGTACTCATCTCTGCCCTCATCAAACTGAAATTCATATTAATGAAATAGAATACTAAGTTACTGGATAATTAATAATAATTATAGTTAATTACCTTCTTGAACAATATAACTTTGCCATCTTCTACTTCATATTCCTTGAAAACTTCCTCATTACTACTTATACCAAATGCATGATCATGAACAGCATTAGCAACTTCTAAAAACACCTTTGCTCCTTCAGATTCTGTATCCTAATTCATGCAATGAAAAATCAGTATTCATGTTAATATTTTATAACATAATTATATTATTTTAAATAGAATATAAATAAGATTAAAACCTTGAAAAATCCAACAATTGCAACATTATTTGCTTCAATAAATGATTTAACATCTTCAACTGTTGGTAAATCTTTAGCAGCTGGACCAGCTTTCTTTGTTACCCAATTTATAATATCATCTGCTTTACGACCACCACTATAATCAATGACATGGCCTTTACGATAAAACTTAAGGGTGGGATAACCACGAAGTCCGTGTTTCTCAGCTAATTGTGTCTCTACAGTTGCATCAACTTTAGCTAATTTTATAGGAGAATCAGTTTCTTGCAATTTCTTTGCTGCCTTGGCATATTCAGGTGCCAAAGCTTTGCAATGTCCACACCATGGAGCATCTATAATATGAAAAATTAACAATTAACAAATAAATTAAATTGACAAATATAATTGGATATATATTAGTAAGTTTCCTTATTTTTCTAATTACTATGCTACTACAGATAATCAATTATAAATTGTAGCACACTGTTTTCATAAAATTATTCTAATAAAAGATGAATGCCGTAAATATAAATAAATAATTCATATGTAAATTCTGAATTCAAAATTCATTGATTCATATATCAATCATATCAAGTAAGAAATTTTAATATTGTCAACAAGTGTAATCAATCTTAAGAACCGGCATCTAAATGGTGACGTGTAAGCGTTTAGCATCTGGATCAACTTCAATCATATTTTGAACATGTATATAAAAGGAACGAATAAAATAACGATTCTATTGAAGTTTAAATGCAACTGAAACTGTTTGAAACGATCGATTATTACTTACAAAATTCAATAAGTATGTAATCATTTTGTTCGATAGCCTCCTCAATATTGTCTTTCGTCAGCACTAAAACCTCATCTTCGGTTTCAATTTTAGCAAGAGTAGCAACAAAGAATGATATTACAGTGAACGTTAACACAAAGAACTTCATGTTTAAATGAAGATAAATATTATTTGTAGATGATTAACTCTGCGGCAAGTAACAAAGACTTGTCGTTCTTATTAAAAAACTGAATTTGCCGTTATAATATTGAAATTATAGACACCAACACCATTCGTTGAGGAATACGAATAAAGTGATCAACTACAGTGATGTTGAGAACTATACAGTCAGTAGATCGTGGTTAATGCGTGGCATCACCATTCATCGTGGGAGTTGCTGATTGGCTAACATTACATTTCAGAATCTGGTAGGATGTTAACGCGAGATTACTATAGAACGTTTGATTCATCATCTCGTTCTCTATTAATGATATGAGTTTCTTATTTTATAGGAGAGATAAACATATTTTGTATTTTTTATATGGATCCAAGTTCACGATAATATTTGTTTATTACTATATATATTTATGTTATCATGGTCACATGTGTGCAACGAAAAAGAAAACAAATGATACTAATCTGCACTATTTAAAAAAAATAATAGGTTGTAATGGCTAACTGATTTTGTTACTTTACAATGATTACTTAGTAATTAATAAAAAAAAGTATATAAGAACTATTTTTTTGTTTTATACTCTCTCTATATATATAATTGAACATTTTGTCACTGTAAAATTTAATAAGTAAAAAGAAATTTAAAACTATGTACAGCACATTTTATTCAAATTTGATTTTGAAGAAAATTATTCAATTTTTATAGAAATGTTACTACATTTATATATATATATATATATATATATATATGTGATATATGTATGTACATACATACATACAATATATATCAGTTCTAGTTTAGTTACTTCTTTTATAGTTAGTTTATTTGACTTAGGTTGAGATAATGCAAAACTTTTTCTTTTTTTGACTTTTCAAATTTTTTAAAATTGTATATAAATAATTTTGATGTTTGTCACATGTATTTTACATTTTAAATGTTGTTAATCTTTTGAATTAAAATTTCATTAGTTTAGAAGACAAAATAATGCACTTATATGTATGTAATATGTGAAAACATTTTTCAAAATCAAAAATAATTTTGAAAATATGTATTTGTATGCAATAATGCATTATATAACTGCAATTAAAATATATAACTGTCTAAATGAATAGTATAAAGTCACAGTTTAGTTGTTTGCAGATAGTGGAGCTGTCTTGCATTATCTTTAAAATAAGGAAATTGATCTGAATTTGTTAGCAAAGATGACATCGTATACAGTAACATCTGAAATATTTACAGAAAATAACAATTCTTCTATAAAAATAAAAAATAATTGTAAGTTCATTGTTCACCATTATTTTTCTTATTATTTTTGTGTTCTTATAAATACATATATTGTAACACATATATATAACATGTTTCTAGGTGCAATAACTAACTTTATTTTTAAGTATCCATCTTATCTTATAAAACCAAAATATATCAATGAAGGTATAATTTATGACAAAGATGATGACATAGATGTAAATAGGCAACAAAAAGGAAAATTAGGAATAGGTATAGTATTGATATCTATAATTGACTGTATGCCTTAAAATTGCTTAACTGTTCAATACATGAAATCATATGTTTAATATTTATAGAACACTACATATCTACAGAATTGCAACATGTTGGATTACAAGTATGGCGAGGTGCCCTGTTATTAGCTGATTATATTTTATCCAATCCTGATTTGTTTAAAGATAAAGTAGTTTTAGAATTAGGTGCTGGAGTTGGCTTAACTAGCATAGTAGCCAGTTTTCTGGCTAAAGAAGTAATTTGTACAGGTAATAAAAATAGTAATCCTATTCTATTAAAATTAAACATTAACATAAAAATATTAAACATTATTTTTATATTTTAGATGTTGATATCAAAGGGATATTGAAATTAATACGTAGAAATTTTATACGAAATAATACTTATGTTAAATCTAAACTTTATATTAAAGAATTAGATTTTTTAAATTTAAAATGGCCAACATTTTATGAAGAAAGAATAAATGAAGCAACCATTATTTTAGCTGCAGATGGTGAGTAATGAACTTACAGATATAGAATAAAAATATAAATAAATTATTGATAAAATCTTATATTTACAGTAATTTATGATGAAAATATAACAAACGGATTCGTCCAAACATTAGCAAAACTTCTGAATTCAGAAACATCAAAAACTGTCTACATTTCTTTGGAGAAAAGATACGTATTTACTACAGCTAACATGGATACTAGTGCACCAATGTTTGAAGAATTTCTAAACTGTATTGAAAAACAGCAATTCAATTGGCATATTGAATATATTAAAATAGATTTTCCACAATACTTTAAATATGATAGAGTAAAACAAATGATTCTTATAAAAATAGAAAACAAATAAGTGAAATAACTTAATATATGATAGTAATATGCATGTACATATATGAACTATAATTTCAAACAGTATTAAATAAAAGGTTTAAGAAAATGTACGTGATCTAGGATATAGCTAATGGCAATAAGAAAATAATTTACATTTTCATTCATTTGTTTAATCATGACAAAAGTATATGCAATTTTATAAAAGGATGTATATATTTTTAAAATAATAAATACTTATATTTTTATGTATGTATTAAAATCATTGTTATTTATAATCGTAATAATGTTAAAACATATGATAACTTAATTAACTGTAAATTGATTTCTGTATAGGTGTAAGAATTCAACTGTCAAAGGAAGTTATTTAATTACCAATAGCACTGTGTAATTTATTATTACGTTTAGAAGAATAAAGAAAGAATTTTGACGATTTCAAATAAAAATGTAAATATTTTAAGTTATTAGGTTTCCATATTTATTGTATTTTTTTTGTATTTACAGCCTAGAATAAGTAGTAATATTAATGGACAGTGATTAAAGTCGTTCGAAGAGAACGAGATTTACTAAAAATCAATACTTGCTATGTACTTAAACAAGATCAAAAACTTCAGCTAATTAAATTACAAAGAAACGTCACGTACTACGTACGGGAATGTAAACGTTTCTTCGAACGATTATCGGCAGTAAAGTTGCGTATATTACACTTAGGATAAGTTAATTGTAATATACTAAATTTCATCCACAAGTTTGTCTGAGAGAACGACAATCGGCAAACGAATTATGTTAACTAAAATTTTTTCAACGCATAAGTGAGTACAAATACTCAGTTGAAAAAAAATAAAACACTAATTGGCGATAGTCACTCTCACATTCAGATTTTTCTTGCTTCATAAAGGCACTTTTATATAACACTTCATTCCTCATTTTTTGGGTAAAACTTATAATTTACAGCCTCAGTTTTATATGGAATTAAATTTACAAGGTATATCTGAAGTAATTGTACCAAGGTCCCATCTTTCAAGAGATTATGTACTAGCTTTTCTAATTTCGTATTAACTTTAGACATTAAATTCATCTATCAAATAATTTAAATGAACATTACACAAGAACTACAATTGTTTTATCGTATAAAAGAATAAGCTATCATATCTAAGTATGAATTCAGTGCCCTTGTTTTCTGTAATTCTGTTTTTAAAATTGTAAGTATACGAGGCAATACAATTTTATTTAAGCAAATAAAAAGCTTTAGAAAATTGGAAACATAAAAAGCATTATTGACTAGACCAAGAAAGAACGGGTATATTATATTTTTATGAAATTAGGTTTTCGATTACGTATGTTCAAAAAAATAAATTTTTTTTTTTTGTATCCACATTCAATTATTTCCAAATTTTAGTTAAAACTATGGGAATTGTTTACATTATTTTTTCCTTTCTTTTAAAATTTGTTGCATACTTCATTTTTACAATTACAATTTTCAAATTCATAGAAAATTCATCTAATGGCTAGAGCAATGATTATCAAATATTAGCTAAATGTCAATCATCCTAATTATAATTATATTCTTTGCAACAAATACCGTACAAACGCGTGCGCAATTAGGTTTCTCTCGGTTAAGGACAAGTGTAGGAGAAGGAAGATGCTTCCCATCGGACTCACCGTTATTTTTTATGTGCAGAATAGGTAACTTCCTATCATCGTCTCCCACGCTTCTTAAACCACTAAATGGCTTCTTCCCCTACACTTCTCTTACATCTTCATTTAGCCGACAAAAGCCTTCGTTGCACGCGGCTGTACAAAAATGTACAATTAGTAGCGTATGCATACTGATTACTAATAGCTACTTCCACTTTGGGGTGGTTTTTGGTTAGCATTACCACTATTTGATACTGGATCCAAAATCAATTTTCTTCTATGATACTCGGTAGTCGCATTTTCACTGGCCATTGACTTTCGACGTAAAAGTGTCGTATTCTCTGAAATCTGAATTATCGAATTTGTACTTTTACGCCGAGTTGGTATATCACTCGCTTGTCTTCGTCCTGTTTCATTTTGATTGGATATCCCATTAGTGATTGACACTGTTGTAGAAGTTTTACTATTAGTAGTATTCGTTATACAAACTGTAGAAGCAGTTTTATTCGCACCGCTTTGCATTGATGTAAATGTATTAGCATTTTTATTAATAGAGTTTTGTATTGTACTATTATGATTTACAGTCTTATTCGATGTTGTCGACATCATGTTAGCATGTTTAGTAATAGTATTGTGGATAGATACCGTTGTTTTCACGGATTGCGAATTTGGTGAACCAAGAGGTAAAGAGGTTTTACGTCTTGCATTAGAATTTGATACGTCATTATTAAAATTTACTTTAGCAGTTGTACTATTTTGTTTAGTATCTAAAGATGCATGAAAACCTGAACTAAGCCATTTTTCAACTTGAGCTTCGTGCGACTTTTGTAAAACTTTTCGAATATCACTATTTTCACCTCCTTCCTTCATTATCTCTTGTAATTTTTGAATTGTTTGATATAAAACCACAGGGCTAATTAAGCCAAAATCAAACAAACTACACATATGTAGAACAAAATTACGATACAAATTTTTCATGAGCAATTCCTTTCCTTTAGTTTCTAGAAACATTTGGCAAGCCAATGGTATTTGACAGTCTCCTACATAGCCATATTTCATAACGTGTAAATTCCACATTTTCATAAGTTCTTTTTCTCCTTCGTTTACGTCTGTAAAATCATCGATCATCATCATCGTTTTAGTTTGCAACCATTTTGGATCGTTTTCTCCTTCAGAATCAATATCCATTTCTTTTGGATATATAGGCAAACATGTGACAGTATGATGATATAATCTAAAAAAAATTTGCATGTTATATTTCTTTGATTGTATAATAATTGGTAAAAGATATATTTATTATTTCTACCTATTATGTCCTGTAATGTAAGGTCTTTGGCTTTCGTACTCATTTTCATCAAGCTCCAGAAATTCTGAAAGACTTGGTTTAGTTCTTTTTGGGCGACATACTAAAATATTTGTTACACTTGTACGTCTTGTTGGCCCTGTTCTGGAAAAAGCTACGCTAGAAGGTTGTGATATCAATTCATGAGGGCTTCCTGCATAGGAGCCATCATAGCATTCGTTTATTGCTACATCTATACGAGCACCTTGTGGAATTGGCTATTAAAATAAATATGATTTATTTTACAATAGTTTTGTAAAATTAAATATGACATGTACTGTAATGGACACCTACCACATATGTGAATGTAAATCGTGAATGACATAGTTTTAAGTGTTTTAACAACGAATAGAGCTTTCCACAATCTAACGAACACCAAGGGCAATGTAAATCTTCGCAAGCTTCTGTTTGTTGACGACTATTATTATTGTACAGGAACTGGTAAACTATTTGCTGAGTACCCGTAGAAGTGTCCAACTTTTCACTGGGTGTTGTCATTCTTGAAGAGTTAAGAGGACTAGGTGTTGGCAGTGTAGAATTGTTATTATTGTTAATACTACTATTATTATTTGTGGAAGAACGTTCTAGACCAGCTAAAACAAGGATATGAAATATAAGTTATATTTTTCATCTCGGATTTACTTTCATACGACGTAGAAATAACTTACTATTTACTGATCGATTTTCTTTATTATCACCGTTTGGTGCTGTATGTATCGGAGATGGTCTATCAACTAAACCAGTACTCGGTTCAGTCGTCCAATTAAGTCGAAACTTTAATGTTGGTCCTTTGCTAAATACTTCAAAAGGACCGCATTCTTTGATGTCAGGTACAGACTCCCAAGAGCTGTGCTTCTTTGGGCTAGATCGAATATTGGTTTGTACTTCTTGTAAACCTAATTCATAATCGCCATCGGTCAACAAACATCTATTATGTTTATCATATACTATCAGTTCGGAACCATACAATTTTACTTCTTCTCCTGAAGTTTTAATTGAACCAGTAGAAGACTTACGACGTTTTTGAGCCGGTTCTGAAAAATCAAAACAAATACTGTGAAACTATATTATGTAAATTAATATATGATAAGGTTTTACCTACCATCTAAATCACAGTTATGCATAAGGCAGCCAGTATTTGATGTACAATAAACTCTAAGTAAAAGCATATAGGTCTTTGCTACATGACCATTATTTAAACTGAAGCTCTCATTAGGTATAGATATAGTAGGTACTTTTGGAGGTGGTTGATTTTCACAAGGATTTATTGGAACTTCGCTTGTGCCAACAGAAACCTGAAATAAAAAATAATTAAAACACTTGTAGCAATAATTATTAGTTTTACTTATTTTGGTTTTTATTAATTACTAAGTTTAAGAAATCATACTTGCCTGCATAATTGGTGAACTCACATCTTTTCGTTTTTTGTGACATATTTTCAACAACAATGTTTCTACTTTTACTGGATCTTGAGGTATTTCAACTAAATATCATTGCATTATCGTAAAATAAAATTTAATTAATGGAATTGAAACTTACATATAATTAATATAAAAATTTTAACCAATTTTGATACATGTTTACCTTTCTTATCATAAAAACCTAAAAAAGTAAGAGTCATATATCCACGAACACCTGGGTTTTCCTCTTGTTTGTTTTTTGACATTAATTTTTCCAATATCATGTCAGTTTTAAATCCTCTTCGAGACTTATGACTTCTGGACATACGTTGCTTCATGTAAGTTAAATTTCTATATAGAAATATTGGCTAAAAAAATTACATAAGGTATTTAAATATAAGCATATAAAAATGTGAGACAGAAAACAATCAGTAACTTCAAAAATCTATAATTTATTAAACTGAATTTAAGTTAAATTATAAAATAATAAATCTGTATACCTACCATGTACAATTATTAAAAACAAGTACATAGAAAGTATCAAAATATTTGAATAACTATAATTGCAATGTATTGAAACCATAAAAAAAATAGTTCACTAAACTGTTGGTACAAAAACCTGCACCCAATACATGTTTTCGTTCGCTTCTTGTAATTATAAATAAATATTTATCATTTTACTTTTTATCTGGGATGTACATTATATTAAAACGTTAGAATATTCAGTTAACACTTTGAGGATAAAATAAACTATAAATAATTATAAATTAACATATAATATAAAATATAAATTAATTGATTTTTACTCACTGAAATTTGGTTTCTTGTGCGTAAAAATCGATAAATCTGGGTTGGCTCTGAAAAATAATATAAATACATTATAAAATAAAAAATTAATAATACAGATTAAATATACATTTAACTATACATAATATATAAATTTAAATATTATCTTTATGAACATAGTTATATTTTATTGCATAATAAAGTGGATAGTGTAATTAAGTTCCGCTAGGTGGCCCGTAGGTTAACGTCGTTCTCGAAAGTGAAAGGATTAATGGAGAAGCTTAAAAAGCCGAATAGAGAAATGTACAGCCGATCCTTCACGAGGTTAAACAGGGAGGTGATGACACGGTTTTTCTTGTTTTCATACGAGAAGCCTGCATGTTTTACGACGAAGCAGGTTAAACCTTTCTGATCCCTTAATTTTCAAATCGCATGATATTATATCAACAAAACATTTTTAATATTATATAAAAACTTAAATTAGTTAATATATTATGGATTAGTTACATTCTATAGCTGCATATTTTATGAAAGTGAAAATTATTGTGTGAATTTTAATTATAAATGTAATATATGGAAACAACGTACGAACGCTAGCGCAGAATTTACCAGTATTCAAATTTAAATTACAAACGCATTAAAGGGAATTGTAAAAACTTACATATCGGAAGCCTCGAATACATGACACACCGACCATTAAAGTGTTAATAAAAATTATAAATAAAAGAATAAATGTACAACTTAAATGTAATCATCCATTAATGTAAAAATATTAACCTAAAACTTTACAACCAAGAGTTTTAGCTGACATTTTAATACAAGAAATATTTAACATAGATCTTAGATGTTTAATTTTTATTTAACTGTAGCTTGACAATTATTGAATTGGCTGGTTTACAATTTTTTCTGTTTATTGCTACAATTCAATTTAACACTTATATTATGTTCATCCTTTTTCTTTACTTATAACAATTTTTATAAAAGATATTACACTATAAAGAGTGGACGAAAAGTCGCTTTACCCATCATAACTAATACAATATAACAAAAGTAAAAACTTATAAATTCTCAATAGAGTGAAGCGATTTTTTTGGCCACCCTGTAAGAATTTATGTCAACTTTAATTAATATTCTTGAAATATATATTTTTATATTTCAAATAACATTAGTTTATGTGATTTTTGTAACAATTTAAAAAACGTGTAGTCTTATCAATATCAAAACAGTATTACACGTAAAAAGATTGATAATATTGAAAAAAAATTAATGTCATAATATATACAATCCTCTCGTGTATATTAAATATATTTCATTCAATCCAGGTTTATCTAACTAAAAAACTATAAACATGATAAAAGAATGACAGGTGTCGGTATGAATTGACGTAAAAGGAGGGAACGAAAAGTAGCGACGCGAGAATCGGCGCTTGGTACATTCTAAGCAAATGGGGTTATGTACGATTACAGTTAACATTGATAATAAATATTCACAAGAAAAGCAATTGTTAGCCGTTCAATCGTTAAATTTCTTGATATTAACTGATATTAAATCACGACATAACATGGAAAAGGAAAATTATATCTGTAAATTCTTACTTTCGAAGGCCTGCAGGAATAGCTCATGATCTGCTTGTATTTGATCCATTCGAGGACCTCTTTGTCCATCCACTTCTTTCTCCCGCTTTTTCGGCGGCATTTTCACGTGATTTGTTATTAAATATCCTAAGAAAACTTATTTTGTCACGTGAAAATACAATGACAATACCCGCCCCGCGCGAAATCTGCGGCGCTCAGCCTGCAACTAAAGCGCACTCTTATATCACTATTAATTACTAACACGACCAATCATTTGTTTATCAGCGCCAAATGTAAATGCCTTATTGTAACAAACGTATATTATAAATATATCCTGCTATTATTATATTATTTATTGATATTAATAGTATAAAGACAAAAAAAAATTAGTATAACTTTTATATCATTTTAAGCATTCTTCTTAACCGATGTTTATGATATATATTCTGACAGGTGTCATAACAAAAATGTATACATATGTTATAATCTATAATTTAAAATATTCTTTATTATATAAAGAATAATTAATAATTTTATGCAGAACATATTTACTTCGTTTTAGGATTATTAAAATTTTCTAAAATTTCTTCTTTTATTTTTATGTCATTTCATTTATTAATTAAATTTGTGTTTATTTTATCTACAAAATATGTGAAACTTTAGTATATAAGATAATATGATTAAATATAAAAACTATAAATGCAATTAAAGTATTGGAAAGTATGATACAACTGTATATATTTATATCTATACAGAAGAATACAATATGTATTTGCATTATATACATTATGTGCATATTTATACACATACCTTTAAACAACATTTTATTAATATAAAGATTAGTGAAATTCTTTTTTAATACTTTTTTTGAATCGATGAAACATGGAACATGTATCAAAAATAAAAATACTGGTTATTCATCCATCGCACGTAAGCGAAAGCGCAAATGAATTATACGCTTTCAATAACCTATTCCCGTACATTTTCGTGTTACAAGTAAATAGTGACCTTAAAAATTAGATTACTTTTTGTTGATGCATTTCTTGAAGTTATATTTTACATTTCCGTACTGTAATTTAAACTAGGATAATTTTTTACTACACTTAATGATATTTACAATAAAATTTTAATTTGTTTTATATTATAAAAACATGAAATATAACATATTTCGTATTACAAATGTACAATTTGTGCAGAAACGTTTTTTTAAAAAACTTCAAGTAAGAGTTAGATTTGCACCTAGTCCAACTGGTATGTAAAGTGGTTATTTAACTTATGTCTTTTAACAATTTACTGTAAAATAAATTTGGAGCTGTATTAATTTTTATTCTATTATTATAAGGGACCTTGTTTTTTTATAAACAATTTATTGCCAATGTATATGAAATATTATATTTTATTTCTAGGTTTGTTACATATAGGAAGTTTACGAACTGCATTGTATAACTATTTATTTGCTCGTTCTAATAATGGCTCATTTATCTTGCGGATCGAAGATACAGATCAAGCTAGATCTGTACCTGGAGCAATAGAAAAAATTGAAAATGATTTATTGTGGGCTGGGATTATACCTGATGAGGATCCAATAAGAGGTGGACCTGTTGGGCCTTATATACAATCAAAACGACTTGAAATATATAAGTATGTTGTCTAAATGTAATGTTTTTTTTATATATAAGCAGAAGTTGGAAAGATTATCTTTAAGAACTGTGAAGAGGTAAGGAATATTGCTTCCCATTTTTGCTTCTAACACATACATTTATTGCTACTACTATGTTAAAATAAAATAAAATGATCACTTATCACTTTGTTCTTAGAGATAATGCTACAGTAATGCACTAACCCAGTCACTGTTGTATTTCTATTAAAAGTAATGCAGTATTAAATGAAGGATGGTATTTGAAACTTGCTTTTATGCTGCTAAATATTTTTTAGCTTATTTAAGATTAATCTTCAAATTGTCTTTAATATATTATTTACATTCTTAATATCCAATTAAAACTTTAATGCACAACTCATTAAATTATAGGGAAGAAGTGCTTAAACTAATAAATAATCAATCTGCATATTACTGTTTCTGCACAAAAGACAGATTGCAGTTATTGAGAAGAGAAGCTATAAAATGTGGACAAGTGCCTAGATATGATAATAGATGTCGACATTTAAGTCAGGATGAAGTAAAACAAAAACTCAATAAGGGAGATCCTTATTGTATTAGATTTAAAGTACAGTAAAATACTATTAAATAATATTATCTTACTTAACTGTAATTTCATAGGGTCATTCTTGTACATCATTGCAGTTATCTTCTGGGACAGAAAGTTTTGATGATATAATATATGGTAAAATAGAACATGATATTGCAAGCAGGGAAGGGGATCCAATTATTATTAAAGCAGATGGTTATCCAACTTATCATTTTGCAAATGTTGTTGATGATCATCTGATGGGAATATCCCATGTGCTACGAGGAATTGAGTGGCAAGTATCCACTCCCAAACATATAATGATGTACAAGTAAGTATAATGATTACTCTATATTCACATCTCCTAAATTTCTAAGTTTCTAAAAGTTTTGAACATTATTTACTATTTATTTTAATAAAATTTATAATGAAATTCTATTTTTATAGAGCATTTAATTGGACCCCTCCAGTATATGGACATTTACCATTAATACTAAATCCCGATGGAACAAAGCTATCAAAAAGACAAAACGATATAGACATTGCATATTTTAGAAAAGAAGGGATTTTTCCATTAGCAGTTCTAAATTTCGTTATTCATGCAGGTGGTGGTTTTGATAACAAAGGTGGAGCTTATTATATTGATAGTTATGAAGAACTTATTAAACAAGTATGGTTTTATATTAAAGTTTTAAAATATTTAAAATTAAACATTAGAAAAAGTTTAATAAATCATCTTATTTTATTCTATTTTTGGATTGTTTCAGTTTGATATTTCCAAAATAAAAGTGGCTTCTAATAAGCTTTTATCTGAAAAGTTATTAGAATTTAATAAGTTAGAAATATCGAAACTATTAGCAAATGAGAAAAATAATAAATTTTTAGTTGAAAGAATTAAGAACCTAGTCATGGAAGCATTTCCGGAAAAGTATGGAATTATTTTTGCACATACTTTTTGTTATTATTATTATTTAATGCTTATCAAATATTTGAAAACATCGTTACAGAAAAATTGATGAAACTTTGCATTTAAATGATCATCATATAATTAAAACATTGAAATGGGCACAGAATAGAATATCTAAGTTGAGTGATCTAGTATCTCCACATCTGGCCTTTATATGGATACTTCCAACCACATCTGTAGATAAAATTCATTCAGAATATTCAGGTATAATTTTTATTTTTTAGACTTCATTATATAATAAAACTTACTATTTTTCGTTACAGACGTACTTAAAATATTAAAGGACAAATTGCTTGAAACTGATGCTGAACATTTTAACAAAACATGGATAAATAGTTACTTAAAAGAATTTGCTAATGAGCATGGAGTTCCATTTCCAACATTGATGAAACATCTACGTCTTATTGTTAGCGGTTTAAAGGTAAATATTAAATATTGCAATTATTAATTTCAAATTATTTTATACAGCAAGAATTTTTATATTTTTAGGAGGGTCCGCCAGTTGGTGAAATGATGGAAATTTTAGGAAAAGATACTATATTATTTAGAATAAATCGCTATATTTCCTGAAATTAAACATAGCGTTAATAAATTTTTCCATGAGCAATATAATGAAATTTTATAGATATAACATCGAATAGAAAATGTTTAAATAGAATAAAAAGCTTAGATATCTAGTCACTTTTTTTAATGAAGTTTATGGAACACCGATTTTTTTTGTGTATGTTGAAAACCATCAAACCATTATGTATATATAAAATAGACCACTCTAAGTGCCATCAATTTGTCTTTAAAGTTATTAAATATATACGTTTTTTTTATTATTGCAATAATATTTCTATATTAGTTTGATTCATTTTAACACAAAATGTACAGTTTTCACGATGTACATTAATTACAGTTGTAAATATGACGAATATACGTTTAAATAATCTCAGACAATAATTACAGACAAAATATTAATTCAAATATTGAGTATTGGACAAGGGTTAAAACGCGTGCATAACTGTAATATCATTTATTTTTTTTAAGTATTTTGAAAGATGTTGGATATACATAGAAGTACATAACAATCAAATATTTAACATTATATAATACTGTAATATTGTTACCTGAATATAACTTTGAATTTCGGCTATAAGTAGTCTTAAATGAATATCACATGCAAGTTACTTTTCTGATTGACTATTATTTACAATATCAGATACACAGTTTGGAATGCATAATACAATTTTGTTGTGCATTATAACATCATGTCAGTTAATGAAATACATTCAAGATTAGAAAATTTAAGAATAGGCACTTTTGTCTTTGCAGTTTTATATTGAAATTAATTAATTCTTTTATATATATATACATCCATACATACATATACACGCATTTACATAAAAGAGTTAATTAATTTTTGGGATTTGAATTGAGCATATATAATAAGATTCAAAAAGACAAGATTACAAAGTACTACATCAAATTATATAGTTTGGAAAAATTTGTTGTTATATTGCCAACATTATTACTTTATAGTTTTTATTCTAAAAAGAATGGCTAACACTAAATTAATACCAATTAGATGGTGTCAAAAAATTAAAAAATATGATATACCATATGCTGCTATGTTGAGTTATTGATTTCTTTCTTAATATACTTTTAATATTTTTAGTTTATTGATTAATAAAGTTCAATATGTTTCGTAAATTATTTGTACTACTAATCAAAATGATAAATGATAGGTATTGCTAAGCTGGATAAGCTTCAATAAGATTACTGATATTTAGTAAGAAGAATTTTTTTAATTTCATTGTTGCACAGCTGTAAAATTACATCACAAAGGAGGAACTATATAAAAACATCTGCTTTTGTTTTATATGTAAATACATTACCTAGTGATATACAATAATGTAAGATAACAGTAAAAAAGAAAAAATAATTGTAACTTTGTTACTTGTAAATTTTAAAAAACCACACTTTTTTTGTAGAGATATAGAATTTTTATAAAAAAGAGTAAACTCATACATTTTTTTGCTTAATTCTGGTTACACAATCATAATTTATAAATCAATAAGAAATTAAACCGTTTTTAACATGGAGATTATGCAGATGTTATTACATAGCTTAATATTTGGATATTTAATGACTAGTAAAAGTTATGAAAATTAAGTAAATATATATATATATACACAAGTAGGATTTAAACACTGTAATATATAGTGTACAGATAATTAAGAAGTAATAGATTCTGATGCCATTTCTGCTCTAATGATTCAGACAATAATAATACATCTTTGAAAGATAACAATTGTCTATTTGTGTCTATAAATTAGTAGTAATAAAAGTACTGGCAATAGCCATTAGGTTGTGCAATACTATTAGTTTTATGTGCTTATTTATAAGAAATTATTTTCTACTTAATAAATGTACTATTTAGAAGAATTTCATATATTTAAATTTTGTCAATCGCGCCTTCCTACTTTGCCTTTATACTAACGGCATCCTCTTCAAACATACTTACATCTTAAAAATTTGTTTTCTCTTTCTTTTCCAGTAAATTTGTACATGATATTTTTATTGCCATTGGCGGGTGTTTTACACACGTTCTTTTTACTTTATCATTGTCAATGTCATTATTATCATTATCATGATTGTTAATTTATTTTTTCAATTGTTATACAGAGCGGTGCACGTAACAGTTACAAGTAATAACTATTTTTGAAGTGTAATTAGAAAAAAAAATGTTGCAGGAAGAAGGTGAATAGTTCAAAATGTAAATATGTACATATATAGTTCTATTTAAAAAAATAATGCAATCGTTAAAATGCAAAAAATGTATGATCCTACAAATGTAATACTATTTGAACCATTCATCTGGTTTTTTTTTAACGTTGTTTTCTAATTATACCACAAAAAAGCTATGATTTGCAACGGTTACATAGTTTACCCTGATCATACTGATTAAATCTCACTTTCATTAGATATTGTTATGTATTAAAAATGTTTCTTTGAGTATAATTCAAATGTGATAAAATACTGTAAGTACGAAGTATTGAACATAAAAAAAAATTTCAGAACATTTTACACGTATACAGTGGGATATATATTGTAAATATATGTATGATTAATTTTGTATGATTAAGCACATGTGCACATATATGTATATGTGTATATACTTTATATAATATAGTTTAATATAGATTATGTGAAATTTTAAATATAAACATAATAACAATTGATTTTAGTTTACTGTTAACATTTTATGCACACAGTTGTATTAAATTTAAATATAGTTTTATTTTAAAAGTATCTTGTGTATATATTGTGTATATATATACATACATACAGTACATACACATTTATACTTTTACGTAAAAAATTAAAGTCACATCAAATTAATGTAAATTGCAAATAGATTGTACTTATATAAATTATATAATTGACAATACTTATCTCATACCTAATATTTAGAATGTAATTTTTAAATATATTAATACTGTTTTAAGTAAACTTAACATAATATATTCCGAAATTCTAAATATTTATCAAATTTATCATTATTTATCAAATGTAAAAATTGTCAAATAAAATGCATAAACACGTATTTCTAAACTTATATATGATTTACATTAATACGTAATTTTTAAAGTCTTTAATTTTTGTACAATATACAAAGGAATAAATATAAATGATACTGTTAATTAAATTACTTTTTAATAAATTATTATACTATTAAAATCTTACTCATTTTATAAATGCATAATGAATAATTACGTTTGTGTTGTCATTGCATTTAAAGGTATTGTATTAAGTATGGATATAGCATGCTTAACATGAAGTCAATTTAACAATTTGGCACTAATAACATTATTTTGTCACGGAGCAGTGTAGAAAATAATTTTTTTTTTTTTTATAACACCGTTACGTCACAGTAAGTGTCCCTTTTTATCAGAATATCTACATTTTGTTTATATTGCATATTTAGTATTACATAATGTTTGCGATAACAGCGTAAATACCCACTTATTTTTCTACTTTCAAATGATTTCTGTGCACCAAAAAAATGTAGTATCATTAATGTATCTCGGTAATTCTGTATTTTCAGATAATTATTAATTAATATAATATATTATCTATTGATTGTATGATTTATACTTTGAAATATTGAATTAAGTGTCATATAACTAATTATTTAGATCATTAATAGCTTGCAAGATTCTTTTAACGTGTCCTACTTTAGTAATACCAAGTTCTTTGAGATCTCTACGGGCTAATGATAATAATTCCCTACCTCGTATATCATGAGACACGAATTTATCAGTATATTCAACCAACTGTAGACTTTCTAGCCAAGTGCAAACTTCTTGTACTCCCCATGTAGTAACTTGTTCCCGAACAGGGTGTGCACCAGAATTACCTCCTGAACGTCGGAATTTTAACCAAAACAAACCTTTGTGTCGATTCTTTTTATCTCCCTTTTAAAAAATAAACATATTATATCAAATACTAGTAATCAAATAAATTTACAAATTTAAAAACATATACCTGTTCATCTGATGGTAAATTTTGTAAGTATACTAATCCCGTACCACCTTCATCAAATGTACATTTTTTTAATTCTTGTTCCATACTGGCCAGTGAAAAAGATAAGTTATTCTCCAAACCTTCTCGTAATTTCTGTGTTATATAAATTGAAATATTAGTAAACTTTCGCAAAAATATAAAACTATAAAATATTTACCAAATTATGTGCTTTATCCCTAAGTAATTCGCACGAATCTTCGTAAAGTTGTCTTGCGCTTGATACCAATTCTGTTACAACCGGCCTTAAATTGTTCTGTTAAATAATATTTGATGCAATTGATTTGTATTTATATTTAAAAAATATTAAAAATTTAATTATAACAAAACTACTAACTCCCTGTAATATTTTTCCATCTGGATGAACTTGTTCAAGTGCCTGGGCTGTTCTTGCTGCGACTTGATACAAATCAGCTTCCAAGCTTGGATGTGATATAATAAGAAGCTTCACCCATTTAACTAAAGTTGTAACAACTTCAATAAAACCCAGTAAAATATACATTTCTTCTTCGTTCAAATGTGATGGTTTACCGATTACTGGTAAATGAGACTTTGATTGTGATTGCAATTGTAATTGTGCACTGTTTATGGTAGACACTGAATGGGATATTGCATTAAGTGTATTGCGTTGTTTTTCCTCCCATGTTTTTAAAGATGTTTCCAATGCCTGCATTTTAAAGTCTATATTGTAATTACTTTTAAACATGCATACACCTAACGGTATCATCAATCAATGTTACTTACTCGATTTCGGTAAAGCATTTGCATACGATTTTTATGTATAATGCGTATAATACCGGGCCTCTGAATCCATGCCTCACCATCAACTTGTATGGGTACTCCTTCCTCTCCCAAAATATTAATTTGAACCGTTTGACACTGTGCAATTCTATGATGCTGCAAATTAATAAGTCGTGATGCAGCCATTTGAACAGAACCAAACACAGCCACAACTTCTAATATGCGATCGTCAAACGAAGGCGCTAAAAACAGGTCTCCTTCTTTCGTGCCTCCCCAAAAATTTGTGCCACCCATAAAACTATAATAGAATATGATTTAGTAAAATATAAATATATATAATTGTTTCTGTATTTATACCTTGGAATGTTTAATACAACGATTCCTTGTAAAGACGGTAATGGTATACGTTGACCATCACATTCTAATTGTACTCTTTGTTCAAGATTTTTATATGTTTTTTGTAACAATTGTTTGGATCCTAACACACCATACCACATATAGTTCTTTGCCCGTGATCGGCATTTCTCAGGATGTTCTTCTCTTTTATGATGAAAATCAAGACTAATTTTTGCATCTATACCAATTCCAAAATAGTTGTTCATAACACAACGTTCAAAGTAACCTTCCCTGTATTAATTAAAGAAACAATTAATTCTATATATGATATAGACATAATAGATTTAGTTAGTTTCAATGTAACTCACATCAAAGTTTCATCAGGATCCATTAATGGTGACACTGCTGCACAAAGTGCATCTGCATTTGCAAGCAATGCTTGACTAATGAGACCTGTTCCTCCACTGACATCTGCAATTGGATAATTTTCATTAAAAAAAAAATATCTAAAGCATGTTAAATACGTATTAAATAATTGAACAAATATCTATAAAAATGTTTAAGTTGACTATTTCGCATGATTCTAATTACAATACATATACAGAAAGATATATACTGCAAAAAAGCGAAACGTTTACTTACTTGGCCACATAGGTAACTGAACTAAAGGATTAATAATTGGAAGTTTTTTAACATCTTCAGTTTTGTCAACAGATTTTACTCTTTCATGGCGTAAACTTGCATTGGAACCATCAAATCTTGCAGCTGTAGCAGCTAAAGATACTACTTCTGATGCTTTTATCAAACTTCCACTGCTAATTCGTCGAGTTGCTTGCGGAGAAAAACCTGATTCTGGTAGCTCTACACTTACTAATTATTTATGAAACCGATTAATAAACACATAATAAATAATTTATACACTAAAATAAAAATCCTCAACAATAAGGAATACAACTACAATGAAAAAATCGGGGATGGAAATGCAGAGTATTTTATACAAAAAAGGATATGTATAAGTTATAAAGTTATTGCTTATTTAATATTAAGCAACTAGGAAGCATTTTCGAAAAGATTACTGGTCTATGAATTAATGTATGAAATGTTCGTTTCCTCACATTTTTCCATGCTTTCATCATTATATCGTCTTAAATACGGACTCATTTTATATCCCCCGTCTGAATCATGTTGACTTTCAATTGATGCCGATGGACTAGGAGGATTAATTATAACACTTATCGATGGTGGAAAATTATTAGGTTTTTCATTTGTTGTAGTAGTATCTGAAGAAACATTAAAGCAACATACAGGACTTAATAAATCAGACGTTTTGCCATCTCGAGAATCTTTTAATTGGTTAATATCATTACTGTTCTGTCCAGATGATCCTATGTTATGCTTGCTTTTATTCTAATGGAAATTAATATAAGATTTAAGTTATATCTCTGCACATTTAAAATAAAAACTATATAAATGAAAAAAAATATATATATCTAAGTAAACAATTTACCTCAGTTTCTATAACAGAGTTCTTTGTTGTTTGCTTTCTAAATGATCGTTTAGCGATATCATTGCCTTCAACGAACTGAGCTATGCTACAATATTTCTGTGGTTTTTCCATTTGCTCAGGCTCAAGACCCTCTCTTACAGAGTCATATTTTTCTCCAATATTTGTGCTATTCACATCTTGTCCAAGAGAACTTAAATCATCGTTTAAACTTTCAGAATTTTGTACGTCGCTAGGAAGTATGTCTGAATTATCAGGAGAATCAATGTGCCCGATATCAGAACTATCAGACCTTTTTGTAGAATCAAATATGTCGCTATTTATACGAGCTAAAATAAATACATCAGAAAATTTACAAATTTTTTTTTATAATTATCTAAACTTTTATTGATACACTTACCAATTTCACTTTCACTATTTCGTATCATATAATTCTTAAAATCCAAAGTATCAGAAATTGTACTATCTGTACTAATGATACTATTACTACAGCTACCTCTACTTGTATCAGTTTTAATTCTATTTTCAAATTTCTGAGTATGTTCTGGGGATATATGTCTAGATTGAAATGACTCTGTGTCAGGAGAAATGATAGTATCTTGCATAGTAGCATCATCTGAAGGCGAGCTCGTATCAAAGGTAGTTCTTGTAACACTAACTTGAAAATCTGAAGAAATTTCTATGTTATTAGATTCAGATAATTGTTGATCATTAGACACAAGATTTTCTATTTCTTGCTGATTGTTCATAGACTGAACTGTAGGCATATCGAAATCAAGAGAACTGAAAACATAAGCCAATAAAAATAATTTTCATTTTCTGTTATTAATTTATATATGATGTCAAAATTAAGGTACCTACGCTTGTGGTAAATTTTCACTGTTTCGTCTACTATCAGCAAAACCATCGGGAGCGGGTAATGTTAATAGCTCTTCAGGTTGAGAATCTCTCCTAAGATCAGGTATCGGACTTAAAAAAGCTACATTAGGAGTAGGGCTATTACATGTTAAGTTATCTATATTTTGTATAGAATCTATTAATGGTTCAATAGATAAATTATCAACATGGTCCACTTTTAAACCAGGAATATCCAGTTGTTTTTTACCTATAATATATTTTTTTTTATTTATAAAACTCAACAATAAATGATCAAAAGGATTATCGTTATATAAACTTACTTGATATTGAATTTAACACAGTACTATCATCTAATGAAATACTTGTATTTGGTATCTTAGTAGTATGTTTTGTGTCTGTATTAATTTGATCATCCATAGCCACTTGGGCATACTCCACTAGATGTCTTATTATCCGTTTCAAACTATTTGCTCTACAATTCAATAAAGATGACTAAACATTTTATTCAGTGTCCCAAGATAAGTACCATTTGAAATAGCACTTAAGCTACTGATTCTAATAATAGAAATATACCAGACAACGTAATATTTAGATAAAGCATCAATTTCAAATGTTTATGCTTCTAATCAAAAAATAAATTAAATACTAATGAATCAATCAAGGTGTAATGTACCTTGATATTACACTTTCTTTTTCCGTAAGTTGCCTTGTTCTTTGAAGTCTTTTTAAATTTGTTATGTCTTTTTCTGGCTTTTCTAGCACTCCTTTCTCATAGCTATCAGGTGAGACAGAAATGTCAGTATTTAAAGTAATATTAACAACGTCTTCTAAATGTTCAGTTAAGTAACGTTCTTCTTTACATAATGTTTGTAACAATAAATCAAGCTTGTTTTGAAGTATTTTACATTTATCATCCATTTGTTGGTCCTCGGAGTTTACATTCTCCCTTATATATGTTGCAAAATCTTTTACTGTGTCGCACAGAATTCTGTAAATAAAATTTTTCATCTCATTATTTACCACGTCATATTTAATATACTACAATAGTGTATCCTTTGTAAAACACTTACCTAATACTAGACATAACTACGTTTTCCTGATCTGACTCCAAAATGCTTGTTAGGTGAGTAATAACATTATTCTCATATTGATGAGCAATGTTTGACTTTAACATCGTATTAGATGGACTTAACTCATTTTTTGGGCATGGTAAAGATATGCTACGTTCAAAAGTCATGATACTCCATCGATCAAGCATTTTTGTGCCCGCCTTTTCATATTTTTCTAACAATTGGGGTAAATGAGCATCATCATCACAAGAGGACCCCCAACCCAATACACGTGCCAAATCATTTCCTGTTCCCAAAGGTAGCACTCCAACTTGACACTGCTTCTATTTTAAATTTTTATGTGAAAAAAGAAAAAAAAAATAATTATATTAAAAAATTTACGAAAACATACATTAAAAAGTAGATAACAATTATACATGTGTATAAAAATCCCAAAGTTTATGTAACAATTTATTACTGCCATGTAAATAATTATTTGATACGTATTTACGTATTTAGAAGGCAAAAATTATAAATACGAATAAATTACATAAGCTTTAAGAAATAATTTCTATTACTGAGTATGAAAACTTTTATTTCTTATACAACATACATTGCAAATAAGCAAAGCAATAATGAAACATTCAGAAAGAGATTTTTGGAAAAGAATATATTGTATAAGTTTACCAAATGCTTTTCAACATAATCACCATTTACTGCAATACATTTTTCCAACTGCTCAATCCACTTTTGAATGCCATTAAAACAGAATTTCCTGAGTATCCAGAGTACCAGAACTTTATGCTTACCGAAATAAAGATAGAAGTTTCAATTGAAATAAACCTTGTGGTAGAATGTCTCCGTGTAGTGTACAGGGAATTCCAATATAACTTCTTTAAAAATTTGAAAAGAAAAAAGACTTTCAACTTAACTTTATTCTCTGACTCAAAAATTGATGAAGGTAATAAAAAAACTTCATTGATTTCCAATATTTGTTGGTTTAAAAAATGTAATTTGGAGAAGGATAAATGTTTCTGAACAATAAACATATTTCTTAAATTACAAATAAAGAATATATAAAAAAAAAATCATAATAGTAACATTTCATCTTATAATAATAAATATTCATACTATTTATTTAAAACATTCAAGAATTCTAAAGAAATGCGTGCTTGTTTTACACTTACCATCTACAAATAAAGTTAATGAAGCTTCACGCATACAAAGAATCCTAATACCAAACACCAGTATCATCTGAAATAAAATTATAAAAGAGACACGCCATGCTGTGGAAAATATTAAAGCTTTCTATTATTGTTCACTTAATCCTTCTGTGATACATAAATAATCTGTCTGATTATTTATAAACAATAAACATGAAACCTTAATTAAAAGGAAAGTAATAGGTGCAAAATATATAGAACTCTTTAGAACCTATCTTTTTTTTATTAAAACTTTGAAAAACATACAAAATATATACAATAATCCCAAACATATCAAAATAACTTTTTAAAACAAAATAATATCCTTCATTTCCTCGACCACTTCAAACACTGAATGCTAATCCATTAGAGTATCTGTGGGAAAAATTAAATTGGCAAATACTATAACACCAGTAATATAAAAATTTAATTTTTACAACTGTATTAAAACAGAAGCATAGTAAAATTTCTATAACTATGTTAGAAATAAATAAAAAATGAGTGACATGGATACTATAATTACTTATTAAAGGACCAAATGTTTCGTTAGTTTTAAATGTATATTGCATTTTGTATTAGCAACAAAACATTAAGTTAAATTTTAGTAAAAGTAAACTGTAAATTATTTATTAATTGTAACAAGTAGAATATTTAATTATTTATATATTGACTAATTAACATAAGTCACACCTATTTCACATGATTCTGAATTGTACTGAATAGTAATTGAATTTGCACAAAAGGATTAAGCAAACTACAGTATAAAAATATATGAAAGGATATTATAACATTCTAAACAATCATAATAAAATGTTCATGCTGATGTATATATGTGCACATGAACAAATTTCAGTATAAATTCTAGAGAGCATTACAACCCCTACATAGCATAACCATATTTAATATAAATCTCTCTATATATATACAGAACGTGATTAAAATTGAAATTCATGCAATTAGTTAATATTTACAAAACCAAAAAATCATGTAATTTCCTACTTACATGCATCCCTAAACGGTCAATTTCCGAAAGAACCCAACCAACAGATCCATCCCCGCTGCATACCAAAATCCGAAATGGATCGAAATGACGAAATAATCTCAACCTATTTTATAAAAAGTTATTAATACATAAAAGTTAATTAATATGAAATTACCAAATAATTTACAACAAACCTTACCCTGGTCCTGGTCCTCCTTTTATAAGATCAAATACTTGTGCTGGATTTAATAATTGTTTGAATCTTCTAAGAAATTTAACACCTTGATTGTCACCAGATTTACTATTTACAAATACTAAAAGTGGACTGCATCCAATAGGTCTAGTAGCTTCCCAAGCTTCATCGCTACCTATTGAATATCAATGTACACCATATAAAATTAATCTAAAATATGTTTATTACTTTCCACAGTAATGAATAATACTGTATTTCGAATGATTGTCAGCTTGAAACCTAATCGCAACTACTAAACAATTTTGAAAAAACAATACAACAATAAAAGTGTGGAGTTCAGGAAAATTCCCGGCAAGCCGAGGGGTTTTGGGATCGTATTTCCCAGTAAAAGTTTAAGTTTCACTTTGCTCCTGTTAGATGTATTATCACAATTTTATGAATAATGTTACCTATACTATGCAATGCTGTCGGAGGAACTACACTCAATTTAGCTGGTCCTAATGGACATTTAACACCTATGACAGGTCTACATGCTGTATGTACTGTAGCTCTACACCATAAACATCTCCAATCTTGAAGTCTAAATAAATGAAGTAAGAAATGAATAAAAACTTTATAAACTAATTAATACACGATTGCTATAACAAGAATTTATACCTGAGTACAGAGCCACAAGTTTTCTCACATACTGAACATTTTGAGGATACAGGTAAATTGCCTTCCATCCACTGATGAGGCATAGTAATGTTCTAAATAAAAAAAAAAAAAAAAAAATTGAATTTTACTTACATATTATTATTTGCACTTGTTTGTTTCTATAAGTTGAATTATATATTTTATACATACCCCATCTTGGTCCTCAATAATGTCCTTACCAATGGATGCCAATGTGGTCCACTTGCAATTATTTATTGCTTTTATACTACATCGTTTGTGAACCTTATATTTGCATATTTCACAACTCAAACCATGAGATGTAACACCTATGATACACGAATTAATACTTACGTATTATTTCTAATATTAATATCTAGAAAGTAGAAATTAATAATAAAATAAAAATTAATTGAAATAAATTAATTTATACAATTTAATAATTATTTCTTTGATGTTTCTGAATGTTACAAGCTGATACTTAACATAAAAGTTGCACATTTATTTGAAAAATAAATTTGATTTGTTGTAACCAATTTTAGGAAATTGAAATAATTAAAATAATAAAAAATTATAAATGAATGAATCAATATTTATATTTACCATAAAGAGCATCTCTGCAAACATTACAGTATGTTGGTCTTGCATGACTTGTTGCATACCAATGATGATTACCATTTAGCATTTCGGCAATATCAGAATCTGTTTGAGGACGATTCTCTGTTACTGTTCTTATTGCATTCAACCAATCTTCCATTTCTTGTCTACTTTCACCACAGAGAACCAATGATCGAAATGGAGTTATCACCTAACAATGAATATATAATTTGTTATTACAATGCAAACATTATAACTAAAATGATTAAACTAAATTTACACTTTATTCGATAACTTTTTACTGCTATAATTAAATTCATGTATTTCAAATTACTATCTTCAACAAAATATTTATGAAACAAGTGTTACATTATTATATGATAAAAATAAAGATAAGATGCATTGTTCTCCAATGCACAAAGAATTAATTGCCTATAACATGATTTATTATGAAATACTATACAGATATAACAAATACAATAATAAGTGAAATATTTAGACTGAAACATTAACCATCACATAAATCTATCAAATTAACCTCGCACACGTATTTTTTGTCGTAAAATGAAACATTACCTTGAATCGAGAACGAGTTCTCTGTTGCTTTGGTGACATTTGAATTGTAATTTCAGACACAACATTTGAATGCGTATGATTTGTACGTATCTTGAACAATTACAGACATTACATTTAAATAACAAAAAACGACTTTTGAACATACGAAAAGTATTATAGGAAAATGCATAGACCATCGGAACAACCAAAGCAATAGTTGTATGCGCGATGCTCTTTTCTTCTTCTTCAAGCCATTGCTGTGTCCTATTTTCCATGGCGCATGTCATGTCACCTCGTTTATAAATAAACATCTAAACGAAAACGACATACATTATCGTAGCCTTATTATAAACATAATTTCTTTCAACAGCATTTTTTTCTTAAAAGCCATTTAGTGGAAGAAAGTAATTCAGAAAACGCAGAAAAAGAGAAGGAAATACCTATTCAATGTTTAGGGGTCGAGCATTCAAAAAGGGGTTCAATAGTACCAATATAAATATACATATATTTTACTTTCAGATATTGATTATATAATTAATCTCAATTTCGAAAAAGGTAGTGTTTAAAAACTTACGGAATTTATTAAAATCAATAAGAAACGTATTTATAATTAAACGTAAAAGAAATTGGATTGATTATATCTAATACACACAGTTTATGATATTTATTTATAATACAATAAAAATACTATATTTTACAAATTTATTTAAAGAATTAATGGAACATTCGTATTAACATTAAGTAAATTGCACTAAAATGTATAAGGTTTCTTATGCTTGTTATATATTCATTTTATATGCAATATAAAATAATACATAAATATAATTATACATGAAACAACTTATACATTATATTCTTCAATATCAAAACTTTAAGCAGGAGAATAAAGTGATTAAAAAATTACAATTAAATAAACACTTCAGGGAAGAATAGAATCCCGCCGTGACGGCTTACGTCGATCGAGCGCTCTTTTTAATACATTTTCAATCCGTTAGTGGCGCAAATATCACATTTTTCTGATGATAAACTACTTGCTGATTAGTTCTCGCATGTTTCCGATAGATGGCGTTCCCCTGTTTCGAAAAATCGATCGGTAAGTTGTCGAGTAGTTTGAGCCATTTTCGCATAGATGGCGCTAGGATCGAATTTTAAATATTTTAATTTATGGCGGTCTTTTTAAATCACGAGTTTGTGAATATAAGTTTGTCAAACAATTATTTAAATAATTTTCTGATCTTGTGCTGATTTTAACTGATTTCTAAAAAATAGAATCAAAGGCAGTCAAAACTGTTTTCAGTTAGGAGTGCCAGGTATAGAAGAAGAGGAATTGGTAAAACGTGCACGACTATAATACTAACTGTGCTCTGTATGTATGTACATACAAACCTATCCTCACCTCGGGGTGTCTGAGACCCTAAAAATCATGACCTATCAAAAAGAAAAGGCATGTTCAGTCTTTTTGTATCTGTAGTCACTGCTTTCAGAGAAAAGATTAGAAATTAGTCAGTATCGTGTATATGGTTATACTCTTGAATAGATTGGCATTTGGTGGATTGTAACGTTACAATTAATTAATACAATATATAATAATGATCTTGTTAGAGATACATAACAGAATACTAGAGGAAACATTAACTAATAAAATAAAAAATGCTTTGTCAGGGTAAGTAAAATGTTTCCTTTTTTAAGTTTCAGATGTTTTACATATTTCTAAGATAAAAGTTAGAGATTACAAAGTTTGGGCGGTGTCCGTTTTAAATATTAATAATTTTTGTTTATTATAATATCAGGAAATTTGTTCCAGTTAAGCAGGTATAAGTCTCTGTTCAAGTTAAGGCAAAGGTTTTAAACTCAACAATATTTATTTGTATTATGTCAAACAATTTTTATAACATCTATTATGCTTGATTCTTTAACTATTAATAAGAATATTTTGATAGCAAATATATGCTTTTTATTTAATATAATTGTTGTTTTTTTTCAGTCACAAGCCAGAATCTACAGACGTTGTTATAGCAGATTTTGATGGAGTTTTATTTCATATTTCTAACTTGAGTGGTGATAAGTCAAAAATTAGAGTAAGTGCAAATAGAGTATGAATAATTTTCTCTACATAATAAGTTATTTGTAGTACAATCAGCTGTGTAATATATTTGATTATATTTTGTTAATGTATTTAATTTTTAATAGATAAGTATTTTACTTAAATTTTATAAACAATTACAAGAACATGGAGCTGATGAATTACTTAAACGTGAATATGGCTCTTATCTGATAGCTCCTGAAAGTGGTAAGTAATTCAACTGGGAAACCATCAGATATGTATAATTATTCTATATGTAGCTGTCTAAATAAATTTGTTATTTCTCTTCTTAGGCTACAATGTTTCTGTATTAATAGATTTGGAAAATTTGCCAGATGATTGGGAATCATTGGTTAAGAAAATTGCACTTTTAAAAAGACATTGTTTTGCTAGTGTTTTTGAAAAGTATTTTGACTTCCAAGAAGAGTATTATGATTCACCAGGTACACAGTTACAGAAGAGGGCAGTCATTCAATATAGAGATAAAGAAACAATGTAAGAGCATTCTTTTATTCTATAATGAAGCATAGTATAAGTAAAAAATAAAAACATATATTTCATATTAAGGTATGTTGAAGCTAAAAGTGATAGAGTAACAGTGGTATTTAGCACAATATTTAAAGACGAAGATGATATGGTTATTGGAAAGTTATTTATGCAAGAGTTGAAAGAAGGAAGGCGTGCAAGTCACACGGCTCCACAAGTTCTATTTAATCATCGCGAACCACCGCTCGAATTACAAGACTCTGAAGCAGCAGTTGGAGATTGCATTGGATACATTACATTTGGTAAATATTTTAATCTGTAAGAATAAATAGAGTTGTACAAGAAATATATTAAAATCATATGTTTATCTCTTACTTTTATCCTTTCTATTTTTATAGTATTATTTCCAAGACATACAAACAGGGAAGCTCGTAATAATACCATTGACTTAATACACATGTTTAGAAATTACTTGCACTATCATATTAAATGTAGTAAAGTATACATTCATTCAAGAATGCGCACCAAAACCACAGACTTTTTAAAGGTATTAAATCGAGCGAGGTCTCAGTCGAAAAATACTGAAAAGAAGACAATTACGTAAGTATATATTTCAAAACTATTTATTCGTTGGAATTTTGTGAACATTTTTATATTTAAAAATGTTATATTTTACAGGGGTCGAACGTTCATTAGAAAGGAATGAGTGCAAACGTAAAGTTACATTCCTAATATTGTTTTACTAAAGGATAAATGACAGAAGATTCATTTATCTTTATAGATTTGCTAGAATCTCATTGATTTTCTGGCAAAACATATTGTTTGTAATGGAAGGTTTTAACCCATAAAATTAATGAGTTAGAAACTTCTGGTATTTGAGTTTTATCACTCATTGTCTCTAAACAGTACAATGTTCTGTAGAGAAGACTATATTGCTGTAAACATACTCGAATTGTTATATATGCAGCAACGAATGCATGATTAAAAAGTCATTTTATATTGAAATTCTTAAAGTAATGCTACAAGAATACACATAAAGTCTTCAGAGAAATCAGGGAATATACTATAAACGAAGTTAAGAGTTTATCTTCTGTTCCACTATTTCTGTACGTGAAAAGTACTGTTAACTTCAGAATATGTACAATTGCATGTTCTGTTTCTTTTTAAAGCATAAATGTATTTTGTGTTTATTCATTTTACGGAAATTATTTTCTATTTAGGTCCACGTATAACGAAAAATAAAAGTAAAAAAAAACGCGTGGATGTTATAAACTAATACATTGATATATCATTTGTATGTTTAACATAGCACTGTGTTTTTGGATAAATTATTTTTATTGTCCATACTCTTATTAACGTATAATTATTGTAAAATAATAAAAGTATTAATTCTGTACAATAGGTAAAATAATTATGAAACCTATGTTCATATTAATTGAGGAATACTTATCTAGCTTTATTACGAGAATAATTAACGTTATTGATTTGTAAATCGTAAATGATTGTAAGGGTTGGATTAGGACGCAAACAAGGGTGTGCCAAATGACTGGTATTCATTAATAACCACACCCTTTTATTTAACACTGCCGCGAAAGTTACAGTATGTGTCTCTTACAGTTTCAGTGAGAAGTGTTCTTTTAGATAGAGTATACTGCAATATCTTTTCCAAAACTTTGTTATAATAATTGTTTTTATACTTTATAATTAAATGAATTTGAACTTTTCAATGTTAGTACAAATTTTGTAGTATTCAGACTAATGTGTATTATAAATTGCCATCGAATTTTTATCATAATTAAAAGCATACACTCTTTATGATGTGTTGTTAATACAGTATTTTAAGTAAAGCATATCGTTAATCATACTTAAAGGTACAATTATATATTATTTTAAATATCTTTTTTTTTTACTACTTCATCAAATTTATTTGAAACAAATAAAACTTATTAAACAACTAAAATTTTTCAGTTATTATGAAGAAAATGGATGAGGCAACTATCACATCGATTTTGTCTTCCTCATCTTTTTCACCATGTTCGCCTAATGAAATAGCTATACGTCCAGGAGACTGTGTCGAAGGTGGTGTTGAAGAATGGTTAGAAGATGAAGCATTACCAGGGTTTCGTGTTTGGCAACTTGCTGGCATTATTCTTTCTATCTTACTTAGCGTACTCATTGGACTTTGTTGTTGCTTTCGATTCAGAGTACCACGAACTAAGCAAGAAATAGAAGCTGATTATGTTAGAAAGAAGATAACAAAAAGCTTTAGACATGAATTATCCAAAATTAGTAATACAGAAATGGACGATATGGATTTGAAGAAAGGTAAAGAAACACTGCTTAAAAAGTGATATCAGTATACAGAAATGTTAATTACTCTTAATAAATATACTTTTTTTATCTATTATTAGCGTTATGTAAAATCCAAAATAAGTTTGAGATGGAAAATCATGAAGTTCAGAGGGATCAAGAAACAACTTATGAAAGTATACATGGATTAAGATCAAGATTCAGTGCAATGTTTAACAGGATTCACTTCACTAAAGAAGAACATATTAATACTGATACTATAATTTAGTTAATTTACAGGGATAAAATTAACTACTATATGTATTTAATTTCAAATAATTAAGTTCTGTTGAATGTAATAGAATTGAAGAAACAATATATAAGTAAATTCTATACAATATTAAGTGACTAAATATAATCTTTATTTCATGATTAAAATACAGAAATCAAGTCACCTTACATGCAACAATAATCTATAGCAAAAGATAATACACTTTGGAAAGCACTTAATGGGACTATGATGTATATTACCTACCACATTATGCTTTATTCGTTTATATAATTAGCCGGTTAGTACTGTTAAAAGTGCAGATTTTTTGTTACTATCATTAAATCAAATAACTTTTTATAAATTATATGCAATGTAAGTGAAAAGAAGAGACAATTATAGTACAAACTTTATACGATCGTTAATGACTAAAGATAATTGTTATATATTTTTTAATGATATTGTTAACATCATTCTTGCGCTTATGCAGTCAAACATTATTTACATAAGAACCAAAGTCATTTAGATGAGCTACAATTCTTATTGTCTCTCTCTCTCTATCTTTCTTTCTCTTTACCTCCTTTTTGAAAAATCAAATATTCTTATACTTTACTGCATATTCTGATAATTATAAAATTGTTCTTTATAACAATGATAAAATAACAAGTTCTGGAAATATAAAATAAAACATAATGGAATGTACGTACTCATAAAAAAACATTTATTGTTCAATAAATATAAAATTAATAGTATAACTGCAAAACTAAATCAAACATACATTTGTAGAGAGTATCACGGACAAGAATAAACTAGCAAAAAAGAGATAACAAAATGTCAATGTTATTGATAAAAATCTGAAAACTCAAGAATATAAATTAAGAAAAAAAAAAAAAAAGTAAAACTCATCTAATCCTTCTTTTTAATATGAATTTGTTTGCAAATATAAATTATATTTCTCACAGAGAAATAAAATTTTGTAGAAGAAACATGACGTCATATACACATCGCTCACACAACGCTATACACGCACGCATATAGGAATGATTTGATTAATCATAGTACCTTAACTACTTTAATGCTTCTTCCATTTCAGAAAATGAATCTAAATCAATTTAATAAAGAAATCTAGATTCTTAATCTATATTTTTTTACGTTGTACAACACCAACTGGTGTATTATTTTCATATTTTTAATAATATCACATATAGTAGTTATTCACATGGAATATTTTAATTATATTTTGATGTACGCATTAAAAAGTCTAATATTTTCAGAAACTCGTATGGACCAATAAGATTTTTCTTTTATAAATAACATCCAATTAAGAACATTATGGATGTTTAATATTTAAAAACCAGAGGAAATATATTTAACTAATTAATGAGTTTTCCATTTAAAAAAAATGTTTCTTTTTAATCTGCTTGTATATATCTACTTCTTTAAAAGAAGTAATTTAACATAAGTTTTTTAATTGCTATTGTTTCTCATTAGATCCATACTGTAACTTGATTTTTGATTTTAGTATAATAAATTTCTATAAGTAATACCGCTATAAGGGGCGAGATTGTAATAGAATTGTTCATTTGGAGCAAAAGGTGTGTGGTTTCATTCTACTTATAAATTAGCAAACAGTAGGAAAAAGCTTCATGGACTAGAGGATCCAATAAAATCATAATATACAATATACACATTATTCAAAAAGAATTTCAAATGATTGTATATTGTGCAAAAAGATTTTCATAAAGTGAAAGAACTACTTATGCTTTTTTTAAATCTACCTGCATGCGTTCTTTCGGTACATTCCTATTTATAGTAACAAAGAGGTACAGACTGATTGACATATAAGTGTAACAATGACAGGATACCTCTAATTGATGAAGATTGGGAACTCACTACGAGGTAAGAGGTTTTCAATAGAATTTTAGCATTTAATTGCGCTACAAGACCACTAGCAACGATAATGCTAAATGGTCATTTAAGCGTACCTTCACGAGATTTTATTTCTCCACCATGAGAATTTCATTTTCGGGCTTAAGTACTGAAAGCTGATCACCGTTTGCGGAATCAACGACAATATTGGTAAGAAGTTTCCACAAGTACGACTTTTTGGTTCATCGTCTAGCGATTCTGTTACAGGCTCGCTCATAATATTATGATGAGGCGTGGAATACGGATACGGTGTTGAAAGTGGATTACAAGTAATATGTACCTCCCCCATGTTCCATTTATTTTTAGTATCACTCGAGTCGTTTCCTTGAGTTGTTTCCAAAAGACATGAGAAAGGTACCTTTTTATCTGTGGAGGTGATGGAACAATTAGAAATATTAATTATACGATTTTCTGATGCTGAAACATTAGTTTTACGATGATTAAGCGCTGAATGATCTAATACAAAGTTTGATAAGTTCATAGATTTTAAAGATGCTTTTCTATAGACTTTTGATCGTGTGAGGGGTTTGATCGTTAATTGTGGTGACGATACTGATCGTACAGAGTAAGGATTAGTACCTCTATTAACATCCATATGGTTCTGCGTAAGGTGCGAATCACTACTATTTGTATTTAAGCACTTATTTTTTATAGATACATCGGGATTAATGGATTCGGGTGTGGATGTAATTACTGGATTCGTGGGTTGTGTAATATTTGACACAATATTTCCTTGGGTAATTACAGAATTTTGTATAGTGCACTCGTTAGATTTTCTTTCATTATTATCTTTTATATATTGAGTAGATACAAGATCATGGTTTTTGTAAATACTTGCAGGTTTTAATATACGTATTATAGATTGATTATTATATTTCTTTGCTTCGTTTATGGAATTGGATAAAGATAAAGAGGTTTGAGAAAGTTTTGTGCGCGCTTCATTTGTTCCTAACTGATTAGGATCGAATGAAGCGTCCATGAACCCTCAGCTTGGAAATCTTGAGTAAAATGCACAGGTCAAATCATAATTCTTGAAGCGGCAATATTGAACATCTGTACGCAACCAATCGCCAGAACATTTGAGATAATCAGTTTGCTCCAAATCACGTGGACAACTAGCAGCTATTGATTCTTTGTTAGCAAAGATAGTAACAACGAATTTTTGTGGTTTAAAAGTATTCAGCACACGTCGTATTATTTCCTCGTACGATGTTTCTGGAATGTTACTCTCAAATGAAACATAGGAAAATTCTGGTTCTGGTGTAATGTGAATAGTCATGTAATTTCCCTGTAAAATATTATTATTTGTACATGGGACACACTAATTGGAATTAATAAAGATGCAAATTAGCCAATTTTTAACAGAAGTACTTACATTTTTAGATACTCCGTTCATTGAATATCCACACGGTTCAAACAAAAAATCGTCTATAATCATATTTGGAATAAGTTTATCAATTCCTGACTTCTGAGTTGCTTCATCTGCTGAAGAGCATACTTCTCTAGTGAAAAGAGCCATTACTTCTGGGTCCAAATGAGTCATGAGGATTTCTAAAGTTTGATCTGGTTCTGAAGGTTCATCTACTGATTTTTCTCTGTTTAAAGTATATAAGTACCAACAATCTGAATCTACAGAGCCCAGACAATAGGCTTCCCCATCTAAAAGAAAGAAAATGTGTCAATTAAATTTTATTTGACAATCTTTCTTTGTAATAATCATATCCATTACAGTGAAACTTAGATGTATGTAATATGAAGAAACATAATTACCAGGAAAGAATGTATCTAGCAAAGCAACTTCTTCTTCAAATGCTTGATGCGGGGATATCTGTAACTCCGGTTTTTTATAATTTTTTCGTGAATAAAATACATTCTGAAACAATTATGTCAATATAGTATAAATTTCTTCTGGTTTCATATCTATTTTTTTTCTTTTTACCAAAGAAATGAATGGTTTAATCATGGAATAGTTAAAATAAAAGTAACTGGAACATATACAAATAAAATAACATAGGAGATACTAAATTTGAAATGATTTTGGACAAATGTATTTCATGTATAGTATCATGGGTAAGAGAGATCAATAAACCAAGAGGTAGAGATGTATCCTGTATACTAGAGGTTTCCTATATATAGACATCACTTATCCATGCACTAGGTCAAGTTATATAGCTAAGTACTTTCAACTTCAATTGGTTTACAGTAAGTGATAATTGTTGTAAGCAACAATTATAAATATTATATACATATATGTATATTTACACTGTACTGTTCTTGAATAGAAAAATAAGTGTTACCAAAATTGATATTTTTAACCAACTGATGTTTTAACATAAAAATATTAACTGGCTGCTCAACTGAAAGAAAATCTTACCTAAAAGGATTACTTAATACAATTGAATCAATAACAAAGCAATTAATAATACAAAGTAAACAATAATAAGACAAACTGTATACCTCCACTTCTTCATATCCAGTATATTCTTTGACAAGCTCTAAAAGGGGTTCCAAGCATTGAAGTGGTGTAGTTGTACCACATGTTTTCAATATAAGTCTGCGCTTTGATAGGAACATACTGCTCTCACTGTAAAATAATAATTTATATTTATATAATATTTAACTAAGTCAATATTGGTTTTTCTTATATAATATTGTAATATTTTGTATAATTTATATTATAAATATATAAGCAAATAAAAAGTATGCAAAAATCTGAATGAATTTAAATGAATATTAAATTATGTTAATTTCTATGCACATAATCTATTAACATATTTATTTAAATTTAAATATAAAAACTTCCTGCTTATTTTCATTATTAAAAGCTATTAAATGTTAGAAGGAATTTTAAACAATTTTAACGAATCTTTATTTACATAGGCCAATGTTTGAAATTCAGCTAAAAAGTTTACGTTATTACGTCTTCTCGTATGACATCATCGTTAATCAATATTTCAGAATAATGACGGATAAAATACAAGTTTAGTTTCTAAAATCTACAATTTATTATGTCTTCCCTACCGAATATATTGCTCTCAAGGCTAGTGATAAAGAATTACAAAAAAAGCATAAACATAGTTTTAATAAAGATAAGTTAAAAGAAACTATGGTTGAAAAAAAAATTTCAAGCATTTTATTAAAAATCATTTTGATCCTTTCACACATGTTTTTGGTGCAAATAATGGATCGAAGGTTATCAAAGAATGAAGGATATTAAAAGACATTTATTTGGCTTCTACTGTAAAATTATTTTTAGCTCGAGATTTAGATGGTATTACGCGTGGATACAGGGAAGTGAAAATTTTGCAAATGTATCTAACATTGTAAATATTAAATAAAAAATACGATTTTATAGTTACATTAATGTACAAAGAAAGGAAAAATTCAATTGCAATTGTCAAATCACCATCCTTTGATTTTTATTTTCATCAACACGTGACTTCTTAATCAATTTAAAATCTTTCCGCATTTTAAATCGAAAGTATGCAAATATCGTGATTTTTTTCTAGAATATATTAAATACCCCATCGGGTTATCGGCAATATTTCGTATAAACATTGACCCTAGATTTTCTCCCTACAAATGCAAGATAAATGAAATACACGAAGCGGATTTATTAGTCGGAACGAAACGTGGTGATAAGCGGCAGACAGATAAAACGGTAAAGTACAGTGACCATAGGCAAGATAATTGTGATACTGATTGGAAACGATAAAATGCAAACATTAACGGATAAAATACTGACTTTTTCCTTAATTACAAAGCTGAGTAATCAGCTTCAACGTTTCATTTCTTTTACATTTCCTGCAAAACAACAAATTTATTTTTTCAAAGTAAGAAACTTTCACCGTTTGAACATAGAATTTCTTCGAACACTCTTTAGGGTACCTCGAATACGGCAATGTTAACTTTGTTACAAAATTATTTTCTATTCTCTCTTATTACTACATTACTTAAATATAACTTTCAATCTTTTGTTTTAAATAAAATATCGAGTCACGCTAGACACATTTGCAGCATTTAATTTTCGTTCTAATTATAATTTGTAAATCTGAAGATTGCCAAGGACAAGTTACGACTTTATGCATCCAATCAGTAAATAGCTAATTAAAAAGTATACAATTATTTAAAAACAGGTATAATATACATATTACATTTGTACAAAAAAAATTTCTTTTACAAAGAACATACATCCTATCTCGACACACATGATTTGTTAAGAAATGTATGATTAACATATACAGCAGAGTTTAAGTCAATGATAGAATGTTATTTTCTCATTTAAGTCTGCAGGTAATGTTAAAAATCTTTAAAGATTAAGCGAAGCCAAAAGAATAACAGAATCGCATAAGAGAGAAGCATAAAATAAAGCGAGCATCAAGATACGAATAACTATTATGAACAATTTCAACAGATTCGAAATCCTCGCTGGTTGAAAACTAACGGGCTTAATTAAATATTTATATAATATTATTACCTGAGGACGTAAGCGTCCACTTGCTCGGTTCGGCAAATACTGATTATCTCACAACGAACGATCTTTAGTAACGACTGCCATTTCCATCTAAAAAAAGAAAACAATTCATGTTTACTAATCCTACGTTTCCATCAATTCAAGCCCACTCTATTTACTTAAAACTGTGGTGCAAAATTGAGTCTATTATAAAATCGTATATCTCTGATATGTACTATGAAATATATAAAGAATAAAATAAAAATAAAATATAGAGATAGAGAAAAAGTAATTAAAATTCAATACAATGATAAACGTTGACTCAATTCTGCTCCGTACGGTATGTGAACATATTATGTACCTATAAATGTTTAAGACTATTGAAGGAGACGAAGAAAGTAATATGAGCTACACTGAAACGTAAATCGTCACCGATGAAAATTTGCAACACCGATAACAGTCCGGCTGGGCTAGCCAAAATAAACAGAACGAATCTACAAACGAGTCAGCACTTACCAATGTTAGAAAGAAGATATTATTGTGGTTCCCGTGTATGAAGAATTGATAAGAAGAATTCCTTAAGTTATCCTTCTCAGATTTTAATAAACATTCGCGTGTTTATATAGATCCTGTTACGTGCTACGATGCTTTATTTCAATCTATCCACACAATAAGCTACTGAACACTATTCCAGTAATTATGCGATATTAAATTAAATTAAAATTATCCAAAGTTATCGCATGAATTCTAGTCTACATCTTCAATGAAGACTATTCGAGTGACCTACTTATCAGTGGGTCAAATGTGGGTACAACGTGTCACAGAAGAGCGTGTATTCAAATTTCTACAGACAAAGAACTTGAACTTTTGGGAAATTTAAAGAAGACAGAGGTTCAGATTGCATGAAAGCTAGCATATATGATTAGCGATAAGACAAAAGAAATCATGATTTAACTGAAAAACACAAGCCGTTAAACTTCAAACGGGCTTTTCGAAAAGGTGTGCATTGATGTGTCAGGCTTAAATTGTCGGATTACCTTGAAATTTAAAATGAACATTGAGAAAAATGTTCGCGTACAGAGAAACACTTTCAACAGTTTTTTTCTAATTTACGTAATTCACAAATTTGTATACAATGAACTCTTCTTTTTATTCATTCAAAGCGACTCGACACTTATCATCTCTTTTCGATGATTTTAGCTTTGAGTCCCAAAATAATCTCAAATTATAAAATACCATTTTCCCGAGCATAATATTTATCTACAGAGTACAATAGAAAATACAAGGGCTGCACGTGTTTTAATCGTTAGATATCAATTATTTTTATGACACTCGAAATAGCTATAGATAAGTAATCAGATATTGCATCAATTTATTTACGGGTTAAATTTGATCCCTTAAGACGGATCAAATTTGGCCTGTAATGATGTTATTATAATTGTATAGAGAATTTAAAATGTATACAGATACAGTGTCAATCATGGTAGGGGTCTCCAGGGAGAATGATGATGAAGGGAAACTGCCCCTCAGTATACAGAAGTCTGTGGCTCTACTAAATTTTATAATATTTAATCACTGAAAATTATATTCATTGTACAAAGGTTAATCAGTTGTTTAGAAACTTTCGGTGGATAAAGACTTGTGCTCCAAAAAAAAGATTATAAGAAGAGAGTGTACGGGAGTCTGATATCGGTAATAATCAAAGAACACGTTGAGATATGAAGCATGAATTCTAAGAATATTTTAAATTATACAATTTCGTCGTCGTATTAACCAGGAAATCGGTTCCGACAAGCTAATGAAGTAAATGAAAAAAATATTTAGATAAGCAATTCAATGAAGTGATGACTAGTTGAACGCGTTAACACGTTTTGATAGTTTCTTACCGAATTATCTACAACTGCTGACTATACATTGTTTAATAATACAGAATTCATATAATCTAACTGTTTATTCTATTTCAGGAAAATGAAGAAAATGAGCGAAAACGATTATTCATTCTGAGGATATTATGATTAATACATTCCACGCATTTACGTTTAGATAAGATATTCTTGTTATTTGTATCAATTTTGCAAAATTTTAGCATTTTTTATATACATTCAATAATGGATAATTATAGCACTACATATAAAATAATATTTTTGTATTGTAATACTATTTCTATTATAGTTAAATTTGTGTGATAAATACCAAAGAGATATGTAAGGATCACGTGTCAAAGAAGATAAAATGACGAAACGATCTACGCGTGTGAAAAAGAAAATGAAATCCAAATGTCAAATCTTAAAAATAAAATTTGTTTCTTCGTGGTGTCGAATTTGATTTGTTTTCTGTGAAAACGGAAACCTATATTTATTTTACGCGCGCGATGTGTAAATATTGTATTTTATTTGTGTATAATAATTTACGCACTGCGTTTAAAAGATAGAATAACAAAACGTGTTAAAAGTAACAATAATGTATTAAATGTTTAATACTGATAATGTGAAATAGTGTATGTGTATTTACACGTGTTACGATCCGGTTTAAATTACGCGCCTGGAAGTTCGGCCATCTTTAATTGCTCATATCTTGAATACGTAGCCGCAGATTAACAAAATGATCCCATTTCTTCTAGTATCTTTTTAGCTGATTATACATATAAAATAAAAAATTATTTTCTATATGAACTAATAATTTTATATGAAATATTAAAATAGCGGTTTATTTCAGACAATTCTTATTTCTCTCAATTGGTTTTTGTAAAAATTATAATTGTCTAAAGCGTTTAAATAATATGTAATTATTTTTCTTTTCTCGTTGAAGGGAATGGAAATAAAATAATTACCCTGACTATTTTCTTTGTTCATAAAATATTTTCAAAGAATTTCTGTATATGATTTGATATGTGTAAATTGTACAAATATATTTTAAACAACTAGCGCTATGCGTTTCTCGAAAGTACTACGCTAAGTAATAATATGTAAAATTTGATAATAAAACACTAGGGAATTTTAATTAGATGTTGCGACTAAAAATAGCAAGAGATATTTATAAAATATTATAAGCTTTCAGAGGTAAGTTTAATTTATTTGCTCGTGAGAAAGTAATCGACGCGATGAGAACTGCCATTGGCGTTTATACTCTCTACAACTTCCATGGTTTCGAATTTATCTATGAATTACATTATTTCGTTAAATAGACCTCTAATACATAATATATTCTGGAAGAATATTACTAACATCAGAATGATACCATGGACAAAAGCATCGTTTCACTTTGTGTATATGATATCATTCATTATCCTAATATCAAACATTAACTACAGCCTACTATTATACAATTCTCATTTAACAGCATATTAAAACTATAATTCAATGATCTCGTAATGGAATTGACTAAAACCAACGTGTTCTGCGTAAAATATAATAGTTGGTCATATTCAATTACAAGAAAAGGAAAAGAGTATAAAGTATGTGTATTTGTAACACTGGTCATTCTTGAATCAATGTTTATTCCAAATGCTACTAAAATCCTAGAAAAAAAGGATAGCATCGGCGTTTATATCTATTTATATTCAATTTAAAATAAGGAGAAAAGTGATGTATATACACATCACAGTCACGTAGCCTCACTTTAAGCGCTCGGTATTACTGGAACAAGAAGGTGGGCGCATCGATCTTCGCCAAAAAACGCGACATATACACGCTACTGTACAATTCAATGTATTCAATATTAGCATGTCGTCGGATTACACCTTATTAACTAAATAATGGTTTTCTTTTTAACTAAACATTTGATAGAATGTTCAAGGATCGAATGAAAAGAAAATCACAATGACTTTCATAAAATATTAGAATTTCATAGTTGTTCCTTCCAAAAATTGACACACGTGAGAAACTAATTTTCAAGCAAGTGTTAGGTTAAGCACACTAATGATTATCCGAACATATCGCGAGGTACCGGCGATATACGATCATGGTTGCCAGGCCGGTTTTATTTGATCAAAACATTTATTTCAATTAAAGTACGTGTCATTAATAAATTGTTAAGATTTACGATACTTCGAATTATATTACGTTTTAGTAAATTAAATGCAATTTAAATAAAACTGAAAATCACGAAATTTTGACTAATTCCTCCATAGGGATACTATTATACGAAAATGAAAAATTATTCTAACATCCTATATGAATAGAGAATTTTTAATGAAAATATGGAATTGGATGGATAGCTAAATAGATTTTAGAGATTGAATGTTTTAACTTACTGTGGAATTTGCCTGAGATCGCCCTGCTTTCTGTTTATGCTATTGCTGCTTGTGAACCAAATCTCGAGCAGTTTCTCCACGCCTTCGAAGAATTGTACACTGTCGGCGGGGTCGTCTTTGGTAGTTGCCATCTTTTAGAGGCACTAAATTTGATTCACAATTACGATATATGTGAAAACAAGCAGAAATTGTTTCGTTGAGTTTGTGTTTCGCTCCAAATGTATGATGAACCACTCCTCTCAACGAACTTTGCTTTACTACTGAGAACAAGTGAACGAGCAATCATATTGGCGGTGATCTCTATCTTTCTCCCTCTATTTCGCGTGCGCAGTATAGTGACTTCTATCCTTCTATCTCTTTCTCTTTCGTATGGCGTCCTTTTCTAATTGGACCACTAGCTAGACCAATCACATATCACATTTAACGCAGGCGCGGTCATATCATTATATTTCAAATAATACATATTTCAAGAATATACTAATAAAAATGAAAAACTTTATCTTTTTAATATAAATTATAGAAAATTATAGAGTATATCTTTTAACGAATTCAAATATTAATTAAATGAATACCTAACCAACAAATATACGCTTCTATATTCGTTGACCTATGAATACCTAACATATTGTTATAAATACTTCATAAAAGCAATAATAACCAACAAGTATTAAATAAAAAATGTTTAGATGAAGTAATAAAATCTATTGCATGTTGATAAAAAGTACATTTCAGAATCAAATTTAAATGTTATTCATTCAAAATTAATTGTTACACAATTACTGTATGATATAAATTTATCTATTTTATTTTTTTCTTTTTCTTAGGAATAAATTTTTGTTTCTGGTTTCCTTGTTTTTTAATTAATACATCATCACTCATTGGTTCGATAATTTTTCCCAGGGTAGTTTTAACAGGAGGTTTGATTAATTTCTGGAATGAATTTTCTGGTACAAAGTTTCTACCAATTGGCATTCTCAGACTAGCTTCATAATCTTGAACAGTTGTAAACGGATGCGGCAACTCGTTAACCAAATGTTGCTTTATTTTAGACTTCTCTTCTTCAAATATTATTACATCACCTTTATTCTCATCCTTACGAGGTATATCTTTTGGTACTTTTATAATAAGGCGTTTTCTTTTACGTCTTGATGCCTTTACATTCTTTCCACCCCAATTACCCCAACCTGGTAGAGTTAAGTCAATGTCTTTCGGTCGAGACTGTTCTATCTAAATATAAAATTTATACGTTTTAAAAACAATTAATAAACAACTAATGTATAATAAAAACGTACCTCTTGTTCTTTTTCTTTTCTAAATTCTTCTACAACATCATCGTCCGCAAACGCTTCACTTATTACATTATACCTTTCTTCTTCATCTTCAACATCATCCAAAGCGTCATTACCTTCTAAAATATCAGCTGGGATATCTGTCTTTAATTGCTTAGGTTTTACATTTATGTACTTATTTGGATCTATTTCTACTTCAGACGCGTTTGATTTATTTACAGATAATACATTATCGTATTTAATATTTTTAGAATTCTGTAATTCAGTATCTAATTCTAAACTTCCGTTAGTGATACTTTCGATTAAAGATGAATCTATGATAGGTCTCCGATTTTTAGCTTGAATTTCAAGTCCATCAAAATGATCTTTTTCGTCCTCGATAATATTCTTAAATTTACTCTTTCTTTTAGCTGTGATATATTTTTGAGTAACCTGTTGCAATTTCAATTTAATCCGATCATTCATTTTGTCTTCCATAACATCAAACATTTTATTTATTTTTTCAGTGTTCGAGTGACCAGATGTTAAAGAATTAGATACATTCGGTGCATGATTATTTTCTAAGAATTCCACATTCCAAGCGGAAGTAGCTGTAATATTATTTGATGCGTGTAAATTAGCTTTTTTATCCATTTTCTTATTGTTGTTAGATAATTTCCTCTTTATAGTGACATTAGATGAACTATGTTTTATAGTTTCAGCATTAGAAGCCAATATTTTTTCATTCTTCTTATGGTTTTGTTTTTTAAATGACTCCACATTACAAGTACTATTTTGATCTGTAATATAATAATGAAGTTTATTTACCTTAAAATGTAAATATCTTTTTCACTAAACAAGGTGCCCCACTTAACTTGAACATGTTAAATATCTCTGTAGTTGATAATGTAAAAAATTATTTAAAAGTAAACATTAACAATGTTATACAAAACCCAAAGAACCATACATTTCGAAAATTGTTCCGGGCTCAAATTAAGCAGAACACTTTTTATATATTTTTAATTCTTTAAACATGCCTTGAAAAGTAGAAGCCTTTAAATGTTCTAATGGAGTTATTTGATTATTTGATTTCTGTTTTGGTATTTCTTGAACGTGTTGAATTTTTGGAGATTCTGTTTTAGACACAGTGTTGTAATGTAATGTAATGTTGGAAATATTAGAATCTTTTAAATTTTTTGAAGAAATTTCTGTTTGTTTATTTTCAATTTCAATTTTGTTTTTATTAATGGTATCTGACTGTTGATTTTTGAATTGGCTCTTTTGATCATCCCAATATTTACGATAACTGCTAATAAATTGATCGATTTCTGATTCACTTTTAGTGTTATTAATCCATGGATTTTCTTTGTCATTGGATGATCGCAAATATGCAGTGTAATTTATACTCTCGTCCTCTTCTTCATCATCTTCTTCTCTATCAGTCGATTTTTTTAACTTTTGTGTTAATTCTCGGCTAATTGATAATTGTTGTGCAAGTTCTTGTCTGGTCTAGTAGTAAAAAAATGGAAGTATTATCAAATAATATTTCAAAATGTTTTTTATATGTACTTACTTCTTTATCATACTTTGCCATAATTAGCTTTGATTTAGCCCATTTCCCTGTATTTTTATGTCTTAGTGACATTCGTTCTTCTGCTCTAGTTTTATCTAACTGCTCAAGCTTTTCCAATGCAGCTTCTGGATTAGTTTTTTGTAACTGCTCAAATTCTTTTAATTGTAGTTTTATTTTCTCTTTCTTTTGAACACGGTGAAATTTTTTACTTTTAATTTTGTTTTGACGACGAGCCCTTGCTTCTTTATAAGACTAAAAACGGATAATATTAAATTTTAGAATAGAACTATTTTGACAATAATTTAAATTACTGTAATATAAATATCCAAACCTGTTGTGCCCTAATTCTGGCTGCTTCTTTTCTTCTCATAATAACTTCGTTTAATGTCAATTTTAATGTATCCTCTTTCTGTTCAATATTTTCCTTTTGTGGTTCCAATAAAGCAAGCTCTTTTTCTAAGTCTGACTGTATCCTAAATCTCTTAACAAATTCTTTAGATGGTTCTAATTTCATTGATGGTTGGTTTAAAGGAAAGTGAAGGGTTTCTGCTGTTCTGTTTTTTGTTATTATAGCATTCCATTTCTTTAATTCTTTCTTTGCATTTTCAAAACCAACTATGCGTTTTATCTAAAGATAAATTAAAAACATTTGTATAATTTTGTCTCTTTATGGCAACATTTTAAAATACTGAATATAATAATATTTTATTATTCAGTCAATGCTTATTATACTGCTTCTTTTACAGCCCTATAGCCAGCAATATAGCAATAATTTATTGCAGTTGGATAAGGTACAGTAAGACAAAATATTCTTACTCTTTCTGCAGCAGGTTTTTCCAAGGGTTTCTGCAGAACACGGATCTTTCTTTTCGCAGATTCTAGGCTTTTAGTAACATCAAGATGATGACCCTTTTTACCTAACACCTTAGCTAAATCATGTACTCGAACAGTATCTACATCAGATATTCCACTTTTTACCAAATGAAATTCTGATACTTCTAATGTAGGTTCACTTCTTTCTGCCTTTTTAACCCTAACAAAGATTTAAAAGACATAATTATTTTATTTTTATTATGGGTTACTATAGGTTAAGTATCAGTTATTGTTATTTACCTTTGTCCTTTATCAAGCTGCGATACCGCATCAAGTAATTTAGAATGAAATTTTGATACATCTTGCTCTGTATCGTCTAAAAATTCTAAATCACTCATTTTTCTATTTTTCTGTATCAAAATTCAAAAACACATGCTTCCGTCCCGGAAGCAGAATAAACCTATAGTCATGAAAGAATTAACACGTTGAATCCGAAGGCGCTCCCTACTCACAAAATAAGAAAAATGTGGAAATTTTTCAATATATAATTAATTCCCTAGTATTTATTTATGAATGTAGGAATATTACAATTAATATTGTTGGTATATATATTTTTGAACATTATAACCTTTAAACCGCTTTGTGAGTTGACATTAAAGAGCAACTTTTTAATTAAGGTTATATTTTGATTATTATTTATTAAAAGATATTATGAAATGTGAACTTTTTCTTATCATATATATAAAATGAATTTACTTATAATATCAACTGTAAGTTGTGTGTTAGAATATGTTATTCCAGCTTTAATTAAATACGTAAGTATTAAAATATAGATGATTTTATATTCTTAATCATATTCTTTTATTAATTGTTAGTTTCATTGCAGATTACGTCCCGTTTTTATACAATGAATAAACAAGATATAGAATTACGAAATGAGTTAATTAACTTGAAACAGGAAATGACTGGGATATCTATTGTAGATGAATTTTCAAAGTATGCAAAACTTCAACGTAGATATAATAAATTAGAAGGTACCGTAAAAGAACAAGGTAAAATAATTGCATTATATATAAAATATTAATAAATAATTGTCAAATTCATATGTTCATTATAGCAAGTAATATTTTTCAGTAAATGAGCGACTGTCTTCCAGAAAAAAAGTACAAATGTATTTGACATATGGTTTCCGCTTATTAAATGTAAGTACCACTTTTTTATTTTGTTTTATATGACTTTAGTATATGTAAAAAGTTATCATTTAATTTTACAGGGTTTATTCATGATAATTTTACTATATCAGCATAAAAATAAACCTGTAATAACTTTACCAAAAGGTACATTATGGCCAATACAAAGTTTATTAAGTTGGCCATCTTATCAAGAAGATTCAATTTCTTTGTTTATGTGGCTAATAATTGCTAAATTAGTTATATCTACATGTAAAAAAATTGATGTAACATAATATTAAAATTTCAGGAAATTAAATTGTTTATACGCAATAGAATAAAGATTTTTCAATATATGCATGTATGTACATGAATTTACCAAAATATTTAATCAAATATAAATCACTGTTTTAAACAAGGATAATAAGTTTTACAAATGTAATAGCAAAAAAGTGACTGTATTTCGTAAAAGCTTGAGTAAAGTACATAATATATAATAATGAAATATACTTGCATAATTACTGATAAGTAATAATTCTAAATTTTAACCTAGATTTTAACAAAATTTCTGTATGTATGACAATTAATACACTTATATTTCATATAACGTAGCAAACAATATATTATTTATCTATTTTTTAGAGTATTTATGAAACATCTATTTCATAGAACCCATAAAAGAATTTATAGTTTCTTCCGTTAATTGTTTTAGGGAAATATTTATTATTTCATCAATATCCTTACTGTTTTAATTTAGCTTTCATGTTTCATTAATTTTTATTCTTTTTAGTGACATTATGCTTTAACATTGTGACACATATCTAAATGTTATATATATAAATTGGTATCATGGGAAATTTCAATAATGCAAAAATTTAATTTTCTTTATAACTTAAATGTTGAATTACTAAATAAGGAATAAACACGTTGTCCACAACATATTTTTTAATAACAAATTGAATCATTTCACGATTTTAATAGTTTTAAGCACCAATAGTAACTAATAAATGTTCGAATTATTATATTATTACAGCACAATTTTGTGCTTACTTTATCACATTCAGATAAACATTGATTGAAAATATTTTATACATGACATATGTTATAAGACAGTTAATGAAATTGTAAATAAAAAAAAAAAAAACATATTAACTTCATTTTTAAACAAAACATTTTCAAAAACCAGTAAAATCAAACAAGCAATATGCATATCACATAGTGGTATGTTCAACAAGTCAAGTTAAACAAATACGATGCTTGTAACATTGATAATATAAACAGAAAGGTATTTGAAACATTTCAAAGAAAATATTACAGATATCAATTATCTTCTCAAACGTTTTAACATATCCATAAGTAAATGCAATAATGTGTCATGTAAATGTTATCTTCAATGTAGTATTAATTTCAAACATAGTTTGTGTAAGTTAATATGTAAAATACTGAAGTTATGTGATTGTATGTAAAAAAAAAAAATTAAATCAACAACATTTAACAATGTTGTAATATAACGAACATTCTATGAAAAATTTATAATAATTTAGGATAGCTTAAAGTTTTTATTTCATTTTCCGTTGACAGTTCTTTTTTAACCACAGTTGCGTATTTATCTTCAAGGCATATTAATTTTTTAATTAATTCTCGCTCTCCTAATTTCGTTATAAACATTATTTATACAAAATTATTATGTTTTCGTATTATGCTATACAGTTCTGTTTCAAGAATTAACATTAAAACAAAAAGAAAATATTTAAATTTAAATAAGTTACATAGTAACCATTATAAAAATATGTTTTCTTACCACCTAAGTACTTAAATTAACGATAAACTTTTTTCGTACTATATTTAAACATCGAAAAAAAAATGCATTAAGGTTGTCATAACAACAATGAAGTATAAAGGAAATTAGAAGAGCGAGATTATAATAATATCTCTCCCTTCCTTAACTTTTATTTTGTTAGATTATTTTAAAGCAGATCAAATATTTATAAGTGATTATTTACTTTTTTTCGTAAATACTGCTTTGTATCATGTTACGAGAAATATTTAAGCGATTTGATATGAAGTACAGAGCAATTTATAGCATATTCATTTTTTTATGGATATTTTTATAATTAACATATATGCACTGTACTATGAATGTAAAACAATTAAAATGTTAAAAACTGAAATTCATTCTAAAATAACTTTTGATGATGTTATACAATCACATAGTACAAATGCATCAACAAAAGTGTTATTTTATACGAATACATGATGAAATATTTATGATAAGAGAAATTCAACTGACTTATGTTTTAGTAATATCCATTGGTGAGCCGCCAGTTGCATTTGTAGTTACGTTTGCAGCGATTGGTGGACCAGTTGGACTTACAATTGTTGGTGGAATTGCAGGTTTAACAAATCTATCTGATGTGCGTCTATTAGACATTACCACATGGGCCTGTTTGTCAATAATGAAATATTAAAAATTAATATGAACTTACAATATTTTACGTTTTGAATTTGTTATTTATATTATTAATAATACTACTGACATTTTATTTGATGGATTATTTGGCTATAATTAAATATAACTCACAGTGGAAGGAGGCGATGAACTTGCAAATGGAACTGTAGTATGCTGACCACAAGCATAACATCGATTTGTATTAAATCCTTCTCTGGTCGCTGAACCTATTAAAATAACATAAAAGTATTTAAATTTTTGTATAAAATAATTACAATAATATTTGGAGAATAGTAAATTGTTATAGTTACCTGGACTTAATGGTCTAGAGGAACTAGGTGAAGGATTGTACGGTACAGGGCTAGAAACAGTACGATTTCTTATGTTTACACCAGACATCACGATTTCATTATAGTGCCGTTCTTCTTCCATTTCCAAACTAATAAACAGGTAAAGTTTCAGATTAAAATAAAACACTTTTACAATTTTTATAATGCAATTATTTACCTAGATTCTGATTCTGAAAGATGTCTACATAAAGCTTCGCGACGTTCTACTTCCAACTGCAATTTTCTTTGAAGTCTCAAGTTTTCTTCACGAATTTGTTTCTCTTCGTTCACATATCGTTGCATTTTCTCTGTATCTAATTTGAAAAATAACATACATTAGACAATATATAAACCATATTTGTTATTAGTTCAATTGAATTCATATTTCTGTATGATAAAATTTCTTACGTTCTTGTTGCGAGATGAGCAATGTATGTCTTAGTCGGGCTACTTCGCTTCTTAAAGTTTGAATATGTGTACTTAGACTAGTAGCAGTATCACCATTATTAATTTCTCTCGGTGAAGCGGGATCCGATACAGGTTGATCTAATTTTATTTGAAGCATTCGTTTCTCTGCCTCTAATTTATCCATTCTTTTCCACAATTTGTTTACTAATGCTTCTTGCTCTTGCTCAAGTGTATTTTCAAGTTCAACTTTCTCTCTGCGTAATTGCTCTAAATTGCTTTGTTTAGCAAGTGTTTCAGCTTCAAGCTTTTCTATTTTTCTCATTAGTTTATTTACAAGACATTCTTGCTCTTGTTCTAAGGTTTGTTCCAAACGACATTTCTCTTGACGCAATTGATTTAACTTTCTTGACAGATCATTTGTTAAGCATTCTTCTTCTTGTTCATAATGATGTGCTAATGTTTCCTTTTCTTTCTTAAGTGCCTGAATTTTCTTTAATAATGTATTACTTATAAATTCTTCTTCCTGTTCAGCTTTAGCTTGCTATAATATAATCCAATAAACAAAACAATAATATTACTACAATATATATATGAACAAATTAGTGTTAAATGTAATTTTTAAAATTATTTTTAAATTACAAAGTACATTTATAATACAATATGGAAATTAACATAATGGGAAATGTGCATGTATATGTATATTAATATTACAGAAATTTTTTATTACAAGTTAACAGAATAACATTTATATTCAAATCTACAGATTAATAAACTTTTCAATACAATTATTTCATCATTTCAAATTAATGAAAAATAAATCTAATTTGTATATTGAACAATATTATGCAAAATAACATTCATTACATAAATTGAAACTGTATGTCATTGATTTGTACTTCATGTGTCAATACAGAAACCATAACTGAATGAAAAATTAAAATCTAATTGTAATGAATCTGAGAAACAATAAAATCAAAAAAATAAATCTTTCTTCCAAAACATTCTGTTTCATATTAAATAAATGACTATAATTTCGAATGAAATTATTAACTACTTATATATAACAACAGAAAATATTGAATATGAAATAGTATATGTAATCAATAACTGTGTCGATATATTACGAATTGAAATACTAAAAATACAAAAGCAACTTACTATGATGACAGAGGCTTGACGAAGACCACGATTCTCCTCCTGCAACGCCTTTACTCTTAATTTATACGTTTCAAGCTCAACTTTAAGAACTCGATTATGCTGTTGCAATGATTCAATTCTTTTTTGAAGTTGTTCTCTAGTTACAGGAGACGGTGGCATCATTATCGGTCCTCCGTCAATTGAGCTTGAGTCGCTTTCAGATGCGCTATCACGGTCAGCCATTTTTCTTAGACAAAAATTTCTTAAAAAAGAACTTACTATTCTTTCCTTTTCATTGCACGCTCAAGTGAACACGTACAATACGTTTTCTTTAACACGTAAATATGCAGTTTTTCGTTAGAACTTCATTACTTTATGAGAAAAAAGCGTTATATTACTGCATACTACCGCACAACATGTGCTCTACCATAGAACGAATCAGCTGTTTGATTCTCCATGAATTACTTGAAAAGAAGATGTCAAATTGTACTTTGAAACTGTAATTCCCTAGAGTTTAGATGACTTTTTATGAAAAATATGTTTTAAATAATGATTAAAGCAAATTACAAATTAAATTCATTACGATATCTTCATTATTTCAAACATTAATCAAGTATTTCTAAAGAAATTTATAAAAATTGCAAACAGGGCGGAACACATATTACTCTGCAACTTCAAGCTCCATAAACAAAGAAATAAGAAAGTTGTTTTGTGATGGACGGTTTGTAAGAAATTTGTTTATTTATTATTGAGGTTATAATTTTTTTAAATAAACATGGATGCAGATTTTGAAGAATTATCAAATGATACAAATCTCATTGCAAGAGTTACACAATTTCATGATGCAGCGATGAGAATCGAAGATACAATTAAAATGGCTACAGATCCAGAAATATATGAAAAACTCTCTGATGAAGATAAAATTCAGTATGATCTATTGATGTCTTATTGTTTAAATAGTACGTTTTGGATGTACTTGCGTGCAGAAGGTAGAATGTATTTTTTGTTTTTATATTGATAATTTATCTATTTTTTATTTATATTTTATATTCGTTTAATTAGGAGTGGACCCAGCAAAACATCAAATAAGATCTGAAAATGAACGATTGAAAAAGTCTATGGCACGTGCAAAACAGATCAGTGATAGAAATAGTCTTATGCCTAGAGTGAATAAAGATGTTGCAAAAAGATTTGTAAGAAATTCATTATGGGAAATAAATAAGAAAAAATGACATGATTGCATTTGAACTTGGATCATAAATTAAAGTGGTTTAAATTGTTTAATGCAAAATACTTAAAATATCATATATGTTCTATTATGTACATATTTTTGTATTTAAAGAAGGAAACAATTTCATGTATTGTATAATGTACTAGGTTCTACACAAACTCTATATTATACACTGGACATGTCATAAGTATATGTAAGACACTTTTTACATTTGTTTACCATTGTAACCTTGATAAACTTTGCGATCTCGTACAAGTCAAAAATACTTCGAAATGAGAATGATTGTAACAGTAAAGTACATGAAAAATATATTTTTGCTTTGATACAAAATTTTTCATACACTTTTTCTTTTTTTTTTTATTAAACAAAGAAGATACAATAATATAAGAAAAGTTGAGTCATATTTGTTTTCATAAAACAGTGAACATAGTTTAAATATATTATCATTTCAAGTAAAGGATAAAAATTCTGAAAGAATTTTACATTTCACAACAATGGATCAGTAAGTAATTTATTAATCATGCGCATGGTTATATGTATGGTTATAATTTCATGTTTTAAGGATAAATAAATGCTTGGAAGAATTAAGAATACAATCTTCAGGACAGCATAATGAAAAACAAGAGAACTATGTGGCTGGAAAAATTAATAATGTTATTAAAACATTAGACATAGTAATTGTAAAACCATATTCTTCTAAATATCTTTTATATTTTGGAAGTCCTTTGTTTTTGAGCTGTTTAAATTATTCAGATTGTAAATCAGACTATGCGTTGTTAGGCTACATAGATGATATTTTTGGATCTATTGCAGAACCTATGTATTCTGTAAGTGTAAAATGTGATCTAACAAAGATTTTGGATGTTGAGGCTTCAGTATATTATTTTCCTAATAATTCAAGTACAACACATATGTATGTGGAGTATATGCTAGATGAAACTATAAATAAAGAAAAATATAATATTAGAATGTTATCATCAATTTGATGTAGAAGACACTTTCTTTTACATTTTTTGTACCATTACTTATATACATTCTATTGAAATTTTTCAGTTATAGAACTTGTTTTGTATAGAGATTGTAGAAGATTAAAACTAAATTGCCATCAAATGGTTTATTTTTTTTAATGATTTGTGATTATTTCGTCATGATAATAAACATAGTACGAAATAATAATTGCTTTTATTTTTTAATATAATTCACCTATTTCTTAGAATACATATTTCTAAAATATAACATATTTTAAAAATCATCTGGCACGTATTATACAGTTATTAACTATATAACATGTCATCTGTTAAAGCGCTAGTGTCTACAATTGGTTCACAGTACCGTTAAAGCGTGCTTCGCAGTGCTTTGCAGCCGCTACTGCTTGGGAAGTGCCCGTCGTTCTTTATAACGTATTGTTTATTATAATTTTAAACATTAATGACAACTTTTAGAAAGTTCATACACGCCATAATAAAATTTGAATCTGTATTTTTATGTTTAGTAAGTTCTTTTCCATTTAAATACGTAACACATTAAATTTTCATTCTGTTTGACTAACTGCCACGTATATACATAAATGTACATATAAATATACAAAAGCAAAAATTATGTCAAACGAAACTTCTGAAATCCCAAATAAACGAATAATGACGGTATGTATCGACTAAACAAGTTCTACATATATTTAAATATATTTTATGTCATAGTATATTGTTAATTTTTGTTTTAATAAATGTATTTTTTTTATATAAGTAAATGCATTTATGTTTATGTGTAAAAGAATAAATAAAGATATTTAAATAGTTAGAAATTTTTAAAAATAATTTTTTTAAGTTTCTTGTTTAATATCTTATGTTATAAAGAATTCCTTTTTTTAGACTTGTTCTAACGTATCAGAGCAAGCACATCATGTATCAAGAGCAAAAAGAGGCCAAGCAATAGGAAGCGTAAGAGGCTTTCGAGGATGCACAGTTTGGTTAACAGGGCTTTCTGGTGCTGGAAAAACTTCTATAGCTTTCCAAGTTGAAGCTATTTTAGTTAATCATGGAATTGCTGCTTATGGCCTTGATGGAGATAACGTAAGGAGTGGTTTAAACTGCAACCTTGGTTTCAGCAAAGAAGATAGGAAAGAGAACATAAGGAGAGTTGCAGAAGTAGCTAAATTATTTGCTGATAGCGGTCAAATTTGTTTATGTAGCTTTGTATCACCGTTCGAAGAAGACAGGCAAATGGCAAGACAAATTCATAAAATGTCTGATCTTCCATTTTTCGAGATCTTCGTCGATACGCCCCTTAATGTATGCGAAGCTAGGGACACGAAAGGATTATATAAAAAGGCGCGTCAAGGAGCTATTAAAGGCTTTACTGGAATAGATCAAATGTATGAGAGACCAGTAAACCCTGATTTAGTGGTAACCACTGAAAACTGTACTCCAGAAGAATCAGCTGCAACAGTTATAGATCTTCTGGAGAAACAGTGTATTATACCAGTGCTTCAAAAACCAACAATACCGATACGGGAGTTATTCGTTCCAGAATCACGAATATCTTCTGGCAAAGCAGAAGCAACTACTCTTCAGAGCTTAGAAATTAGTGAAATAGATGTACAATGGCTGCAGGTTTTAGCAGAAGGTTGGGCTGCTCCTCTCACTGGTTTCATGCGGGAAGATCAATATTTACAGGTATGAATTTTTCTAATGATGAAATATAAAATTATAATAAAAACATAAAATACTTAAACAATATTTTTAGACCCAACATTTAAAATGTCTCCTTGATGGAGATAAGGAAGTTAATCAATCTGTTCCCATAGTTCTTGCGATACACACGGAAGATAAGGAGCGTTTGGATGGGCTTTCGGCTTTCACGCTAAAGTACAAAAATAAAGCACTTGCAATATTACGTAGGCCGGAATTTTATTTCCATAGGAAAGAAGAAAGATGTGGATGGCAATTTGGTACTAATAATTTGGGCCATCCGTATGTAAAAATGATTCATGATTCTGGAGATTGGTTAGTAGGTGGTGATATTGAAGTTTTTAAAAGAATTAGATGGCATGATGGTCTGGATAAATATAGACTTACACCGAATGAAATCAGAACGAAATGTAAAAAAATGAAAGCTGATGCTGTATTTGCATTTCAACTTAGAAATCCTATACATAATGGTCATGCATTATTGATGCAAGTATGTTGATTTATTATTTACATATATATTTTATATAATAAATCTTTCTATTTTTTTCTACTTTTCTATAGGATACTAAAAAGCATTTATTAGAAGAAAGAGGATTTAAAAATCCTGTACTACTTTTACATCCTTTGGGTGGTTGGACAAAGGATGATGATGTACCGTTACATACTAGAATTCTTCAACATGAGGCAGTACTAAGTGAAGGTGTTCTAGATAGTAATTCTACTTTATTAGCAATTTTTCCAAGTCCAATGATGTATGCTGGACCAGTTGAGGTATGAGTTATACGTATATAACTACAGTACTTTTCTCCGATTTATAATTTTCTGTTCATTATTAGGTACAGTGGCATGCAAAAGCTAGAATGAATGCAGGTGCTAATTTTTACATTGTTGGAAGAGACCCAGCTGGTATACCACATCCTAACAAAACTGTAACCTTAGATGGAAATCTTTATGATCCTACTCATGGAGCTCGAGTTCTGTCAATAGCTCGAGGTTTGCAAGATCTGGAGATCATTCCATTTAAAGTTGCAGCGTATGATAAAAGGCATAAAAAAATGTCCTTTTTTGATACAGAACGGAAAGGAGATTTCGAATTTATATCAGGAACAAAAATGCGTAGTATGTATTTTACATATATATATATCTAAAATGTAATAGAATTTCAAAGAATAATATTTATAATATTCTTTTACAGCTTTAGCAAAAGTAGGTGAAAATCCACCAAATGGTTTTATGTCGCCTAAAGCATGGAGTGTTCTTGCACAATACTATCAAAATTTAGAAAAGTAAAAATTATAATTGGTTATAATAGAACAATATTGGTACTTTAATTGTTAAGGATAATAAGTACAATAACGTTTTCTTTTATCGAAACGTTCATTAAGATTTAGTTTTTGAATTATTAACAAAAAACGTCAACCAATTAGAGCGCGCATAAGGCGCATGCTCACGCGCAGGAGTATCGAGTGTCGGTTACGAACCGACGCGGTTTCCGAGTAGTTTGTTTCCGACCATGGTCGAGGCCGGTTGTCATTGCGAATATTCCCGCGGCTGATGCCGCTCTGATTAGTCAGTGTTTTTAATTAATAATTTAAATACTAAGCTTTAGCCAGCATTTTGGTAAAGGAAACAGTTGTTCAGAATCACCCCAGCTACCACCCCCTGAAAGGATGTTCAACCATAGCCGGACACCCTGTACATTTGTATGTATATTTGTACATTTTTCTTGTATAGTACAAGGATTTTAATATTTACCTCTGCATCAAATAAGTTAATACTTATTTGCATTTATTTTTAACGTAACATATATATGTTTTTATTTTGTATAAAATACAAAATGTAATACACACTTTATTTGAATATACATAAAGTGTTTATATTTATTAAAAGAATTGTATATTGTCAACTTCAAATTATACATAATTGGAATATAAATTTATTATACGTATGCAGTAAAAATTTTTTAAATGCAACATCAAATAGAAAAATATTTGATATTCAAATTCTTTTATTGCTACAATAAAATACAGATAAGATTGATGGACAAAAAGATGAATAATGTAAGAAAATAAATATAGAAATTAAAATGTGCAATTTCGTTACAATTAGGAAGAAAACAAATTTGCTAATGTATAAACTTATAGTAATGTGTGTAGTTGGAAGATGAAAAGTATTCTTGTCATTATAATTCAATTAATCATGCAGTATTTCATAATAGATTTAGTAAATATTAAATTTTCTAATGTAGCACGTAGAAATAACAAATTTAATGGCAATTTTGCAACAATAAGAAAATGAAGATTTTTAGTAGCAAAAAATCTTCTAATTCATAATAATATAAAAATGAAATATCATTATAAAGTAATGCAAATGGTTTATTAACTAATTATACTTAATTACACCTAAGTGATGTTTAAACTAATGAGCGTTAATTTTGTAATGTATAAAATTTTTGTCTTAAACGTACAAAGTTATATTTGAAATATATATTATATGAACGTATATTACATATTGGACGATTTTCCTATGCAATCAAAAAAAGAAACCAAAAGTATTTAAGAAAATATTGGATCCTTTTTTTCACTTTGCTATATTTATAAAATGCATGAATAATGGGTAAAAATAGTTATCACCCATAGTTCATAAATTAGGGAATGAAAAACACTAATGAAAAAGCTTATGTAATTAGTAAATGTGACAAACTAAAGAAATTTCAATCGTATAGTTCACAAATAGGCATATGGTTATGAATAATGTCAATTTTATTAATATCGTGAAATTTATATTTGTATTATTAAGTAAAATACTTGTTTATCTTTTATAGATTTGTACAAAATACTTTATATCCATACTACAGATATTTTTATTCATTATTTATAATGAAACAAAAAATTTTGTATTGAAAGCATTATGAGGATAAAATCTGTTGTATCATTATTTTTTACAATCTTAGCGTGATTTTACTAAGTATCTTCATACAGTAAAATAATCTTACAAAACTGCAACCTTAATAGCAAAATGTTATTTTGACCTTTGGGTGTATAGTTAATATCCTAAAAAGTTTGAAATCTATATATGTTTCAGGGAAATATACATTTTTAGAATATGCTGTATTTGGGAATGTGATTTACTTCCTACAATTTATCCCAAATAAACAGTTTTTTAAGTGTATAATTAACCACAATAATGTTGATTATTTTTTCTTTACAAAGAATATCGTATATATAGAATACGATACTAAATTCAATTATTATACATAATAGATGCTGTAGCTAAATTGACCTCTGTATTTGCATCAGACAGATCAGGTAAAGACAGCATAACTGGGATCACTTGGATTTTTCCTGAATCATCTTCTTGCTGCAAATGAACTACAGCACCTGATTGTAATATTTCATTTGTCATCATTTCATCTGTTATTATTTCTGCCGGTTCAATATTGTCCGCCGTTACTTCTTCAGTATAGACAGTGGTATCTTCCATGTTCATTATAACTTCCGCTGCATCCGAAGCTTCTCTAGACGTTTCTTCATATTCCTATTAAAAAGATGGGTGCATTATTAAAATTTTAATTAAAATATTAAATACTGAATATAAAATATAAAATTATGATTATAAATAATTAATACCTGTTCATATACTTGTTCATATTCTTCAGTTATTTCTTGTTCTTCAAACTTTACTATTTCCTGTTCTTCAAACTTAACTATTTGTTCTTCCTCGTACTGTTGATCTGTTTGCTCTTCGTATTCGCCCTCGACAATCTGATGTTCTGCATTAGTTAAACTTTCTTGTTCGTGTTCAGAACAGGAAGAATCTTCCTGGACTTTAGGTTTAATATTTCTCCCAGGTACTATTCTTTTGAATCCAGATCCTCCTAAACTTTCGTGTCTTCTCTCATGTTTGTTTTTGTCACCTAAATATTTAAAACGTTGCCTACACACACTACAAGAGTATGGTCGTTCATTAGTATGAGTCCTTTCATGACATACAAGAGCACTAACTTGTTTACATCTCCAAGGACAATATCTACATTGCAACGGTCTTTCATCACTGTGTCTATTCTGGTGATGTTTAATCAATTGTATTTTCGTTTTCAAGTTAAATCCACAAATTTCACACGTATATGGTCTCTCTTCAGAATGAGATATCATATGTGTCTTCAACCTGAGCTGATTCACAAATCTCTTGGGACAATGTGGACACGGTAATGTTCCTTCTAATCTGTTATGAGTCACCATCATATGGTGTCTTAATCTTACTTCAGAAGTGAATGTTAATTCACAATCTAAACACTTCATTGGATCTTTCTCCATATGAGTGTTTTTAATATGCGTTCTTAAAATCATTTCTGTTTTAAATGTTTTATTACAGTGATAACATGACACTCTTTTCTTTTCCGGTGCTCCATCCGTGTCTTCTTTTACAACACCAGGAAGAGACTCATTGTGTATATGAGACATGTGCCATTCCAATGATCTAGTCGAGATCATTGATCTGTTACATATGTGACATGTATACTGTCTACCATCCTTGTGAACTCGATTTCTATGTATAACAAGTGTCGAGTGGTTTGGAAATTTTTCACCACATACTTGACATGAACATTCTTTTAATCCTCTACTATCAGTTTTCTCGTGTACTCTCATATGCAATCTTAAGCCATCTCGCCTATTGAATCCAACACCACAAGTGTCACAACGGTACTGACGTTGATCTTCATGAATTCTTACATGTTGTTTCAAAGTTGAACTATTCTTAAACATTTTGTCACAGTGTGGACATTGAATGGTATAAGCTTTATGAGTATGCATATGCTTAGAAAGACTATAAAATGGAACTAATTTATGACAAACTGGGCATTCTCTTTTATTGCCAACCGGTTGATGTTTACGTATTCTATGATGTCTAAGACTCGCAGGATTTTTAAAGTCTGCTCCGCAATCCTCGCATAAATAGGCCCTTAATGTTGTATGTACTGACTTTAAATGAAAGCTAAGCTTCTGTTTGAATGCAAATTTTTTCGGACACTTTGGGCATTGATATATTTTCTCCCAGCTCATGTGTTGGGTTTTTACATGCTGATCTAGAGTTCCTTGATGTTTAAACTTTTCACCGCATACATCGCATAATTGTCCATACATATTATCGCAATGTTTCTGCTCATGCTGGCGTTTCTTTCCCTTTGAATCTAACATCACTTCACAGTATTTACATAATAACTTTTTTATGCAAACTACGCTGTGATTTCGTTTTGCCTTATTTGTTGGAAATTCTTCCATACAATCTTCGCAAAAATGCATAATTTTATAATCGTGCATCTTTAAATGCTCCTCGAGAATATCTTTAGAAGCAAATGTTTCTGGACAATAATCACATTCCAGATAATTTTCTTCTGGAATGTAATCTGCTGGTTGACTTTCGTCTATTAAATCAGGCAAATTGTTTTTAAGCACTGCATTATTTCTATCCTCATAAAGGGAAATAATGTCTTCGTCTTTTAATCTTGTAATTACGATTTTACGTTGCTTTAAATAATCTTGAAAATCCTGTAAATTTTTTTCTTTCTCCCCTAAAATTCTTGCCAATTTTTCAATATTTCCTTCTGTATAAGATTCGTCAAGTTCTTTCTGCAAAGATTCTTTTTTCTTCTTTGCTTCCTCCCATTTTAGTTTAAGCTTTGCTAAACGTGATAAATACTCCTCGGTATTTACATATGATTTTTCATTAACGGATTTTTCTTTTTCTGGTTCCGCCGCAGTATCCGTAATATCATTTTCAATTTTTGGAGTACAATCATCTTCATCTTTAATAAATTGTACGTTTACAGTTGATTCGTTTTCCGCATGCGGAGTAGGTTTCTGGCTATCTTGACTTTCGTTACGTTTGAAGTAACGAGTTTGAGGTTCTTCGGTCTTTATAGGGAGCGAAATACTAGCATGCCCACCTAATACCTTCTCCCGTTTTTTCTTATATTCTTCTATTTGTTCTTCTATGATCTGTTCTCTTATTTCAGACTTTTTTGTCCGTTCTGGAAACAAATCCTTTTCTTTTGTAACAAGTGTTTCGTACCGTTTAAAAATTTTATCCATCGGTTTAATTTCAAAAGGCTTTTTTCCCAAACATTTGTCATCTTTTTTCTCTAACGGTTTATCCATTTTTTTTACTTTCACTAATAATATTTCATTCGGTTTAGATCCCTTTACTGTAACATACATGATTCCATCTTCCTGGGTACTATTAATGTTCAAAGAATTATTTACATCTAACTTTTGTACTTTAAAATCTTTATGACCACCATTTTTATCAGAAACACCAGACTGATTTTCATCTGTTTCTTCAGACAAGTCTTTTCTAGTTTGTAATAAAAGTCTTCGTTTTAATATGTTCGGTTGTTTCGTGGATTCTTTTGTACTTTCAGCATTACATGCGGTCTCAGTCCTAATTATATTTTGTGGTTCACAAGAATGATTATTACCTTCTGTATCTTCTATTTTAATGTATGCTTTTAGAGATGAATCATACTTATATGTTGTTTGATTACAATCAGCACTTTCATTATCTGGAGCTGAGTTATAATCGCAAAGAAACATTGACGGAGGATATTGTCTTGGAATATTTTCTTTCTGAATATTTCGTCTTTTTACAGCTGGTGTTTGTACAACTACTTCATCATCAGATTCTGCTGCATCAGAACTATCAGGTTGAAAAGGAGGATCATCCGGATCAAACTCTTCTATAGATTCATTATCACTGTTTTCTTCAATTATCATTTCTTCAAAAACTTCAACTTCAGGCTTTTCTAACTCTTCAACATTCACTTTTCCTATTTTTATACAGTGTAAATTATCTTTCACTGGAATATCCTCAGGTACTTTTTGTACAAGTACCTCTTCATTGTGTTCCTTACTTGTAGATGGATTGAGGAAATTATCTTCCACAATATTCTCTACATGTTTCTCAATACGTTCTACAGATTGCATCTTCTTTGCTTCTAGATTTCTTGTTGCTGTCTCAGTCAGAGTAAAATGAATGGACTTTAATTTAACTTCTGCTTTCTTAATTTGCATAAAAAATTTATAACTCATTTTCAAATCACAAATACAGTCCATACACATTTGAGTGGATAAACTGTCATATGAATTTATTTCTTCCAAGTGTTTAATCTGTTGACTTAATCTCATCTGAATACCTTTCTCACTAAAAATATCAACTAATGGAAACTTTAAACCAGCACAAGTCCTACAATATTTTTTCAATTCTTGTTTAGTTTGCTCCAATATAGATAACTTTTTTTGTGCAGATATTTTGTTGTGCAACGAAATTTTAGTTAACTCATTCAAACTATTAGCATCGTGAGTCAATAATTTCACACGTGGTGTTATCTTCTTTAATTCATTTATGTCTTTGACTTGTCCAAATGTTTCTTTAGTGGATTTACACAGGGGTTTAATATCACTGTCATATGCATTTTGACTGTTACTATCACTAGATTCAAAATTATCTGGTTTTACTTCGCTATAATTATGATCCTTGTTATTAATTTCAATGCGCTGCATCTTTGATCCACTTATTTAAATTTTTTTCATTGTACATATATATGTCCTAAATATGTATGCGCAGAAGTTTTATGACCTGAATAAAGAAATACAAAATATAATTTTAATTCATACTTTAAGAATTTTATGTAACATGACATTATAAATAAAAATATCTGGCTTACCGTTTTATCATGCTGTTTATGCATGTTGTATGTTAACTACTGTATATATTGTATATCATTATTACAAACTCATTGATTCATACAAAATTGATAAAAATATGTTCAAACAACTTAATATATATTATCGTTACTTAAGAGCTGTAGTAGTTATCGATATTTCCAAAGTTCTAAATTCTACACTGTTATTTGTAAAATTGATAATATTTTGAATCTGTTCTCTTAAAAATGATTTAATATCTTTATTATCAGCATACGACAAATACGAAATTACATTTTCATAATCGCAGGTATTCATTTTTCATTTAAAATTGAGGTTAAGTAAATATAATCATAAGGAGTGTGTACTCCTGCACATAAACATAATGAAAACGTGATCGGTGTATGTTACACCGATTTTTAAATTTCTTAAATTTTACCTTACAATACTCGTCGTACGGAAGAGTAATAACGTTATTCAAAAGTTTTTCCAAACTCTCGCTAATATAATTTCTTTGTAATGTTATCCAGATGGCGCCGTTTAATGGCGCCTATGGCGTATGTTATTTTCGACCTACGCAACGGACATTCTACAGTTCCGAAATTCATGACTAGTTTTCAATAGTCATAGAATATTTTTGTATACAATTATAACGCATTACAAAGATCCATCATAGAGTAGAATTCGAGTAATATAACTTTCGTGAATAAAAACGATTAATCTACGCGCACTAGGGAACGAGAATTCGTGCCACGTTCAACTATCGTGTTCTGAAATTCCTTTACTGATGCTATGACGTTGTTAAATTCGTAATGGCCGCGATTCTATCTTTCGTATTAAAAATACAAATGATAAAAAATTTAATTTAACTGTTATAGCACCCGTATATAGAACGATAAAATATGATTTTAATAAAGAAATAAAATTTATGTTTTCTTTATTTATTTTATTAACAGATTCAGATGTTTATCGCATGCTCGTGTAAGCAGCCGCGAAATGATGATATTTGAAAGGCTGAAATTGAAAATTTAGTAGCTTTAATTGTTTTAAATAGAACGGCAAAAATAACAATAAAATACTTATAAGAAAATAAATAGAAAATAAATAACATAATAAAATGTGCAGGTATTGGCTCAAATTTTTAGGTTTCTTTTAATTATTATTCGTTCAACGAGATCATACTTGTTATACGACGAGTTTCGTTCGTTCTGCGCATGTTAGCTCTGATTGGCTTAAGCATGCCTCGTCTGCGCAAGCGCCCCGGGATATTGCGCATATACCCAGCGATCTTATATTCAGTATACTCTTCGACCTTCGACGTTGTTAGTTCTTTGTTCCTTGTATTCAAATATTTTTGTGCACCATGTATACGACCACGAAGTTAGAGGCAAGAGTGGAGGGCCTTCCTGAGCTGCGTGAACAGGTATGGTCTTTCGTTAAATGAATAACAAAATTTGTGTTAAAATGTACTACAACTCTGTATTTTCTTTAGCATTTATTTAAGATATTTTATTTATAAACACATAACATGTATTTAAACAATAAGGGTATTTTAAAATAGAAGTATTGGAATTGTTTCACAATATTTCAATGATCACAAACTTTTATGCAGCGAGGTCGAATATTATTCTAAACTTAAAAAGACAAGGAACGGTACAGTCGAACTGCATGAATTATTTAACTGAAACTACGTTATTTCTTATATAAAATTGGTCCTCCATCTTCATTTCTAATATAGTGATTTTTTATTAATAAAAGAAATAGCAACATCGGTAAAAATATAGATTTAGATTGTTACTTTTTAAAATATATATCACAATTGTATATTACAAAAGATTATGAAACCTAATAATATACTCAACATTATCACATATTAAATTTGGTAATTTACAAAACGAATCTATATGATTTGTAAATTGAAATGAAAAGAGTTTCATAATATTTGTCATTAATCAACAGTAATCGCTGTAAATTAATGATATCTATAGTTTTCACATCTTGAAAATATGTTTCTCAAACACAAATTTCATTTTGCAAGAGTAGTGAACATTCTGAAATACTAAATTTTCACTGTATTTTTTTTTTAAATGTTCCATGATAATACTGTTTGTTCCTTTTTTTGTTTGCAAGCAGTAATACCCTTACTCTTAAAAATGTAATTTTTTTTGTTCAACTTCCACTTACTTTCCAAAATTCACTTTGTGCTCGAGCAACATGTTATTTTCCGGAGGCAACGCAAGGCATGCTCTTAACATATTTTCAATCGCAGCTCGTTGTCTAAATAATGCATTTACTACTGGTGTTCCTGGGGGTACTAATGGTGCTTTGCATAGATATGATAGTATAGAAAGTACACTGTGAAATCCAACAAATTCGTCCTCCGTATCCGCTTCTTTAAAGGTCATGCGTGAGCAAAGTTCCGCCAAAAGAACCAAGTCTAAAATGATTGGACTAGCTAACAAAGAGTCCTCACACGTGTTGTGTATTACAATTGTGTTCTGTCCTCCAAGTAAGATTTCTGATGTGTACTCATCCATTGCCCGTTTACTATCACCTACCAAAAGACGAACTAATTAGTCTCATATTTCATCTCATATCTCTGAATGACATGGTAGTCAGCATATTAATACATATGCATATTTTACCATACATACCAACATATGGAACATATTTAATAACAACACAATGATCTGGCTTCTCTCCAGGTTTGTAGAGAATTCTATTTGATTGTACCATGTCATCTACAACATTACTTTTTGAAATCTGAAAAAAGATTAGATTCCAATGTTAATATAAATTACATTTAAGTTGAGCTTAGTAAATAAATTACCTCTTTTGATCGAAATTGTTGAGGGGCAGATAAATTATATCCATCATTATTTCCAAGGTGGTTGTAACTAACGATTGACACTGGTTTAATACCAGCAGACACTAGAAAATCTACAAGCACAGATTTCAGTTTTGTCTGGCCAGATTTAAAGTCATCACCACTAATAAATGTTTTATGTTTTTCTGCTAATTCCAAGGCTCCTGGCACAAAAGTGTTCTGAGGAGAGCCATTGATATATGTACACTGGAAAAACACGAAGTATATTTTAATATATATTACTGACAACACAGTTGTTAATAGAAAAGAAAAAAATGAACAGTTCTCTTACTCCTTCCAAAGCTGCTGCAACAGCAAAAACAGTACTGGGACTAATTTCTGGGTGGTTTTCTTTTATAGCTTTTAATAAATTTTCTGCTGTATCATTTATACCTGGAATGATCTCCGAAAATCGTTCAGTATTAGCAGTCCACAGTATAATTACTTGATCTAATTTCTTAGCTGCTTTAAAGTCTGCAATGTCTTTTCTAATCTGTTCTAAGTGTTCAAATTTTGTACCAGAAATTAAATTATTTGCTCTTTTCTCCTGGAAATATGAAAGCCATTTAAAAATTTAAATTTGCTTGTAATTAATATATCAATAAATATTCATATAGATTAAATAGTAACACAGAACAAAATAAACTAAGAACACTTTACCTGATTAGAGGCAATAAAATCAGGATAATATGTACTTTTTCTTGGTTTCATATGCATCATGTGTGGTATTAATTGCTTTTGTAAGTTAATGTCCAAGACCTTTGCACGTTGCATAGCATCAGCTAAATTCATGCTTGAAATATCCCAGCCATCAAGTTCAATATCATCTGGGTTAACCATTGGAAGCATCCAAGACATTGGAACAAAGACATCTTCTTTGTTTCTTTTTCCCAATCTGACAGTAGATGCTTGAACTAACGATCCGTACCTAGATATTTAAATAAAAAGCATACATAAATGTATTATTTTATTTAAATATAAAATAATATTACAGTTAGAATGATAAATACCAATTTGCTTTTTGAATGCCATTCTTTGTTTCCCATGTCAAGTTAAGTTTATTTGCTAACAATGCTGCAGTAATAGTTGTACCATTATTTCCACCCCATCCTACTAACATTAATCCAAGTTTTGGAACTTTCAGTTGTGTTCTAATCAGCAACTTTGTTGACACAGGTGTCACCTATTATAATAAATACATGTTTATATTCTGTAATATATTAGTTTCAAGCGTTTAAAATAAATAATATTACGCGTAGTAATTGTTAGTATTTGTATCCAAGCATTTTTCTGCTAGTACACAGTGGTGTACAACACAGCATTTTCAAAAAGTGAAAAATTCATTTCCAAAATTAAAATCATAGCGTTTGAGCAGCTGTTCATTTTTTTATTATATTTGTTCCTTTTCCCTAAAAAAGAATTTTTCAATACAAAACCTGTAAGTTTGATATTTATACAATTTTTTTTTTTTTTTTTTTTCGAAAAAACCTTCCAACCTTAAAAATATTTATTAAAGTATTAGCATCTTTTCTTGATTAAATGTATCTAATATAGAAATTGATTCAGTTATAAATTTAAATTTCTGTTACTCATTGGACAAGACGAATTAATCATTATAATTTATTAAGGTTTTATCGCATATGCGTAAAGCAAAGCCGATACATTGGAAATGCAGAAAACTGTAAACTACTAGAAGCGGTTATTTTAAAGATTTTTCTTAGTACTGTTATTATTGCAAATAGTGCAGCTTTATGTTCCATCTTAATATTATTCTTCCAAAATGTTGCGAAAATGAATTTTCGCAGTGAAGAATCGTTCTACGCAAAAATATGTTTCCCTACAAGAAAAGAAATAACATTTGCTCAGAATCACAATCCATCTAGTGGAAACTCGCTAAATTATTATTGGTCAGGTTTACCGCTAAATGTAATTACTCGATGACAATTTCAAAATGTAATGAAACCTGTTGTTACACCCATAAAAATAATTGCAGCTAAAAAGAAACATAGTTGTAGAAGAAACGTTTTTATATGCTTACCGTATATTTCATATCGTCGTCTTCCTTAACATTCGTTGTTTGATACTCGTACTGTGCCTCCATATAATCTTCTGTGTACTTCACCTTCGGCGAATCGACGCGAATTTTCAAAGCCATTTTGTATGATATTAAATTTAAACACTGACCGTAAGAGTTATGAATTAGATTTTCGAAAAATTTCTTTGGAAAATATGTGTTTCTTTAGGAATATCGAGTTCAAGGATTATAGATCGATTGGAATGAAACTGACGGTAGTGAAGTGATGTATATACCAACGGTAAAGCTAAGGTACCGATCAGTACAATTGCTTTTTATAAAATAATTGTTTTTCGACAACTTATACGTGATATTTGCAATGCAAAGAATAAAGGAAGAATTCGTAGTCAAAACGAACGTAAATAACACTCGAAGGTGAATATCCAAAACGTCGTGTTCGTAGCTGAAACGTAAATGTCGGGAGAACGAACAAGCATGCGCTTTAAAAGAAATGGCGCGGCAGCCCCCTTCCACCCCCAGTTTAACTGGAACCTATTATATTTGGTTACTGCTGGCTTTTTATCAAGCTAACTGATCTAACATAAACTAAACATATGCTTCGTTTGCAACTTCTTCGTCTTCTTTCTCATATTTTTTTTCTCCTATCATCTTATAGGCACATCCTGTTTTTACTTTATCTTCTAAATGTGTGTTAGTTGAATATTTTGACGCTTTCAATCGTTTCTCATACGTACGTGTACGTATTTCTCCAACGTTCTTTCGTTTTCCTTTTTTATCGAATCTTATTTTAAATTCCACCTTCAACCGTGTTTATACCGTTTCTGCGTTACAAATTATTCATAAATGTTATTTTAGGTAAATTAATTATCTTATCATGCAGGGAACGTATAATATTCATTTCTCTTCCGCGTTTTGTAATTGTTATAGGATACACAGAAGATCTCGAATATTTGTAACATTTTAACGTGTCATTTTATTTATAATTTTTTTTCTTATATTATATGTATATTATACATTATAGTACATTTTTTAAAACTGCATCCATAAGTTTATTTTAATATAAATAATAAAACTATTTTAAACAGTTCCATTATCAGAAACGATATCTCCTTGTTGCCGTACAACTTCCGGAATACAAACAGATGTTATATCCTCCAATGATTTTTGTTCTGATAATCGATTAGTTATCAGTTTAATTCACCTTAAATAATGCATAAATACGTTTTGTATTTTAAACGATCATTGTTGGCCGGTCTGTGAACTGTTCAATTACATCACGTGTAGCTGGAATGCATAGATTGTTTCAATCAATTGGCACTCGGTGCCTCTGGAACTTTCATAATGGGAGAATTATGTTGCCAGGCCATTCGTAAGACGACCCTCGACAAACGATTATGAACTATAATCTGTTTACAAAGGCTGATTTTATCCAACTCAACGCTACCATTCGAGCCGTTTCGTTTTCATCCCAAGAAACAAGCATCATTACCTATATAATGTACATAACAAGCGTCGTCGTATGGCTGGAAGTGTTCCGGATCGATCAGTATTCGAAATATAATACTGATAACAATCTGCTGATATCGACACGTCCGTTACGACAGTAGAAACGTTCTCCAGTTAACCAGAAACACTATTTTCCCTATAAATATCTGAAAATGGATCAATAAGTTAACACGTTCAACTTGGCAAATGATAATCAGAAATTCTATTTCTCATATATTCAAATAATCATCCAAGAATTTTAATCCGTAAGATTTTAAAATTACGTAAATTTCAAGTAATTCATCTGTAATAAAAAAAGAAGTTTAATCCTATCTTGTGCAATTAAAAAGAAAACAAAGAATTCTTTGAAACAGCCAAGTTTATTTCATAAGGCATCATTGAGGAAATAACATAATGCCTTATTTCAGATAGTCTGTTCTTTCATATGGTAAAATGTTCATCTTTCATTTAATAATCGTAAAGGGTTACGTAATTTGAATGATATAAAAATTAATTCTACTTTATCTTGTTATGTATTTCAATTTTACTTTAAATATTTACTTTTAAAAATAAATTGAAGTATTGGAATAAATTGGTACCAATTGATATGAAGATGGTGTCTCACCATCTTTAATGATTGTTCCGATATATGTATTTAAATGTTTATAATGAATTAGAAATTTATATCGGTATATTCAGGAGTATCTTCTTTCTTTTAAATCAATTTTCTTAAATATTGAGGGTGACGGAGAAAAACATTTTGCAGATACGTAATCAGTGCATAAGTCTAGAAAGAACAGATACCTACTAGACAATATTATTAAATTGTACTTAATTAATTTATTTACGTTACAAATGAGATTACGTAAACCTGTCTTAAATATTAAATGGAATTTAACCGACAGTTCAGTCCATCATTCGTGAAGGGTGATAGTTGAACTCTGTCCAATACTTAAAGTAAATTGAAGTAGAATTGGACTGTGGGAACGACCATCATCATACATGTACCAACATAATAGTCATCAACAACTACCTTCAAGTTCCGTATCCCTTCAATTTGAAATTTATGAATACTAAAATGTTTTTATATATGAAAAGTTTCATAAGATTCGCAATATTTTAATGATTTCAATATAAGAATTTATTAAAAAAAAAACAAAATGTTCCCAATTGAGATTGTTTCATTTTTCTTTTATTACTTTAATTTTCTTCTATTCCTAATTATAAGTAACATTATGCTTAGATATTATGTAGTACGTATTTAAATATTTATGTATTAAAATCAATCAAAAAATGTATTTATTGATAATCGTTTTATGTATATAAATATATAGTATACAAAAGAATAATTTAATATAATTTTATAACAATTAATCTTCTTCAATATGCAATAAACAATTTCATGTTTATATACTCTTATGTATACAGGTAAAAAAAAGAGAAACATTTTTGTTAGGTTAGAATATTATTTGCAATCGTGTTTTGACAATGATATTAGTAACAATCCATTTAGCTATGATAATATCTCATGACAATTTACATATAATAAATGAAACAAAAACTATTGTATACATATTTGTATATTTTTCTTAAGATTATTTTATATAAATGTATAATAATGTATAACATGGCCACAAAAAGATGTCAAACTTAGTAATATTTTAGACGATTACAATAATTGGTTTCAACATTTCAATGAATGTATCACTACAATATATTTATTTATATCGAATTAAAAGATGTAAATGCAGAAAATGATAAAAAGTCAAAATTAATTTCACTTTCAATGCATAACACAGCTAGGATCTCACAACGTCATTACTCTTAATTTTACAAATTTACAATCTATTATACTTCTACTTAACATCTCTTTATCTTCAGTTTATTATTACTAAATACATCGCAAGCAAAATGAATTCATTAGTACATATTAAATAAAATTGTCACAGAAATTCATATCTTGCTTATTTCAATAATGCGTTACATTGTATAAACATATTTAAACGTTCAAAATCGTTTTAAAAATTAGTATCGTATATATTCAATTTTTATACATTTAAATAAAGATTGAAATTTCAATTCATTACATATAATGTAAAATGTAAAAGAATAACTACGTGTTGCGTTTTGTAAGTTCAGTATGTTACCATTTTTTCATGCAAATATTTTTCAATAATTTAATCTTGAACATATACGATACATACATTTGAATATCTCAATTTTATATACTCTGCATAAAGAGTCTTTGGTTATAAATTTTTTTTCTCAGAGCAAGGGAGACTCTTATAAAACATCTTGTATTTAAGCACCATCTTTCACACAAGATGCAAACTTTTTATATTTTTATAATGCAAATTCAGTTTCTAGTTAACCATGAAAAAGCTTTAAGAATTAAGTACGTCAATGTTAATGCATATAAAATTTTGTCTCTTTGTTGACGTTGTAACATATCAAGTTCAATAGCCATTACACGTCGATTTAATTTTCCTACTTGTCGACGTAAATGCTGTATCTCTTCACTAGGTGGCAGAGACACATCGAGTGCGCTATATGAGGGAGTTTGTTCTCTGAAAAGCAATAGTTCATATCAATTTTTGAAAAGAAAAATAGGTGTAGTTCTGTAGACAAATAAATAAATTTATACCTGACATGCCTAACTATTTGTGTTTCTGTAGGATATTGTCCATGAGATCTAGAGGATACTGAATCCTTAGCCTCTGTTAAATATGAGTTTGGATCTTCTTCATCAACAGCAGGGAAATAGTGATTATCCAATGTCAAGATTCTTGGAGGAGTCTATTGATAACATACAAAATTATATATTGCTTTATAACATATGATCTGTTAAAAGATTTTATTTGCATTTAAAAATATTTACCTGTACTCTAACTAAGCCTGGTTCAGGTGGTAATACTGCATTCTCTAATGTAATTTCTCTAGGAGGTGCTTTTGTTCCTACATGTTGCTCTTGTCCTATGTTACAAATTAATTATATCTTGTATTATTTTAATAAGATTATTGTTATTTAATTATTTAATTATTGATATACCCATATCAATGGGTATTAAAAAATATTGTTCTTCATATTTACCAACAACTAAAATTCTATCTGGAACATGCATCTCAAATTTTTCTGCTGCGACCATCTGATTCCAGCTAGAGCCATTTGTACCAGCTACTTCTTCATCCGTGTAATCACCGCTCACACGAATACTCTTTGGCACACGCATCTTCTTATTAATGTCCAAAGTAAAATTTGGGTCATAAAAATTGTCAGCTTCTCCATTAAAAATAGGACTATGTGCTTTTGACATTTTACTAAAAAATAAAAAACAAAACTTCAACTTAATCTTAAGTGTTATCAAAACATAAGAATCAATATGGTTAAACAATATAACAAAATCAAATTAACTGCATATTATTATTTGGAAAAATAAATGTAAGATGCTTGAAAGAAACAATGAAACATTTGTCAAGCATAATAAACCATATTTCATCAAGTGAAATACAGATTTACATATATATTTTTTTATTACTAGTGAACTAGATAACTAAATAATAAAGTAAATTATATCTGATTAGCTCTTTAACAGTATAATTATAGTAAAAGAATGCGATGACGACACAAAAGAACATTTACTTTAACCGTTGTGTAATAACAACACAACCCAAAAAGCTGTGCCATACATAAAATTTGTTAATAATAATTAACAGCAAACAGATATAAATATTGGAAACATTAATCTTACAGGTAGCTTACCTTTCAAAGCTTAACTTTTTATACTTTCTCAATCGGTGAACACAAATTCTTAGGTGAAGTTAGCCGTATAATCACAGTGTATAATGTCGTGTGCTAAATCAGTGCCGTTCACAAGACCCTTTAGGGAGCTTTTGCAAAGCAAGGTGATCCTCATATGCATGTGTGTCCACATATATTTATTACCCAATCTCACGTAGAGATTAGATATGTATTTGTTTGAAGTAGATTGAGAGAATCACATAATTGAGAAATTGTTAGTCTGTGTTAGAAAGACTTAAAAGAAAGGAGAATTTTGGGAAGCATAGGGGCTCTCCTATGTACAGCACTGTTGAGAACTGTAGCAATATAATAATCGATTTCAATCAAACTCCCGCCAAAATGACTAAAAGCACCTGCCATTGAAACCTCTAATAGTTGTTTTCATTTTCTTCTTTTTGTATATAAAATAAGAATCTTTATAACTTTTAATAGTTATTATTTGTAATACTTTCTGGCACTCTAATTCTGCGAGAAACATGAGTGATGCACAATGTAAGTGTTTAAAAACTGGTTGCATTAATACCGTTTTTTCATTAAACATTAACATTTAATAAAATATATTACAAATTTGTTTAGCACCCTCAGCAAGCAGAAGTAAACGTCAAAAGATTGATAAAACTGGAAGGCTATCAGCTTTAGAAAAATTAAGACAATTGAAAGGTAGTAAACATAAATATGAGGTTGATGAATTGGAAAATGTTTATGAAGAAGTTGATGAGAAAGAATATACTAAAACTGTAATAGAAAGACAACATGATGATTGGATTATTGATGATGGTAATAACTTTAATATGTTTATAATTGTATGACAAATAACAAGGTTAATGATTATTAAATTATTCTTTGTTTTAAAAGGAAACAGTGGTTATGTAGAGGATGGTAGAGAAATTTTTGATGATGATTTAGATGATGAAAGCATACAAGAAGCAAGAAAGCATAAGGTCACAGGACCTAAAAAAGCTAAAAAGGATAATGAGAAGAAAAGGAAAGGAAATATTCAAAGTATGATAATGAACATGTCTTCTAAAAAGAAACATGATGTTGGACTGGATCATGATAATATCTTAGGAGATTTAATGTCTGAATTGAAAAAGAATGATACTCCAAAGAAACCAGAATCAAGAACTGTCAAAAATAAATTCTGTGTTAACACTCAGTCAAATAAAACGTAATCAATTTTGTTTTATATATTTAATAGGAAGTTATATTTTAATATATATGATGTTAAAATGAATTGTGATTTTAGAAATACTTGTCCAGAACAAAAACTACAGTCAATTTTGGAATCTGATAAAATACAATATCATAATCAGACTGATGATGATTTAATAATGTTTGATAAACCAAGGAAGACAAATGTATTTAAACAAACAGAATCAATTTGTCAAATACAAAGTACTTCAAATCAATCTAGCAGTCAGATAATTACAGATGATGATGAAATTATTGATAATTTAAACACAACAGTATCAGATGTAAATTCAAAAGAGAATGCTAAAAATACAAGTAGTAGTCAAGTAATTGAAAGTGAAAGTGAAGATCTTAGTCAATTTATTAGTGATGTAAGTTCTCTTCATGTTCTATTATGGATTTTAAAATAAACAATTAATGTCATACTTGTTGCAGTTCAATACAGATTTTGAAAGTAAACATGTTGATCATGTTGAGAAGTCAGTACCATCTGTCATTCAAAAAAACGAAAAAAATAAAATGCTTAATCAACCAGAATGTAAGAAAGACATTGAAACAGAAATGTTTGATTCCGAAAGTTTTAGTAAGATGTTAGATAGTGACTTTGAAATACAAACTCCAAATATTGAAGTATCTACAAATACTACCGAAGTGCCTTTACCACTTGTAACTAATGCAAATAAAGAAGAAGTATTTAGATTCTATTGGTGGGATGCATATGAAGATCCATACAAACAGCCTGGAATTGTGTACTTGTTTGGAAAAGTTTTTGTACCATCTATAAAAGAATATCGTTCTTGCTGTATAACAGTAAAAAATATTCCGCGAAGAATTTATCTTCTTCCTAGAGCATATGTATGTATGAACATATTTTCTGTTACAATTTAAATTTAATAATAATGATACAAATTTCAGATAAAAACTTCTTCAGAGGAAAATAATGAAGAACAAGCAAATACGATAGAAAATGTATATAAAGAATTTAATCAATTTGCAAATAAAGTAGGAATAAAAGAATTTCGTTGCAGTAAAGTTCTAAAAAATTATGCTTTTGAGCAGGAAGGCACTCCAGCAAAGTCTGAGTACTTAGAAGTAAGATACTCTGCTCATTATCCAGTCATGCCTTCTGATTATTCTGGATTATCGATAGAACGTGTTTTTGGAACAACTGTAAATGCTTTAGAATTATTTTTGATAGAAAGAAATATAAAAGGTCCATGTTGGTTAGATATTAAGTGTCCATTGCCTACTGGTGTACAGACCAGCTGGTGCAACATAAAGGTATAATTTAATTTCTTTTTATACAAATTGGTGAAATATTATATATTGACGATGTATTGCGCAATATAATAGGTAAATTGTATGAAAATGGAAAACATATCTGTTTTCTCTGAGTGTCAAACATTACCACCGTTAATAATGATGACTTTGAATGTACGAACTTGTTTGAATGCTAAATCACAACAAAATGAGGTAGTTATGGTTGCTATACTCATACATTATAAATATCATATTGATAAAGAACCACCGAAACCACCGTTTCAACAACATATTTGCCGTACGTCAATTATTTTAATTTAACATTATAAATATGTGTCTTTCATGTGTAATAAATACATTGTTTCAAATAGTAATTACACATCCGCGCGACATTCCTTGGCCAAGACAAGCGCGAGAAATATTGTCAAATATTTCATATACTAAAGTAATGAAATTTGAAACAGAAACAGATTTACTTGAAGAATTATTAAAAATAATTAATACAACAGATTCGGACTGTTTAATTGGATATGATTGTGGCTTTCAATTTGATATATTAATGCATAGAATGATAACATTAAAAGTTTCAAATTGGAGTAGACTTGGAAGACTAAGACGTTCGGCACCTCCTTTTATCAAGGTATAATACTGAAACATCTTTACAATGAGTTGTATAGAAAAATAAATAAAAAACTATTTTCAGGGAAAGATAAACTTAAATCAAGTGATAGCTGGGCGTCCTACTTGTGACATACAAGTTTCAGCTAAAGAATTGAATCTCAAAGTTAGAAGTTATGATTTGCCATCTCTTTGTACTGCGGTATATATTTAACAATTTTTGAATGTTATATAAATCTTTACTAATATTTATTTGAATGAAATAATTATTTTCGTAGGTATTAAAAAAGAAAGAAAATGAATGTAAAGAAATAAAACCAGGCGAATGTGCATCATTTTACAATACAACAAATAAAATAGACAATTTAATTAAGATAACATTAACAGAAGCATTGTATATTTTGTCCATAGTTTTTGAACTCAATGTTCTTCCACTTGCATTGCAAATTACGTGTATTGCCGGTAGGTATAGTGCACCGATGACAAGATGTTCCATGAGACAAATGCAAATGCGTGCTTCTCATGGGACATCTTGTCATCGGTGCACAGTACATGTACATGTTTCAAACAGTGAAGTTATATATATACAGCAGATTTGTTATAAAAATAATATTTATTTAGGAAATATTATATCAAGAACGCTAACAGCAGGACGTGCCGAGAGGAATGAATATTTATTGTTACATGCTTTTCATTTAAAACAATACATAACACCTGATAAACGAATTACAAAAAAAGTAAAAGGTGATGAAGGTATGTATTCAATTTTTAAACATTTGTTTATGATATAGTTATAAGTAATTAATACTATTTATCCAGAACATACGGGTAGAAAGAAAGCCGCTTATGCTGGTGGCTTAGTTCTTGAACCAAAAAAAGGATTTTATGATAAACTTATTTTATTAATGGATTTTAACTCTTTGTATCCCAGTATAATTCAGGAATATAATTTATGTTTTACTACTGTACCTGGAGCTGCATATGCTGATAGTGCGGTAAATTTATTTATTTATTACTGATCGGATACGTAATATGCTTTCATTTATAATCATATATATACAGGACTTATCTATACCTGAGTCAGGTTTGGAACCAGGAATAATTCCAACCGAAATTCGTAAATTAGTTGAAAGTAGAGGAGAGGTGAAGAAATTAATGAAAACGCCAAATATTTCACCCGAATTAAAAATGCAATATAATATTAGACAACTGGCTTTGAAACTTACAGCTAATTCTATGTACGGTTGCTTGGGTGCAACTCATTGTAGATTTTATGCCAAAGGACTTGCTGCTTTAGTAACAGGTAGAACATAAAATAAAATTTTATACTTATTTTATACTTATCTTTTAAATATTATTCTAGCAAAAGGACGAGAAATTCTACAACATACAAAAAGTCTAGTTGAAAAATTGAATTATGAAGTCATATATGGAGATACCGATTCCATAATGATAAACACAAATATATTAGATTATGAAGAAGTTGTTGTTGTTGGAAGAAAGGTACTATATTGTTAACATAAATATTTAATTCGCTTAATATTAATCAAACTTATATTTAGATTAAGCAAGAGGTCAACAAGTTGTATAAACGGGTAGAATTAGATATTGATGGCGTTTTTCGATATTTATTACTTCTACAAAAGAAAAAATATGCTGCTGTTACAATGACAAAATTGCCTAATGGGCAAATAGAATTATCCCAAGAACATAAAGGTTTAGATATTGTACGAAGAGATTGGTGTCAGTTAGCTTGTGATGTTGGGAGGTAAGTAAAACCTTTTAATAATTTAATAAAATAAAAAATTAAATAACTATATTTAATGATTGTTAGAAAAATTTTGGATCAACTTCTTTCTGATCAATCAAATGAAAATCGATTGGAACAAATTTTCCACTTGTTACAAAATGTTGCCAAAAATGTTCGAGAAAATCAAGTTTCATTATCATCGTTAGTTATAACAAAACAATTATCAAAAAATCCACATGAATATCCAGATGCTAAACAAGCTCACGTACAAGTTGCTTTAAGATTAAACAAAGAAGGAGGTAGGATGTGGAAAGTTGGCGATACTGTTCCATATATTATATGTGACGTATGTGTTTATTAACGTTATTAACGTTTAAATTTATTAGTATCTATATTAAACATATAAGCATTTTACTAGGATGGAACAGATAAGTCTGCAACTGAAAGAGCATATCATATTGATGAATATAAGAAGAGTGATACTTTAAAAATAGATGTCAATTATTATTTGCTAAGTCAAGTTTTTCCTATTGCTCTGCGAATTTGTGAACCAATCGAAGGAATTGATGATGTTTTGCTAGCTGAAAATTTGGGTAAATTTTCATCATCTTATATAAATTATTACACATATACTATAAATAAAAACTTTCACACCAGGTTTGGAAAAAATTTATAAATCTAAAAGAATAATACACGAAGAAGAAAACAATGATATACCGTTATTGGTAAATGATGACAGATTTAAGTATTGTCTTCCTCTGAAATTCAATTGTACAAATGAAAAATGTCAATCAGAAATTATAATTAAGGATATTCTAACTGAAACAGTGAGAAATTATCAATTTTTATTCATATATTTTGTATTTTATAAATAAATATTTTACACAGTTTTTAATTATAGACATTTTACAGCCTACTGGTAATCAGTTATCACTTGCTTCCTGTTCAAACCCGGACTGTAGAGTACAACCATGGACATATGTTAATGCTATACAAAATGCGATGACACTCGCTGTACGAGAAGCAATTTCTGAATATTATGTGGGCTTGTTAGAGTGTGAAAATCCATTGTGTGGTGAACAGACACAAATACTCCCGTTAGGTTTTTGTAAAAAATATCCGACTTGTAGAAAATGTGCAGATGCTGATTTACATAGGGTGGTAAGATAAAAAGTTAATTATTGCTCTTAAGTTCTTCAAATATATCAGAAAATAAAATATTACTTCCTAAAGTTTTCAGAAACAAAACTTTATAATCAAATGTGCTTTTATCTTCATCTTTTTGATGTAAGTCAGCCAAAGTACAAAAGTGAGTATTTGTAGTTTCTTGATAAAGAACAAACGCATAACAAAAAATAATAAATACATACGTTTGTAGATTTATTGTCTCAGCGTCCACAGGGTATGAGAGAAGCATATGATTCTTTGAAGGAAGCAATGGAAAAAATACTTAGGCGAAATGGATTTTCTGTTGTATGTTTGGATACAATATTTTCATGTACTAATTCACAACAAAAAACACCAAGTTTACATAGAAGTACTTTAGATATATCAGATGGATCAGATGATGAAATGGTAAGTAAACAATAAATAATAAATTTTCAGTATAAATAAAAAAATTAATTATAAAATTAATTTCTTTTATTTCAGTGAAAATAATCTGTTATATGATCCAACCTATATTTATTATAAAAACAAAGGCTTCTTCTTTTAAACATCTTATAATTAACTTTGCATTGTTATATTTGAATGTTACTTTTTTAAATACTTATAACTGAAATATAAATATCTTTTTACATATTTTTAATATTATAAGGAATAAATCAAGTTTTAAAAGTTCGCTGTATATTTATACTTTCTAACAAGTTTTAATAATGATATCAGGTATACTTTATTTGCGTGTATTTAGACGTAAAAAGAAAAGTACTTCAGAATTATCTAGTTTTGTATATTTATCTTAAAATAAATAATATATCAAGATAAATTTACAACGTTATTTAATATTTTTAACGAATTTTTATATCAATAAATACATCAATATTTTGATATTGATTTTGCTCTTATAATATCAAGATATTCTGTTAGCTAACCAGAAACATATTTCAAGTTTATTATTTACTATATGGTGGTAAACCAAACACTTCAGGTTGAAATTCTTCAAGACTATTTATTATTAATGTTGGATTTTCAATATAATGTTTTGGTAACCTTGGATCTGGAACCATGATAACTTGCATTCCAGCACTAAGTGCAGCCTTTACACCATTTGGAGCATCTTCAAATACAAGGCACTGAAAGAATAATTGTTGGTTTAATGATAATAGTAAAATAAAATCTATAAAGGTATAAACATGAATTATATCAAACCATTGAAGGATCAGGATTATCAGGAAAACGTTTGGCAGCAACCAAAAAGATATCTGGTGCTGGTTTACCCTGAACAACATCAGGATCAGAACCTCCAAGAACTTTATGATCAAACAAATCAAACAACTCTGTCCATCTTTGAGTTTTTAATTTAAAGTTCTCTTTGTTTGAACTGGTAGCTAATGCAATTGGAACATTATTTTCTTTTAAATGTCTTAACAATCGTTCAGCACCTATATTCAGGTAAATTTTAACATAATAATTTATTGCAATTCTATTAATGTAACTTATTTTTATAACTTACCAGGCATAAGATTAGCAGAGGGAAACAATTCATGATATATTTGTACTATCTCAGTTTCAAACTCTTCTACTGTCATAGGTAAATCTAACATTTCAATTGTAACTTGGGCAATAGCTTTAGTTTTAAAGCCCATAATTTTTGCTTTGTGCTCCCATGTAAATTCTTTTCCATAGCGATTTACAATACGATTAAAGGCTTCAGAGTAAAGTGTTTCTGTATCTATTGACATTTTAATAAGAGATTACATCATTAATACATGTACTATATACAAATCATTTAATTCGCTTATAATTTATAATTTATATATTAATTTGTAGAAACTGTGTTGAAGGTAGTTTTAAAATTTGATTTTTCTTTAACAAAAATTATATGCATATCTTTTTATATACAAGGGTGTATGTACAAATTCTAACACAGCTTCTCAAAGTTAGGAGTAAAGCACGTACAAACTCACGCATGATGAGTGCTTTTTTAACCCTTTCATTGACAGTAGAATCCGCTCATACAGATGCATGGTGCATTTTAATTTATATTCCTCATATTTCTTAATAATTGCCATTGACATTTTATTCATTACTACACGTGCATAGACAAAACAAAATTACTATATTCGCATAAATATAACATTCATATACAGGTTAATTTCTGATATACAAATTATTATATGATCAATTTTGCAATACACATGTTCAAAACATTTTTTCTGATATGATCTGTACATTATTTGTGTTAAACAGAAATTATCTTTAACGAATAATTGAATTATTATAACAAAGTTCACGTAACTTCATAAAGTACAAACCGCTTACCAAGTAACAATCCGTCCATATCAAAAATACAATGTGTAACATTTTTATACTGATTTCCCGACATTTTTCAATTGATTTTATATAATTATTAGAACTTTATATTGTTGAACAATTTTACTGTTAAACCAATGAAACTTATACAATTTATGTGATAATTATTAACGCTACTCGCGCCGTGCCGAATTTGGAGTGAATTATGTAATACATATAGTATATGATATAATTCCAACAATTTGATTGGTTTCACAATTATTTTATATCATTTTCTTTGTTTGCATAATAGAATATATGTATTACATTCTCCTATAATCAGGATTATATTTACACATGTTACATATAATATACATATAATAAAATCTTTATTTACAACTAAACAACGATAACAATATTAATACAAATATTTCTCAACCATATCATTACTAACTATATTATATTTATTTATAAATAATGTATTTTTTATTATCGTACATTTTTCATAATATCTTAGACAATATAATTACTCTATAACTGTTAGGAATATGAAAATCGATGAAAATGGTTTATACTCTGATGATTCTTGCTAAAACTTTCAAGTTCTGCTTAGAATGACGATTTTTGGTAATGTTGTTTCCTTGTCGATCAACGGATGACTGTTGATTACAGAGAACCAATCAGAACGATCCACGAAAAGTTATCTGGTTATAAAGAGTGAAGTAGAGAATAGAGCGATTGAACTTTATAAGAGGAGGTTGTATACGTTTTAATCAAATATCTGACAGATTTATCCAGTGAATAGTTTTACAGAAGAAACTGTAAATATATGATTACTTTACTAAGAAACATGCAAGCATTTTTAGGTACGTTTTCTAACTCAATATACATACTCGTATATACTATTATCTTTTATAACTGTATCGTTAGGTTTTAACCGGTAGATGTTTATTTATCCACGTCAAATATTTATTTTTATTCGACTTTATGCAATATTTCAATACTTTTCCTTACGCTATTTCCGTTCAAATTAATCATTTTTATGCTTCTGTTACTTATAGGTATCCTAATATTAATTACTGGAGCTCATTCTCTGTACTCCTCCAATTCCCATGTTATAGATCTAAAACCAAACAATTTTGATAATTTGGTATTAAACAGTGATAATGTATGGATAGTGGAATTTTATGCCCCATGGTGTGGACATTGTCAACAGTTAACACCTGAATATGATAAAGCTGCCACTGCTTTAAAAGTAAGTTTTATTCTTGCAATTTATGTTTGTTTTATTGATTCTTTATTGATATGATGTCTTGAAAATGTGTATGATGAATAGGGTATTGTAAAAGTTGGTGCAGTAAATGCGGATGAGCATAAATCTCTTGGGTCAAAATATGGAATTCAAGGTTTTCCAACAATTAAGATTTTCAGTGTTGATAGTAAACCAGAAGACTATAATGGGCCAAGAACTGCAGCTGGAATTGTTGATGCTGCTTTGAATGCAGTTAGTCAGAAAGCACGTAGAGCTTTAGGTGGGAAAAGAAATGGTGGAGATTCTAAGGTAAATCTAGGTAATATATAATGAAAATGGAAAAAACAGTTAATAAATATTAACAGGTCTTCTATTTTTCTTATAGTCTAAAGATTCCAAAGATGTAATCGAATTAACAGATGATAATTTTGATAAAATGGTGATGAATTCAGAAGACATGTGGTTAGTTGAGTTTTATGCACCATGGTGTGGTCACTGCAAACATTTAGCTCCCACCTGGGCATCTGCAGCTACAGAGCTGAAAGGAAAAGTGAAATTGGGTGCTATTGATGCTACTGTAAACAGAGTTAAAGTTAGTAATTTATCTTAAGATTAATCTTACTTAAAATTATATGTTATTCTACATATGAAATATTAATATTACAGGCTAGTCAATATGAAATAAAAGGATATCCTACTATCAAATACTTTGCACCTGGTAAAAAGTCGTTTGATTCTGTACAAGAATATGATGGTGGCCGTACAGGTAGCGACATTGTAAATTGGGCACTAGAGAAATTGGCCGAAAATGTCCCAGCGCCAGAAGTAGTTCAAATTGTAAATGAAAAAAGTTTAAGAGACGCATGCGAAGACAAACCATTGTGTGTTGTTTCAGTTTTACCACATATCTTAGATTGTCAGTCAGAATGTAGAAATCAATATTTAAAGATTTTGAATAATCTTGGAGAAAAATATAAACAAAAGATGTGGGGGTATGGATAAAACCTTTCAATATTTACTAAATGGAGAAATTTATATCTCATAAAAATATATTTTTCTTAATAGGTGGGTTTGGGCTGAAGCCGGTGCTCAGCCTTATATTGAAGAAGCATTAGAAATTGGAGGTTTTGGTTATCCAGCATTAGCTGCTGTAAATATAAAGAAAATGAAATATTCATTACTGAAAGGTAGTTTTTCGTATGATGGTATAAATGAATTCTTGCGAGATCTAAGTTATGGACGAGGTGGTACAGCTCCTTTAAAAGGAGCTCAGTTACCTAAAATTCTGGAAACAACACCGTGGGATGGTAAAGATGCTGAACCTCCCCAAGAAGAAGACATTGATCTCAGTGATGTAGATCTTGACGAGAAGGACGAACTGTAATTACAAAATCCGGTTTTTCTCAGAAACGTGTGCACCATCATATAAATGTGTTAGTAAAAATAATTCGATACTTATTTTTATATAACATCATTATTCTGAGTTAATACAACTGCATATTAATGTACAATAATGTAGCATCATTTCTATGATATCAGGAATATTCTTTCCATCTAAAACATTATATTATCATCCTGTTAGTCACGTATCAGTCCTCAGGAACCTTACATGTATTACATTAAGCGCTTAGATCAACTCTTCCACCGAAGCTAATTTGAAAAAACTTTAGTCTGTTCATTCCGGTAAAACTGAATATAACCTGTTTTAAAATGAAATTAAACTGATACTTCGTTTTTATTGTGTAGGAAACATGCATTATTAGGAATGCGTCCGAATATTTTTAAGCAATTATTTGTACATTTTTTAAATGGTAGATTATACGAAGTTGTAAGACTTCATATTAAAAGAAAAACATGTATTTGTCCTCTAATTGTATTTAAACTAAAACTTTTTTATGAAAATGTTGTAAACGTAAAATAACAATACATAAAATATTAATGTGCATTCCATAAGATACTTTAGTTCTCCCTACAATGGGACCAAAGTAATTACTCTCATTATATACACAGTACTAATTTTTAGGTTTATTGAGATCTCATTATTTGACTGAGTTATGTCACGTCTTCCATCGTGATTATAGCAACAAACTTTATACCGTTACTTAAATTTATAACATAAAATGTGTTTATACTTTTCGAGAATTTAATCATTTTCTAATTGTAATCCTAGTTTAAGTTTTTATTAAATAAATTTCACTATAAACTTGTAATACATTTTATTGCTCTTTTGTGTAATTTAGTTTTTTATATGTTGATTCTAGTTTTTAGAAATCAGTTAAAATCTGCACAAGACCAAAAAATTATTAAAATAATTGTTTGATGAACTTATATTTTAAAAAGACCGCCATAAATTAAATTTTTTAAATTCGATCCCACCGCCATCTATACAAAAACGTCGGAAACTACTCGACAGTTTACCGATCCAGTTCCCGCAACAAAGGAACGCTAGCGCCACCTATTAAAAAACAGTGGAAACTAGTCGACAAATAGTTTCCGATGTTTTTTAATAGGTGGCGCTAGCGTTCGTTTGTTGCAGGAACTGGATCGGTAAACTGTAGAGTAGTTTCCGACGTTTTTGTATAGATGGCGGTGGGATCGAATTTAAAAATTTTAATTTATGGCGGTCTTTTTAAAATATAAGTTTGTCAAATAATTATGTTAAGGGTGTTAAAATTGTTAAAGGGAACCAAAATTGTGTATTTTCAGTTGTAAATGCAAGGCACGATAGAAGAAGAACTGGTAAAACTGGCACGACCGTCACAGTACATGTAGACTTAAGCTTGCCTAAGGGTTCCTAGGAACCCCATAATCAGTCTTTGTATCTGCGGTTACTGCTCGATAGGATCTGTAGTCACTGCAAAATGCTATTTTCAAAAGGTTAAGATCTTTAAATAATGATTAAATTTTGTATTCACTTGCATTGTAAGTTTGTAATGTCATATCAAGCGTTCTGATTTACTGCTACTAAGTTTTGTAATAAAAATGGGCACAAAAACATTAAATGACATTCACAATGATATCAAGCAATTAATAACAACAATAACTTCTTTTGAGGTAAAGTTTATTTTAAATAATCTATTTTAAATTAAGATTATGAACACGATTTTACGAATAATCATAAAAAATAATATATTTTTATTAATCCTGTTATATTTTTAGGAAAATGAAGAAGGATTTAAAATTTGTGAAAGGTTTTGTATGGTAAATATTAAACATCATCGATACCTATCTGTTAATAGCACTACTACAAAAGAAGCAATTAAAGCTCTGATCACAAAGTTTTCAATTCATGGAAAATATGATGTAGCAAAAAAATTCAAGGAACTTGTTGATATATTTTTATCTAGTTTTGATTTTGAACAACATCCACAATATGATTTGCAATGGTGTTTATTAACTCTACTATTGGAATTAGCTAAAGAAACTCATAAATCAGATTTAGAATGTTTAACATTAATACGTGGAGAATTTACTTTCAATGTAACAAGTGAAAATGAAAAGGAAGTTCCAGATGAGATTGATTGGGCTGAATATTTAAAAGAAGGTCATGAAAATTTTTTTGATGACTATAAAAGTGATACAGAAAGTGTAAATATTTTTCATTGGATACACTGAAAATATACTATGCGATATACCATGTTTGTATAAAATGTTTTTAACAGGAATGGTCAGAAGATGAAGAAGATACTGACAATTTGAGTACAAATTTTGAAGGATCTACAGGTGTTACAAATACAGATAAAACAATATGCATACCAAATACTGAGAAAGAAATAAATAAATTATCATTAGCATTAAACGAGGAGCTTAAATCTAAAAACTGGTTACTATCAAATGTTCAAAATACATGGTGGAATGAATTACAGTGGAGGAAATATCCAGTTAAAAGTAGAGTCTGTGATGCTCATCTTTGTGAAATTTGGTACTTATTTTATTTAATTTTGCTTTAACAATGTATTCAAATATTTTTCATTTACAATTAGTAATGTTAAATAGGCATAAAGCAATAGAAGGAGATTTTTACTCAATTGGAACACTTAGTGAATATTCAGTGTGTAGAGAATTGTTGTGGATGTTTCATGCTCCAATGCATATGGTAGTGTTTCAAAAAAGTGGAGAAGCAAAATTTTCCATCCATTCCAATATATCTATACCCAGTTTAACAACTGTAAGTATATAAAAGTAATTTATCAAAATCTGTTTAATAAAAATATAAATTCTGATTACTCAAAAATGTTAGTCCTAACAAATTTTAGGTTGCTTTTAACAGTATTCTCTTACCATTTTGTGAACATTTTTCAATAATATATGATATAGAAAAATTTGGAACCGATTTATATGTAGAACAGGATGGTTTAAATAAAAAACCACCTTTGACTTATGAAACATACAATTCAATTCTTAAACAACACATAATGAAATTTAAATCTGAAATAATTGATATAGAAAAAGAACTTATGAAACAAGGTATAGTCAAAACTTTTATAAATATAAAAAGTTTCTAAAATTTGTGATGCTAATTACACTGATTTTTAGATAAAACCTATACACTTTTATCTTTATCATCAGTCTTGAAAAAAAATTTATACAATTTAAAAATTTTACATCAAGTTCACAAAAAGGCTGTATGTAATTGGAGGATTTATCCGAATTGGAAATGCGCATCAAAATTATTGTCGTCTTTGTATTTCGAAATACAGAAATCACATAATCAAGAAAGAACAAATATTTGTATCAGTTTATATTTATCTAGTCTTACTGTATATTTAAATATAATTGACACGTGGTTAAGCGAAGGACGATTTGAAGATTGGAGGGAGGAATTTATAATTGTCAGGTAAGAATGTTAAATATAAAAAGAAATTAAGAATAATAAATCGTAATTGTTTTTTCATTTTAGAGTATTGAATGATATAGCGTTAGAAAACACTGAGCAATATGAAACATTTTCTTTGAGACCTTTGGATGGCATATGTTTATCAGATCCTATAATGCGATTTTTAATAAGAAAAGTACAACATATTGGTCAAAGTATTGAGTTATTAGTATCTCTAGATCGTATTTCAGATATATGGAAAATTAATATTGGAAATGATGGTATAGAATACTTTTTATTTTACTGTTCATATAATAATAATTACTACAATACTTAATATTTTTGATAGGAACAAAACCATCCCTAGTTGAAGAATTTTATACTAAATTAGATGTGGAAATTTCTAAGTATAGTAAATGTAAACCACATAAAGAAATACCTTCAATTAATGAAGATGAAGTGAAAGAAGATAAGCATAATGAAGACATAGATAAAAATATCATACAACAATTAACTGAATTTAACAATCCATTTTTATTAAAAGCTTTAGAAGATTATCTACCTTCTGAATTATTAAACAAAAGTAGCACTGATACTTTTATAGCTAAATGTCAAAGTAACAAAGTAAAGAGTAACAATATATTTAAAAGGTATTTTTGTAAGTTTAAGAAGCATTTTACTGGAGATGTTTTATTTTAAATATAAAATATAATCTTTTAGACTTGAAGAAGTATCAGATTATATATTGCCATTCCGAAAAATATTAGAAAATATTTTAGCAGAGATTTTAGTTTCACGTTATAATGGTGCCAGTAGATTAGTGAAACAGATGATGTCAGAAGAATATAAATTGGAATCACATTTAACATTAATGAGATCTGTTTATATGATGGAAGCTGGTCATATCATGAACAAATTTTATCAAAAATTATTTCACGAGGTACAAATAATACATCTGTTTTTTATTCAACTTTTATTATGTATGTTTCATATTAAATTTTATTTAGATTGAAACCAACCAAATGTGGAATAACTCGTATTTTCTATCGTGTATACTTGAAGAAATCCTTTCTCAATGGTGGCCGAATTCAAGTTCGCGTTGGTCTATTACAGTTTCTAATACACCTACAAATCAAGTATTAACGGCTGTAGATAACATAACATTACATTATACTATAGGCTGGCCTATGAATATTATTTTAAATGAAAAAACTTTTATTAAGTATAATGAGATATTTAGGTTTCAGTTAAAATTAAAGTGGGCTTTATGGACGTTAAATAATTTAAGATTTAGCGGTAAGATTTGATAGGAAACATTTATTTCATGCTTTGCAAATAGCATAGTGAATTTTGATATGTTTTTAGATTTAGAAGGATCAAAATCAATGTATAAAAAGAATAAATTAGAACAATTTCATATAAGACGAATTGAAAGTTTGCGATTTTGTTTATTACATGCAATTAGCTCAATACATACGTATTTATCAGGTCAAGTGCTACAAAATTTAAGTATCATATTAGAGAAATCTTTAATGCAAACTGATAGCCTTGATGCAATTGTATCAGGTAAATTAATCTACAAGTTCTTAAATTTATTGATATTTAAATACATATTTCAAGGATATATTCTAATTGCAGTTCATAATGAATATTTGAAAAAAGTTCATGAACATTGTTTGCTAACAACGGAATATGAAGATTTGATGGCTACTATAAATAATGTATGTACATACCGTTTTGTCATTTGAAATTGTATGTAATTCATTCTTATTAATTTGTATGTTTATTTCAGTTAATTGAAATGTGTAGTCATGTTCGATCTCGATGGAATTATAAAAAGTTAATGTTTATCAGTGAAGAATTAGATGTATTGGAAAGTAGCTATAATAAATATCACACGTATCTTGCTTTAGCTCTACACAATGCGATACAGAATAAAGATGCGAGTTACTGTAAGTATAAAGCTATTTTAATAGTTTCATACAATACATAAATCGTGAAATTAGATATTTGGTAATTACAAAAATGTATGTTAATTGAAATCATTACATTTTTTAAATTACTTTATTTTCAGTGACTGGTTTAAGCTCGGCATTTAACTGCAATATGTCACGTGTTTAACGCTAATACGCTTACATATTAAGTTTTCATAATTCTTTAGCATTGTGTCTATAAAGAAAAAGTAATGCCGTAGTAAACATATATTACCATTAGAAATTTTTTAATTATTTTTTATATTAATTAATAATATGTATTTATTGTTATCTTTACTAATGTTATAGAATGTGTTCATTCCTTGTATATTTCTACAAATTTTGATATTTATAATTTATATAGTATAATCAGTATGATTATAAATATCGTATTAAATAATTTACAAATCTTTTGTAAAGTAAAAATAAATTTTATTTAAATTTTTTTTTAAACTCATTACCTCTCTTCCAGAATCCAACCCAATTCCTGTAAATTCGTTTTCAGATGATTTAATGCTACAGTATCACATTAGCACAAAAGATGAATCGATAGAAAATGATAATCTTGTTTATCCATTTAATAATTTTAATCAGAGTTTATTAATTGAAATAGCCTATCAACATTTACCACCATCAGGGCTATCTATTCCAATTCCAAGAATAATTCATAAAACAAACTGGAATAGAAACAGGTAAAGATAAGAACAAAGAACTAACAGTAAAATATATAAATATTTAAAGGTTTAAAATTTAAATGTTTCAGCTTCAATTCTGAACATTCCTTACCTAATGATATTAGTCTAAATGAATATGAACAAACGTTTTCGTACATACGGTGGTATCAATTAGAAGAAAGTATGGTTACATTTGATCTGTTGTCCACGCAAACTTTATATGAAGAAATGAAGGATCTTATTGATGATGATAATTCAGAAACTACGTGATAATAAATTGAAACAATTAATTTAGTAAATAATAATTTATTTTAATAGATATTAATGGCGTATATATATACATTTACGTGATTTGTTTAATGCAATTTCATTAAAAAAGTTGATAAGAAATAATAAAGTAATTACATCTTTTATTAAGTAAATACCTATGAAATTAAGGTATAGATAACAAGATCGTGACTTATTCGCAGCATGTAAAATAAAATGGAAAATTGATATGAACAATCTTCGTTTTTGTTTAAAAATTTAGATAAAATATTTTGTATACAAAAATTAACTCTGTGCAATTACAACAGTACCATTTTGTCCCATTGTTCCACTTTGTGATACTGTAGGTGCATTTGAGGTCTCATTAATAGGTGGTGTTGAATGATTATTTACATTTGTGGCTGTTATAGTTTTATTACGCAATTCAAAGACTTGCTGTATAGCTTTTCGAAAACAGAGAAAGTTATAATCAATTACACCTACAAATTTAAAGAAAAATTATTAAAAATTTTTAATAATTCATATTTTTACGTTATTCAGGAATAATGTATTATTATAATTACATTACCTTGCCTATCGAAATTATCTTCGCGTAAAATACAAACTAGGGCCAAGAATTTATTAACTTCTCTTAGATACAAAATTGTTCCATTGTTTAGTTTAATTAGGCTAGAACTCTGATTATCAAATGCTGCAGCCTCTAAATCTTCTCTTAAACTAAAATTAATATAAAGTCAATCACATGATATATATATGTATAGATATAATGGTTTCATATAAAAATTATTAAGGCATACCCATATATACAAGATACATCAATAACAACATCAATCATATCACAGCAAAGCTCATAACTTTGCATGTCTACAGGAGAGCTATCAGTAGCAATATAAATTTTAGATACTACATCAAATAAAAATGCCTTTTCAATTGCAGAATTCTGTAAAAAAATGGTTTATGATTTTGTCAAGAAATAGAATAAAAGGAGTTATAATTATTTTTCTTACTGATATGAGTATGTTAAGTAAATTTTCTAGAGTTGGTAACTGTGGTATCAGCTTTTGAACAACTTTACTAAATGCTTCAAATATACTATGATCATATATAGATGTCAAATGAAAGCTCAAATGTATCTGATCGCATCCTGAAATATATGAAAATTTTCATATGTTGTTAATGAAATAAAAATGATTTTTTAGCTGCTTTTGTTTACCAGAATCTGCAAGGTCATCATTTGCTCTAGTATGTATGTCTCTTTGTGTTTCCATTTTGCAATCATCAGACAAACCATCAACTTTGTGTATGAACACCTCAAATTTTATTGCCTGATTAACTTTGTATGCTTTTGTGACTGTTAAATGAAGTTTATTAAGTGCTTCCATGTAATCATCTTGAGCATCAATTACAAAAACCAATGCTCCACAACCACCAAATATCATATCACTGTCAAAAGTAGGATCAAAGAAGTCAATTTGTCCTGGAAAGTCCCAAATTTGAAACTGAACAAAACTAGAGTTACTTATATCATCCTTAATAATCTTATTTGTGCTTTCCAAGAATAATGTTTCATTTGGTGACATTTTATGAAAGACTACTTTTTGTATTGATGATTTTCCACTTCTAAAATAATCATTCATTTCATTTAATCAATAATTGATGAAATAATATTGCAATTTTTAAATATGGTTAAAATCTAGATACCTTCTAAGTCCCATTAAAAGTATTCTAGGTTTTTGTTCCCCTGCCAAGGGATCCATTGATTCTTCTGTTTCTCCATCGAATGGAGCATATCCAAAATCTTTAGGGAAAGAACCTACATCATAACCTGCTTGATATTGATCATCATCATCCTATAATAATAATATTATTTTAAAAATTATAACAAGTATTGAGTAATTATAATACTTTTAATATAGATTGTTTGCACACTATAAGAACTACTAAACATTGAACAAATAACTTGAAAGTTATTTAAATGGTACTCAGATAACAAAGAAAAATAGTGTTAAGTAAAAATAATTTTATCAATAAATGAAATGAACTACTTACCATATTCTTACTTTATGTATTTTAAATTATCTTTGTATCAAGGCAGACTACTATTTCCAGAAATTCTCACAATACTACAAATATATTGTGTGTTAATAACAATTAAAAATCAGTACAAATTAGACATATATTTGCAAGTGCGTGGAACCATACTAAATTATATACAGTAATTATTTGATACAATATCAATACACATATCAGTATGACACATCCATACACAAAAATAAATATTCATTTTCAATCATTTAACTAATTGTAAATGAAGTTTGTCATTCATTAGAATAACATTGATCATACTTTGTATTAATTGATTACAATGATCATCTTCATAGTAAGTACATGATTAAAGGAGTACAAATTACAAAATATAAGAATGTATTATAATAACTTTATTATTATACGTGATTACAGTACTGAATAAACGGTGTAATGAAAATAGACACGAATACAAATTACCAATCGTGCAACTACATATTTCTCTAACTATATCACCATTTTTCTAACAGTACTTGTAACTTACTTCACGTATCTCATGTGTTTCTGTTTGCGCGAAAAACGTGTAAAACGGAATGAAATAAACGTGAAGAGCAACGAAATTTTACGAAGACACAATTGCATAAAATATTATAGTAAAACATGAAAGTGATTGTCGCAACTGTGTAGTTATATTTTATAAGCTAAAAAGCTAGGAAATGGCAGAAATTTCGAATTCCACTGTGTTTACAAACGATGCATCCTCTACTGGTGCTTCCGATCTTCTTCAACAAGCGTTCCAACAAGTTGTTGATGATGATGATCAGAACAATGAATTCGTCGCATTTTTACAAAATGACGACAATGATTCTCAAACCATTCACTTGACTCCGGAACAGGCAGCGGCCTTAGGGTTAACTTTCGAGGTAAATTCGGGTGAGGAGGTTATGTATCAACAGGATCAAGATAATACCATTTCAACTCTACAACAGAATGTTTCAACAAAGAATAACATTAATATACAGGACCAAAATTCATTATCTTCTCAAGATTCTATGACAATTGATCAGTTAAATTATCAACCAGAAGAAGTACACAAGTCTAATGTTAATGAATTGATTAAAACAGAATGTATTGATTTCCAAGAATGGCATATGCAAAAAGTGTCCGATAATGAACATCTTCAAGTTCAAAAATTTGATAATGATTTATCATTAGAAGAAGTAAGCTTACATGATCAAAATCATGAAACTCAATTGATTGAACATCAAAATAATATGATTCAACAGAATTCAGGTACACAGACAATAGTTTTAGAACAATCTAAGGTACATGCAGTAAAGACAGATGTTGCACATATTAAAAATATTCATGAGAATGATTTACAATATACTATTGAAGATAGCATAGCACAAAATCAACTTAATACAATACCTAATTCTCAGGCACAAATCTTACAGAAACTGCCTGTGATTTTACCATCTTCACAATTTATTATAAAACCTGCACAAACTATACTCAAGCCAGCTAAAAATATTAGATTATTTCAAGGTTCAAACAAACTTACTAATGCCACTGTTAATCCTATTAGTACTGTACATTCGCTTAATGCCAATTCTAATCCTAATTCTGTATTACTTTCAAAGGCAACTATATTAAATAACTTGTCCCCACAAATAATAAAAGCCACTCCCATAACAGCTCAGTTATTAAATACCAGTGGTATATCTGCACAGCTTTTGAACACTTCTCAGATAATAACGGGTACTTGTGAAATACAGAATCAGTCTGTCAGTACACCGCATATTACTAATACTATAGTAAATTCAATGTCTGGAACAACACAGAATCTTGTTACTTCGCAAATACGTTTATCGCCGATTGTAAAAACATCTCAACCTCTTCAGAGAGGAAATGTTCAACAATTTTTAACTCCGGTGCTAAAAGGTACATCAAATGTGCTTCCAAAGACTAACCAAATTATAAACAATACAAGTGTAGCAACAGCTATTCCTGCACAATTTTTGAAGTCAGTACAAATTCATCCCCAATTAATTAAAACAAAAGCCACGATTAGTAAGAAAACTGCTATAGCAACTGGAATGCCAAAAGCTACAGTTAATTCAAGCGCACCGGTTGTGCTTCGTGCTGCATCAATCGTTAAAAGTCAAGATTTGAAAACCGCAACGACAAGTTCTACATCTATTTTAAAACCAACTCAAATTTCTTCAACACCAATATCTATCTTGAAACCTCAAGCAAAAATTGCATTTAATAATTCAACCAAGCAAAATGTAACTGTGACTACTCAAAATGATACTAACATTTCAAACAACTCTGTAAATGTTTCACCAAAATCATCTATTGTACAACAAGCTGGTGTACTCGAATCTGGTAAACCACTGCAGAATGAGGCTATTAAACATAAACTTAATCTCATAGTAAATGGCACAAATCTTAAAATGAATAAAAAAATTAAAACTACTCCAATTAAATCAACAGTACTAAGTGAATCTTCGGACGCATCAAAACCACTTGGCTCTAGTGAGAATCCAATACAAATAGTTCAACAAGGACAAACATTTCATAGGTATTTAAATAATTCATGTATAATACGTTTTTAGTTCTTTTTTAATGACACTGTTTATATTTATTTCAGTATGCAACGTTTGACACCAACACAGTTGAAACAAATAGCACATGTATTGCAACAACGCAGTCAAGAAGCAGCTGCTTCAAATGAAAGAGTTGTATATAGGTTAGTACATACATATATAATGTATTAACCTTTATAACTAAACAATTAATATGTCTTCAGAGTTGTATTTCCTGAAGAACTGGATTTGCGAATTAGAAATCCTAATAACTTATTAAAAAGCCGTGGTGGAAAAAGAGGCAGACCAAAAAAAAGTGCTGTTAGACCTTCTTCCTTGCTACCACCTAAGCCACCACCGATTCCTGATGAAGAACAAGAAGAAATAAAAGTATAAACGATTTACGCCTTTCATAAATAAAAATGATTCTGCGATTTTAATGTAATAATATTTTCTTTAGGATGAAAGAAAAAAGGTTGTAGCCAGAACACGATCTGGCAGACTTTCTCGGCCTCCAAGGCACATGGTACGAGATTACAAACATTTACATCATTTAGATTTCCTGCAACCTGATTTAGACGATTCAGACGGTGGTTACAGTGATTATAATACTAATAACGATAAACTTGAAGAAGAAGAGTCTCCTAAGGAATTATTAACAGGCTTAGAAGTACCAAAACGTAAAATATCAGATCATTTTAGATGTCCTACGTGTAATAAAATATATTTAGGACGCACTCGTATGGCGAGGCACTTTGAAATGCATCCTGATCATGGTAGTCCCGAACAACTACCTCCCCCAACGCCTGAACCTGAATTAAAACAAAGCGGAGGGCAAGATCCTTTGAAACGTAAGGGAAAGAAGCGGGGCCCTTGGGCATACGTTACACCGGAAGCTAAGTCAGAAAGACGTCAGATAAAGTTAAGAGAAGCTATTTCTGTATGCGAAGATCTTGAGATAATAAAGATAGCAGCAAAGCCAGTACTTAATGCACAATCACTGTTTGATCTGTTAGTACTGAAATCAGAAAATAACGTAAGAAATTTTTTGGATGAATTAAAACAATTAATGGATAAGATACGGGAAAAGGCTGGAACAATGTTAACAAGTACGAATAGCGACGAAGAATCAAATAAGGATTTGATTGACATCAGTGAAGAATCTCTTTGTGATGCTTTGGGTCTTAATCCTGGTTTATATAAAATTAATAACGAAGCTCTGAAGAAGGTTGAGACTCCTATTTGTAGTACATATGATAGCCGGGAACCTCCGCACAAGTTACAAAAAATAGACAATTCTGAGGATGGTAAAGAAAATTTGGAAGAACGAATGTCTAGTGGATTTTCTGAAAGTTCAGATCTCAGTGTCTCAGACTTTCTGACTGATAGAAGAAGCGAGGCTGTAACAAATCCTACTTGTCCAGAGGTACTCTCTGCTTTAACTTTGATGAGAAGAAATCCAAGTCCTGTAAATAGTACAGAGAATAATAAATCTAACAACATCTCGAAACTTTTAATCTCAAATCCAGAGATTCAGAATCAAATATCAGATAATCCCGGTTTTCAAAAGGTCGATATCAGTTCGTCAAAAATTTCGAACTATCAAAAATCAGAAATTCGTAAAGAAAGTTTTACGAAATTAGGGAACAGTTTAGGATCAACAGACTTCTGTAAAGTTGATGGTAATTATGAACAATCTAAGTTAGAGCATATAGAGCAAACTTTCATTAAATTAGAACCGCCAGAACAGGGTTTTGTTAAGTTAGAAAATGGTGCTATGGAAACTTATCCAAAACAAGAAACTGCACATTTTGAGAACAGTATAGAAAATAGCACTCAGAACTTGGCTAAAGGGTTTCAAAAGTTAGTCTCGAAAATAATTCCTATGACTTCGTCGGATATGAATTGCATTAAAACTGTATCATCTGATACAAGTTCTAAAGTAATGCCTGCTACATCTAGTTGCAAAATTTCAGACAACCTAACTATGCTTCAAGATACGGTACCAATAATTTCCAATAATTGTGATACTAATATATTTGGTAGTTCAGAAAATTTGGATATGTCAAAAATAACTCAGTACGACCATATTGCACACTTAGATATTTTAAGTACAAGTGGAGTGATAGACAAAAATCTATTAATCGATGAAAAATTAGTTGAACAACTGCATCTAGTAGATCAATCAAATTTAGTCGATGAATTAGTATCGGAACGACTAAAAAATATTATGCCAGATAATATATTAGAAAATAATTTGATACCAAATAATTCAAATTTAGACGCGGATCTTGATTTCGAAGCGTTAAGCGAAGAATTTAATAGGAATACCAGAAGTTGATTCTTGGATAATTTCCAGCAAGATGTTCCTAAAGAAATTGAATTAATATGTATAGTGTATAATAATGTTAAACTTATTATACAATTGAAATTGTATAATATGTATGCATATAATTACACAATGGTGTAGATATTTTTTTATAGAATTTCTGACAGTATAACAATAACACTGTAACTTCCATAATTGAACAGAGAATATCAAATATTAAAGTAATATAATACATTATTCTCATATGTGTATGTAAATAAGACTGTTTCTGTTATATTTATTGTGGATAATGTATATGTCGTATTCAGAAATGGCATTAAAAAAGTATTCATAGCATATAAAGAAACTTTACTATGTTGTATATTTTTTCAGTGTAAACGAATTTTTATTATTACACATAAATATTTTTTTTTATTTTTCGGTAAACGGTCTTTATAATCATACACATAATGCAGTGAATATTTTCAGTTTAAGATTAGTTTGTAAAAAGACTCGTATGTAATTGAATCAAGAAGTAAGGAACTAAATCTACTAGAATGATGAATTGCATATTATAAAACACGCATGCACTCATTCATACAACTCCCACTCCCACATTCAGACATACGTGTATATATATATATTTTCTGTAAATATAATTTTTCGTAGTTATTAGTTATACAATCAGATGAAAATATATTATCATAATTTTTTTTAGTTACAGTACTATTAAAATGATCATGCACAAATTATTTTCTGAATCAATTTTAGCTTTCTGCACCTATGATTGCATTAATTTTTTAATGATATTTAACAATATTTACTACTTTCAGTGACTATGTAAATTGATAAATAAAATAAATTATATTTATACTGTATTAATAATTTTATTACGTTGAAAAGATAAACAAATAATAACATTGAAAATTACAAATAACTATTAATGAATTACACTGAATTGTCTACAGCTTTCGTATAAAATATTATACAACTAAAAATACTTTAAACATCAAGAAAATAATTCCATCCACATTGTTATAGCATTTATGTATAGCAGAAATGATTAATTTTGTATCTATCTGTAAATATGTATTATACATATATAAACAATGTATTGATACAATTAAAGGTTAATGGTACTAGTAGCATTAGATTAATGACAAACTATAATCAATTGCAATTTATCATAAACTACATAATTTTAGTTCCTTGTGTTGAAGATACAATTTGTCTACATTTGTAAACCAATGTATACCACATTCATACTACTTTTTTGTGATCTCAGATACCAATTACAAATAAAATTTCACAACTTGATCAGAATTTTAACTATACATTTCAATTACATACTTCTTTTTTTGTAAAATTATATAAATGGTGTTTGAAAAGCCACAAATAAATGATCATTCTGTTAATCTTTGTTTTATTTCAATAGTTATAAGTTATTATATAAATACAAAAAAAAATAATTATAAACATGGAATCGTTTTTAAAATAAGAAGATACTTACCCAAATAAATACCAACAATAATTATCTATGCCCAGTTTCTATCAATAATGATTCCAAAGATATTGTCAAATTTTCTGGTATTAATGATTGATGCACCCAGGTAGCAAGAAACAACATTTTCCAGGATTCTGTGTAATAATGAGCTACATCTTCCAGAATTTTACGTTTTATCTTTGCTTCTTGAAAGTATGTGTTGTATATTAATTCTGCTACTTGTTCTAAAAAACAGATACATAAATTACCATTTTATACCACATATGTTTATGAAATAATTTTATATTTATTTGAAAGATAGCATATAGCTCTTTATTAATGGAACATGATCATATATACCAAATTTTATATTTGGCCATGTTACAAATAGCTTATCCTTGTGTGTTTCTAAAGATGCTGTTACTTTTATTTGATACGCAATATCACCTAAACTCTTCACAGTATTATCCTGTGGAAAAAAGTCTGCTTAAATTGTTTCTCTTTTAATACAAAGATGTATATTTAAAACATGTTTTACCAGTGCATCACAAACATCTTCCAATTTATCGCATAATTCTTGTAGAGTTTGAGAATACGATTCATCTTGTTTTAGCTGAGATATGTTTTTTAATAATGTTACTCCTTGTAAATGAAATGTATTCCAGTTTTGTATATTTCCATGAATATCTGCAGCTAAATCTCGTATATGACGAACAGAACCTGTTAAGTTTCTTCCTTGTGTTGATTTTGGAGATGAAATTTCTGTAAGTTTAATTGAAAAAAGGTTTTTATATTCGTTCCTAAATTACATATAATTTTTAATACAAATTGTTTGTGCTTATTTACGTAAGAATTATTTGAAAGAATAATTAATTACTTACTACTGACAGGTGAAAATTGTTCTTTGTTCATTATGCCTGTACAAGCCTCTTTCTTATTAATATCACCTGTTGTGATAAAATTGAATTATTGTTTGCAAATACAAAATTAATGAAATAAAAGAAACAATAATTCATATATAATACTTATGTAATCAAAAATAAAATATAACAAGAAGAAAGTTTCTTGTAGTAATTATTACATATGTAAAATATTGTGTGATGATACAAAATACGAGTATATGATTACTATCGATATTACATACTAATAAATCGTAAAAATTAGAGATTAAGTTTTCTATTTACAATAATATATTTACAAAAGGTTCGAAATACCATCTTACTGGTTATTTATTATGAAATAAAGTATTATGGAGAAGCAACCAATGACAATAGTGCTTCTAAACAATCTGCTTATGAAGATATTAATTATAAGAATAACACAAAATATTACAACATTTTAAATATAATCTAATTGTGTTAGACATGTAAAATATACAATCGATCGTGTTTTCTTTTAAATTTTTACAATAATTGTAGAGAATTTGCCTTGTATTTAAAAAATGTTGAAAGTATATCATGCAGATGGCGCAATGATACACTTATGCGGTAAAATTGAATTTAAAATTAGATGCGCGCAATTTAAAAGCAACGGACAAGCATGCGAAATATTAATATACAAAAAAGTGACTGTCCTTTCATACAAAATTAGATTTTAAATAAATTGTACACTAAATAAGGTACAATGTATTCTTAACTTTAACATTTTTCAAGATATACATTTTCTTTCAATATATTAAATATAAAGAAATTTTAATTAACAATGATACATATAATGTCATGAGAAAATCAAATGAGAATTAAACTGCGTATAATTGTCCCCGTCGTCGTTCCTGGAAATATGACATTGACAATATAACTTAAAAATAAATGCAGCATAATGCATGCCGATTGTTTCCAGTTTGATCAGTAACCAAATTAAGAATCTTAAATATCTTGGTTAAAGTTCAAAGTACTAAAGGAATGTTACACACGTGATAAGACAAAAGTCAGGAACGTCTGTTCGATGCATCGTGTTGGCTCTGTTACTTTTGTTCGAGGAACGGCCGGGGAACAAGGTCACGCAGGTAAAATGGCAGTCGCCGAGCGAACTACGACCGCGTCTCGATCGTAACTCCGTGACTTGATAAACGAAGAAGAATGAACGTGTTTCTTGTATTTCGAGAATTTGTTTCGAAACCGGCCTCTCGTTCACGGGCCACGCAATAACGTACCGGCATCTCTTGGCCGTGGTTTCACGAGGCTCGACCAATCTGGTTAGGCGTATTCCAAACGAGTCGCTGCGAACACGATTCAGGTTCTCCCGTGTTCGTGCAAATCTACCGGTGTAAGATCGGAATCGATCAAGCCACAACGAAGCTTTCGAGTCGCGGAAGGAAGTGGAAAGTTTCATACTTGTGAGACGTGTCCGTCGTCGAAACCGGATTCGTTTGGTTAGCAGTCGGAAGAGGCTGGATGGTGCTCGACTTTTTTCGGTGATTCGAATTTGGAACAGTACTTTTTCGAACAGGTGCGAAAGAAAAGAGTTCCGACCGGTGACGTAACTACGCGGAATGATAATAGATACAGAGGTTAACCGCTTGCGTTCACGATCAGATAAACAGATCGAAATCGTGCTTCGTGTTCGACAACTCGTATCAAAAGGTGCGCCCAATAAAAGGTTTCGCTGGTGTTCGGTACTCTGTGCGAGATCTTCACTGTTACAACAATGAAAATGGAGGTAAGTGTCCTGGATGGATTGTCTTTGATATACTATAAAACGATTATTTCCAATCAACAATATATATCATATGAATTAATTTCTTTTTTAAAGCGCGCAACACCTGACCGACGCTCAGGTGTCACTGTATTCAATATTTATGTCTAACGTTAGGTACCGTTTGAATTGATCGGTTGGTAGAGCGGTACTTTTCGATGCTAATGAAACGAAGAAACGATATTAGAATTGGTAATTTCTCTGACGAATTTTTAAGAAGATAACTTCGAACAGACGTCGCGTATCATTTGTCTAAACAGAATTCAAAGATGCAGGGAATTCAGTCGTTCGCGAACGACTGGTCGGACGGCTATTCAAATCAGTTTGTACGCTAGTTTAGAATGAGAGCATTTATTTTCAAAAAAACGGTGACGATGATAATAATAATATCGAGTCTGATGGAAATTTGATCATATACCGGAAAAGGAGGGTTCAGATGAAAAATGCTAATTAACGGTAGCGATAAGTTTACAGTTTGTGGACAAAATTTATCCATACGCAAACTTATCGTTAACCTCGTGATTGCACTTGTACGCGTTGAGAAAAGAACCGGTATTGTACAGCTCCTCGACATAACGTAACAGAGCAATTTTTTACACGCGACGAATTATGTAGCTCGTGATAGGACGCAAGACTCGAGGTGTTTCACACCGTACTCGCAAATTGGTACCGTTTGAATATTTATTAAATTCCGCGGGCTTAATTGCTGCAACTTGAAGAGTTGCGTTTCACGGCTACATTCGATGCTGGTTTAATTTAATTACATATAAGGTATGTGGGTCGTCGTCGTCGACTGTAAACGTGGTTAGTCCCGTTTCTAAAAGCAGTTCGACAGATGTTTCGATGATAAAGGTAGAAGAAATTAAAACAGCTGTTGCGCTCCCGTTTTCTTAACGACGATGACAGTGTTTGAGGAAACAGGCCCATATACACTACCGTCAAAAAGTTTGGATACACTCTTCAAAATAAATATCTCATTTAAAATTGGACCAAATGACTTGAGATTTTTTGAGAAGTTATACAAATTAATTTACTAACAATAAGATATACGCTTTTGTTGTTTTAAAAAATTACAATTTATCAAAATCGGGAAAGAAATAGTAAAAGGCAATTTTTTAACTTTCTTGGCTCACATAAAAAAGTTAAAAAATTGCCTTTTACTATTTCTTTCCCGATTTTGATAAATTGTAATTTTTTAAAACGACAAAACAACATATCTTAGCAAATTAACTTGGATAGATTCTCGAGAAACCTCAAGTCATTTGGTCCAATTTTAAACGAAGCATTCTGTTTTAACAGTGTGCGAATACTTCTGTGTATAGCTGTATATTTCTTTCTTAACAAATCAGCAGTGGTTCCCAATTTTGAAAGAAGCTAGTTTCATCTACAGACGAATATTGTTTTATTATATTTATAATAAAAAAATATCTCGATCAATCCCTTCAGAACAGTTATTCCCAATTCAATTAATTACATATCTTGATCATTTTTACCGGGTGAATCTTTGAAACTAAAGATTGTAAGATTGTACTTATAATCCTTCGTTGAAATCGAGCGTGTATCATCGAACAGGAATTTTAAGTCGGTCATCGATACAGATAAAAACGGGGGATTCTATCGAAAGAAGACTCGTGGCTCATTTTTCTCTTCCCATTTTTCTTGTTTCTTTTTTTTTTTTTTTTTAGAAAGGAAACAGACACGAGTTACAGTTAAGCAGTCGTACTAGTCGGTGTTCAGTTTTCAATGAGCAGCATTCCTAACTGCTCGAGTACAGCTGCTCACCTGGAAACCCTTCAAGAACTCGTTTCAGTAATATTCGGTTCCTACGCGGAAGCGCGGGTGAAACACCTGAGTGAACTTGTTTCCTACCTGTGAACCACAAAACCACCGGTTTCTTTCTTTCGGACACATATTCTGATAAATATTCATTTAATCGTCGCGATGGGAATGGTACAAGTGAAATGATTCGATGAGACCGTAAAACTGTGATGAAATCGTGTTCGAAGTTTCTAAGGTAATTGTCATAGAGATGATCCGTTTCACTGCGCTTCTAATTATTCATCCCTAACGCATCTTACGATTTGCATTGAATGAGATCGTTCTCTTCGCGTGAGAACTCTTGCTAAACCGATAAAAAAACGTTCGAATCGCCTTTTCTGTATAACGCAGGGGAACGAACTGAATTTCATGGATGAAAGAAATACCGCGGTTAAAGTACAGTAATTGTTCTACTTAACGTCTAATTTATGAACAACACTAGGAGTTTTAATCTATTACTATTCGGTGAAATATTTTATTCAGTAAAAATGCGAAGTAATGTCAATAAAAAATATTTATCTTAAATTGTAGAAAAGAAGATATTTCGAATCAGAATCTTATCGTTATTTATTGTCTAGTGAGTCACCTGAGAGGCTCGTTGAAACGAAATTCGCCACGCGATCATCTGTCGATCGGTAATAAAATTGACCTTGATTTTCATACACGTTTCCTCGTTTCAAAGCGTTAAATGAAAAATATTCTTTATTAATGTCTCTCTTCAACCAGTCAGTGAAAATCAAACAACAGTCATCGATTGCGATATCAATTGATAAAACTAGATTAAGAACGGTCAGCGTAGATAAAGCGTAAACTAACAGTTCGATTGTTCGTTGAAACAAAGTCCGACAAGACACGGATTCGTGTTACCCGTTCGGTAAGTTGGAAAAACAATTTCTCATTCGGTTCTCGTTTTACGACGTAGATTAAATAACACGACGGAACATTGTAACAACCGTGGCGCAATAAACGGTCAACAACAAACAACATACAATAGAACCTTATGTGCATCTTATTTATTCTTCCGAAAAGTGAAGTAATAATTAAGATAGTTCTTAGCCAACGCATTGGATTTCTTGTATAATGCAAAGATTTTCAAATATCCATTATTCTAATTAAGATGGATCCCTTAAAGAATAATCTTAAATCATGTAAACAAGCCACGTTTATGATAGACGTTCGTTATCGATCAAAAAATCTAATTATCCTGATTGCGATAAAAGTTTTTGATGGATCGCAATCGGTGAACACGAACGCCGTGACAGGTTTAATCGCACGGCGGTTTTGTTCGGCTAGTTTTCTGGAATTTGCTTCCCGTTAGCGGGACGCAAAGGTAGCCTGGAATTTGATTCGTCTCGTGGTTTCTATTTTTTTTTTCACTCTGTATCTCTCCCTACGGACAAGTCTCGCCAAGGATCCAGGGACCCTCCAGTACCGCATTGAAAATCCCTCGACCGCGAAGGTGTACGGAAAGCGACGTTTAAACCCGGTCGCACGGTTCACGTTGAAATTAGAATGAAGGTCCAGAGGGTCAGATTGCGTAGCCGTTAATCCGACTTGAAACACTGACTTCTGTAATTACGAGGATCATCACGAATCGCAATCATCCGACGTGCGGTTGAACGAACCCTTGCATCTGCTAAGATGCAAGGTAATTTTTCATAGGAATATGATGTAATCACTGTTATTAGCGTAACTAGGCTGAAAATGTGGATTTCTTCTGGTTAATCGAATTCCATTTGGTTGCATACGCAGGCGGAGCATAGGTTGGAACAGCTGAAGAAGGCGACTGACAGAATACAGAAAGAGATCGAAGAGGTCACGGAGAGGGAGCACGAGCTGAGGAACGTGGGCAGCATTAAAACCACATCCCACGAGACGGTTGATTCCAAGGTACGCCCCGACGTATGTACACTCAGGTGCAACGCGGGCTTCTCTTGGTTAAGGGATGGGAAAAGCCTCCCATCATATGCTTTTGATCTTGGGAGAATCCTGTATTTGCTAAGGGTTTAAGTTCTTCCAGAGTCCTCCTGATACACCTTCTCCGTTAACTACGAGAAGCCAACATTTCCCCTGAACGTAAACCTCGATTATGAGTAAGTATAGAGGAAGGAGCTTCCCACCACTTGCCGTCATTAACATAGAACCTCCTATCTTTACAGATAAAGAATATGGACAAATAAGGCGAGTGATGGATTCTTCCTTCCCCTACACTTCCCTTAACTAAGAAAAGCCTTAGTTTCACGATACTGTACATACGTATATTCTTGCTCAAGGTCGTTGAATGAAAGAGAGAAAAAGTATACGGCTGATGGTATCCTTATAGGGACGAAATGCATCAGATCATCGTATAGGAGATGTCCGTGAACGACAAGGACGATTATATACGCTCGGTTACCGATTTAATGATTCACGATCCGTACAGTATTTCAATCTTGTTAGCCGCGTGACCGGAATAATTTTCATCTTTCGTCTTTAAAATATTTCTTCTCCTAACGAGTATCGCGATATCTCACGCAGAGTTCTTCTTTTTAGATATTTCTTTAATATAGTTTGAAAGCAAAGGACAGAAAACGAATCTGTTGTTAAACTATAGTAAATTTTGTTATTGCTTTAGCAATACAACGAATCTATTTTATTATTATGTTTATAATCGCAGTGAAATTGCAATACATAAATGCGTACATTTATTTTCGTAACAGCCAGTTTTCGTAACACTGTTGGATTTTGATGGACGTATCTTATCTGCTGATACGTTTAAGTGTATGTAATGCCGTTTACCGTAGAACTGTCTTTTTCGTACATGACGCGGCTATTGTCGCCGATAATAATGATTAAAAATGCAGTTTTCCTATCTATGCTCGCGAAGAGTCTACCGTAAGTTACAAAGGTTGTTTTATTTAGTACGCGTTACGCTTTCTCGTACGCTCTTTTTAAAATAACTGAAAATAATAGATAAGAAATTCGGGCGTTACAGGTACGACGAATGCCGCAAGCTTTAACTTCAGGAAAGTTAAAGAGGACAACGTCCACCCCGCAAATTCTGGAAGCAGTTAGTTTAACTCCATCGACACCACCTTTAACACCAAAGATGACGAACGGAGTGATATCCAGTCGCACAACACCGACACCTTTACGTTTCGCGACAGCGCCCAGCCAAAAAGGGTTGATGCATAGGTATACATTTACTCGTTAATTCTATCGATATTCTACTCGGCACGTTCAAATCAGAAGCATCCAATATTTACTTGTGCCAATTTCATAGGTTTCTGGCTACCCGAGGGAAAATTTACAAACCGAAATCCACTGTTAACGACACACTGACACCACCTACCACGCCTACTATCACACTGAACCCATTGAGTATTAAAGCTTTCAACAAGAGTCTGGAAATTCAATTTGAACCAGACGACGAACCTAAGAAGCCGCCGGTCAGGAAAGGATACGTTCCGGTGGAAGAAAAAATTCAGAAAGAATTGCATGAAATGAAAGAGCGAGAAAATGAGCTCAGGTACCGATCTGTTTTGTTAACGCGTTAAATACCGTAGAGGTATTCATTACAGGAAGAAAAGAAACATAAGTGTATCGTTGTCTTTAGATTTTTTTTGTACTTTAGGAGTATTAATACATTATATTTACAATATCATTTTTCTTACAATTATGCGTTATCGGATCTAATGTATCATTGAGGTAAATTATGAGGTGATGCTTATATACAGTACCTTCGTTTATTCAGAAAATCATTAAGTACGTGTACGTATTTTTAGATTAATGCGGTCGCAGATGCTGGCGAAATCTCAACCAAATTTATTAGATATTGGTAATGACAATGATTCGGACATATATGATGGTTCGAGCTCTTTAAGAAGTGGCACCTCGTCTAACACTTTAAATGAGGATGAAGTAGAAAAGGAAGCTAAAGGAAAGCACAAGGTATACAAATATTTATTTTTATAACGTGTTAAATACGTATTTCTCATACGTTAAAATGTTTTAACTGATATGTATATTCAATAATTCATTAGCCTAATCCACGACGTCGAAGCACCCTCATCGCGCAATGGGAAAATTTGATAGCTGCAAAAAAGGAATCGAACGATAAGAACAATGAGAACGATTTAAATTTCTAAAAAGTTTCTACGCATTGTAAAAACTAAACAATCAATTTCTATCATCGTTCTTTGAAAGTCGCTAACGGGTATGGTAAGATCAGCTGAAACATTTCCATTACCCTCAGCATTCAAACCTAACACAGTACCACCCTTACCATACTGATATTTATCAGTCTGATAAAACAACCTTTTTCATATCAGTATGTAACTCACCATAAGTATAATACGATAAGCATATAATGTTTTATTCTTAAAATAATTATACGCATCATGCATTTTCGGGCGACGCAACAATGCATGTCACGATTTATAAAAATACTTAACAACAGGCACACCAATACACGTATTAAGCGAAAACTTATCATAATGACGATCGATGTATCTACCGCAGTGTTGTTGTCGGTGTCCATATCAGTTCCAGTAAAATCCATAATTTAATCAAAATTTTTACTATATTTTCTTGTTGGTCTTTTTTTAATTTTTTTGATCCACTTGGTTTTGATCTGTTGTATTTTTTTCTTCATCAGAGAGTTCGAATTATATGTATTTACCTTTAGTTGGGTATTGTCTCTGGAGCTGTGTGGAGAAGACTGATATGAAGCTAAACATTTAAGTTATATTTATACTACCTGCTGCTGCCGCCGCATGTACTTCTCCACGTAGATTTTTATAGCTTACAAATGCGCGCGTGCGACAATGGGTTTTCATTTTTAAAGTATGTTTTATGCCAATATTATTGGTTTTGTTCATCTGTTCAACTTGCGTACTAATTTATTTAAGAATACGATAAATATTTATTCAAAAGTGAAAAATTTACCTGATTAATTATATATTATATTTAATGTTTTCTTTTTTTAGAAGCTTTCAGTATTAAAGAATAAGCTACACTAAAAGTAAAATTATCCCTATTATTTTTAAGTATTACAAGCATATATATCTCATATATTTGCTTGTTAATTGTAATATATCTATTACTATACATATTATATGTATTTTTAACTATGTATTATGTACTTAATCAGTTGTAAGGAATAATTACATATATGTATGTTTGATTTATTTGCATATGTGATAGTATAATTCTAATTACATATAAGGATAAACGATTAGTTTGTGCAATCATTCTTGAGTTAATAAGATGTGTATGTTAAACTTTGTTTCCTTTCTTTTCTCCTAAATATATTAAAGATAAGTACAAAATAAATCCTTTGTACTTGTTCCATTTTTACCACACCTCGCACTGGTAAATAAAAAGACACAATTTTGACTCCCTTTGATTCTATTTTTTTAGAAATCAGTCAAAATCAACACAAAATCGATAAATTATTCAAATAATTGTTTGACGAACTTTTATTTTAAAAAGACCGCCATAGATTAAATTTTTTAAAATTCGACCATAGCGCCATCTATACGAAAATGGCTCAAGCTACTCGACAACTTACCGATCGACCTTCCGAAAGGTCGGGGTCGGTAATGTTGCCGACTAGTTTCCGCAAGTTCTCGATAGATGGCGTCAGTATTCCCGTTTCCACACTCCAAGCAGCCATTAACACGAATTATTTTAGTGTGGGACTAATATTGACGTCTGTGCACGTGTTTTCAAGCGACAGATAACAGCTATGGATATTTCAAATAAAAAGAAAATGACAGATGACGAGATTGCAATTTCTTTACTAACAAATGTTATTGAAGATGAAAGTAAATATAAAATTAAGAATATGCCATTTATGTATGAAATTAGGTTATATTTTATCATTTATGTATATTAATTAAGTCACTTTACTTTCTCTGTTTCAGCTGTTGAAATATCACACTATATAAAAAGCATATTAAATGGACAATATGAACATGTTATTAATGATGAATTACCTTCAAGACTGTGTACAATATTATCTGATACTGATAATTTTGATAAAATAGTGAATGAGAGTATAGGGAAAGAAGACACGCATAATTTATGGCTAAGCATTGGAGTAGCTTCATTATTATACTTTGTTCAATGCAATTGGACAGGCCCTCAAGTAACTGGGGACATTGAATGGTTAAAAGTTAAAAGAAAGGATGTACTTAAAGATTTATCTTTGCATGATGAATGCAATGCAAATGTTAAAATGCCAGAACTCCTTTATTTTTCTAAGATAATATTCTCTAATAAATTGTTACAAAATACTCATAAAAGCTGTATTTGGTGGCTGTTGAGAGTGAAACTTTTGCATCAATTTATATTAAATGAAAATTCTGGTGTACTATATGAGGAGGCAGAAGAGTTAATTATTCAGATTAATAATTTGCCATTATTGAAACATGTCTATTGTAAAACCTTGTTTTATATTGAGGCTGCACAGTTCTATTTCTATTATAGAAGAATACAACAATCAGAAAAATATCTTGAACTTGCTATAGAAGCAGCTAAATTAAATTTAAAGCTAGAAGGTGTATTGGGTAAACGTACAAAGTATCAACAAGAAGACAAGGCTCAACTATTTTTAAAAGTAGATACAGGAGATAATCAGTTTCCTTCTAGAGATTGTAAAGATTTACCAAAATCTTTGGAATTAAATGATGATGTCAGATTGGAACATATTAAGTTTGCAGAAAATATAAAAAATGTACAATTAGGAACAATTGAAGAAGCAATAATATTAGCTAAATAGTAAGTATATATTTTATATTTTATTAAAACATTAATAAGAATAAGTGTATTTAATTACAAATTTTGTTTTTAATAGTACTCAGTTGCAACTATCACAACCAAAGGATAAATTAACAGATGAAGAATTGAAACCTTATTTAACCGTGAGTATGTTTATCTTTATTATATTTAAATTAATTACTGAAAAAGATTATTTTATAGGCAGTAATAGATAGTACAAAGAATTGGTCCTTAAAAATGGCTGCTCTTTATTATCGGTGTGTATTAGAATTCACTGATAAAAGAGCCATTGAACGATCGATGATGCAAATGGAGTATTTGATACACGAATTGAAAAATTCAAAAGTTTCCGTTACAAATAGGATAGATATGTTTTTTGCAAGTGGAGTGAAACCAATTTGGCACTTGGAACAGATGTGGGCACAATTAATGTTAAGTCTTGGATTAGTAAAAGGAGCTTTAGATGTGTTTTTGAAGCTAGAGTTATGGGAAGAAGTTGTTACTTGTTATAATCTGTTGGAATTGAAACATAAAGTACATTTCCTTAATTTATATAAAACATTTATATATATATATATATATACAATGAACAAATGCACACTTTGTTAATAATTCTAGGCAGAAGAAATTATTCGCCAAGAAATATGCAAAAAGCCAACACCTAAGTTATGGTGTTTATTAGGTGATACAACTCAAGATCCCAGTTTTTATGAAATAGCATGGAAGCTGTCTAATGAAAGAAGTAGTCGAGCTCAAAAACATTGGGGATTTTTCTATTTTACAAAGAAAAATGTTAGTATATAATTATTGTAAAATCATGTATATATATTAAATTCTATTGTTTAATCATTTAAATAAGTGCATTCTATTGTTTTATTTTCCAGTATAAAGAAGCTATACCACATTTAAAATTATCAGTTGAATTAAATAATATTCAGGAGGACGTTTGGATAAGACTTGGCTTTGCTGCTTTGGAAACAGAAGATTGGAAATTAGCAGTAACAGCATATAAACGTTACTGTGCTTTAGAACAAACGGTGTGTATGGTTCCTTAGAAACACTTATTCAATATCAAATATTCAAGAATAAAAAATTTTATAAATTAATTATAGACATTTGAGGCATGGAATAACTTGGCAAAAGCTTATATAAAACTTGGTGATAAACCAAAAGCTTGGAAATCTCTTCAAGATGCTATCAAGTGTAATTACGATCGTTGGCAAATTTGGGATAATTTAATGATCGTTAGCATTGATTTAGGACATTTCTCAGAAGTAAGAATAGATATTACTTTTAAGAATAAAATAATTAAACCTTTTCTATTAAAAGTTAACAATTTTTTAATATTTTTGTAGGTAATTCGATGTTATCATCGTATTTTGGACCTCAAAAATCATCATTTAGACGTTCAAATTCTTGATATACTAACCAATGCTATACTAAATAATATAAATGATTCAGAGGGAAACCCAGCGCAGAGATTGCTTCCCAAAGTTTTAGAATTATTTGGAAGAATTAGTTCCTTCGTACATAATAATTCAGATGTATGGAGAATGTACGGAAACCTTACCGCGCTTAAAAATACAGATACCGATGATGAAAAAGCGGTGCAGTATTTGCAACAAGCGCATCGAGCTGCCGTTTCAGATCTTAAATGGTTTCAGAAGGAAGAATCAACTACAAAAATATTGCAATTATGTTGTACATTAGCAGAAATGTATTTGCAGTGTGCTTCCAAATGCGAGGATAAGAAAAGGAGAACACTATTAGGAAGTGCAAAACTATCTCTTCAAAGTGTTGTAAAAAAAGTTAAAGATCAACAGTGGGACAATGACAAAATTTCTACATCCTTACAGAAAGTCGAAGAATACTTAAATACTGTAATAATTGAGTTAGAAAAAATGAAATTGAACAATTTATAGACATTAAATACTATATATGCGTTTATATATTTTATGTTTTATTTTATAATATTACAAAATTACAAATATGTATTTTATATAATAATTTTATGTAGATACTATACTCCATTACTCATTGTCCCCTTGGTGCCAATCAAAAATTCGACTCCTCCATCTATGTAATAACGGCAGAAACTACTCGGCAATTTACCGACTGCAAGATGGTCGATCGATAAGCCAGCAAGTTATCGACTTGCGGAGTAAGTTGTTGAATAGTTTGGACCGTTTTTGCATAGATGGCGCTAGGATCAAATTTCAGGTCTTCTGATTATCTTCTACTATCTATAGTCGCTGTTTGCTACAACCTGTTTGAGGGGAAAGGATACGGAGTGAATATAAACCCGACATTCTGTTGGAGGGAATTATTTTTTCGTCGAAGCTCACATAAATCTCAACAACTCGGATTATCAAATATATTTAAATTTATTTTTATTCTTGAAAATACGATAGTTGACCTTGCGCAAAGGTACTTTAACTATTTCTTATATTTTATTTTAAAAAATAGAGTAACAGACATTTTGCAAATTGTGATTTGTTTATAATAAAACATTTATAATCAAATAATTTCTAATTCCAATTAATGTTCTTTTTAGATGGCATTTACAGGAAAAGTTGTGCTAATAACTGGAGCTAGTTCTGGAATTGGAGCAGCAACTGCAATACATTTTGCTCAACTTGGAGCAGAACTAGCATTATCAGGACGTAATGCACAAAACTTGAATGCAGTTAGTGAAAAATGTAAACCTAACAAAACATTTATGGTAACTGGTGAACTAACTAATGAGGCTGATGTTAAAAATATTGTTGAATCTGTTGTCAAACATTATGGTAAATTAGATATTTTAGTTAATAATGCTGGTGTATTAGAAAATGGATCAATAGAAAATCTTTCATTAGAACAACATGATAGGTATAAATTTATTTTTGAAAATTAAATTTCATGAAAGGAACATGAAAACAATATACATTTTGCAGAATATTTAATGTGAATGTACGCTCATTGATGCACATGACAATGTTGGCTGTTCCACATATAACAAAAACTAAAGGTAATATTGTAAATGTATCAAGTGTGGCTGGACTAAGAGCATTCCCAGGTATTTTATCATATTGTATGAGTAAAGCAGCAGTTGATCAATTTACCAGATGTGTAGCCCTTGAACTTGCACCAAAACAAGTATGTATTATAATTTTAAATTATTATCTTTAATACAAATTTATATTTATACAAATTTACTATTTGATTTATAGGTACGAGTAAATGCTGTAAATCCAGGTGTTGTAATAACTAATCTGCATAAAAGTAGTGGTATGACAGATGAACAACTAAAGACATTCTTTGAGGGTTCTAAACAAACCCATGCACTAGGCAGACCAGGCAATACTTCTGAGATTGCAAAAGCAATTGCATATTTAGCTAGTGATGATGCTAGCTTTGTTACAGGTGTAACATTATCTGTAGATGGAGGAAGACATGCTATGTGTCCTCGTTAAGAATATTGCATTATTTAAAAGTGTTATATTCGTATATTTTATAAAACTGTTTAATATGTAAGAACTTAATGTTCCTAATGAATGTAATAAATTATGAGTTATGAATTATCTAAATTATTATTTTATAATCATTTAGTTTTTACAGTGTATTGTATAATTGGTAAATAACAATTATTTTTAGATTTTAGATTTCTTTTTAAATTTAAGTGAAAAACATACTAATATAATTTTCTGAGAAGTCATACTGTCGTTTCATAATACATCAATTAAATATAATTCTTGCAGTTTTTATTACTAACTCAGATATCAATTATCAACGAAACGTACATAAAAAATATTCACTGATAACCCGTACCATATGTTCGATATTTGTTCATGAAACGAGGAGCTGAGGATAAAATTTCATATAGGTATATTACAAACAATTAACTTTCATTTTATAAAACCGAGGAATATGCTGTATTATATATTAGTTATTTTAAAGGAAATTCTTATACAGTTATGAAACAAATTTACATTAACTGATATGCAAACTACGTCACCTAACCAATTCTTTATCTTCTGTTAAGAACACTTAAGACTATATATATAGTATGAAGCATTAAACGTATGACAATAGTAACAAGTTAAACGCGGCATTAATTGTAAAATACATACATTATGTGTACCGAAAACTTACCGTATTTTTTATCTGGATTGGTGGTCAAAGGTTTCGGCCGAGGTTCCAAATCTTTAGGAATACCAACAGGTAAAGCCTGAAATCGGAATTTTAATTAATGAATTACACAATTTATCAATTAACAGAAAACAATAATTATTTTAACATTGTACAAGGTAGTCTAGAATCTTGCATGTGATCAATTTCTAACGAAAACGACAAGTATTTGTTCTACGCATACCTATTGGCGGGAACATATAAAAGATGTAAAATCGATCTATAATACACAATTTTGTTTTTTGCATAATGTTTTTTCATAGCAAATATTGAAGATAAAGTAGTTGAAGCTTTACCTGATGATTTTAATACTGGAGTTTATTATGGATGGGCTTCTATAGACGGAAATGTTTATAAAATGGTTGCAAGTATTGGTTGGAACCCATTCTATAAAAATGAAAAGAAGACAGTAGTATGAATTTGAATACATTTTATATATTATTCAACATTTAATATTTAAAAATTTCAAATGATTAGAAAATATTATTATTTTAGGAAGTACATTTTCTTCACAAATTTGAAAATGATTTTTATGGAAAGCTAATTAAAGTAACTTTCCTGGGTTATATACGACCCCAACAAGATTATACTTCCGTTGGTAAGTATATAATTACGTAACAACCGTTTAAAAAAATTAAATGATATATTTTGTTCTTTTAGGGGAATTAATTAAAGCAATAGAAAATGATATTACAATTGCTGAACAACAACTGGAGCAGCCACAAAATAAGGCTTATAAAAATAACAAATTTTTTACAGAATAACATATTCGTATTTGTTGATATTAATGCATAAAAACGTACTTTTATAGAATTGACGATATTTTCTTATTTTAAACATAGTTTAAAATAAATTTGTTAGACAATATGTGGCAGTATTAAAATATGTAAACTTTATGAAAGTAAATTCACCATAAAAAAATATTAATCAGTAAATCGAATGATTTAATAATTTATACATATAATTATTTGTATTTTATTCATTGAATAATATTTGTACATTTATCTATATAGTACAAGATAAATAAAAGTACAAAATTATTTTTATATACGTACTTTTACAAAATAAATTGTAACAATATGAATATTTAATTCATATCTTGTGTTGTTGTTGGTGGAGGAGGTGGTGGCGGTGGTGGTGGTAAAGGTACCCATGGCATTCTCATTCTCATAGGAATCTGAGACTGCCAAGGCATATTTGAATTTTGAAATCTTACATTTGAAGATGAATTTGGACGATTTTGAAATGATAAATATCCTGGAGAAATTCTTGGAGGTACATTAAAAGGTATTCTAGGATTTAAAGGTGCCGTTGTATCGTCTTCGTTATAATAATTATGCGAACTATAAAAGTTTTGATTCATGCTATTCACATATTGCATTGATTGCATCGAAGATGTTCCATATCCATACTGTTCGTTATTCTCTGAATGTACATTTTGTGGCCAATTCTGATAATGTGACCACAGATTTTGAGACTGATTTGCAGCATGAGGAAAAGGAAATTGTTGGCACTCTCCTCGTGGGTAATATCCTTTTCTATTTTTTTGTGTATTTCTGCTCCATGGATGATTTGATTGCCACCCAGTAGTAGGATCTAAAGATATAAATATTATGTAAATTTGTAATTAAATATATGTGCTGCTACACAGGCAACTTACTTGAAGTACGTTTACGTTTAAGTGGAATATCAGTTTCATTCGAATTATTCGTTTGTTTTGCCTTTAATTTTTCGTAATACGCTCGTTCTTCTTCATCATCTGAAAATTCTGGCGGTTCATCTGCATTTGCATCAATACCTTTAATTCTGTAATGATTATATGTCATAAAGTCCATTCGGTTTATTATATGTTAAAATAAAAAGAAGATCGTTATTTAGACTTACTTCATTATTTCATGCAAAAATACCAAAGAAGTATATTCGGTATTAGGACAATAATAAACAGTCATTCCCACTTTAATATCACATTTTTCTATGTGTTCAGAATTATTGAACCGCACACAATAATGAGGCTCACTCACTTGTCCAAAAACATCAAATATTTTACCTAAAGCTCTTTGCCCCCTTTCAACAAATAAGACTGTGTCTAAATTTAATGTTGGTTTACCAGCTTTTGGTTTTACAACTACTAACTGTTCAACCATCCATGCAACCTGAAATTTTTATTTGTTTTACTACATTAATTTATTTGTTTGTTAATTTATAATTAATAAATACCTCGCCTAATGGATCGCATAATACTTCAGGTACACTAATTTGTAATTCTTCAATTGGTGGTAAATCATCAAATTCACTCTTCATTTCATTACTCTTCTGTCCTTTTGTTTTATTTTTTTCACCTTTTCTACGAATTTTAAGAAGTTACTCCTTGGTTTCATTACATAAAAAATTATAAGGTAACTTACTTATTTGTATTGTCATCACTGTCTGATTCATCTAATTGAATTGATATTGAAGAACTACTGCTACTAGTAGAATCATCTTCATAATCACTGTTTTCACTAAACAAAATTTCTTTGTTTTGTCTGTAAGTTTGCATCTGTGTCCCTTTTAAGGACACATTTTGATTATTTTCATGTGTATCAGAAATATCTTCTATTTCTGAATCTGAATTATTATATTCCACAGCAATACTATTAAGAGAAGATACCTTATCATTTGCTGTTAAAAATATAATATATTTTAATTAAAAATTACAGTTCTAAATGATATAAGAAAATACATTTTATACACTTACTTTTGACTGCATTGTTTTCATACACAATGCAAACATCGTTGTCTTTGATACTTGGACTTTTCAGTAAAGGATAATTCTTATTCTGAACATGTTTTTCACTTTGAGTTACATTTAAGAGTTCAATGATTTTTTGTTGTTTATTTGGATTACTTTTTTCATTACTATTTTGTTTACTTACAACATTTTCATCAAGTAAAACTACTTCACAATTACTTGTGATTTGACTTATTTCAGAAACACAATTTTCAATGTTTACTTGTTCTGCTGATGAGACTGTTTCAGTAACATTTGATGTACTATTACCTTTTTCAATGTTTAATATTTCCTTAGATGATTTGTCACTTAAACTTTTATTATTTATTATTTTCTCAACTATAACCTCATCTAGATCCATTGTAATTCTATATAATTTTCGTTTAATTTCAAGTATTAAATTCAATAATAACAATTTGTAAAAAGAAATTTCATACTAAAACATAATGATATTAGAAACTGTACAGAACAATGTATTTCTCCTAAGTAAACTTATAAACCTTACATAAACACATTCATTAGAAGCAACCACGTGTATACATACCTATTCGAATACGACTTCATGTCGCTGACTGAAGCGTTCCATTTATTTTGAGAAACTATTTTTAAATATTAAACATAAACTATATTTAAATATTATAACAAAATAGTAAATATTTTGATTTTCTAATTCATTATTCTCTTTTTAATTCATCTAATTAAATTATATGAAATGTGTATCTAATTGTGTAATAATTTTGTAGAAGAAATACTTTTGCATAGTAAAAACTATATAGATTCATATATTTATTTAAGTTTATACTTAGAAATTTGTTTATATTGTCTAATAATTTTAATTATACTGTACACTTACTTCTGCAGGATAATACCATAATCACAACATTTTTTTTATAAGCACATAATTAGTATTAAATACATTTATAATATATTACATTCTATTCTCTTGTTATTACATTAACAATTGTCTGTATAATTTTTTTTCCATTTTGATAATTTAAAAGATTTAAAAGAGGATCTTTCATCTTTTGTTCCAATAATTTAGACAATTCCATTCTTACTCTTTGTAAAAGTTGGGCCACCTGAATAAGATAAAAATAATATTTGAAATGTAAATAAAATATTTCATTTGCATTTTTGTTTAATATTAATATTCTTACCCTATGTGATTCAACGCTGAGTAAAATCCAACCATCTTCTAATGACACAATAAATATTCCATTATGTAGCTCTACATTTAACTCATAGCCAGAAAATAAAATTAATGGTAAAAGTGGTACCATTGAAACTTCTTTAATAAATACTTTGCTTGTCTTAATTTTTTCTTGAAATACTAGATATGGACTAGGGAAATGACCAACATGGAAGTTGACAGAAGATGGATGAATATTGACAAAACCATCATTTTTAGTTTGGAATCTAAGTTCCTTAGGCTTTGGCTGCATTGGTACTGCTCCAACAGATTGTACTTGAAAGGATTTTTCAGGAGTAAAAACTTTAACTACATTAGGATAAAGAGCTGCACAAAGTAAACCTTGTAGAAGTTTATAATTGTCATTGTTGACATTAAGTTCATATCCAGTAATTTCCAAAATTTTATCGATGTTCGGCTGCCGTTTAGGTAAATCAATAGGAATAAATCCAAGCGAAACTAATAATTCTAAGAATTGATACTTCATATCTGCCAAAGTATGCAATGTACGCACAGATAAATAATTTTCATTAGCAAAAACTTGTCCTGCATTATTACTGCGTGAACATGATTCCAACCATTTCTGTTAAATGAATAGGATAAATATAAATATCTTTTCCATGTTATAATAAATATTTACACATATATGTTTACCTTATAAGCCTTAAGAATAGTTAATTGATCAGAATTAGCTGTAATAAATTCTTCTTTAATTTCAATTTTGTGTCTTTTATCAAATGGTATATTAAATGGATTTTTATAAGATAAATAAGCTGCAATAGTAAGTGCAGAATCAAGGCAACAAAATATTGCTCCAAATAATATTAATTTCCCAATCCGTATATTTACAGGCAGCATCGCAAGGTGATGGCCTAATGGTGTCAATGTATATTCAGAATTAAATGCACCAACATCTTGTAAACGTTTGATTGCATTAGAAATACTTTCAGTTGTTAATGGCTCTATCATTTTACCTGCAAATACAATAATAATGATAATTAAACTGTATATAAAAGCATAAAAAAAGGAAATAATTATCGTTATTACCTAAAATTTTGTGAAAGTCTACTTTTTTCCCTTTATGTAAAAGTTGGATACGTAGTAATAAAGGTTCTAACGGAATCCTTAATATTTCAGGTACTGATTGGGCTGTAAACTGGTACTTAAATCTGGTAAAATAAAACATTTTTAATAGAACACTTACTTGTTTATTACCACAGAATGTAATGCATTCAGTAATACCTGTACGAAGTATATAAATGAATACAAATTCCGGGCATTACACGGCCAGCACGACCTTTTCTTTGTACTGCATTTGCTCGCGATACCCAGCATGTTTCTAAACTTTCTATGTTTTGATTTGAATTGAATCTAGTCTCCTTCATTTTCCCACTATCAATTACAAATACACAATCATCTATAGTAATAGATGTCTCAGCTAAATTAGTGCTTAGCACAATTTTTCTAACATTTCCAGTTTTTTTAAAAACTAAATTTTGCTCCTCATTTGATAAAGATGAATGTAATGGTATAACAATAAATTTTCCAGTTTTTGGTGAAAGTTGCTGATTCTCGTTCAACAAATCTTTTAATGAAATAATTTCAGCAAATCCAGGTAAAAATACCTAAAATTATAATAGTTCATATAACAGATGTACATATAATTTGTATACTTAGGAAAGTATACTTACTAAAATGGAACCTGTTTTTGGATAATTATGGTCTCCAAAAATAATCCATTCTAATGTTGCCTCTATAAGTTCAAAATTTATTCTATCATGATCCATAACATATAAATTTTTATGCGTTTGTTTGTTGTAATCATAATATCTAGAGACAATCTGTATTAATGATAAACTTTCATCCTGAACGAATTCTCTGGGTGCAGGAGCAGTAGGACCTTCAATTTCTGCAATTTCTAAATCTGTTTGCAATTGCATCCAGTCACCTCTAATTTTACGTGTAAATTTTGAATTTTCCTCAAGTATATAATTTATTTTTTCAAATACATCTTCCAAAAAAATTTGCTCTACAGGAAATGTTTTTCCTGGAATGTGTAAAATAGGAGCTTCTTTGAAGTATGAAGAAAAGATTTCTGGTTTAAGCGTTGCACTCATGAGTATTACTTTTAAATTCGAATTTTTAGATAATAATTCCTTTAGAAGCATCAGTAGGAAGTCACTAGATAAAAAATAATAATATTTGAGTAAAGAATAAACGAAGTGGTATAATAAATAACTTACCTTTCTGCACTTCTTTCATGAACTTCGTCTACAATAATATGTGTCACATCGGATAATTCTGGATTAACAGATAATCTTTGTAACAAAATTCCAATTGTACAAAATGTTAATCTCGTTTTGCTGGAAATTTTACTCTCTAATCGAATTTGATATCCTATCGTGTCACCTATTTGTTCATCTCTTTCTGATGCAACTCTTTCAGCAACTCCTACTGCGCTTATTCTTCGAGGTTGTGTACATATTATATTAATATGTTCTTTAGACTTCGATCTATTAAGAATCCAATTGTCTAATAAAAATTGTGGTACCTAAAAAATTATACAATGTAAGTTCAATACAAGATTAATTAAATTCATAATATCCTGATTACCTGTGTACTTTTACCACATCCTGTTTCACCTGAAATTATAGTAACCTGATTTTTATATATCACTTCTAAAATGTTATCCATTTTAGACCAAGCAGGCAGTGTTTTTCGGATTTCTTGCATTTTTTTGTATCTGTGGTTTGTTTGTCTTTCTTTAAAACTTTCTTGGATAATATCATCTTTTTTTAATGTCTCTTCCCATGTAATGTTATCTCTATTTTTTCTACTAATAGAACCTAATTCATGATGTGTAACCCCATGTACAATATTTTCATTTTCCAATTGCTTTGGAAACAGTAATTCGCTTTGATCTAGAAACTGTTCTTTATTTTCTTCTAAATATTCTTTTATTTCGTATTCATTCTCCAGAAGAGATATTACTGAAAAGATAGAAGGAGTTCCATCTGCGGATAACGATAATGCTTCGTCGTACAATCTTCTTGCTATTCTTAAGCATTTTATACTAGGAAATGTACCAATCTCTTTATAAAAATAGAAATATGGTGGTTCATATGGATATTTACAACCTATTAACATATTAATAACAGTATTTTGTAAAATAAAATATTTAAAGTATTGTAATTAATTGATTTAAGTGGTTTATACCTTCAGGAAATCTTATTTCCAAAGTAAAGTATGGATGTTCCTTTTCCATTTTTAATGCTTGTGGTTGCTGATGCGAAAATCTACATTTATTACCAAATCTGCATGTCTTACGAAGAAAAAATTTACAAACTTCTTTCTCTTTTTCTTTCTTTGGTTGTTGTTTGACCGTTCTGATTTCCTTTTCTATTTCATCATTTCTCACTAAATAGTCCAATTCAACATTTACTATCCAAATCCGATTTCTTATTACTTCAATAAACATATCTCCATAAATAGATTCAAGTGCTTCTTTTTCTTCCTGTTGCTTTTCTAATAAATCTGTGACATCAATATCATCAAGTATCTTATTCTTTGGAATATTTTCAAGCCCATAATATTTATAAAATAAAATTTCTAAAGATTTTCCCACATCATCTTCTGCATGCATTAATGCTTCAACACAATGTGACTGATGAAAACTAAAAATAAAATAACAATATTTATAATGTACATTATAATTATGAGGAACTTATTTTTATTATTTACTACTTACCCATAACTTGTAAGTTTAGATGTAGCAAATTGTCTAACGATTTGTTTTTGAGTATTAGGTTTATCATCCTTAGAAGAATAATCAACTATTTCTTTAATAACTAAGTTACCTCTTTCCATCCAATATTGTTTGCTTAAGTTTGATTTCTTATCTTCAAATTCTGACGCATTGGAAAGTTTAAAACTCTATTCAAAAGTTATATTGTTTTCCCATAATATGTTTTACAGAAAAATACATAGAAATACATTTAAAAGAATTATGCAATGTACATACCGAACCATAAATATGTTTCAAAGTATCAAAAAGTTGTCGCTCAGATTCTTCTGACATTCTTAAAGTTTGCATTTCAACTTTAAATTTATCTGAACCATGGAAATTATTACTTTTTTCTTTATTTCTTCCTGATCTGTTAAATGCACATAGATTTGGTTAATATCAATTTTTATTATAAACTAATTGGAACATATAGGATACTTCATTGATGAACAATTCTTGACTCACTTGACATCTTTCTCCAAATTTCCTTCTAATGTAATATCTTCCATTAATTGAATAGTAGTATGATCCATTTTTTAATACTCAATATAAACTTACTGTATATAAATAAATGTAAGAATAGTTTTATACACTTCCTCTGTTATTTATAAAACGTCGAGGTTAAGAAATGTTAAATGTGTAACAATGACAGATAGAAATAATTGAAAGAATCCGTTTCTGTTTATTAAATTCCTAATTACACATAAAATAACTAGTTGATTAAGGTGTCAAAATCTAATTATTTATATATGTCTTGCTATTTCAAGAAATAATATTAAATGTTGAAAAAATAAATAGAAATTTATTTATATAGTTTTTAATTTATTTCTATATACTATATTATCTTAAATGATTCATGATTTGTTTTCAATCTGATGAATAACTGCTTTGTTATAACCACAAAGTAGCAAAACATTTCCTTCTGGGTGCCATCGAGCATCTAACGCTATAATATTTCGCGGAGTTGGTATGCACCTTGCACTACTTGGTGTCCATTCAAACATGTGCGCGCATTCGCAAAATATTAACATATGAGCACGTGTGGGATTCCACTTCACAGCTAAGAAAACAAATTCATTATAATATGAACAATATTTTTACAATAAAAATGAACAAGATACATACACGTAATGTTATTTTCAAGAAGCAAATAATCAAGATAATCCTCGTTAATATTCCAAACCCATAATGTTGTAGGGTAAAGTTGGTGTTTTATAGCCAAATATTGGCCGCAAAAACTAAATACTAAAATATCAAATTTAGCAACTGAAAGCCTGTCGATATTATCCTTTTTACCAATTTTTATATTTATTGGTCTTTCCGATTTCTCTTCCACTATAATTATTTTTTCATTAACGTTAGCGATAGTTATAAAAAGTTTTATATCTATAATGATGTTACTTACGGATATGTTTATCATAAAAGCTAATATTTTTATTTGTCTGTACTATAACATCTTTGTATACTTTGTTCAAATAATTTTCTTTAATTACTGGGTCAAGATACAACTGTAAAAGTGGTTTCCATGTTACATGATTTAATAATACGACCTGCACAAAAATTGATGTTATTTATTAACTACGCATTTATAAATAAATAAAAATGCATACCATTTCATTAAATCCTGCTACAGCTAATAACTGTCCATTGGGCATCCACGTTACATTTTCAATTCCTTTTAATTCTTTTTCATAGGTGTATTCTATTTCAGATGAATTTGAAATTTGCGCAGGACAAAATACCGCGATATCTCTTTCTAATTTATTTGAATAAATAATTAACTTTGCTTCATCGCTAAAGGAACACCATATACATAATAATTCGCTATTTGGCGACCAGCATATTCCATCGATACTATTCAAACGTCCACATATTAATTTCTAAAATTAAAAAATTCGAAATAATATATTTGAAAAATTTACAGAAGAAATTTTCTTTTATGTCTAGGAATTTTCGCGTTAAAAAGGTATCATCTTTTAAAATGAATAAAAACAGCGGCGTGCATGGCGTATTGTTAGTTCTCTAAGGTTAGATTATATGTTCACAATCACTGTATGTATTAATTAAGAATAAAAAAGATAATGACAGCATCTTATATATCATGTGCCTGTAATCGGGTCCCACATTCTACTGATTGGGGCAAAAATGGACTTATTTGTTACGCAGCATGTCATGCAGTTGCAATTTATGATCCATTTGTTTCAAAAATTGGCAAAGTAACAAATACACTTTACCGACATAAAGAGCGTATTAATACTTTACGATGGATTAAGCATAGAAACTTACAAGCTGAATTTGAAATATTATCCAGTTCAGTAGATGGAACAGCTATTATATGGAGCAAAATTGATGAACATTACAGACATACGTCTATTATAGAACATGGTGACATTCTGACATTTAGTAATTCACTGTACCTTTCTGATGATAATTTTCACATTAATGAAAGCTTTCCAAAACTGTTGATATGTACTGGATCAGTAAAAGGAGATTTAAAATTATGGTTGAGAAAGACATGTGGCACTGTAGAATGCTTTCAAACACTTACATTTGGAACAGAGCTTCCAATAGAAGCTTGTTTTTATCATCTACCAACAACAAATTTACCATTTTTAGCTGTTGCAATTGAAAATTCAACAATTGAATTATATGTACCTGCTTACAATGTTCCAGAAGAAAGTAATTTCATAAAAGTACAAGTTCTAATTGGACATGAAGATTGGGTAAGATGTATGGATTTTAGTTGGGATACAGAAAATAGTATTTTGTTGGCAAGTGGATCTCAAGATGCTATGATACGTTTATGGAAAATATCTGTAAACAAAACAGAATTATTAAATGATGAGTTAAGTCAAAAAGAACAAATATTTGTAGTCAATAATAGAAAGTACAACATCACTTTGGAGTCTGTATTATGTGGCCATGATGGCTGGATTTATGGCGTACATTGGTATCCACAGCAGTCAAATAAGAATAATTTAAAATTATTGTCTTGCTCGTTAGATAAATCTATGATTATATGGGAATTAGATGAAGTAACTGGAATTTGGTCTGAAAAAGTAAGAGTAGGTGAAGTTGGTGGTAATTTAATGGGTTTTTATGGATGTAAATTTAGTGGGAATGGATTGAATATATTGGCACACGGTTATCAAGGATCTTTTCATATTTGGGAATATTCAGATGATGCAAAAAATTGGATCCCAAGGTCGGTACCAAGTGGTCATTTTGCAGAAGTAGTTGACCTTAGCTGGGAACCAAATGGAAGGTACATATATCTAAAATTAAGATCAGATAAACTTGGTAATATTTAATTTTATGTTACAGGTTTCTTGTAACTGCAAGTACAGATCAAACAACAAGAATCTATGCACCTTGGCAAAATGAAAAAACAGAATTTTGGCACGAAATTGGACGCCCACAAATTCATGGATATGACATGTCCTGTTTAGTCATGTTAACTCCCTGCATGTATGCTTCAGGGGCAGAAGAAAAGGTTGTGCGTATATTTACAGCTTCAGCAGCATTCAAGAACTGTTTAATGAAAATTGCCAATGTTGATGATTTTAAAAATATGGTAGCTGATAGTGCATCAGTACCTGCTCTTGGATTAACCAACAAAGCAACATTCGATGATAATAATAAAATAAAGACTGCAAATCATGATTTGAAAAATGAAAATTATATTCCTCCAACAGAAGAAGAGTTAATGCAAAATACATTATGGCCAGAGGTACAAAAACTATATGGTCATGGATATGAAATATTTTCTATAGCTGCTAGACACGATGGATCATTATTAGCAACTGCATGTAAATCAACATCATTCGAATATTCTGCAATATTATTATGGAACACAAATACATGGACACAAACTCAAAAACTCGTGTCTCACCAGCTAACAGTAACACAAATGGAATTTTCACCAAATGATATATATTTAGTATCTGTATCTAGAGACAGAAGGTGGTCGTTATTTAAATTCGACGATAATATGTATACCTTAATTGCAGCCAGTTCAAAGAAAGATAATCTTCATAGTCGTATAATATGGTGTTGTTCATGGACATATGATTCATCTTTCTTTGCGACTGGTTCTAGAGACGGAAAAATCGGAGTTTGGAATCCAAATTTTAGAGATAATAAGATTATTCCAACTACAAGTTTAGATTTGAAAAGTTCTGTAACAGCACTTGCTTTCTCTTTACAAAATATTTCAGAAAATTCTCACGTTTTAGCAATAGGATTCGAAACAGGGTACATAGAAATACAAAAGATAAAAAGATCTTTTGATAATTGTGTATGGGAAAAATATATTGTACTTGATTCATCTCAAGCACATCATTTAACTGTAAAAAGGCTTAAATTTCGACCACAAAAGGAACATTTAAATACCTTACAACTAGCAAGCTGTGGATCTGATCATACTGTTAAAATATACAATATAAATATTTCAAAATTAAAAGATTTATAAAATAATTGCATTTTTATATAATAAAGTAAAAAATTTTAATTATATTTAACTACTTACTTTATCTAATTTCCATCTATCAGTCTTATAAATTTCTATTTGATCTTCACCTTCATTTGAAATTACTACTGCTAATTTCTTACCATTTGGACTTATATATAATTTTTTATAAGAAGACTTTACATTTTGTATGTGAGTTACGCTCAAATTTTCCAAGGACCATATTGATATCTGAATCTAATCCAATAATTTTAATGATTATATATATTAATATTAAAATTATGTATTTACTTACATTGAAATCTGAGAATGTTAGAATGTGTCTACTATCAGGAGACCAGTTAATGCTTTCTAAACCATCACTGCCTTCTGTAAGCTTAAATCTCCATTCAGGGTAATAAATAGAATACACCTGAATAATAGCTTTTTTAATATTTGCACATACAATGTACTCACTATTTTTGGACCACTCCAAATACTGTGATAGAACAGAAGACAATTGTCTTGTTATAAAGTATTTTATTCCTTATAATAGTACTAAATATTTACAAATATAGAATATTAATGTATAAATTTGTCAAACATTAGATCATTTGAATTCCTACTTCCTCTACATCGTCAATTTCCCTAAAAAAGTCTATTTTGCTCAATACTGTTTGTTTAATTTCATATGCACTAACCTCAATTATACTTGGAAATATGAACGAATGAACAGTAGCTGCGGTTTTGCTACTTTTAATGATTAAATTCGCTTGATATGCAACTGCGAAAAATTGTCCATCTATAGAAAAATAACATAACTGATTATTCACCCGTATAAAACCATTTTCTGCTTCTGATGACATTGCGGCTTCGTTAAATAAAATGTATACAATACAAATACATCCCAAACCAATTCCACCATCCCACCATTGTGAGACACGATGATGATGATGATGATGATGATGAAGTGGATAACGATTCTAGCATATCTGCAATAAGTACGTTTTTTAATATGAAAATAGTAATTTTAATATTATATATAACTGATATAAAATTATTTTAGCAAAATGTAAGAAAAAAGAAAAATCGCATGAACTTAAATCAAGTTCTGGTTTTGATGAATCAATCTAATCTCAAAGACGATGTATGTATTCCGATTTCTGTAAACAAACAATTACTTTTTTATATCTGATTGTTACTATTTTTATTAGCTACTGTAAATCTATCTACGTCAAGTGTAAGATCAATCCGAATCGATTTAGCATCGCCGCGTCCGAAGAAAAATAAACAGGCTGTAACACCAGTATGTTCTCCAAAAATATCTTCAGTTATCTCAGTTTAACTAAGGCTAAAAAGGAAAGTATAATAAATAAGTACATGCAAATCGATTTTTTAATTATTTTAATAAAAATAATGATAAAATACCTTTTGCAGTGTATCTATTTTCTTAACTGCACCAAATGGTAAAGACAGTTAAAAAATGGACTTTATTAGAATTTTAATTTAATTTGACTTACTTAATTATTTTTGACCCTAAGTTTTTATCTCACAGTATTATCGTGTTCATTGATAATTAGTTTTAAAAAATATTTATTTAGATGAAAATTATAAATACGTAAAGTAACAGTTAGATGGTTGATGGTACTATATTACAACATAGTATCTTTATATATATATATATATCACATTTAAAAGATTAAACAGAAATTAATGTAATTAATTACATTAAAATGTTTTACAGTTTTCTCCTATTACTGTAAAATAAGTTCATACATTTATGTATGCTAGCTGAACTATAATGGTAATTAGGACACTGTATTTTATTATGCATTTGTATACAACAGATACACTGTATGACACTATTACTCTGTGAGAAAGACTAGTGTAAAAATCTTGTATATTAACAGATGTTTGACACGTGTATCACTAATATCGAAACAGATTTGTAAAATTTAGTTATCGTTATACCAAATCACGACTAATGCTACGTTTAAACGTCATAGAACGTACTTCGGTTCCAGGCTTTCCTGATTTACAAGAATTAGAAGCATTAGGATTAGGAGTAGGACTTTGAGAAAGAGATGCTCGTTCATCGTTAGTACTAGATTTTTCACGTTCTAATCTTTGTTTACTAAATTTTCCCATTCCTGGGCGATAAATTTCCATGGCAGGACGATCCTGTTAACATTTCTTTTTTTTATTAAAAATATTCTAGAAATGAAATTTTTGTAATACGGTAATAATAATAAAAATATACCTTATTTCGAATCCTACGTTCTAATCGAGGATCTTTCTTGTCTTTTTCTTTTTCTTCGATTTCAGTCTTTTGTAAATTATTTTGATCCCCACCATCTAAAGACTTGTGTCGCCTTAAATAATTCCCATCTCCTGTACCACCTTCTCCCCCACTTTCAAGTGAACTACGCCTCTTTGTAACTTTCGAATCTTTCTTTTCCTGAGAATCATCATTCTCGTTACTATCTTTATTAATATTTTCATTAGATTTTGATTTTTCAATATCTTTATTACTTTCATCTATCGTTGATGTAGTTTCTGTAAATAATTTAATAAACATTATTATAAAGAGTCGACAAATAATTATCAATATCTCTGTTTGATACCTGTTTTCTTCTGCTCTTTCATTTGTTCAATATCTTGGATAGAATTTTCTAGTAAAAGCTTGTTTTCATTATTTTCCTGTTTCTCTCTGATTTTAGTGACTTCAGTATCACTTACGGATCCCCCTCTGTCTTTATTTTCATGTAAATCAACTTGGGACTCTTTTCTTGGAAAATCTTCGTCTTCAATTCTTGACTTTATGCTACTTTCCATATCAACATTAAACTCTACATTTTGTTTTTTGGTTTCTGCAAGTCTTTTCTTCTCTTGTCGCATTTTCTCGTAGCTTTTACCCCTTTTTTCCTCGATTTTTCGATCCCTGAAATCTTTAATATCCTCTTTGAAATCATATTTTCTATCATTGCCATCAATTCTTCTATCATCCTTTATTCCATCTCTCTCATCGCGCCTTCCGTACAGTTTTTTGTCCTCATGACGTCTTTGATGTTTTATTTCTCTATCCTTATTTCTATCCTCAATTCTTTCTCTATATCCTTTTGTTATTGACTTCGAATCACGATCACGCGGTATTTTTTCACGTAATTTATCCTCTTTCTTAATACGATTTTTCAAATCTTTCGGTGAAAGCTTATCTCTTTCCTCTTTATTCTCTTTATTATCTTTACACATTTCCTTATCGAGATCTGGATTTTTCAATACCTACAACAAAATGAAATTTTTATTTTAAATAATGTATCTTTTTATTTAAATTTATATATCAGTGAAACTTTGTGACATATCAATCTATGTAATGAATTACAGTAAAGAAACAAAGACCTTTAATATTTTTTTCTAAAAACAATTTCTCTTACAAAATTTAATGTATACAAACTAAACAATAACAAATCAATTACATTATAATAAATCCATATAAATTTGACATACAATAGTAAACAGAAACAATAATAGCATTGAACTAAATCGCACAAATAGCAAATAATTCATTTCCCCTCGTGACTTTTTAACGTACAGTAAATAAATACATAACGTAAATTTCCCTGCTAATGATTTGCAGTTCCCGTTTCATGAATTTTTACGATACGCTGGCAATCTTGATTCACAAATTACTTTGAAAGGATAAAGTTTCTGATAATCGAACATAGCACTGCAACTTCTCGACTTTGATACTTCTGCCGGTATTTGCATTTTCCATGTTTTATGCAGATTAGTGAATTGAGATTTTGATAATGCAGAGAAATAATTTTTATTGTTAACGTAATGAGATGCATATTTAGTATTATTATAAATATAATTATTTGTAATGTTATTCCAATGATTATAATTATTCTTCCTATAATTAGCATCTTTATCTTTATAATTTTTCTCATAAATGTAAAATAATCTCGGCTGTTTATTAGTATAATGCCAGCGCTCATTAACACGAGTCATACTTCTAACACAGTTTATGTATACTTCTGTATTTTCGTTTCTGTAAAATTGTTGTTGCACGTTTAATGAACTTTTGCTCGCTTGTGTTATGTTCTCTGTTCCATTAGTAGAAATTTCTTCTTTTTGTTCACGAGTTATACTTTTAGTAGAATATTCAAAAAATACATCTTCTACCTTGCCAGTTGGAGAAGTAGAAAGGAAGGAATACTTGCTCTGGTTATCTTCAATATTATATACGGACTGTAGGGTGAAAAGATTAGTATCAGCAAATACAGTAGAGAATATAATACTTAAAATTTATGATTAAACCTTTCATCATATATTTCTTTAATTGCTGTTTCATTCTATACTGTATTTGTCATATTTAGAATTAGTTCAATCTGGATCAGGCAATGATAAATGAAGATAACACAAGATATATCACCTTAGATATAATAGGATCTTCTTTCGTCCGTCTTCTTTCTAAATCTCTTCGTCGTCTTTCTTCGCGTTTTTCATCTCTTAGACGCTGCTTTTCTTGCTTACGTTGTTTTAGATATTCCAAAAGAGGTGTAGTTGTAACTTTTTTTGGTGTATCTATTTGTGACAAATATTAATTTATAAGAATTCGTTTTATACCATAATGTTGTTTGATCATATTCAAACAACTTACTATCAGGTGGTTGATATGAGTACTCTGTTTTTGGTTGTGCTACATTAGATTCAGCTTCTTGATTTTTAAGACTTTCTAAGAAGCTTATATAATAAGGATCGGATTCTATTGTACCACATTTTAAATCTTTCTTTTTCCCTACTCTTTTCTTTGGTAACCTTTGAAATGGTGCAAATTCTACTACTGCTGGATATTCTGTACCTTTTGAGTCGACGAATACATAATTATCAAATTTTTCTCTGAACATAAAGATGTCTTGTTGTTCAATAAAATTGATATATGCACGTGAAAATGAAAATTGTCCCATGTCAGCTTTGACAAAATAAAGGTAATCATGTTCTGGTAATGGAGAAACTTGCTCCAGGAATTGATCCTGAGTCATAGTTGGAGGTAATCTTCTTATTACTACCTATAAATATATATCATTGTTTTTCATTCTTAGCTAATATATAAGAAATTATTTCTAACAATAATTACAAAGACATTTATGAATGATCACCATCGCATAAGTATTTTTTATTTTTTAATTCAAAAAGTGGGACAACTATATAACTTGTTAAATTTGTTTTCATTTTAATAATATTATCATAATTGTCCATATCCAAAATATAAATTATTTTATAAAATCTGATAAAGTATTTTACACAAGATTCATACATAAATAATACTTTTTTACAAAATTATGTTATAAATCGAACATAAGATTTCGATTTTCAATCTACTGAATACAAGACATTACATGTAGTCAAAACATATTTTATGTTTGTAATAAAAGGGCTGATAAATTTCTAGTGTCATTTTAATTGAATATACCTTTGTCATAGGCCGGCATTTCTCTTTTTTATTATCTTTAATTTTTCCAACATCTGGAGAACTAGTTTGTGCTTCATTTTGTGCGGCTGACTCAGATTGTTGTGTTTCCTCGGTCATTGTCATCTACATTTATTTAATTTCTTGATAACTAAGATCTATTCAGTGTCAGTTCAATTCACTCTGGTTTAAAATAATATTCAAAGCATGCAATTTTCTTTGAAATATCAAAATAAACGTTTCCGTTTACAAAGTTTTCGCGGCCATCTTGATTCACTTAACCATAAAGGAAGAAAACTATTGGTTAGAGAAAAAAAACTTTCATTTAATGGGGAATTTTTTAAATATACGTCTAGGGAATTATTAATTAAAACCTAAGATAAAACAGTTGTTGAAATCTACAATTTTTATAAAACAATTTATTGTCTAACTTTTAAATATTTAGATTAATTTATGATACATGTCATAATTTACATCATAAATAATACTTGGCAATATGCATTGAGATAATGTTTTCTTAGACCATTATAAAATAAACGTAGAAGTATAAAAAGAAATTTCATAGGTTTATATATTTACACGCAAATAAAATTTACAGTCTTCTATAATTATCACGCTGTTGCGATTGAGATCCTGATGTTAAAGTTGAATAAATAAACGGTAAAATTGATGCTAACGCTAGACAAAGACCTATTACTGGTCGATACCACACCCAAGCAAAACCAATTACTAGTAAACTAATAGACATAGATACCGACATTGTTAAAGATTCAACTGCAATAATTCCACATAAGAACGTCGAATTTAAAATTACTGTTCTCAATATATTTGCTAAACACGTTGCTGCTAAAAATAAAACCAGCCAGCCAAGTCCTCTGAAATAGTCATTCATTATTTAATCACCTAAATTCAAGAAAATGACGGAATGTTTAAACATATTCAGATTACAAACAAGGGTTACCTAATACTCCATGTACGCCAATAATTGTGTACATGTTCTAGATGAAACATTTGATCTACTGACATTTTATGCTTCCTTTGGAGTAAAATTTCTTCTCCATGTGATGCAACATACGGTACAATAGTTCCCTTTTGTAACATACCAACTATAGAATATAAATCTCCCCCTTTCCCTGCATACGAAAATTGTATGCGTATATCCCCTACCTATAAATAAAAGTATAACATTTAAATCTACAGAAGATTTAACATTGCATGAGAATTGCAATAACAAAAATTATACCTGTGGGTTCCATAAATCAGCACTGTGATAGTACAAACCAGAATGCATTTTAATATCTTTACGTTCTGGTCTCTCATCACTAGTAACTTCTACAAAATCATTGAATCTATTTTTTAACTCAGTTCCCAGAGTAAATGCTCCAATTTTAACTTCATCTGCAATTTGCACCTGACTTTTAATAGGCATTTCTTTTGGATTATGATGACCAGTTCGGATGTAAAAATGATCAGAATCAACAAGTTTATCCTTCCATTCAGTTGTATAATAATAATGTTTCTCTTCCTCTGTCACTCCACCAAAACTGATGTACAAACATTACTATGACACAGATGAAGTAATAAATAGGTTTATAGATTTAGTTGTAGAAATTACCTTCTTTCTTCTTCTATCTCAACCCACTGATACATTTGAACTCTGCGTTTTAATTTCACACTTGATACAATTACTCCATAATCAGGTTCAGTTAATGGTTCTGATATTTTTAAAGCTCCTGATAAATATATCAAACGTCCTTCATATTCAGGTAATACTTTCATTGAATTTGGAAGTACTGCTACATTACGCAAAGCTTCATCTAAAGAATGTGCTACTTTCACTGCTCTTCCCTATAATTTTATAAGCATGTTCTTGTTGTTCACATTTATTCATTTGCTAAGATTCATAAATATTCACAAACCTCATTCCAAAATAAAAGGCACATGCCAGTTGCAAACATAATAAGTCCAATGATAGCAGTGAGCCATGACTCTCTAAATTGCTCAGAGACTGTCATTGGAACATTTATTTGGGGAGGCTGTCTTCCATTAACTCGATTTTGATGAATGGGTTCGGTGTTTGCCCTTTGAGGTTGCCCATTTTGCTAAAATTATATTTTTTATATTTAAACTATATTATTCTATATGAATTGTATATAATATATACAAATATTTATGTGGATTGAATATTACATACTACACGCAATAGGTGTTATTGCATTAATAAATATACACATATATAGATAAATGTTAAGTTAAATAACTGTTTAAAATTTTGACACGTGCTTTTTATGCTTACATTTGCGCGATACATTTTAATAGATTACATTACGTGACAATTACAATATTCAACTTGTTTATTAAAACTGATAATTACAATATTTTGAATGGAGTTCTAAATAAATGTTTAACGTGCATACATTGATGTACCATTTATTCACGAATTGGTACATCCAAAATTACACCATAAATATTACTATTACATCATGTATATATATTAAATATAAATGTATGCAATTACACAATTTTGCTGCAATTTCGATGATGCTATGAATCACGTGCAAATCACTGCAAATGCATTGCAGTGACTACAAATGCAACAAACTGGACATGTTTTTATTCTCAAGGATCATGATTTTGGGGTCCTAGACACCCCCAGTTGAGATTAACGATAAGTGTGCATTTACTGAGCATAGTTGGTATGACAGTCGCTCTTTTACCATATCTCACACTAACAACTAAAAAAACACAATTTTAATTCTATTTTTTAGAAACCAGTTAAAATCTGCAAAAAACCAAAAATTATTAAAGTAATTGTATTTTTAAAAGACCGCCATAAATTATTTTCAAAATTCGATGCCAGCGCACTCTATACCGAAATGGCTGAAACTGCTCGACAACTTATCGACCGGTAAGCGAGTGTCAGGAAACTGGTCGGTAAGTTGTTGAGTAGTTTCAGCCGTTTTGGTATAGATGGCGCTGGAATCAAATTTTAAAAATACTTAATTGATGGCGGTCTTTTTAAAATACAAACTTTTGACTGATTTCTAAAAAATAGAGTCAGAGAAGGTCAGAATTGTATCATTGTATCTTTCCATTTGCAATTTACTTTTGTAATTAATTTATAATTAACGCGTGACACCATCAATGGCTTTATAATGAACTTGCGTTAACTTGCGTTAGACTGTTGCAATGCGAAATGTTTCACGTTTTTATACTAAAATAAGGCAGATAGCGCTCGTTTTCAAGGCATAGATTCAAGATCCGTATAAAAACGCATGTCCAGCCTTGTGTCACCTACGAAGCATATTCATTCCGGGTTCCGGTGTTAGTTGTCCGATGTGGTTCGATGTTACTTAAGTTTGTATAAGCTTAAAATATTAGAATAGAATATGCCTATAATATGAAGTGGATAGTTATTTCGTGTATTTTATGTATATTTGGATGTTTCAAAGAGTTTAGACCTTCAGAATCTTTCGTTACCGATTATTTAACAGGACCATGGAAAAATTTTACAAATGTTCAAGTAAATATCGAGTTTTTTTGTATATAGTAGTTATATGTAATTACAGAAATTGTTACTTCAAAAAATAAATTTATTTATTTAAAAATAAATGATGAATTTCTGTTATTAAATTCTTTATTTTTAATTATCATTCATTTTTCTTATATATTACATAGTAATTACAGGATCATCATTATTTTTCAGGTAAATCAAGAAATTTTTCCTGTTGCAACATATTCTTATTTTGCAACATTAGTTGTTATATTTTTAGTAACAGATTTTGTACGATATAAGCCTATCATTATTTTGTGTGGTTTCTCTGGTGCTATCACATTTCTTTTGATAATGATTGGAAAAGATATATTAACTATACAAATTGTGGAGTTCTTTTATGGCTTGTTTTTGTCTACAGAAGTGGCTTACTATACATATATTTATGCTAAAGTTGATAGGAAACATTATCAGGAAGTAACTAGTCATACAAAAGCAGCATCTCTTTTTGGTCGTTGTATGTCTGGTATTGTTGCACAATTGACAGTCTCTTTTGATATATTAGATTATCATCAGTTGAATTATATTACAGTATCAGGTATTTATTAAAATAATAATTTTTAGACTGATGTGAAATAGTTCATTTTTATCCTAATAACTTAAATATTAAGAAAGAAATTTATGAATTAAAAATATTCAAAAGCTATGTAAATTATAGATATTTACAATAACTTTTTATGAAAAATGTAAAATTTATTTTCTAGCTACTTCATTTGCAACAATATGGGCATGTTTTTTACCTTCTGTTGGTCAGTCCATTTATTTTCATAAAGAAAATGAAAATTATGAAAATCATGATTCTTTAAGTAATAATGAAACAGTATCACAATCATACAGTTTAAGTGAAGTATTACATAGACCAGAACAGCACAATAACAACAATTCTCCCAGTACAAATATTTCATTGATACGTAAAATAAAACAAGCTTATATTTTATTATGGAAAGATTTTTTGCAAGCATATTCAAATAATCATGTTGTAAAATGGTCAATATGGTGGTCATTTTCTACTTGTGGATATTTACAAATTATCAGTTATATACAATTACTTTGGCAAACTGGTGTATCACATGGAGATAGGATTTATAATGGAGCTGTAGATTCTTTATACACTATCATAGGTGAGCAAATATCCTGTATGCTTTACACTCAATATAGTTTTTTAGATACATAACATGTAACTTTAGCTGCTTAGAACAATGTAAACACTATAAACAATATTCAGTTCAATTAGAATTATTTAAATCTTTTTTCATTGAACTTTCATATTTTTATATCGCAATTTAAATTAAAAAAAGAAGTAATATCCTTGTTTTTATTACTAGGTACAGCTACTGTTTTTTTCATTGGAAAGATACCATTTAATTGGTCTCTGATAGGAGATGTAGTAGTATCATTCATGTCATTTGTGGAAGGTACTTTATTATTAATTTCATCATATAGTTACAATATTTGGTTATTGTATGGTGCTTATATAATATTTGGAATTATTTACCATACAATGGCTACTGTTGCAAGGTATAATCTTAATGAAATTTAATTAAAAAAGGTGCAGTATTTCAATAAAAAGAAAATAGTATCCTAATTTATCATGTAATTTTATCATTTACAGCTTTGAAATTGCAAAATGTATATCAGAAGATAGTTATGGTTTAATATTTGGTGTAAATACCTTTATTTCGCTATTATTACAAACTATATTAACCCTTATTGTAGTAACTGGAAATTTAAATTTAAATATAAGATCTCAGGTAAGATTGGAAGTGAAATTTTTTTAAATTTTTTGTTTAATATGTAGTATATTAAATTAGTGTATCTATTATTTGTTTTATCATGGTATTAGTTACATGTATATCTGTAGTGTTAAAACCTATATTGTATCTTCTTTCAGTACTTTGTTTATGGTGGTTACTTTATTGTGATAGCAATACTATATACAATAATAGGCATTTTTAATATTGTAAAACACTGTAGAAGAGGTACAGAATTCAATATTTGGGTAAATAATGAGAATACCACAGTAGAAGTACGTCCGTAAGAAGAAGTAAAATCATCCAAATTTTACAGCTCTAGTTGATACTGTAATTATTTATAAATTTTAAATATATTGCTCCTTTTACAGGTGCAATATTTACTTAGATAATAATAGAAAATGTAGTATTATTTATATTTAATAGATAATCGTTCAAAAACAGTACAAATTTTTATTGTTATACTGTTCATTTTGAAGTATAGATGAATGAACTTTTACCTGTTAAATGTATTTCCTAAAAACACTTAATTATTATGTACTTATAGATGCATATCTTTATTGATAAGATATGCCCAATTTATAGTATTAAATATAATATTTTTTCACAGATTAAAAAAGAATGTAGTATAAATTACATAAATGTTACTATTAAATTATTTAATTAGAAAATGTGCAGTGTATATAGATGAAATATACAAAATATCGATATTGTTAAATTTTCGAAGGGAAATCATTTAAAAATATTATACTTTATTAATTGTTATGTTTAAAGAATATACTGAAATTTATTTTTATAGAGAACATGGTTTTTTTAAAAGAAAAATACATTTCCTACTTTAAAGTGATCCTATTTTTCTTTAAATATCTTTATTTACTCTTAATTTTCTTTTACAGAAAGTAAAAGTAATTTTATTGTATTTAAAACGTCTTCTCTGCACTTCTAGGAAATAAAATATTTTGTAACAATTTTTTTGAACAATGTTATTGTTATTCTTAATTGAGAAACACACTTACAGATGAGAATGTTTGAAATAAACATTTACCCAATTCACGACGAGGATTTGAATTTTTATCAAAGTGTTTAAACAATTTCCACCAAACTATACAATCCTGTATGCTTTGTTCAAAATCTCGATCAATGCGATCGGTTGTTTCGTTTCGTACAATAGATACAACAGAATTCATTGATTCGTCTTGAATTAATTTTGAAAACATACAAGGATAGTCATCGCAATCATTTTTATTAGAATGCAATTTATCTAGTAATGAACTGTCTTTTAAGCATATTTGCAATATCTGTAACAATTTATATTAAAGGTCGAATTTTTAGATATTTAAAAAAAAAAAAATTATGTACGAGTGTTTACCCGGTCTTGGGGGACAATAACGGGATACGCTTCGAACAAACTCGTATCTAACTTATCAAAATCTCTATTTGTGTCAATGTTTGATGTTTTAGAAATACGACCATCATTTACTGATAACATTAATCCTGTCCCTAATCAAGAGTACGTAAAAACTGTGATAAATTACTGAATGATATATAGATAACATCTAAGGTTAATTATGAAATCAAATCGTTTACCACGATAGTGTAAGATCATTATGTATACTATCACTATTATCATTATAAAAATATGTTGCTATTAAATGAAAAAAGAAATTTAAAATTATATGCGAATTTGATGCAAATTTATCGGTTTGTTAAATATTTTCTTTGCAATATAAGAATTTAAAAAGAAAACTATCGGGGTAATATACTTCGAGTTCGTTTTAATTGTAACACGAAAATAGGAAGAGTTAGAATCGTTTTAGTACATGTCTATACAATTTTAATTATTTTTATTTACAATAAATAAACAAGAAAACGTAAAATTTTCAGATTTAAGGTTCATCGTATGTATGAAGTATGAAGTATTTATCGAATTATGTGTTTAAAAAATTTTCAAACTTAAGAGAATACATACATACGCGCCTTTGTTATTTACCCCTTCTGTATAATATTTCAATAAAATGATTGTTCAAAATTATTCAAACATACAAGATGGTGTACACGTGGTAAGCACCAGGATGAATATGCTGGCAAACATCCCGACACGTTACGGTAAGTTTTCGGATGTAGATAGGATGAAAGTTAATTCAACGAAGTAATTTTGAACATATTGGTTAGGACTTAATCGATGTATTGTGGTATTTATTTAATGAATAATATTGTATTTTTTGTTATTATAGCATAATGAGCAGCAAGGTAAATGCTGGCTGCAAAACTGTTGTTGCACGAACTAATAAAAATATATTGGAAAATAAGCAACATTTGGTAATTCAAAGTTTTTAATGTAAACATTTTTAGGGTTATAATTGTATTTTGTTATACTGATAATACTTGTGTATTGTATTTGTAGCCCACATCTGAAACATCTCAAGAAGGTCTTATATTATATGATAATTGTAATACTTTAATAGAAGTTTGCGTTAAAACTAAGGGTCGTAAACGTACATCAACCATGGTTAGCAGCAGTTCACCTAGTCATAAAGGAATAGAGGCAAAAAAACGACCTAGTAGTAGTGGTGATTCTCACCAAAGCTGGGGTGGAATGTTGAGGGAACAAAATCGGGCAGCTCTAAAGCAAGGTTTGCAACAATTAACCAAAAGAGCATCAGGTTCAAAGTCATCAAAATGTGGAAGTGAATCTAGAGAAACTAAAAAGCATTCCTTAAATCATCAGAAGCATGAAGTCAGCATTTATTTAAATATTTAATAATATACTTACATAAAGACATTAAAAAATTAATTTGAAAATATTAATTTTTTTACTATAGCATAAACACTTGGATGAAATTCCTGTAAAACAATCAGTTTCTCAAAAGAGAATTGAAGATCATATGAAATCCACACCATGTACTACAGTTCCATCAAGTACCTCTATACCAAGTACTATGCAAGCTATAATGGTTTGTGACAAAGGTGTGCAGTGTGGTGGAATACTAGATTATTCTGATGAGAAATATGGTGTATTAAATCCAGTTCGTACATTAAACTTTCTGATGACAGAATTGAAACATTTAGTAAAAGATGAGAGAGCTAATAAAATTTTAAATGATATGGAACAAATACTCTTTAGAATTCCAATAGAACCAGGAAAACCATTTCCTGTGGTAAGATTAATAAATAAAAAAATAAAAAACATTAATTATCTATTTAATATACTAAGAACGGGTAATTTGTAATAGGATCCAGAAGCTAAGGCACTTTGTACAAAATTAGAAGCTACTACAATTCAGTTGGAGGAGACAAGTAGAAAAATGAATGCAATGTGCGAATCATTACGCGAGGAAAGAGATTCATTGCAAAGGTATAAGTTTTTTATAAATACTTACATTCCGAATTATTATACTTACATAATTTTGTTTATACTAGGCAAGTTCATAAACAAGTATTACTGTTAAACGAATCTCGCGAAAGACAGTTAGATTTGGAGAGCACTATGAAAACGTTGAAACAAGAACTAGAAGAAGCAATAAAAATAGCCCAAACTAGAGATAAAACGATAAGTGAATTAAAAAAAGAGATAAAGGGATATGAATTTTCGCAAAATGTCGTAGCAGATTTGAGGATTAATCTAGCCGAACAAACGGAACTTGCAAGACAAAGGCATTTAGAAGTGCAATATTTAACTCTTGAGAAAGACAAATTTTTTGCCTTATCTTCATATAAAGATTCTTTATTGATCGAACTTCGTAATGCTATCAAGTTAGTTGTATCATCATTAAGCTTTAATTAATCCTGTTGGCTTTATAAAATAATTATTTTAATTTTATATCACAGAGAGTTGCAAAATCACATCGCGGATCAATTAAGTGGTTTAAAGAATATCTGTATTCCCGCAGAAGATGCCAATCTACATATTTCATTGGTTCACGGAGGTCTTGCATGTTCATCGCCTACATCTATGTCTTCACAAGATTCTAATGCACCTACTTCTTGGCACGATATGTCAGACGTTTCTTTGTCTACAGTGGATCATAATCCGCCTAAAAATGGGAATGTACAAAGATTTACACAAAAAACGAACAAAGCATTAACTGTTTCGGAAAGTCAAATGAAAAATTCGGATAAGAAACGAACGAAGAATGTTAGGGAATCACAGACTAAAGATTCTGTCAATTTAGAGTTTATTAGCTTACCCGGAGGAGAATCTTCTCACACACTTTTACCTTCTTACAAGGATCTTGGTTATACAGAAATTAGCCAATCTGGTAAGTATCAATCGATATGTAGATATTAAAAATACTGTCGTAAATTAAGAGTATAATATTTCTTTCAGTTAACAAGGGGAAGGAAGATGTAGTAACAACGATTGGTAATGAGAAAAATGATGGTTTACGAAACTCTAAGAGTATCGGTAAAGTATCATCGTCGGAACATTCAAATTTGTCTCCCGAGAAAGAAATTCGTGTAAAAGATCCACCTAAATCTCAACAATCTTTGGAGCTAAATAAAAAACAAAGTTCCGGGAAAAAGTTGCATTCAGCAGAGGATGTTGCTAACACTTTAAAAAACAATTTACCTCACAATTTAATAGGTTCTAGTATAACGGAACAGTTTCAAAATATGTTCCATGACATTAGGGTTCAAAGTAGAATGCCAGTTAATGTACCAAGTCCACCAAGGAATTATCCCCATCCTGATTGGAGCGATAGTACTTTACCTAGTATTAGTACCGCTTCAGAATTAAATGTGATACAATTGAATGACACTTAAGATTATATTAACTTTTTCAGCAAAGTAATATCAAACATCGTTACGCAATTAAATTATTCTTTATCTAAAAACAAAGTTTTAACAAACATATAAATCGAATTATATTTTTGTGACCTCGACAATTTTACAGTATATTTTTAAATAATAATTTACAAGAGATACATATAGTATAAACTGTATCAATTTTTGGCTCAAAATGTATTTTCCTACTAATATATGGTGTGTGTATATATATATATATGTATGTGTTTATTTTTTATTTTGATTTATAAGTAAAATTTGTACACAATAATATATATATATATGATTTAAAAAAATATTGTTTATAGGTACAAGTTACATTATTGATTAAAAAAGATGATACAAGAGGTGTAAGAAGTTACATGTAACATAAATGTTACAGTTATATTAATTGTACATAAGCGAAGGAAACCCTTCGGGGTAACACATTGGTGTTAATACCAAAGCACATAGTGTGGTATTGTTATTTATATAATGTGAAATTAAATTTGTATTTTGTTTATAAACATGATGATGCATTTCATTGACAATGCATGAAAGATAGCATAAGACTGCACATTTCTAAGAAATTATTGATAATTTAATTGATATTTTGATAAATAAAAAGAGATGCGTTCGCTTGTAACAAACAGTTATTCTTCATATTCTCAATCTACAGTCGGCAAATTCTTGCTAAGAAACCAGAAGGACATAATATAAATATGGCATGAAAACCCAGATGTGTATATATATATATATATATATATTTTTTATCACATATGTATATATACAAGTAAAGTATAATACTTATATTTTGTAAGTCTTTATAGGATTAAAAGGGAACATTTTAGTACACGTAAAACATTCATCAATTTTGCATAAAGACGTCTTTAAGTACATATACATGTTTCCCAGTAAGCGTGTACATGTATACTCTCTTTTCTCCACGAAAAATTCGATCATTCTTTTTATTTATTTATTTTTTTTCTTTCTAGAGACCGAGAAACGTTCATTTACTAACAACTATCATAATACAAATACAGTCCTAACATTCGATACGTGTAAAATAAGTAATGTTAATCTCGAAACGATAAGGACTGTCTCTGTATTTGAACGACTTCGATGAAGATTGCGATAAAACGTGAAATATTAAAAATGTTTATTTATACGCGTTCGATTTCACGAACGAACCTTCCTCGATTAAATTTCAAACAGACTTCCACTCTATTCTCAATATGTTTTTTATTTTTTCTTTAAATCCATGGAAAATTACAAATACGAATTCTCACGACATTTTTTTCATTCTTTCATCGAATTGAAAAAAAAAATCACATTGCATTCGAAAACGATGCGAAACACTTGCACTCTCGAAGAAAATTCCTTCGTATTCGCGAAAGATTAAAGTTCCCTTGTCGGATACGTATACTTTCACGTACAGGTCAGTACGATTTTTCTTACGGCATACTCGAGGTGTCTTAAAAACATAAACTATTCAATTTATTACTGTTTCCCGATGGTCATCGTGATTAACCTTAGAAACAGTTATTCTTAACTCATGATATAAAAGTTTTCTTACCCTAAGAAGAATGTAGAAATCGAAGATCGCAATTACATAGTAACAATTTTTTGAATTGAAACTCCCGCGATAACTCGAAACCCTTATCGATCGATATTTCGATAAATTCTTTCTTCTTTACAGTGGAGGAAATGTACAGAGCAGACGCGTCCTCGTGGTTGCCGTGAATTCGAAAAATCTTTCGTCAAAGTACATAAATACTTGGGTTCGTATATTATTTCATTATTTGTCGTACGAAATTACCAACCTTTCGGTAATAATCTACGATTAAATCACGAATCACAAACGTTTCGTTATTTTTTTATGTATTGTTATCGTAATGACTCTGAGGTAATTACGTATGTTCGTAATTTAAGAAAAAAATCAACATTCATTCAACATTATTCTGAATTCTTTTCGGGAAATATATCTTCAAATCTTATTTCGTATTATAAAATGAAATTTTCGTATAATCCCACTTTGTATCGATCATCCCATCGGGGATCGTGAGGTTAATTAACATCGATTACCATTTGGACAAGCGTTTGGCAGTTACAGAAGAATAAAAATTTTGAAACTGCTTTGCGCTTGTCTTGTTGATCATCAATGTTATGTATAGAAGGTAGTCGCACGTGCTGTTTACATTTGAATCTAGACGCGAGGCGGTCGGCTCATTGTAAAGCGGGTCAAAACAAAATGGCTTTACGAACACGCAGTTGGCTACGGCGCGTGTTTGGATACGAATCGTTCGAGTCGAATAGCGTACGAAATTGCGTTTAATTGTGTCAAATCGGTAGTACTTTCGCGACCAGGTTACTTAAAAGTGTTCAAATAGTATATTTATAAATCGCGAACGTGTTTTTCGCGTGTGTAAAGTTTGTGAACAAGGAAAACCGAGGATAGATGAACCGACCACACAGCCATGGTTACTTCCGGCATATCCTTCGAGGGGCCACAGACATCGAAGGGTAAGTAAAGGCAAAATTACTTAACAATTAAATAGATTGCAACTAACAGCACATTGAAAACCTTCACGTATTACGTAAATATGTATATTTGTGTCTATGTATGGTGTGTATGCGTGTGTTTGGATATAGCTACCTTAAACACATACGTTACAATGTTTTCATTTTTTTCATTTTGCCGATCGATTTTCGCTTTTGATTTTCATTTAGTCACATGAATTATAACGAAAGTATACAATAGGTGAAACGTATTATATTGGAACAAATGATTTTGAAGCGTTTTTTAGACGCTTCGGTTTGATTTACTTTTCGTCGTCATTTTCGCCGCCATATCCGCCATCTTGCTTAAATCGAATTTCATCGGACAATGTTCTTTTTTGGTTCATACGCTGTTTTTGTATTTTCTCATGATCTAAGAAAAGAATAATAGGAAAAATGTTGCGCACAGTATGATCACATAAAGATTGTGTTCTGTATATGTGTGAAACGATCGACGTTTATACAATAATAATATCACTAGCGTAGACTGCATCTGTTGTGTCGTTCATACAACTGCGTATATTACAATAAACGATCGTCGAGTAGAAATCGTAAAATCTTGAGTGTGTCGATTAAAAATGAATCCTAGCCGACTTTGTTCAATATCCTACTTAAATAGTTTCAACTATGAAATATGCTTGAATATAGCTCAGATATCGGAAGTGATATAGTGGGCTGTTGTAAAAATAAAAATTTAACATTTGTCATCTTGAGGTTGCATATGGAAGGACATGTTTTATTGTTTATTGTACGTTATATACTGCTTTGTTCGGTGTAAAAATATAAAGCATTTCGATTACAGACTTCGTATGTACGGGCGTTGCCATTGTTACCAAGTAATCGGCAGTTATTTACGATAATCTCTTTTTCCTTGATGCAGAGTTGCACTTATTTCAATAAAACCAATAAACTGATCTTTTAAATCTACTCAGGTTAGGTTAACCTAATATTCTTCATAGGGAAGAATTTTCGTAAATTGACGTTTCAATAAAATTCCATTACTAGTGACATCACTTATCGAATTCGTAAAGTAATCTATAACAGTGTTACCGATCGATAATTTTTTCTATAAAAAATTTTTTTTCACAAAACAAAATTTAACCAGTCAAAGGGCCTTGCTACTAGGAAAATGTAGAAATACAAAAGCAACATTTCTGTTGTTGTATAGGCAAGTTTGAAAAAAATTTGAAAGAAAACAGGTTAATTAATCGATTAAACTATGAGGGAAGTCTATCAAAAATGTATCCTCAGTGCAACCCAGTTTCAAGAAATAGTCTCTAACTCTCTCTCTCTCTCTCTTTCTCTCTCTCTCTCACTTTCGTTCATCTAACAATGGCCCAGGCTATGGAGTTTAATAATTGCTTTTACGTGGCAATGATAACAATATGCGTGTATAACAAATGTACTTAGAAACGGTTTCACTTGTGCTATTACTGCTCTCTGGCGATAAAAATCAGATATCATTGTTCAACTGTTGGCTCGTAACAAGGGGCTGAGGGGGTAGAGTTTGTTGCTCTTTTACTGCGAGTTTATAAACACTATACACTTCCTGATTGTGCGCCCAAAACATGGCGTACGGACCCGTGAACAACGACGACTGGTCACAGTCCGTCAGGCGCGCAACAAGACACGCATTCAACTTAATGTAGATTACTTATAGTTAAATGTGTTGATTCAATAAATGTTTATGTATCAAAGGTGGCCAAACTACGGCTTTTTAATAGCCTTACTATTACGCATTTATTTATGCATTTATGAAATATAAAAGTAAACAAAACAAGAAATTAATGAGCAACTTCAATAAGAAATTAGTAAAAACTGTATTTACTTTATTAAAATATATGCTTTCTCATGGAAAGATTTCACCACTATTAGTACATACATTTATTAGACAATGTATCCACATATTAATAAAAGCATATTTTGCTAACAAACTTGTATACCAATCTCTGATCTTTAATGTGGATACATTGACTAATAAATGATTTGCTGAACCAACACTTTTACTGTGATATATTCACTATTCTTTGTTCTCCTCCAGTTTGTTCTTTTTCTTCCCTTAAATCCGAAGAACGTTCGTGTTTCTCGTATTGTAAAATTAACGAACCTGTGGTCCTATATATTAATGATTCCCATTTTTTTTTTTTTTTTTAATTCTTTAAACTGTTTCCTTTTTGGGTTTCTGCGTATACCAAGAGAGATTCGCGCAATATAGTATCGTGATTAACATCGACGCATAAATAAAGTTTTCGTCTTTTTTTCTTTTTTACATTTACTTACCAAAAACACTAATTCCCACGCTCGCAAGTCTCGATAGCTTGGTCTCCGTGTCGTATTGTTCTCGGTCTTTTGTATACCGGGTATCCCGAAACGAATCTTACCCGAGATATCTTTTAAACGGTAACGAACACAGAGAAACAAATTTTCTCAGTTTTTTTTTTTTTTTCGCGATCGTTTAATTAAAATATCAGGGCACATTTATTTCGCGACACCCTGTACGTCGTATACATATATATATATATATTATAATATATTCTTTAATTCGCCTTTTCTACCAGCGAAAATGGACATTGAAAATTTCGTAAATTCTTTTTCTTCGTTTCTCGATCGATGTATCCCAATACTTTATTGCTGTACAGCGCGTATATATACATATGTATATATATATACGTATAGAAATATTTTTCTCGTGCATTCTAAAAATGATTAATCGTATCGAAACCGTGAAGACTTGAGATCGAAAAATCGATAAAGCTCGAGGAATTAAACTGAAAGGAAATGTTGACTGTACGTGTATACTGTGTGTAGGTGTGGAAAAATTTCGTTGAATGGACGGCCAAACGAAAATTAGCAATGTCTCTGTGAACACGTGTTCGGAAACAAGCGTACCTTATTAATAATAATAACGAATACAGTCTCTAGTTCTAGTTGAGAGAATAAAAAATCGCCGCTAATCTTCGTTCCAGCGATCCACCCTTAACGATAATCAGTCGATGTGTGTTTTAACCCTTGGACAGTGGATAGAGCGATGCCAGCTCAAATATGATCCGACGAAATTTTATAATAATCAAAAGAAAATATATATTTCTTC